AGTCAGCTGAATAATGACTAGGAAGAAACCGTTCAAGCTTACCTGACTTTGAAAGCGTCACAAAGCTCAGGAACACCAGCTACTGCGGCATCAAATAGACAATAGGATTCGGGCATAACTCGGACAGGCTGTGATACAATTAAGCATGAGATACACCTAAGTAACGATCCTACTTACCCATGTCTGAACGGTGGAGTTCTTGTTAGCAAGGAAGCACAAGTTGAAGTGGCCAGGCTTTCTCCGGTTCAAGGTGAAGCCGTATATACTCTTCGCAGGATTGGCTGCAACGAAGTTTTTCAAAAACAGATCTGGAACAATATTAATACCAGACATTCAGATACAGGGCTCTTAGCTTACGAAGTTCGTCTTCGGAGCCGTGCTTGAATTTCTCGTGAGCCATCAACTCCTCGACTTTACGGGCGGTCGCCTGAACGTGATTAACAATCAACTCATCTAGATCAGCATATTGATGCTTCTCATCGACGACGAGCAGAGTTCCTCCCTGGCCTGTATTAATTTCGGTAACATCTGTGACGGGATTAGAGTGAAGTCGTCTTTCGGTGATGAAAGTACGTACCAATATGCTGATAAAGCTTGTCGTCAACCTTCCAAGTTACTGCGAGGTGATCAACGCCTTTAGAAGATGGACGAATTACTACATCGCCACGCTGTTGCTTGTCAAGGTAGTTCTCAGCCTGGGTGGCGTTGAAGTTGTGGAAATTAGGGTGTTTGACTACTCTCCTCGTCCGGTCAATCTCAGCACGTTTTTTACGAGCCTGCATCTCCAGATCCCGTTCAAACTGTGGAAGGTTCCAGTGATCATCTCGTTTGACAGACCGGAAAAGGGTATCTCCTGCATTAAGATCAGACTGGCGAACAGACACTTTAACGAAGAACTGGTCTGCAGGTAAATCCAGTTTGACATCAACGATAACACCAGGTATGGTTTGTCCTTTCTTGACGACATCCTTGGGGGCCACGTTGCCATCTTCGGTAAGGTACCCGATGTCGATGACGCCCTCAATACCGGAATCCAAACGAATATGAACGAGAGTTTGCTCAAGGCGGGCCACCATAATCGAGACAATGAGACCCATACGGAGTGTGCGAGGGGTCTCTCCACTGAGCATCGTAAGGACATCCCATGGCCCTAGAGAGGGGAAAGAAGCCCTCTGCTCGGAGAACGGTTTCAGCAGCTCCTCCCGAATGACATTCAGCGTGTGACGTTTACGGTCTTCATTCGCTTCATACATGCTGACGGCAAACTCGTCGAGGTTGAGTTCGTTTAACTTTCTTTCGTTGTCACCGTCTTGCATGATGACTGAGACGACGTGAGAAGGATGTTCATCATGAATGTCTTCTTCATCTAACTCCAGGGCATCAGTTGCCATTTTGCGGGCCAATTCATAATCCTCGGGGTGGATACGAGTATCATCAAGGGGATCTTGGACGTCGTCGTCAGCATGGCGATTCTTGGAAAGTTTGACTTCGGGATCTCGCGAGATGCGCAGGAATCCAGCGGCATTAAGGAAAATTTTGGTCGTTAACAATGATGACTTGATGAATTGGTCACGATTAATCAGATTTCCTCCCTATTGACGGTACGTGAGCAACGACTAAATTAAAAAGATTTGGACTGACCATGGCAGAAATCTTCTTGACTAAGACCTGGGCTTTTCGTGGGCCGAGTCCGCAAACGAAGAGCAATAAGTGCTGATAGTAGGAGTCATTGACAGCGCGGTTGATATCAACTCCAACTTTGTTCGTGACATCAACCAAAGTTCGCTCCAGAGCTGAGAGCAACTTCTCCTTGGGGATCTACACACAGGTCAGCATCAGTCTAGAAGGCTGCAAACATTACATACCAGGTGCTGATCTTCATCCTCAAAAGTAATGGCAGTAATGTCGTGTCCAAGCGCGGCGTACTCGTTCAACGGACTCTGAGTATACCGAGCAAGTCCAACACAGTATTTGGCCACAGGTGACAGCGCGCTGAATTCCTCCGCAGCTCGTTTGCTGTGTTGGTACATACGAGCAACTTCGTCACGGACGTACATCACAGGAATGTTGAACGCCTGCTCGTTTACTTCCTTGGGGGCCTCTGGAGATCCCCAACTGTCCGCACCGTTTGCTGTTTGATCCGGATTTGATGGTTCTCCATTGACCAGTGATCTAACCTTTGACGACAACTTGGTCGTGGCCATACTCAAACCACCCACGACAATGACATCTGGACGTCTCCGCTTCAAGAGATCTGTGAACTCGTCCTGATAGTCACGATCAACAAGATTGTCAATTTTGATATGCTCGCGCAGTCTTCCTGCCTCGTCCAGGAAAACAAGGGTAATTGCATCCTTTTGAGGGTCTCCCTTGCCCCAAGACACGGCAAGCACAGACGCAGTGTCACCAGGTTTCATTTCGGGAGTGATATACGGAGCCACGTCAACTCGCTGAGAACGAGTCAATGATAGACCAATAGTAAGTAGTGAAAAGGGCACCTCTCTCAAAACGTTGCCGCAGTGGGCCGCGAGTGTGTCTTCTACTTCCTCTCGAAGCCATTCCCGTGCCCACTTAACACCCACAGGTATGAGGTGTTGTTCAAGAGCCTCTTGGACGACACGTGATCGTTCTTCATTCCAAGCTCGGGCAGTATCACTATAGCTGTCAGACGCGAATGCATCATTAAGTCTACGCTCGAACTTCGACTTTGCCTCGTTCGTAAGGAATGTTGAGACCGTGACCAAAAGTTCAGCTTCTGCCGCAAGGATATGAAGAAACTGAGGCGTGTCCATCATTTGCGTAATACTCTTGTGATGAAGGTACTTGAAATTCTGATGCAGAAAAAGATGAAAGGATGCTCGACCGTGAGTCATGACAGTACTCACAAAGTACGGATGGTGCTCATCAATTTTAGCCGTTCCCCTCTCGGTGGGCAATACAGAGATCAAAGCATCAGTCTTGAAGAGATCTCGCATTGCTTGACGCAACAGAGGATCTTTGCCAAGTTCTGTTGCAAGAATCATCCGAGCACGACGTAGTAACTCTTCAGCGGGCTGTGCCACAGTGGCATCCGGATCTGTAAACTGCTCCGCAAACGCAATGGGATTCAATTCCTGATCATCAACGAAATGCGCGTTCTCTTGCGCAACGAAGTTGTACACCACCTCGTGTGGTTTGATTCCGAAGCCCTGTAATACGGCAGAACATGAACGTGTGGATATGACTCAGAAAAGTGATGGCATACATCAGCAAGTTTGGAAACTATACTCTTCTTCGCTACCTCGTACGCAGATATGCGACTAGGAGCCTTCCGCTTTCTTGTTTCCGTTTGATCCTCATCGTCGTGGAACTGAAAGTCAAAGGCATCCTGCTTCTTGTGTTTATACTTCATGGTCAACCATTCGGTCGCATCAGTGACAACCTCTACACTGTCGATTTTTGGCCTGATGGTCTGCTCAAAATACTCGTCCTCGACATTCAGGCGTGTATAGGACAAGGCCAAGGCATTCCTCCTTTGAGCTAAAGATCGGTATTTCTGGCCAAGTGAGTATATGCGCCAGAGTTCAGCAAGGCTAATGAGCTGTACTCGAGTGCGCATTTCTTGAGGGTTGAAATACGAGATGTAGTCCCGCTTGTGAGTCCAAATATATGGAACCTCAAACTCCTGGACGAAGAGAAAGCGAAGAGCATACGTCACGGCCATGACCAAAGGCTCGCGATACATGTTGTACGGGCCATCCGGACTAAAGAAGTCTCTTGTCTTCCGAGGGGATAACCGGACAGTAACCCACATTGCCGCATCGTCCAAATCAGCTTCGGTGAGATTTTGGTGAAGGGATAGCGTGGATGATTGAGAAAGTGACGAAGTTGCTAATTGCATGCGCTCCGGTATGTCTTGGGCCCGAATAAGATCATCATCCTCGGTCAACATACGCGCCCGTATCTCTGATGGTTCGAATACCTAATGAAGGAGAGTAGATGTATGCCATGAGGAGGAGTTAGTGAAAAATATACATACGTCTTGATATCTCATCTCTGGCTTGAGACGCTCTTCCTCGAAATCCATTTCATCGTCACCCAACAAGGCCCAATCGTAGTCATGACCGTCTCCAAAGACACCATGTATCTCATCCCATGCCCTGCATCCGCATCCTTGTCAATAATGTGATCAAAGGGATCGATATTCGACTTACATGTCGTCGATACCAGCTAGCTCAGGACGAGAGCCAAGAGCTCTCCGCCTCTCCCTCTCTCGCTTTTTCCTCTCTCTTCTTCGTTCCTCACGTTCCTGCTCATCCATGGCACCAGCACCCTCGTCTTCATCTTCATAGTCGATGAAATCGTCCATGTCTTCCTCGTCCTCACGTCCACCTCCAGCGCGTTCATCATCCCAAATGCGTTGAATATCCTGGACTTGCGGGAGGTCCTCGTCATCTAAGTCGTCTTCTGACGATTCCACAATTGGCTTGCGTTTAGAGGTCGATGGAGCGGGTGGGGAACCGCCTTCTGGTCCGCGTCGCAAACGGGTCAGTCGATTCCTGAATGAGGTGCCTGTGTTTTCCTCCAGCAGTTCAAGGTCATCATCTTCCAAGGCTTCTTCGTCGTCTGAGAAAACACTTAGGACAATTTATTAGTAAACCTAATTCATATGCTTACCGCGCCTCCGATGTCTCCTCTTGCGTCGCTTCTTTCGTCTATGCCTCGCCTCTTCATCGTCTTCCTCCTCATCCTCATCTTCATCTACAATGAAGCCTTCCCTGATTCTCCTTGCCTCTTCCTCATCTTCCTCCGCTTCCTCAGAGCTATCGTCCGAGATGGCCTGGGGGTCTGCCATAGTGGCATCCCCGTCTTCTTCGTGCACAGAGGCCATTGCCTCATCTTCCTCGACGACATGGTCAACAACGTCTGCTGAAGGCGAGGACATGATGGTTCACGAGCAAGACCGTTGTTTGTGCTGAATTTACGCGGACTTCGCCGCGCCACACGCTGTTATTATGTAATACCAAGAATCAGTGATGCCGACAGCAGTGAGTCCGAGTCTTACTCTCACTGGGGAGCCTTCAAGTTGAGTTGTAAATCGTCGTTACTAAGTGCCCCAGCCGGTTTCGGGCCTCCAGGAGTAAGTAAGGTACGTAGAAGAGCCACAAGTAACGAAGCTGACAAAATCTGGCAGCAATCTGGCAGCACTCATTCGTCGCATATCACACATGACGCCGACGTCTAAACCACAGACTTCAGATGAGCACGAGCACGATTCGTTCGTGCGTCAGGCATTAGAGCAGGCTGCGTTATGCGAACCTGTACCGACAGCATTCTGTGTAGGATGCGTCCTTGTGGCACGTTTGCTAAACTCGGAACCAATCGTGTTGTCGAAGGGTTTTTCGAGGGAATTGCCAGGGAACACTCATGCCGAGGCAAACGCTTTGGCCAAGGTTGAAAGTCTCTCTTCCACGCAGCTGCAATCTCTCGTTTCCCCATGGCCATGGGAAGCGGTGCCTGCCATAGAAGACCTTCTTCGCCTAGTAGACGTTTATACAACGCTTGAACCATGCTCAGTCAGAACATCAGGCCTGGCTGCCTGCGCTGACGCCCTCATTCGCGCCAGGATCAAACGTTGCATCATAGGTGTACGAGAGCCAGATGACTTTGTCAAATGTGAGGGTGCACAGAAGATGAAAGATGCCGGTATCGAGGTTATATGGTACGGCGGCTTAGAGCAAGAGTGCTTGGACGCTGCCCGCAGGGGTCGTCCCATCTAGACTGTGAGTACTTGAGTGCTGCCCATACATTACATTAAATAGTCTTAATGTCGACAGGAGCACTCTCCCAACAACCTCCGACTATCTCTGACCAGTAGTCAATAACTTTCCTGGCGAGCTGGATATCCATGATAGCTGGGGCACTCTCGATCGTCATCGTGATTGTATCCTCCGAAGGGTGTATAATGATCTCAACCATAACATCGTCCTAAATTGCAATTCAGCATGGTCTCAAAGCGAGGGCGAGAAATATGACGAATCTAACCTGTATCAGATTCGACATAGGGATCCAATCAACAGTTTTTGGGTCAGGTTCTGGGACGTTTTCCGGTACCGTGTAAGTAATCTGTATGTGAGAGTTAGATCACAAGCAAATTCGTTCGGGGACCTTACTGACATCTACCGGTTGGAACAGTTCTGCCTCTGTGTCATCTGACGGAAACCTGATCAAGTTGACAAACACGTTGCACAATGGTGCATCCGCGCCTCCTATCCACTGGTGTATCATTTGAAGATCTGTCTGTTGGACAACAGGAGTGCGCAACCGGAGGTCTTCTTGAATGCTACGAGCAATGTCTATGATGTTGTTGCTCCCAAGACGAGCATGCATTGGCAGCACATTCATGCATGGAAACGCCAATCTGTCGATGTCTCTGATAGGTCCTGTTCGACCTGCGTGCCACAATCCAAATGTCACTTGTTCCGACGAAATATAGGAAGACTGGATGTATGCCCAGCATGCCAGCAAAACGCTATGTAACGACACACCATGCACCTGAGCACGCTGTTCAAGAGTGGATACCCCATGCACCGCATCCTTCGCGATAACTACGGTTCGAGTGGTAACCTCATCCTGAACTGCAGGAGTTCTGAGCTGAGGAAAATATAGCGGCCGGAAAGAAGGTGGGAAGATGGATCGCCAATATTCTTCCTGTTCTTGGAGATTTTCTGGTGTCGGTGCAAACGTTGACATGAACGTTTCATAATCTGATGTGACCGACGAGGGTTGTCCAAGGTAGATGCGAGAGAGGTCCTCGATCAAAAGCGCAAGACTCCAGGCATCATACTGGAAATGATGCATTCTAATCAGTAAATATTGGCTGCGCAAGCCATTCAAAAGTAATCCGCAGGCCTGGGGTCCATCAATTGGGGGTGGGCAAGAAATTATCGCGTTCATCCGCGCCTTCAGGTTATCCGTGCTGTCGGGTAAATCATTGAATGGCTCAACGGCAAATGCGCTTCCCATTGCGTCAGTACTGAAGGTTGCTATTTGGATGTCCGAATGAGACTTTGTGGAGACGAATGTTGACCTGAGAATAGGATGTCGAGTAATGAACTCTGTCCAAGAGCTGCGCAGTTTTTCGGGGTCTATTTTCTGGGTCATTCTATAGGCGAACACATGTTGAAATCGTGCATGATGACTTCTTTGCCAAGCGCAAATAAGCCATTTCATGCCAGAGGCTGCCCGGGTAACCGTAAGGGCTCCGCGCCGGTCAGATGGGAGTCTGTTGGCGACAGCTTGATAATCGATCTCTGAAACTAAATAATCCAGAGGCGGTGGACGAGTGCTTGGCCATCTTTCCGCTTCAACCACCCTCGTGGCCAAATCACCGATTGTACGGCAAGCGACGATATCCGCAATGGTCAACGCAATTCCTGCTTCCCTACATTTTGCACTGAGTCGGATCGCTGTGATGGAGTCAATCCCAATAGCTGCAATTGGTCTGTCCGGGTCCAGCCTGTCGACAGAGCATTTGGTGACCGAAGTTAAGACGTTGACCAATGCAGGAGGTAAATGGTCGACTGCTATGCGGGGTGCGATGCTGGGGGTCAGCACATCGCTAGAGCGCGAAAGCTTTCTGCCATCAAAGGGAACATCCGCGACGGCCTTAGCATTCGGTTGGGAGATAACAGTACCCAGAAAGGCTTCAAGTTGTGACATTTCATGATCCAAAGACTCCAGATCCATGATATTGGACAGGCAAGCCAGCGTCACAGAAAAACCGTTATCCGTTTCGTGAAATTCGCAGTTTAGTGGATACTAAAGTAGCCCATTCAGTAGAAGTATACAGAAGGTCCAAAGTATGTACCTGGATGTTGGCTTGAAACTCGTCTGGATTCAACAAACTCCACAAAGGACTTGAATAGGCGGACTTCAGAGGCTGAAAGACGAATATACTGTCCCATAAACCAAAAAGCCCTGACTCGGACTGTATGTCACGAAGCGAAGCATGTTGCCACTCTAACGCGGCTAAGTTATTTGCGTGGATGGAACGCAATAGATCCCTGTTTGTGGTGGTTTCACCGATACGAACACGACACGGTATAGTGTTCTACAACCCGCATGGTCAGTGTAAGCTTGCCCCACGGTCAAAACACGTACAAGCATGGGTCCAATAACGTCTTCGTAGCCTGGAAAAGAGCGTCCAGAGACAACGTGTCCGAACATTATATCATAGGAAGATACTTTCGATGAGACAAGCTTTGACCAAGCTGCCTGCCCCAAACACTGAAGAGTGACACCCGCATCACTGGCAGCCGTCTTCAGAACATGGTAGTCTAGTCTCAGTCGACGAGAGCAGACGACTGACGAAGGCTGTGTAGACTCCACGCGAGGTAACGGAACAGGATGAAAGTCTTGAAGATATTCGACCCAAAAGGGAATACTTTGGCGTTCTTCTCGCAGTATCAAGGGAAGCACGTCATAGAATTGAGGCAGTCTCGTGGGGGAATGGGCTTGATACATTCGCTCCATCTCTTCGAGGAGCGCTCCGATGGAAATACCATCATATATAGCATGATGCATGGCGATCGCAAGGCTATAGTTCTTGACCCCAGCGTCTTCCTGCTGTTCGACCAAACAAAAAGCCAACGGTGGCGTAAACGTTCCCTGCTCTGATACGCTCGTTGATCCGGTGACAGTTTTTATCATCGCATCTAGAGATTCTCCGGGTTGCAGAAGGATCTCGATCCAAACCATGGGTGCATCAGAATGTGAAACTTGCGCCCATTTCCCCAGGTCGATGATGTAATGAAATGTCGTCCGCAAGATGTCAAAGTTCGTGACAATGGATTGACAGGCTCGACGGAGATGGACGTGCTCCACAGAAGGTGCCAGCTTGAACATAAACACGTGGTTATAAAGTACGCCCGAGGAAACAACTGTCTGAACAAGCAATTATCAGCCACTGCACTGCAAGAAGAAGAGTTGTTTGTTACCTGTGATAACATTCCTGCCTGCAAAGCGGTCGTTGGAAATACCCTGGCTTCATCGCGATCAGAAAACCGACAGGTGGCGACGTCAAAATGGGACTCTAATATGCGACATTCTTCCTGAAGTAGATCCCAAGCTTCCGACTCCAGCTGCACACGGTCAACATCTTGAAATAGCGTCGGTAATGACTCTAGTCCAGCCAGACACGCGGACTTCATAAGTTCTGATGCAGTTACGTGGTATCCTTCTTCCTTAAGCGCTCGTGAAAGTCCCACCGACCTGATGGAATCGAGACCCAGAGCAATAAACGATGTCCTCGACCATATCCGTTGGGGATCAACACCCAAAAACTGAGCGACGATCTCCCTCACAGGGTGCAGGGCTACACTGACGCCCCCTTCCCCATTAAAATCGTGTGTGCCATCAGGGATATCGACCGGTGGTGTGGACTCCGCTCTATCGACTAGGGACTTCTGTGAAACAAGGACACGGGGCACTCCGGAAGTTACGACACTGCGAGCCTCAGACTCAAATTGAAGAAGCATCGATTCGATATTGGCAACTTGCGACCCGTCGTCATAGAAGGCTGTCTGAAGAACGAGCTGATTCGTCGAGACGTCCACCACAATCTCCACGGACAGGAAGAACTGCATGAGGTTAGCTAAGGCCAAGCATGACAAAATATGAAGCAGAAGACCCACGTCAGGCTGAGGCAATTCACTCCGCACGACATCAAAAAGCTCGAACGCAGTTTGGTCTTTGTACGTGACCGAGAAAAGAATGTCGAATAAACCAGCACCCGGTCTAACCCATTTCTGCACCTGCCCAAGAGGAACATTTTCGAATGGAATGGCGGTGATGATGTCATCCTGGACTTTACGAAGACAATCAGGGTTGTTGAGGTTGACGCGCATAGGGACAAGAGATAGCAGAGGGATGAGGGCGTCGCCCATACCCTCCACAGGAGCTAACCTCCCTGATCTAATGATCTGAGCTGCACGGTTAATGATGCCCAGCTCAAGCACGGTAAGGCTCACCCCAAAGATTAAGTCGTCGGACTGGCATAGATGTTTTGCGAGCACAGAAGCAAATGTGCAAGTCAACGCGGCCTGCAATGTCACTTGGCAATGGGCAAGCTTTTCTTGAAAATATGAAAGCGGGGTATCAAGAAGCATGGAAATCCGTTTAGGTGAAGCTGATTGGGTCACATCTATCAAATTGCGATAAGACCAGTTAAAATTGCGAAGAGTCGACGTCCAGTGGTCTCGAGCAGGAGACAAGTCCCGAAACGCTACGTGCTCCAATATTTGAACCGGAGGGGTTAGTTTCTGAAGCGGCCTGCTAAGATATATGTCCTCGACATATTTCAGCATGTGAGACAGAGAAATAGCGTCGAACAGCGCATGATGGATGGATAGTACGATGTGAGTGCAACTAGATTCGCGGTAGAGCCGAAGACGAACGGGCGGTACAGAAGTGATGAGACTGTTGATCTCCACAGCAGCTCTTGTGGCTTCTTCATCAAAGAAATAGTCGGAAAAAGTTTCACTGTCGCTCGCCGTAACGAAAGACTCCTCCTCCCAATGCAGATGACAGGTCGTACGCGACAAAATCACTTGGACCAGGGTTTTGCCAAAGAAAAATACAGTCCTATCATGATACCATGAGAGATATTCGGAGACATGGTAATGTTCAAACCTTAGAATATCGATATCTGCCACTGCTTTCTCCCAGGCGCTTCGTAATTGCGGTATAGAGATACCATCTCGAACTCGCATCACGACATGCTGCACACACATCGTTGGCGAGCTCTCAGAGCGGTACAGAATACCCTCTTGAATAGGGTAAGAGGGAAGAACACGCTCTATGTGGAGATGCGGCATCTTCTTCTGAATTTCTGGCATCCATAGTGATGAGAAGTTGTCGACCTCCGGTACGCCTCCTTCTGATCGTGTTGCGACCAGACCTCCCAATCGAGTAGACAGAGCCCGGACAGTAGGGGATTTCATGATTTCTGCGACAGTTATGTCGATACTAAAGGTCCTTCTGAGTGTAGATGCAAGTCGCGCAAGTAACAAGGAATCCATTCCAAGCGCGAATAAACTAGTGTGAACACCGACATGTCCATTGGAGCCCGCAATCGCAAAGTTTTCTTTCAAGAGCTCTAGTATCCGTTCTTCGAGGTCAGAAGCAGGGCTACCACTGTCTGAGTTGTCGACATAACTAGTAGGGTCTTCAGCCAGTCCAATCAAATCGTTAAAATCTAGTTCTGAAAAGATGGAGGTCAAGACTTTGGCGTCCGCCTTGCCGTTAGCATTAAGCGGAAGCCAATTGAGGGCAATTATATGGGCAGGGCGCATGTAACTGGCGAGTTCCTTTTCGCATGCATCGTGCAAAATACGTGTGAGGTTCCTTCCTGGCTTCGCTAGTCCTGGACTAGAACTGCCCCGTCTCGTAGCAATTGATACTTTTGTGTCCCAGGCAATGAAAGAGACGAGCTGTGGTGAGCTGCCGCCTCCGATCTCTGGATGGGTCCCAAGAATAGTCCCAACATCAAGGCTGAGCTGAAGGCAGGATCGAGCAGCTCGCTGGAGCACAGCAGATATCCCTTCCGCCTCGATGCGGACTCCGCGTAACTTGATCTGAGTGTCGACTCTGCCGATTATTTCCAATGATCCGTCGGGCATCATTCGCGATAGATCCCCTGTGCGATACGCCCAAGAACCTTTATGAGGCCACTCGATAAATACTTTGACCGTTAAATCCGGTTGTCCGTGGTAGCCGCGCCCGACAAGGGGACCACCAACAATGAGCTCTCCGACGGCTCCCCGCGGCAAGATATTGAGATCCCGATCAACGACATAAGACGCAACATTACCGAAGGCTGGTCCAACATTGCCTTTGGGTGTGCTGCCATTCATGAATCGAGCACAACATCCTATGGTCACCTCGCTGGGCCTTGGGGAGTGGTAAGAATGAGACCGATAATAAGAAGGAATTAGCCAGTTACCCATAGAAGTTTGCGAGTCTGACTTTGGGATGATCCGCCCACTTGTCTAGAATCTAACATCCACCATTCAGGACCTGTAGGGCATTAACGTGTAAGGCACTCACTGAGTCACTGATTTTCTCTCCACCACTGGCGATAAATCGCAATTTCATTCCATCCATCGCTTCATCCTCTTGAACAGCACCCATGGTTGCATCAATCAAACTGGGCACGATACCAACGTGCGTCACGCCCAAAAGGCTGATATAATAAGGCAGATTCTCCAACAGTATGCTGCGTGGCGCAGAAAGCAACACCATGCCCAGAGAGAGGGACACGAATATCTCTGCGATATGAACGTCGAAGGCAACAGCTATGGGTCAGATCCAAAGTTAGGAGGATAAACGAGAGGGAAAGACTGTTCCTACAAGCAACGCCGAGATACCTTCCATCTCGAATGTTACCCATGTTGACAGCAGCGGAAAAGGAGCTTAGCGCTAGTATCGCTTCAGCGAGACCTTCATGGGTGAGAAGGCAGCCTTTTGGAGTGCCGGTGGTGCCTAAATTTGTTGTCAAATTCATTGGATGAGTGAGTTATCTGATGTTGTTTACCAGACGTGTAGAGCATATACGCCAGATTGGTTGGAAGTGCAATATCTAAATCGGCTGTATCCATTGCCTGTATGTCTCGCGAGATACGATCATCGTCAAGAGCGAGGACAATGTCCCCGAATATCTCAGGAGTGTGTCTATGAGACTCCAAAACGACAAATCTAGCGCCCGAGTCCTTTGCGATGTACGACTTCCTTTCGTTCGGAAGCTCGGGATCAATCTTGCATTAGATCAGCGCATATAAAAATGATGTTATCTTGGTACCAACCGGAACATAACAACCCCCAGCACGTAAAACTCCAAACAGAACTATGTGAAACAGCGGGTTGCGATCCATGCACACAGCAACCCTGTCCGCAGGCTTCAACTGCTGAGATATCAGGTATCGAGCCAGCCTGTTGGCTTGGACATGGAGATCGCCATAAGACAGTGTTTCAGGGACGAGATTGTCTCTGGGTCCCGCTGACAAGGTATGGTACCAACACACTGCTGGGGCATTGGGATAGGCTTGGACGTAAGGGAGGATAAAATCTGTGGCAATGGCAACAGGACGGATATGATCATAAACGGAAGCACGAGCATCTGTGGAAAGACATTTAACAGCAGATGTAAATACAGCTGGGTAGGAAGGAGGCGATGAAATTTTTGAGGTGGGATTTTGAGCTGCGTGCACCGACAGGACCACTATCTGGGAAAGTAACTGATCGACTACGGCAGGGTGTACAAGGCGCGATGCCGTCCGGAAAGATAGTAAAGCTGCGGAAGGATCGAACAAAAGCAATGGAGAACTCTGAAAGTCTGGATTGTGTAAACTCTCTAGTCCATCAAGGACGAAGAGGGCAGTAAACGGTGACTGATCCTCTTTAAGGCCGAGCTCACTCCTCAACTCAGATTCGGTGAAATTCGGGCCCGCGGTTCTGTCCAGTGAACGACTGGCTTCGTCGACTAGATCGCGCCAAACCGCTTCGGCATCCCAACGGAAACGACCGGGGAGAATAGTGTCTCCTGATAGAATCCCGACCACGATGTCTGAGGATGCGCAGTACAAGCCCAATATGTTACAAAACGAGGCAAGCAGTAAGGCAGCACATCCTGGTAGATCTATACCGCGCTCTTGGAAAGGTACCAAGTCAAGAGATATTGACTTGATGTAGGAGGCAGAGTGATCATGATTGCGGCTGTCGGAAAGGTCGGGATACGAGACATGCTGGTAACCTGTAAGAAACATGTGGACATCCAATGAGTCCATCTCTTATGGAATGAGTCTATGATATGAGATAGCAGTAAGTGGTTGGATAGTTATTTTGAACTTGCGAGTCAACTGACCTCGGTACTAGTGTGGCTGAGAACAAAGTATCAATGGTTTTGACGTTGAAGTTAAAGTTGAGAACGACAGGAAACCGAACAGGGGCGCGCGCTACAAATTCCCATTTACGGATTTCATTTGCCAAATGTAAATTTCGTCATAATCTAACATAAAATAATACAATTTCGTTTATCTCGGAAAAGCCCTTCCCCCCCTTCCGTCAACATGTTAAGAGCACGGACTTCGCTGCTAAACAGGGTGCTCGCTCGCAGTTATGCCACGGCCGTTTCACCACATGCTTTGGTCTTTTTGGAGCATCACCAGGGTGACCTCGACTCTGCGTCACTTTCTGCCTTGACGGCAGCATCTCAGTTGGGTGGTCAAGTCACTGGCCTTGTCGTGGGCAGCCCTGAGGAGGTGCCGTCTGTTGTAGAGAAAGCTAAGAGGTATGTCTTTGAACTTCCTCGGATTCATCGCTGATCTCTTCTAGACTAAATGGCTTGAGCACATTACTACATTGCGCATCCCCACAGTATACCACGCTGTTACCTGAGACAATATCACCACTCTTAGAGAAGCTCTTATCACAGAACTCGCCCTTCACGCACGTCGTTTCCGCTCACTCTAGCTCTGCCAAGTCTATTCTGCCTCGGGTTGCAGCCAAACTGGATGTTCCGGCCGTATCCGACATTACATCCCTCGAACATGACGCAACATCGGGAAGCACTACCTTCACTCGTCCCATCTATGCTGGTAATGCCATCTCCACAGTTCGCGCATCTTCCTCCGTCCCCATCAAGTTCTTCACTGTCCGGTCCACCGCATTTGTGGCTGCTGGAGCACAAGATGCATCAGAGAGCGAAGTCAAAGCCCTCGATCCTGTTGAGGTGTCTGATGCACTCACGGAACATCTCAGTACATCTCTGACGAAATCTGACCGACCTGACTTGGGTGTCGCTAGCCGCGTTGTTTCTGGGGGTCGCGCGTTGAAGAATGCCGAGACTTTCCAGTCTACTCTGTATCCTCTTGCGGATGCACTTGGCGCTGCAGTTGGAGCATCGCGTGCTGCCGTAGATGCAGGGTACGCAGACAACTCCCTGCAAGTAGGACAAACAGGCAAGGTGGTAGCTCCTGAACTGTACATGGCATTGGGTATTTCTGGTGCTATCCAGCATCTTGCCGGGATGAAGGATTCCAAACTCATTGTGGCAATAAATAAGGTAAGTGTGTCCACATCACGCTTCAAACGCCTTGTAATTCGTCTTCAGGATCCCGACGCACCAATCTTCCAAGTGGCAGATGTGGGGTTAGTAGCAGATCTTTTTGAGGTAGTGCCAGAGATGGTCGAGAAGTTGAAGCAATGATAGAATGGGCATCATCATGTTCAATTTTCAGCCTGTGCTCATTGGGTGCTTAATACACTAGCCATGGTTGGCTTTGAAAATACCCGCAAGTTCTTCTTTAGTAGTCAAGATATGCCATCAGCGACGACCAAGAGTACTGTGTAGGTCAGGATGACTTGGGATGTTGTCCCAGGGATGATATTTTTCCCACGGTCAATCTTTCTTTTGCTCCTTCGCCCACAGGCGTAGCAAGCAAACATGCGTATCGAGAAATGTTATTTTTGCTCAACGAACGTGTATCCTGGACATGGTGAGCAATAGAAACTCGGAACTGTCAATGCAACATCTCACAGCATGGTCAGGAAGCGCCTTCGTCCGCAATGATTCGAAGGTATTCCGGTTCTGCACTTCAAAGTGAGTCCCATGATAGAAAACCCAGGGTCCATATATTGACAAAGCCCTCAGATGTCACAAAAACTTCAAGCAAGCAACTTTTTAGCCATATCTTTCCACCCATTTCTAATGTCTTCCTAGAATGAAGCGAAATCCTCGCAAAGTAAGATGGACGAAGGCTTTCCGTAAAGCAGCCGGGAAGGAAATGACGATTGTACGTTTTGCTTTCTCGATCCGAAGAAATTTCTGCTCACTACTCGCAACAAGGACTCTACGATTGACTTTGAGAAGCGTAGAAACGTACCTGTCCGCTACGATCGCGAGTTGATGCATACGACAATCAACGCCATGAAACGCATTGGCCAAATTAAGCAGCGGAGAGAACACGCATTCTGGAAGCAAAGGTCATTACTTCCAGTGCCCGAGTATTTCTGTCTCAGACTGACTTCCTTTATTACAGAATGGCGGTTGCTCGGGAGAAACAACGCACGCATAGGACAAAGAAGTTGGCTGCGAAGTCGATGTCCGTTAAGCTGCTTGAGCCAACTGCAATGGAGGAAACCATTGAAGTACTGGAGAAAATAAAAGTGCCAGCGAAAAGCAGAAGTGCACTTATGCAAGGGGAAGGGCGCTCGATGGGCATGGATCTTGACTGATCTGTAGTTGTCTTGTTATGCATTACAAATTGTATACCTTCACTAATTCATGTAACACTCCGTTGGAGGCAGAGGAACAGTGCGTGCACGGTGAAAGCATGAAATATTAAGTTGCGCATACAGGCTTATGATGGGGGATGCTACACCACGAGATACAGGTCCTAATACAACCATGATGATGATATATTACAGTGCGTGAGCAGAATGTTAGCGATGTTTGTACTTGGCCGCATTCTCATGGCGAATGTTGGGATCGAGGGTATTATGAAGTCCCATCAAAGTCTTGCCGACTGCTTCGGAAGCACCAATCATGGGCTTCAAGACTGCGATTGGGACAGCTCGCACCACAGCTCGGACCGCACCCTTATTCTATGTCAGCTCGGCATTGAGCAAATATTATATACTGCTCACTTCGTTTCCGGACTTCTCATACACTTCCATGGGAACAGCAAGTATTGTTTGGGCAGCAGAATGCAAGTTTCTTTGCAAGCTGCGATATCCTGATTGAACTCCCTCCGTAACATCAGCGGGCTGGGCCGCATATCTGCTGATTAATTCTTCATCCGGTCCGTCCCCAGAGTCATCATATGGTATGTGAAACGTTTCGGTCGTAATGGAATCCTTGAACTGGCCTCCAAGCACGCTTTCAGCTTGCTCCAGAATGACTTGAGTGCCGGTAGCAAGCCGAGCTCCAAGTTTGATCGCCTCCATTGCAGTTGACTGTACAAATGCCTTGGTACCCTTTTGAACACCACGGACGATGCGTCCGTCCTTCTTGTACTGTGCAATAGGCAGCAAGACGAGGTCCGCTACTCCAGAGCCAACATTGACCATAGAACGAATGGGTGCTACGCCAGAAATGACATCCACAAGTTGGGTTGCCTTGACATCTGGCGTCCAGAGGTCGTTTATTGTGTCAAAAAACCGGGGCCAACCCGTAATCTATGAAGGCCAGTTAATTCATGAACAAGCGTGCCAAAACAGCGCGTACCCCGTGCAAAGTCAGATGTCTCAAAGTCATCTCCGCGCCATCAAAATGGAAAAAGTTCATGAGCTCAATCGTTTTTCCCTCTCGCAGAGCTCGGTAATCTACGCGTCGAGGTTTGTAATCGAGCTTGAGATCAATTGGGAAGACCTCGGCGTGCTCTGCGAATAAAGTTCGATACAGTTGTCCATTCAGCGTTGAATCAGGAACATACGAATATATGTCTCCTCGCTAGGAGCATCAACAGGTGCAGACGGACTGTCGGGATCTTTGAAGGCAAAAAACTTCTTCAGGAAGTCGAGTGCATCCTGATCAACATATAGTCGCAACGGGAGGAGTTTGGCCTGTGGTGACATATTCTCAGCCCTGTCGCACCAAAAACTTGAGAAGTACTCACGCGTAAACGTGTTTCTTGGGAGGGATGGGAAGGAGATGGTTGGACAGTCTTGAGTTCGACGCGAACCATACTGGAGTCCGTCTCACGAATATTGCCTCGAGAGTCCGACCGTAGTTCGGTCAAGAATTTTCTCCAGGTGGACGTTTTGACGTGATCCAAAATTTCAGCATCCTTTATCACAACGAGAGTCCTGGAGATGAGCGGATCTGTCGGACGACGACGATAATTATCGACTTCAGCATCTAGGCCAATTAGTCTGATTTCGATACTTGGGCCCTTAGACCTTGTCAATCTTCGCCCATGAATGCGAGCAGAGGGTATTCGCTGTTGTTGTCCAGGTGATGCTGAAGGGAGGGTTTGCCAAGAACTGTGGCTTTCTGTTTCCGCGTTTTCGTCGAGTTCATCATCAATGGCGGCGACAAGGGCTGTCGGATCAAGATTATCAAAGTCCTGATCAAGGCCAATATGAATTGAGTTGAACAGCATCGTGCTTGTCTCTTCCACACTAGGGTCTTGAGTCTGGCCAGCGGAAATCAGCTGCCTAATCTTGGCTAACTTCTTGCGCATGTCTTTGATTTCTTGCTCCACAATTTTTCGTGTGCGGGGCCAATCGTAACCGTCGTGTAGAAAAAGCGATATGTCAGAGTCATGGATGCGCACTCGGAGAATAGTGTCACGTAGACTGCCAAATCACTCGATTATACAGAATACAAGTCAAAGGCAAAAACTTACCTAGCAAGATCACCCGTGTTTTCTGGAGGAATTGTGTCATAATAATGCTCGATAGGACGGATAGGCTTGATGATGCGGATTGTTTCTCCTCCCACATTGGAAACAACTCCCGTTTCCCCAGCTACCGGTGTCGTTCGGCCGTCCTCTTGTACATCGAAGTCTTCTAGGTCATCGTCCCGAAGCTCTCGCAAACCAGCAGCCGAACCAAAAGATTCGTCCAGGTAGTCGAGATTCGTCGGTAAGTCATCGCTGATCATATCGGCTGCATTACCGACATCAGGAATCCGCCTGAAAGCTTGCTCGTCGAGAGATGCTATAACAAAAACTTAGCTACCCTCGTATGTTCTGCCAAAAGAATAATTACCCATCATGCCTTGCTCAGGCGGACGATGAACAAGGGAAGCGGGAACTTTCTTGCTAGACACCGCCGGTCTGTGGGATGATTGTAAGCGACACTGCAATGCTGAATGTTTAGCAAGGTAATCACGTACTCCACAGGAGATGGGGGCTTGAGTATGGACGTGAAGTCACCGATATAGCCCGTTAACGCAGCTATAGTGTCCGCACATAGGTGCACCCGCAAGCTGACTCGATTCACAAGTACCTAGATTTGATTGAGAGACGAGACTTAAATTGGCATGCTATGACTTACGCCGACGCTCGGAGGGACACAAGCGTTGTCAGTCTTAAACACAAGGTCCAGATCTCCGATATCTGCGATCGATGCAAACCCAAAGTTCTGTGAACGAGCGTCATCGTATTTTTTACTTGTGGGTTGAAGGAGAAATTACCTTCCACAAGTTGAGACTGGATCCTCCGCTTGTGTTGGCGGATCCTGGACCATTGAGGGCATCGGCCATGGAATCGACCAATAAGAATGACAAGGAAGGGACTAGCAACTTGAACTTGAACTCGCTGGAATTACCAGCAAGCTCGGTGTTTAGCTCGGCTTCGCCAATGTACACGACTGCAGCACCAGGGTGGCTAGGGGCATACGTCTTGATCGAGACATCTGCAATTGCGAAAGAAAGAGAGGTTCGCTCGGAAGGAACAACTGATTCGAAGACCTGAAGAACATTATTGATCTATTCTACTCCGAAGAGGGCGCACTTACCCCCGGTGGTGCTTTCATAAACTGAGCTACATCCGAAATCCACCGCAGATCAGGATAGACATGGCAAGTGAAGCCCCAGAGAGCCAGCCGTATCTTGGTCTCTTTTGCACCAGTTTCGGGAACAACGAGCGAAGCGAAGCGAGCCTTTACCATCGGCCTTGGCACAGAGGACTAGACTTTCATGAGGGATGCATCTACAACAAATAATCTGCATAACGCACCAGACTGCGAGGTAATGTCAGCACGAGGAGAGGTACGAGCTCCCACTTAGGCGACACCTCCCCGACGTGAAGGTTCATCAAGCTTGAGGTTATGACAGTCTCGTCCTGATTGAAAGAACCGAAGTGAGAATTCTAAAATATATATCTGCCGGTCCACAAACCTTGCCATCAGGTTTCAGTTCAACAAGGACGTCAATGTCCGAGGCGGATATATCGAAAGGACGAATCGAGGGCACGGAAGATTGGGAACGGGATGTCAGTATTCTTACTAGAGCTGAATTTCGAATATATCAATGTTAGCAGTAAATGGAGCCGAAATTGACTCTACCTTCGGCAATGATCACTTTCACAGCCGTCTCGCTTTGTTTCGGCGTTGACGCTATTGTGCCGAAGCTGCTCTCGTCACTACCACGACTCCCAACGCGCCTTGATTTGGCGAAAAACCTACTGCCAATCATGCTCGGGTTGCGGCTGTGAGCCACTTCAGTATCTGTTTCCTCTGTGGCGGCGGTGATTGCTTGCGCGACACTATCAGCCCAGATTTGCAAACCATCGAACACTGGCTTTTCAAGGACGACGTTGACCAATGGGACGTTAACGATGATGGAAGTCCTATGTGCCGAGGAAGATACAGCAGATTTTGATGGAGCCAGTTGCATCAATTGAAAGCGAATGGGAAGTGAGTCCAGCGCCTGTTCTGACAACAGCAACGAAGCCGATCCAGGGTGAATGTCATCCGTTCGTGGTAAAGAACCAAGCGATATGAAGGCATGCGCCTTTGAATCTCCTGCGCGCGCGTAGGATAAAACAACTCCCTTGATATGGCCACTCAAGAGTTGTCCTGGCAGTTTTTTGACACTGGGTCTCCTTAATTCACCACCATCACCGAATCTGACTGTCGATGCTTCTTGGTTGAGGGGTTTGTTAGATATCTGAACGTCATGGACATCCAGTATGATGCCTCCTGATCGGGAGGACTGAAGGGATGGTGATTTGCATCGAACCTCAGCGCGGAGAGCAGGTAGGATAATGGTGATCTCTGTACGCGGCATCTGCTTGGATTTGGACTGCAAGCAAATAGCATGATAAGTCAGATATATACCCCACAACTGCAGATTATTACCTTTTTGGCGTTTGTGGCTCGCTTGCTGTGGGGTCTCTGTCTCGATGGTGCCCCAGTCCGATAGTCAATGCCTAAGTCCAAGTCCTCGAGGACAAGTCTTTCCAAGCGTCTTCTCTCGCGCGCGCGTTCGAGTTGCCTTGGTGTCATGACTGGAATGTTGATTTCATCATCGCTTCCTGAATCCTCCTCATCAGTGTCGTCCAGTGAACTAGGCCCTTGAGACGTGTCGGAAACGTCCCGAGCAGGAGATCCTTCAACTGCTAGGACTTCGTCAAGAAACTTGAGCATACCACCGCCCTCAAGCATCATGTCGACGTCGAAGAATACGTGTAACGGTGCGATCCGAAGCAAGATGTCGGTCAAACCCCCTGAACGAGTAGTCGCAGGGGATACATGAGCGGTGAAGGTAATAGCCCTGGACGATGACAACTCCTCGAGCTCTTCACTCGACAAAGCTGCTGTGGGTGGCTTTGGAGAAGTCGATAATGCAGATGGTTTGGACGGTGGACTGTGTACTACTTGATCCTTCCCTGTGGATGACTTCACTCTCCAGGTCGAGAGCTTTGAAGAGCCTCCTGCAAGTTTCACAGCAGTCCAATCCACCACCTCAAAAGTCGGCAATGTCACTTCGGAAAGCGGCTGTGCTGGAATGGGTGTCGAAGAGAAAAATGGACGACAATGACTGACGATATATTGATTGTGCAGATGATGATCCGTAATCAGGAGGGGTAACGAAACTTGCGCCACGTCGTTATCGATACTCCTGGAAGAGTGGTACATGAACACCGAGAGATTTGAGAGGAATATGTTGGTTGATATCGGAGAAACGTGGGCTGCATCAGTCTGATTTCCGGGAGCCCCAGACAAATCAAGAGAACCTGTAACATTCTCCAACAATACGCGTAAGTATGTCGAAGGTAATCTCGGAGGGACAAGTGGGCTTTGGAAGAATGCTTCCAGCGAAGGAACTTCTTGATCTAGGGCCTCAGAGATCAAAAGGGTCACAATTCCGCGGATATTTAGACTTGCGTGCAAGGCGCACGGAAAAATTGGTGAGCTCGGTGTAACCTCAGGATATTGAGGAGTATCAGCATCCTTGGATCTGCAGTAATTGAGCATTTCCAATAGCATGCGGACGTGACAAGCGCGAAGAGCACAAGACATGACGCCGACACTGACGCTGAGACTTAGGGCTTCGTCCTCCTTGACCACGATGCTCTCCGTAGCAGGCAAAACTATCTCAGGGGCCGGTGCGTGCGCTACGTCATGATTTGTGTAGCTAGGCGGCGTTTGTAGTCGAACAACAATAGGATCTGCACCGAAAGAAAAAACCAGATCTTCTGTGGCCCAGTGAGGTACATGGGTGGACTCTCGATTGCCTGCTGTGTGATCGCACGAGTATGGCTGAGGCATATGTCCAGTATCGAGTTTTCCGAGGGGCTCAAGGGCTGGTGCGATGGCTGAGGAGCCGCAGCCAGTAGTAGAGACCGCGCTCTGATACATGCTACTGATTACTGAGCTAGACGGGGAAGCACGAAACTGACTACGTGGTGGAAGAGCAACAATGGACTGCGACATCATCATCTGCGTGTCTTCGTCGATGGAGGAATAAGAGGACGCGGGTGATACTGGACGAGGAGCCCGCTGATGATCGTGCAGCGTGACATGGGACGAAGTAAGCGACACAGGCGACATAGTCCGTGGTGAGACGACAGGGCGCTGTGCAGTAGCCCGAATGTCCCGAGAGGTAATGGTCACACCTGATATCGAGACTGTACGTATGTGACCACTATGTGGGCTTCTTTCAAGAGCACTGTTGCTCGATGGCCCATCACCAGCACTTTGCTGCTTTGGAACACCTGAGTCCGTACTATATGCAATTTCGGGTATTGACAGGGTGAAGCTTGAGTGTCCGGGGTGGACGATGACTATTTTCGTGTCCACAGCAGAGAACTCGAATCGTGCAAGCAAATGTTCGAAGAGGGTAGCGAATAGAGATACCCCAGAAGGGTCAGAATCAATGCCAATTTCTTCTTTATGATGTGCGTGGTTAGAGGAATCAAGTCCTCCGGGAAGGTGATGACCCTCGTCATGAACGTGCGGCGGTCGGGAATCTGAATACAAAGACTCTCGGAGTGTAGCTTCTTCTCGGGGGGTAAGCTCGCCATGAATGAATGTCTCTGCTACTGACGCAACAGATTGCGCAAGGTTGACACTGTTTGGAGAGCCGGGGTCGGATGGGGGAGTCGCATGCAATGTGAGGTGCAGTGACTGTACCGAAAGCCCTACACTGGAAGTGAGAGGATTGGGGAATGGAATTTGCGCAGTTACACAAGATATGGAGCCATCATGGAGCCTAAAGGGTGATCCTGATAGAATTTTATTGATCGCCTTTGGAATAGTCAACACATGGACAGTTAGACCACAAAGTAAAGCTCGAACCTGGTCGTCTAGCTCAAGATCCCTTACTTGCACGACCCCAGATCCTATCTGCGAGTCTATTTGATGAAGATCGAGCTGCCCTGGCTTAAGAAGATGTCCCAGTGACTTCTTGAGAACGAACGAAAGAAACCGACGCTGAATTGCGGAGGGTAAAGAGAAGTCGAACGACGGAAGTCCAGGGAACCAGGAAGAATACCAAGTAGACATGATAATGGGCGTCACTTGAGTGTGAGTTCAAGATCGAAATTGATTCATGACCTAGTGCTCTGCATAGTATTGTAGAAGTACGTATTGAGCCAGGTGGGCACACGCAGCAAAGATGCAGGGGGTATAGCTGTAAGTACACCCGGTATATCGGAGTTGCCTTTTCTGTCCAAGCGCGTACCAAAAACATATCAAAGACTTCAAAGTGAACTTTGCACAAGCTCCGCAACTAAGTTATGTACACAGCTCAAATAACAGGACTCCCCGTCTCCTGAATAGCTTTTGAAGGAGGTTTGATGAATCCTCATGAGCACATTGCCCCAAGGAATGTGAGACACTGATTTATACAGGTTATGAAACTAGACCGATGCGCGAGGCGTGAGCGCGATGCGACCATCGTCCAGCGGTCTGACTATGTAGACTTCTTCGAGAAGCCACTCTATGTCGGCACTAGGAAAGAATAAACCAGGGACTATCGTGATGATGAATGCAATCTATTTACCTGAATTCTTCCCGAGTAGTCCCGATCACCTGTATCACGCGCTCGAACACATCAGTTATCCAAACTCCATAAATATTATCACCCTGGAGCTGACTGAGGCTGGACACGATAGCGAATTGTGTCGCTGTCAATTGAGCGAGCTGGCCATAATAACTTCGTGGAGTAGACTGATAACTGATTTGAAGCGAAGAACCAAAGGAAGAAAGGGGGCTCGGTGTTCTCGCGACTGTGTGAGGATGGGCTACCCGAACAAAGGCAGAATGAATAGTTTCGGGCTCAAGTGCGGGAAATGGTGTAGGAAGTTGGGATGCAGCTTGCTTTGAGGTTGACGCGAAACTCAGACCCTCATTATAATCGCCATACTGCGGCAACGGCCCTACAGTCTCAGGAGGAGAGCTGACATTTCCACCTTCATCATTCTGGGGCAGATCAAAAAATGACGGATAAGATTGTTCAAATGCTCCCGAGTCGGCTGCTTGGCCATGGGCCGCATCCCCATCGAGTGCTTGTTCGACGAGCATCTCATCCGTGTTCAAGTTGTGGGCCTGCATAAAGTTGGAACACATACGTCAATCATAGATCCTGAATATACACATACTGGTGGCCTTCTGTGTCTCTCAATCATCAAACTCGTCCTCATACACTCAAGGGTATGATACATAGCCTGGTGATAGCCTGCCCCAGTCATGGAGTCAATCTCGACCATGTTTTGGTGGCCACGCTGTGTAATTTTGCCCATTATGCAAGCTAGACTATTGTCACTTGATGAATGACAAAAGATTAGAACTGTGTTGTAATACAAAACCACGGTCCACGACGCACAATTGTCGTGCCATGGCCGAGAACGCTGCGACATGCTCATGTCCTGCGTTGTTAAGGTGTGACCCATATATTCTCCCAGTGCCATCTTCGAGATTATAACCACATCGAATATCACTGGTGTCTGATCGTAACATGACATGGGCGACAAGCAGGATCTTCAGGGATTTCAATTACATCTGATCTTTCAGTGCCACTGGAGAAACATTCAAATTGCAGCGACTCGCCTTGTCGAACTTGGCCCCACCAAGCGAAAACTTAACGTCACCGGGCAAGCGTTCCGCCTGCAGCGCCTGGTAGACCGTGACTGGTCTGACTGTTTTTGTTTCAGTTGGCTCGATGACTGTTATTTCCACTAGCAAAGGTTCGCAGTCTTCCATCGTTGTGAGCGCGAGGTGGAGATGCGTCGCAACCGTTTTCCAGGTTACTGATCAACACTGCCTTGATCTGGGCCTGAATGAAGTTGAAGCTTCTGAAGATCTACCCCTGTGTAGTGATGTCTACGATGTTGACCATCTTTCCGATTTGAGGTAAATACTGATACTCATCGTGCAGAAATGAACCAATGACTACATCAATCGATTCAAGAATCTCTCGGCAGTTTGAACGGTATACCTAAGTACTCGCAAGTAACCTTCACTGTCAAAAGTACACGACCATCGTGGGTCCATCAATCAGCAACCTTGAAGTGCGAATCGTCGATAGTAGTAAAGACGAGGCCATCGTCCATGAGTTTATCTAAAGCATTACTGGACACTGCGTTAGACTATTGGGGCCAAGCACGCCTTGTGAGACAACATACCTAATTGTGACAGCGTTACCTCCGACAGCACGCGCAACAGCACCAACGTGTACACCTTCCTCATTGGTAGGTTGGCTCTGCAGGAACGTTATGATCGCATATTCCAACTTTGGCAAATGAGAGTATTGGTTATTGTTCGCAGCCGGGGCATTTGACTGAGCTGCATATGCAGAGCTTCCGGCAACTTGGCCCTGTGGAAGTGTTGTTGACGGATTTTGTCCAGGACGAGGGGGCTGCTCAAGAAGATCAGATTGGTGATATTGTAATTCGGTCTGCGCATACCGCTCCTTTCGCCCATGTTAGTGTGACTGTCATCGCTTCCAAAAGGTGGAAGTATAGCTCATGAGGCGACTTGACCGGCCGTATATGAGTCGCATTCACGTATCGCTTGCTGCCAAACATTTTCAACGTGCCGGATACGCGTACGTATGATCCCTCACTGTCCTAGCATTAGCTTTGCCACTGCGGCTTGCAAAAGATGATATTTACGCGATGGCACTTGACCCCGTCCCACTCTCTTCTATTGAGGAGTCAATCCAATGTCGGGCTTCGATGCGACCCGTGCCATCGTCGACCCAGTATAAGTTGTTGGTGGCTTGGCTTTGTATTGAAACGACATGCCCGACGACAGTGACCTGCAAATTCGCAGTCCATACAACTAGCTACGCGGAGATAGATGCAAATTACCTGACCGAGTTCCGTCTCATCTAGCATCCACTCCGCGTCCGAATGCGCCTGTGTTGCATTTAGGAGCTGAAGGACAGTCAGAGGTCGTAAGGAGTGGGCTATCTCGGTTTTCTATATTGCACTCAGTTCAGTAGAGCATTGGAACGATGATATGCAACATACTCTACCAGTTCCTCCTGGGCTACCGCTCGCGCTTCCATATGGTGATCCACCTGTCATGAATCCACCACCGCCTCCTCCACCTCCACTGTTCCCGTAGTAGTCGTTGACTTCCCATTCTAATTAGCAGAGTATTCAGAGATAGTGAGACTACTCACATTGACTCATCTTTTAAAAGTCGTCAACGTGTTGTAGTGCGCAGACTTGTCGTGATGAGCGCAGACTCGGAGCGAGAAAACGCGTAGTGTCACAAGTCACGCGTATTGCATGACATAATTCAAGATGTCACAATTACATCCGACAACCTAAGTACGTAGTGTGGGCAGTAGCATGAGTAGTGAGTGAGTGGGGAGCAATGTGCAGGTGTAAAGTAATATGTAATGCCAGTATCTAAAATGAAGAGCCAGGCTTACTGGCCGTAATTTGTGCAAATTTTGACCATTCCTTTACCAATGCCCTCGAGTACCTTTTTGCGCGACTCGCCAACGTTCTTTGCAATATTGAGCACAAAGTCATGGTGCAGCTAACGAATGATGTCAGGACATGATCTGATAATCGAACGCGCACGCCTACCCTCGGGAAGTCGGCAATAGGTTGACAAGACTCGACGAAGCTCTTCCGTCGTTCAGCCGACCCGGCCACCTCGCCTATCTTCACAAGGTCGTTCGACATTGTCTTGAGTACCGCGTTGGCCTTCGAGCGAATATCCTTGAGGGATTGCACGAGCTGAAATGTGAGGAGATTGGCTTAGAGATATCTTATTAAAGCATATCATTTCACTTACTGCCCCTAACTTGTGAATCTTGACAACAGATGCGGTCTTGAAGCGAAGAGTTTCTACCGCAAATAGAAGGAAAGCCTAGAATTAAAGTGAACAAATTACAGACTAGAACTCGAATGAAAGTATACCTCTTGGGTGAGCGTTGCTACATGTAGTAGGTCTGAGGGGAGGCACTGGCTCTGCTGTGACTGCACGAAGCGAGCATGCATATCTGTGAAGAGAGTGAGCAGTGAGCGAGCCTATTAAGACTGAACTTACGCTCGAAGAACTGTGCCACAACCTGAGGTGGTTCTTTCACAGGAGGGGCTTCGTCGGCCTTCTTTGCATGCCCATTAGCGTTGGCGTCGCCATTTAAGGCTTTCAGGTCAACACCCCTGAGCGGAAGCCCAGTCCTAAGCTCATTCTGCTTGTTAGCCTCAGCAAGAACCACCGCTGGAGGTGGGCGAGTGTAGTCGTGGTAGGGTTCGAGCCAGTCACCGAGAGCAGTGGCCCATTCCATAAGTTGCAACTCATCAGGCGTCAACTGACAAATTGTTAACGTGAATCATGCCTCAACCATGATATCCTACCTCTGCTGCTTCCTCTGGTTTTCGGATGGCTAGACGTTCCCTGAGAGGAAGTTGGACTTCTGGTTCCGGGCTCTTCTTCGGCCGGTCACCAATTAGTAGCTTCTCCTCGACAATATCGTCTAGATCACTAGCATGCTGGAAAGCACGTATGTAAATTTTGATGAAATACCACAGCCATCCTTGCTATTTGAAAAGCAAGGTCAACAAATGCAAGTGTCGACATAGATAAACAGCGTACTCCAGTCGAGTTGCCAAACATCAGGGTCTGGTCGTTCAGCGAAGGCTGGCATGCTGGTTGATAGTTGGGTAGCATGCCAAAGTCCCGGTTGTCATGGTGGACTGAGAACAGGAGTCAAAAATGCATATGTATGACGCTGGATGCCCTTACAACGATCAAAGACGAACTTTAGCTCTATCAGCTCCATGTCTATCAGATCAGAATTGATAGGTTCATGTGTCATTCGCATGCGAACGTGCTCAAGCTTGACGACATCACGTTGGAGGGAATTCTCCAGCCTGTCGTCAAAAGAGACAAACTCTGGTATCTGTTGGGGGTAACTATCCCGAAAGCACAGAAGTGTAAAAATCTGACCTGACTGTATTTCTCCGATGTGAATGCACGAATGATGAAATCCGGGGTCTGCGAACAATGAGAGGGATGCTAACTTACAGGAAGAGTACTCACGTCCTGGGAATTACTAACGTAGATCTGGCTTGATTCGATACATTCTGAAGGGTATGTCAAGTCTCCACCGGCAGAAAGGGAGAAAGTCGATGCTCGTGTGAGAAGAAAGTGGGAAAGAGTGTCGTTTTGGACCTGTTTTATATTGATGGCACGATAGTGTTCCAGAGCCAAGGATGAAGCACCTATAAACTTATTGGTAAACACCTTGGAACATGCGGAGGAACACATACCAAGTAGTCGGTATATGCGTACAAGTAGCAACCGAATCTGGAACGACATACGACTCTTCGTCAAAGCGAATTCCAGCACAACGGCGGCGTTGTATAAATGGCTCTCGTCCTTGGTCATTGTCCAGAGGCTGACAAACGAGTGTCCGACAAGGATCGCAAGATCATCGGCCGGCTGAAGTTCGGTTACAGGTAAGCTGGTACCTAACTCTAGTCCCGCCATGTACTCTCCAATATACGTGGATGCCAGAGACGACTCTGTGTCTGCGGATAGATCCGAAGCCAGAAGATTGATTCGTTGTAACTTCCGAACGTTTATCACGCGTTGCAGATCCCCTGCAGTAGCCTATGTTACCAGACGAGGTCAGCACACAGGAAGACACCCAGATGAGAAGATAGTACATACAAAGGAGGATTCTTGGGATGCAAGGAAGCTTATCCATCGCAATTTCGCGTCGGCGCCAAGTTCCACAAAAGGCCGCAAATCTTCGAAACAACACGTCTTATCACCAAACTGGGAGAAGTAGTTCTCCATCATATCAACCAGGGTACTCTCATCTGTCGAAGTCCAAATCAGGGCACGGGGGATTCCAAGGCAAGGATCATACCAGAGGATATTCCGTGGGAAAACGCGTTTTTCTCGAGCTCCAGAAGTGCCAATGAAGCAGAACGGTTATTTGAGCCATCTACCTTGGCGATTTCGGTAAGGAAATCGCGTGTTTTCGTAATGTTCTCGGAGCACTCTGACTTTCCCTCTTCGCTGACATCGGACCCTTGCACTGACGCAAAAGCGGCATCGACTACCGAAACGAACTCCAGCCAATTGCGGTCACTGAAGTGCACATTAGATGAGATCAAAAGCAGCACATCAGGTCCGCTCACTTGTTTTTGATCTTCTCTTGGGCACGTTCCCCCTCGTCCTTATATAGACCGCGTTTGCGCCAGATTTCCCTACGAGTCTCATTACACACAAGACTCGCCGAACAGATCGACTTCCCGATATCACTTTCCAACAAGGTATTTGCTTCATCCCACAGTTGAAGCTCCTGCAGGATGATCAGATGCAAGTGGAAGCGATCCACCGCCATGTATGATGGCGTTGGACATGATGTGACATGACGGTGAGCCAATTTGTAGAGCAGCGTGCGAATGTTTTGAGGGGTGCCAAGCTCACCAGCCTAAATCCCCACAATCAGAACGTTCCGCAATACAATTTGCGATACACGAACCTGGAGAATTGCGCCTATTACAGCCCAGTATACGTACCGGTCCTCTTGGAACTGCTTGTGCATTCGGGTTGCAACCTTCAGGACCATGTGATTCGAGTTGTGTACAGAAGAAGGAACAATTAGGAATGCTCGCCTGTTGACAAGACTTCCAGTTGCCAGTTCGCACATGAGCGAAGAACGTTTGTGCACCGAGTTCCTCGCTCTGTGGTTGCTGCTTAAATGCACTATCAAACATGGCCACCATGTCGGAGTCTGTTGTTACAAGATGACTTCAATACGGGCATGGAGGAGCTAGGGACCATGATGTACTTCTAGCAAGGCCCTTGAGAACGTGCGTCATCACGGATAATGTGGAGTCATCCGTAACAACGGCAGCAAGGATCTCATCGCATAACACCAACGCTTCCTCCACTTTCTGCGAACGCGTTAATGCAAGTGCTTTCAGAGCCTACATTGATGAAATGTCAAACCGCCTGCACAGAGACACTAGCGCACATACTTTGACAAGAGTATTATTAGTATACTTTTTCAGCACTTTGTTGCATGCATTAATAGCAGACTTGTTTGATCCATGGTCCAGAGCATCTATATCACGGGTCAGTCCCGACTTGCACTGGCATATGGATTAACAATGGCGAACCATAGATGGGACGAATCTGGCGTTCGAGTGCAGCTTCTGACATATTTGATGAGAGAATCTAGCTAAACTGGAGAGGTTTGCAACGGAGGGTCCAACGAACTTGAAGCAGCAAGAGAAGCTTCGAATTGGGTGTGATCACGCGAATTTTTAAGTCTTTGAAACTTTCTCGCCAAGCGTTCCGCCGGAACCCGAAGAAGTAACTCTACAATTGCAACTTGACTACATCCACCGTGACTGGGTAGTCCATTGCGGTTTCGTTCGTTGTCAGACATCCCGACGAGCCACGTATATCAGGTCTCATTAGACTTGGGTCTACAATAAACTGTTTCTGGTTCTCCACGCCCAAATAAACCAGACCAGTGAGACTACGCAGGACCACGCTACGTAGACTACGGAAAGCGCCAAATAAATGACATTGTAAGTCTGTTTGCTGCTCTGCGATTCGCAGTTTAAGCAGCTCTGGTCTTGAGTGTCGGCGTTGCGGGGTTGAATATTTTGTACAATGAGCATTGATTCGCGCGTCGCCGCGTCCTGTACTAAAGGAGACGATCGAGTAGCGGCCTCAGGGCTAACGGCCTATAATATCATGACATCGATGCGGTCCATTCGCGTGTACGATATATCATTCACTTGCGCATAAGTCGTACTTGCAGTACATGGCTGCAATCACCTCACCAAACATTCGACACTTTCAAGCCCAGATGAAAATGATCTCTAGACTCTAGCTCCGCTGTAACACAAGCTTATGTACTGCGAGCAGCGCGTGTTGTGACCGTCGCGAATAGCATTCACCGCTGCGCACACAAACTCAGCGCAAAAACTGCCAAAATTGAACGCTACATACCAACTGTTACTGGATACATCCCAAACATGCAGCAGCTTGGAAGGGATCAACTGGCTACTTTGGAGGATGCATCTGCCTCTCTCTCGAGTGCATTTAGCTTTTCCTCCCGATCACGCTTGAACTTGGCCCATTTCCACTGCACGAGTGTTGCAAGAGCCTTGTCCGGTGGTGGTGCGGTGCGTGGATGTGTTTCGTGAAGGTAATAGGCAAAGCAACCTGTGAAAATGCCTAGCACCGGATCAAGTCCACTGGTGTTTATGAGCGCAAGCTTGTTGAACTGCGAGGGTGGTACATACCGAGACAGTAAGACGGGTGTGGGCATGCTCGACGCAGAACTGATGGTTCAACGTTCATGCCAAGTGAAATTCAAGTTCATTTCGGTGCCGCAATAGAGAGTGGCTGTGCTAATCCTGAAAGTTGCAACTTGTCTTGAACTTGTCAGTGAGCTACATAGCTAGCCTTCGTTTGTTTCATCCGACAATTGCAATTACAATATTTTTGGCTTATGTTTTTTGGTTTCTATGCTTCAAGTACACGTTGAAATACGAGACACCTGAACATTTAAGCCTGCACGCGCACCCCATGCCTATATATTGAGTAGTGATTATGCACTACAGCGACTAGGCAGAAGCTTGCAGATTCAGGCAGAAGACGCACTCCCATTCGCGCGTTGTGACCTGACCTTTCGCCCTTGCACACGATGAACATGTTCGCGTTCCATGTTCTTCGGTTGCATCAATTTGAAGCTTCCTTTTGAACATATATATGTTTGTCGAACCCGTAGACGACCAACCGATGTGCACCTTCGATTGGCTTCACCTGAGGCAAAGAAACCAGACCCCTGTTGACAATAGCGTACAGAACTGTCAAGAGCGCGTACGCATCGAAGGCGTTCGCTGATAACGAGTCTGGGAGTCCACCAATAGGCCACACAAGCGGGGAGGAGTAAAATGTCAAGATCTGGCACCAGCGCAGGGGATTTTATGAAAAGTTTGCATAGTGATTTCGTGGTGGAGCAGGACGCATGACAATGGATGGCGAAAGATGAAAGACTAGCCGACTAGAAAAGATGTTTGGTTGTAGAATTCACTCTGGTACACGACACCACCAAATGCATGTGCTTTCGAGCGGGTCAGTGTGCACATGAAGTTATATGTCGCACATTTATGAAGTTAATGATCACAGCGACCTTTTGCGAACGAGTTACGGAAGTGCTAGAATATGAGCCGGGCGTGTAGCACAGTGTTGATTTGATGCGCTTTCGCCTGCGGGCTTCTCCCGGAACCAGGTGATGACGTCCAGTCAATCAGAAGTATAACTTTGAGTGCGCCGCAGCGAGGTGGCATCATTGGTGTTAGTCCTCCAATGGTGTTACGCCCACATCAGGTAGGAGACCTGTCATGATGCATTAATGTCTTGCTCTCAAGTGACACACCAGCATGACTTCTAGAACGGTGTTGCAATTAATGCGATCCATAAAATAAACATGATAGATGATGAGAGTCATGTACACTCATGAGCTAGCAGCCCTACGGGAAAGATTAGACAGAAAAGAAGATTTAGCAAGAACGCACACTCACGCAACTTGTTTCGGCTGGATTGTCTCTACAACCTCGAGCTCAAGCTCCGACGGCGCACGATTTGACGCAAGCTCTTGAACTAACAGATTCCCGTCCACTCCACCCATGCGTTCACAAAGTAACAGTGCCTGGCGATGGAAATCCACGGGCACTCCCTCAGCCTGGTCTGGCAACAGAATATGCGGGAGAATGCGAGTGTGAAACAAGCGATGAGCCACAGAACCACCCTACAAAATGGACGCGACACTCAGTTTCGTAATGTGATAGAGCGTGAAAGAACATACAAATTGATGATAGACACCACCCATCACAGATTGCACCGCGTCACCCATAACTTTGTAAAGACCTACACTTCTGACGATACCAGGATTTCCCATTGATTGAATGTCTGAGTCAACTTCTGCGTGCTGTTTTCCAGATGAACTTTTTAGTTTTTTGTGGGCCAGTAGAACATCTTGGGAGACAGTAGGAGTCCATCGCAGAATACGACCCAGAGACCATCGAGGGGCGACGTGTTCGCCCAGGAGGTAGGTGTTTAAAGCGCGAGAAGAGAGATATTCATAGTCGTGCTGATGATTTTGGTTCCGGGCGACAGAGTGGAGGAAGAGCAGGTAATAAGACTCGAGCACGCGACGCCCTAATGAAAAAATGATATTAAGTACTTGATAGATATGACGGATGAAGATAGCCTTTCCTATAAAGCTGAGCCGTCCATTATGACCGTGAATAGCTGCCTTGTGACTTCCATGGGTGAGGATACGTTGTGCAAGCTCTGGAGGAAAATGGAGGGAGGGGAAGACGTTATTTAGGTGAGCAGCGAACTGAGCGCTGTCCTCAGCAATTGGGAATGGTTGAGCAAGTTGGGGAGCTCTTTTGAAGGAACTGAGCGACCGACGAAATATTCGAGACATCTTGCGGCAGAACAACTTGCTGTCTGTTAAGTTTTAGCCACTGACGAGTTTTCCGTATTCCATAAATGGAAAGTGTGTCGATGGTGGTCCGTGCGCGATGTTGTGATGTATATAAGGATTGTGATTTTGTTCTGAACAACTCATACTTACCTTGATGGCATAGGCTCCTTCAAGTACCTGGGTTTGTGGGCCGTGGGGACCCTTCATAGCACGGCGACCCTGTCCATACAGAGGGTAACTACGGTTTGTATGGGCTCCGGCTCATGCACCGTCTCAATATTTTCCAGTCCTGCCACGGCCACTCTGGCTGGGCAGGCCATCCTTTTTTTGATCTAAAGTAGTCCTAACCCTAACCCTATTGTATGAATAAAAATGGAAATTACTATCAATCATGATCTGAGATGGAAACAATATTGCATATCAACATCTAACCAGCTTGATTCACTAGACGGTAAAGATGATCCATCACCCCAAGGAATATCTTCCTCTCATCATCAGCATCCCTGGACTTTTGAAGCGCGATTCCAACCACAACACTTCGTCGGTTTACACCCATCGATCTCTTTGCTTCTTCAACCCAGATGATAGTCGCAATCTGCGCCGCGTATAACGAATGAAGCGTTTGCAGATGTTCAGAGGATGCACCACCAAGTAGGGGTGTTAATTGAATGGCCGCTGGGGGCGCAGGGAGTCCAGCAGTCTGAGAATCCCCATCTTCATCAAGATCATCAGATGACAGCAGCGGCGTCGTCGAAGGGATAGATGCTTGAATCTTTTACATCGTTCGTTAGCAGTTGAATCATCAAGTGTAAATGCTACAAGTGCACCAAGTTGCCAACTTTCCCCATCTGCGTAACAAGCACGAGGATACGATCTGCAAAAGCTTGTATCATGATTTCCGTAGGCACACTCTCGAGGTCTATTGAAGTAGAGTGTATGCTGAGCATGATGGTGAACTTGTAGTAGACAGTTTACGTAGTGGGGTTCATCACTTAAGCGCGTTGTCATCTATTTGTTCCGTCAGCGCATGTTCTCTTCAAGGAGAAATGTACCCTGACGCCCGAAACTCTCCTTCCAAGGGAAAAGCAAAGCAAGCTGATGCACAACATTGGCAGTCGCACTGGTGGGATTTTCATCCCCTAGCAGATCATCTCCAAAGGTCACTGTCACTTCTAATCAACTTATTTCATCTTTTTACTAACTTGCGTCTGCTTAAGACCCGTCGCTTGGTCTAATGCGTCAACCATATTCACTGCCCACCCTTCTCAGCCCTTAATACTCGGAAGATTGTTTTCTTCCTCAAAGCAGTTTCTCGTCGCATCTCCAGATCAAATATTGAACAATCCTGCTGCTTATGAACCTCCGAATGTCATCACTGTTTCATCCAATGACCATTGGTTATTTGCATACTTTCCAGGCCGCGACTGCGACGGCATCGGGTGTCTGTGGCAACGTGGATATAGCCTTGACAAGTGGAACATCAGAGAATACTGGGCTTGCGAACGAGGTGCTGGTGTCGTCAGTGCTGTGTTCGTCGGGGCTGAGCGCGAGGTGATGTCATTCATTTTTATATATAATTCAAACGTTGAACGTTATGCTAGTGGGTCACATGTCCAGATGGTTCTACATCTCGTTTGACTCAATGTGGACCTCTTACTCCCGTGTCTAATCCCACCCTACTCACAGTAACCCAGGCTCACCAACTGAATGTCTACTACCTCCGGACTTATGCCTCGGGTGTAAGATCTTTGACGTGTTCCCTTGTGCAGCCCTGCTATACTGCTGAGAACTATAGCCAAGTGTCTCATGATCCTCCCCGTGGACCCAAGACTTCCAGACTCTGCGTCGCAGCTTCGTTCGGTTTCATTTTCAACGGTGAGCATCTACCTTTGGGCATCTGTCACAGTCATCTGAGATTGTACGCGTCTTGCAGAGTATGTATTTTTAGTCGCCCTGAGATCCCGACGGTATCCGTTATCGGATACCCTAAGAGCAGCGTCGGACAACTCCCTTGATCTCGGACTTCCTCTTGATATCACTGCAGACAGTCAACTGGATGACCGTCCGCCATTGTTGGATTGGAATGCTTACGAAGAGGAGCAAATGATTGAGCTTTGTGAGGTGAAGCTGCGCTTCGATGGCGCGTGTATGGGTACGTTCTGCAAAATGAAATGTGGAATTGTAGATGCCTAATACCTTCGTGTAGCCATCGTCACCGCACCTCTCCCACCCATTTATCACCCCGGGCCCTGCCTGACAAACTTCGTGTTCGTCTCAGTACCTGGATCCAAACCAGATGCTTCCACTTCGCCCAAATCATCGCCAAAGAAGGACAAGCAGCCCCAACGTGGTCATCTGGAACCGACTACAGCATATCTAGTTGCATCATTCTTGGATTTCGAGGAATGTAGGTTGACTCGCAATCTCGATCACATTATTTGAGTACTCATTTCACTCAATGATCGAAGATGCATCGCTGCCAAAGTCTCGAATAGTCGCATACTCAATAGTCAGGGTCATTCCACCAAGTAGCAAAATTCCTTGGGTGAGTATTACTACTTTCATCACGAGCAAATTTCTCACTGTATGGCGGGTAGGCCGCTCGGCTTGTCGGAGACCGGTCTCTTTCTCCTCGCATTCTGACAGTTGTTGCACCTGGCTCTTTGTCGGTCGCAACGAGAAAGGCAACGGTAGTTGTTGCAATGACCGATCCAGGTGGATCGTTGGCACGAAGCGCATCCAAGCCAAAAGAAGTCCCTGTGGGCAATCTCTCTGCCTTGCAGCTGTAGGCCGTCAATTGTTTGCTTTAAATTCTCTTGTTCTGATTCTTAACAGACCTGAGCTCTCCGATGATCCTGACTGGGATCATCCAAGCATTCTCACGCTTGCCAACAGGGCGAGCAGCGATTGTGAGTCAATCTTCACGCGTGCAGAACGATGATTAAATATCCTGGAACAGGTCCTCTGAGCATTTTCACATCGCCCAACAAATTACTTGCTTGTGCAGTTTCAATGCTGCAGACCTCCGTTTACACTCTTCCAAGGGCACGCATCACTTCAGGATCGAAAGGTAGGTAACGTCATCATCCGCCTGCATTGATGCTCACGCACCTTAGACACCCTGCATCAGTTGCCTCTCGCACAAGCCTTGACTATTGCACTTCAATCTCGAAGATCAACAGCAGATATATCTCACATTCTTTCTCTACCGAGTACTCCAGCCACTATGCTGCACGATACGCTATTTGGTACCTTGACCTCCTATGAGGTGAATGCTCGTCATGGCACCGCGAACTCGTTTTCGATGGTCGACGTGATGGGAGCTGCTGTTGAGATATACAGGTGACGAATTGTCACATTCTCTAATGTGTGCATACTAATGTGTAGCAGAGCAAGGGCTCGTCGAACGAAAAACGAAGATGAGAAAGAGAAATATTTGATGCTCTCGCGAAACGCTCTCAACGTGTGTTCTGTCTCCGCTTGTCTCGCTGCTTTTGAAGACTGCCAAGAGTCAGAGGGATATGACCTTGGTGAATTTGTTGCATCCTTATGACCGTTTGAACAAGCACTTAACCTGGCTGCTTTCTTTTTTTCCAAAGAGCCCGTCTGGCAGTTAATCAGCCTTTCCACCTGGGTGGTTGCTTTTTTGGAGGAACTTATGAAAGAATGCGTCTTCCTAGCCGACCTGGCCGACCCAACCCCAAACATGAGCCAAAAGTCCAATGAAGTGATACCGAAGGAGGAACCTATGGACGATAACCCGTTTCTACGAGATTGTGAGTGCTTAATTTACCCCCGTCCATGCCATCTTTAATATCCGCCCATTCAACAAGCCGCGAACCAATCGTCATCGCCTCATTCAGCGTCATTTGACACACCGATACTTCTCCATCTAGTTCATCCACTTGCTCTCACGAATCTTAGGGCAGTAACATTTCACGTCAACTGTTTCCATCAATATTTGGCCTCGATGACGGCCAAACGGGAGAACTCCCAGTTCGCGAGGGATATCATGTTGGACCTCGTCAGTTCCTCAGGCTTGGACCTGAAAGTTCTCGAAGACATTCTGAGCACTGCGATCCCAGAAGCGAGTGCAATTCCAGGTGCGTGTGTCAATTTCACTGAGTCGTCGTCGTTGAAAGCTTGAACTTCTCATTTAGTGGAGGAAGTCATGGCTTCGTTTGCCGAGGGACATGCTGTGCCCGCACAGCATGATCAGTTGAAGAAGACCATCCGATCGCTTACGACATCATCTGCGATCGACAAGCCTCAGTTGTTCATCAAGTCATTTGATCTTGTTGATGGTTTTGCAAGTCTGTCGGCGTCGGACAGTCCTCCAGGAGACGATCCTGGAACGGACGTGGTGACAAAGGGCGTGCTTTCGACACAAAATCCTGGGCTTCTTTGCCTCCGGTGCGGTAGACGCTCCCAGGTTGGAGGAGAGGTGATTGATGCGGGACATTCATCTCCCAGATGGAAGACCTGGGAAAGGATGTGGGCGGCGAGGTGCATCTGTGGGGGATCTTGGGTGAGCGGTAATATTTAGCATGCTGTGAAATAAAGTGCATCGAGGTGCAGTGGCTGTTTTGGGCAACGTGGCTGGTTCGCTTCAAAATGACACTTCGGGTCCGTTTAAGTATCACAAACTTTCTACTCCAATGGTCCAGACTGGCCGCAACCAGACTCGCTTCTTCTGTAGCTCCGCTAGATCTTATAATCGAGAAGGAACGACTGTTATGGTCTGGCTTGGAGACTAGAAAGATCTGGGGGAAGACTGGGCCCTGAGTGATTAGTATGTACAAACAAAGCGCCACAAATACTAATTGGCCAGAAGATTTCGGATTTTGTTAGATACTCCGAAGTCAGTTCCACCAGAGGGCCCACACGCAGACCGTGACGGATTCAGAGGTTCCTACTTTGAGATGCCAAAAATTACGTTGCCACACCTGCCTGTGTCTGGGCTTTTTGCTGTCACGAAACCTTCTGGACCGACATCGATGTCCGTCATCAATGACCTCAAACAATTGGTTGGCAACTCGCGTTTGTTTGTGGAAGCAGACAAATTGGAAAAACGCGGTAAAGGTAAGGTCCCTACTAAGGGGAGGCGCGCACGAGAGATAGTGAAGATAGGACAAGGAGGAACGCTTGATCCTCTTGCTGATGGCGTTCTGGGTATGGTCGCGTCTCGTTGCAATAGATCCTGGAGTCATCTCATCCTTGTGCACCTTGTCATCCAGTCGTAGGTGTCGGAAAAGGAACCAAACGTCTCAACGAGTTCTTGGATTGTGTAAAGGTACTTCATCCATGCCTTCGATCAATCTAAGTTCAAGGGTTCACCGAGACACGTCAGGAATACCGCACAACGGCGCTTTTGGGATGCGAAACTGATACCTACGATAGTGAAGGTAGCCGAGTACGTGTTGCACCCTGGAGACATGTCACCCAAGAAGCCGTGGAGTCCGCATTAAACAAATTCAGAGGGGAGATACACCAAGCGCCTCCAATGTAATTATCTGACTTCTCTGCACCCTTCCCTGATTTCATATCGTCTCTGTCAGTTTCTCCGCGCTCAAGATGGAAGGTAGACCGCTGTACGACTATGCTCGGAAAGGCATACCCCTGCCTCGGCCCATCGAGAAGAGGAAAGTCACAATACACTCCTTGGAAATACTCGAATGGAAAGGAAGTGACCATGAATTCCGTTGGCCAGAAAAGGAATTCACTTCGGATGAAAAACAAGCAATGAAAAAGGCCTTAGAAGGAGTCGAAGAAAACCCTATCATCAAAGATGAACTAGAGCCTGCGGTGGGTGACGAGCATCCAACGGCATTTGTACTCAGCATGAAGGTTTCCGGAGGGACATACGTACGCTCGATCGTGCACGACCTCGGTCATGCTGTCGGGTCAGCTGCTCATGTCGTAACTCTGACTCGATCTCGACAAGGCCGTTTTGCGCTCGACCCAGCTGCTGGCTCCGAAGAAACAGGATGTATTCCTTGGGACGTATTTTCCCGTGCGTCTGAATCCGAGGGCGATGTAGACGAAGACGGATGGACACAATGGGAGCGGGAAGTCATCGATCGCCTGGAAATCGTTGAAGGTCCTAAGCTTCAAAAGACTTCTTGACATTACAGTACGCCCCCTCGTTGCTCCCTGCCATTCTCTATATTAGGTCGCGCTTGTTTGGGTTGTGGGTCGTTTTTGTCCCTGCAAAATTTCGGCGTCATATCTGACGGGCAGACAGCTTATCGTACATTTATAGCACTATGCACCTGACGATGGCCTAGTCTCCCCTAGCCAGACTAATCGATGGAAGATAGCCGTTCCTTCGTATTAAGACGAAGGCCTAGGACGGTCCGGGCGGGATGCGAACATGGTTTTTGCAATCCAAATGAGTAGCTTGAGCGCCTCAGTATGATGCTTAGTGTGTGGTTCTTATCACCTTCACGCTACTCAAAGTTTGATCAGCAGTTTTAAAGAACCTCATGTTTTTTTATTCATGCGGAGGAGGCGTTAATTTCTTTTGTTAATATTGATGGTAGAACTGTTTATCAGTTGTTCCGCAGCGCTGTTAAGCCGCTTGCGTGAAATGAGGTGCGGATTTGGCTCCTTCGCCTTGATGCATGATTTTTTTGACGTATTGTGAATCCGTCAGTATAGCCTTCGTCATTTCATTTACCTCAGGAACAATAGTTTCCATGTTTGCGAATTGACGGGTACCTTCTGACCCTTGTTTTTACCTCCAGGGCATCGCAGGCTCTTGGCAGTGGAACGGAGGATCAGATACAGTCACATGTGAGATCACTCGAGTTATTGGATTCACAGGTGGGGACCAGGTGACTTGTATAAGTACTGGCGTGCAGCAGTGAACCTCCGAAATATCCTGGGGCGAAGCACGCCATCATGTTTTTATCGTGCGTGCAGCTAATTCACCAAATCGGTTTCTCGTAGGCATGCATGAGGCTATAATTGCCGGCGAAAAACTGCGAGACTATCTCCTAAAGTTATCTCGACTGACACCTTTACCAAATTTGCTGTGAAATTCTCTCGCCGACAGGACACTAGAAGTGATAACAACTCAATTGAATTCCTTCGCATGCAGGTTTTCATCTAACGGTGGAGAGTTGAATGCGGCCGCTGGGTGGCGTTAATGCTCCGCAAGAATTATGAGTAGGTAAGCGAAAACCTCCCCGTCGCCTGGCTGTACCAGCCACATTGACTCATCGATTGCGTTTTCAATTGCAGTTCTTGATGTTCTTTAACAAGGCGTCTTGGCCTAATGGGCACCTTGAAATTTGCCAGCAGCGGTCCGCAGAGGGGCCGCGGCATCCGGCTTCGGGCCGTATAACCTGGACACACGAGGATCGCCACCATCATGATGAAGTCCAGGGTCCTTATATACCCCCGGTCTATGAAACCAAAGTAACTGTGTCTCCACTCCACAGAACTTTTCATCATGAGTCCTAACGGTACAAACGGTACACACGCATCCACGATTCGCCCTTTGAAACCTGGCATTTATGCTCCTATTCCATCATTCTTCCTTCCCGAGTCCGAAGATCTCGGTCAGTCTCTCCCATTGCATGTCTGAATGGTACCTCGTAGTCGCATAGCACAATACTGATCAGTCGTTTAGATATTCCCTCTTTTGAGACCCATGTCGTCCGTGTCGCGACTGCCGGAGTGGGACCCGTGCTAGCTGGGTCGATGGGCGAAGCCATTCATCTATCACATGATGAGCGGGTGACATCGATCACGACCGCAAGAAAGGCACTTGATGATGCCGGGTTAGTGAACGTACCGATCATAGCTGGCATCGGCGCCGGCAGCACCCGCGAGTCAATAAACCTAGCAAATGAAGCTGCTGCAGCTGGCGCAGACTATGCCATCGCTATTGCCAGTGGTTACTTTGCCGGTGCGCTTGCTGGTAACAAGCAAGCACTGAAAGCTTTCTGGCAAGAAGTTAGCTCTAAGAGCCCTATACCGGTCATGATCTACAATTGTGCGTGCCTTTTTTTTGTATATATTTGACGGCAAGTACCTGATCGTTATTCTAGATCCTGGTGCCAGTGGGGGTATCAATTTAGACTCCGACCTCATCACTGAGCTCGCTATCGAGTGTCCGAATATTTGCGGTGTCAAGCTCACGTGAGTTCCTCGTTAATCGTATATGCAAAGGGCGTACATTTATTGTGCTGATTAGCTGCGGAGATGTCGGGAAGCTCACCCGCGTGGCAGCTACGATCTCGGATCCGATGTTTTCATCACTTCACCCCCGGACAAACGAGAACGCGCCTTTCCTTGTCCTTGGGGGATTCAGTGACTTCCTTTTGCCATCAGCGTATTCCAATGGGCATGGTGCTATTACCGGTCTTGCGAACGTTGCTCCTGTACGTGCCTAGTTTCTGATGGAATTTCTTTTTGTTGATTCACGTTTGTATTTAGCACGCCATTTCGAAACTCTTCGAGTTGTGTGAGGCCTCGATGGTTGATTCTTCTGTCCTTCCCGAGGCACAGCGGCTGCAAGGCATCGTTGGGCGTGCAGACGCTACCATCGCTAAGGCGTCGATTTCTGGAACGAAATACCTTCTCCAGAAATTGTACGGGTATGGTGGCCACCCCCGGAGGCCCCTCCCGCCCATTGAACCTGGAGCAGGTGAGGCGTTGTGGGAGCATTCGCATACGCAAGCCCTTGTGTCTCTTGAACAGGAGTTGAGGGGAAAGGTGCGCTAAGAGCAAGTGTTGGACTGGTATCACCTATGTGCTGGAAGATCTGTGTATGAATGTACATGTACATGCGGTCCATTCCAAGTCCACTCGCTATGTTATATCTATTCGATGATGATATATCTATATATTATATTTCGTGTACATATGCAATCATTGTATTCAAGATGAAGCTTCGATGAAGTCTACTCCAAGGCCAAAGCGCAGACTGAAGTGTGGTTGGTCGGTGTGAGAATCGGACTCCGGCCGCCCCAAGGCCGCCTTACCCATGAATTCTGTCTGCCAAATCAAATTTCTTTCACAAAGGCGAGCACAATTGGCGCACGGTCGTGTTCTCATTCTCATGCTTTACACGAAAAAGCTTGACATGATGAACTCTGATGATCACCGTATCACTGTTAATGCACGACGCACGTATGCGGGGCTCTTCACGTGGCAGCTATCGAGTCGAGATCATGAACAATATCCGAGTCCTTTTATATAACTAGCCTGCCCATGCCAGCAACAGTGCTGCCAAGGTGCCGCGGGCCTTATTTTTCCGATGATGATCTCTATTTACTTCCGTTATCATGAACTATGTATTTAACGAAGCTTTTATGTAACACATGCACCCACCTTAGACCGTCTCTTCTGTCAACCGCGCGACCATGTCTATGCTGGCTTTCAGGCCGCCAGCAGCGAGGCTGGGCTGTCGGCCATTGAATGTCTACACTTTAAGGCGCAGCAGCCTCCGATCACTCACTTCAGGTTAGGTGTCATTTTACACATTCTGCCCCGGACTTTGGATTGATATATCCCTTCAACAGCGCCTCGCTCGTTTCACTGGTCATCGCGTAATCTAAACGAAGCCAAAGCTGCCCCAGAGGCACCAAAGGTTTCTGGTGTGTCCTTGTCCTTCATCTCAACTTGAGGCATCTCGTTCACACGGCTTGACATCAGGCATCCCTTATGCGTCTCTGACAGTCGGAGCACCGCGAGAAATATTTCCGGATGAACGACGGGTATCTCTTACACCCCAGAACGTCTCCCTCCTCAAGAAGAAAGGCTTTGCTAATGTTCTTGTCGAGAAACACGCTGGTGCGCAGGCTCAGTTCCTGGATGAAGAATACGTCGCAGCTGGGGCTACTATCGTGTCTCGAGATGAGCTGTTCGACAAAACGGATATTATGCTCAAAGTGCAAGCACCTTCCATTGAAGAAGAGGCCAAGAGCATGAAGGAGGGAAGCACGGTCATTTCGTTCCTATACCCCGCAAAGAGCAAGGCCGTGGTAGATGCGCTGGCTTCCCGTAAAGTTAATGCGTTTGCTATGGATATGATTCCTCGTATTTCTCGTGCTCAGACATTCGATGCGCTGAGGTCAGACTCAATTACGGCTATGCATGGGAGAAGCAAGCATTGACTAACATTGACAGCTCGATGGCAAACATTTCTGGCTACAAGGCCGTATTAGAGGCCTCTAATCATTTTGGAAGATATCTTACGGGTCAGGTTACTGCAGCTGGGTGAGCCTCAATTCCAATTCATCGTATTGCTTTCAATATCTAACTGGAATTGATCCTTCTTTAGGAAGGTATGCCATCCTCGGCACACGTGTTTCACACCGTCTCATACGACCTTAGATTCCACCTGGTAAAGTTCTCGTCATCGGTGCAGGTGTTGCTGGGTTGAGTGCAATCGCTACTGTAAGAACATTCTGACACTTGGGCTCACGTCCTGCTTATGATACCGTTACACCAGGCCCGCCGGCTTGGTGCCATTGTTCGCGGTTTCGATACACGGTCTGCAGCTCGTGAACAGGTGCAGTCGCTTGGTGCAGAATTCTTGGAAGTGTCCATTGAGGAAGAAGGGGGAGGCGCCGGTGGTTATGCGAAGGAAATGTCTAAGGACTTCATCGAGGCCGAGATGGCGCTGTTCATGGAGCAGTGCAAGGATGTTGACATTGTCATCACTACAGTATGTGCAGTCCGATTTTTCTTGGTTCTTCTACTAACTAGTATTTACAGGCACTCATTCCAGGCAGACCTGCACCCAAACTGATTCGCCACGATGCAAGTACTCACCGATGAATTTGTGACTCATCTGACCATTGTCTTAGATGGTCGCAGCTATGAAGCAGGGTTCGGTTATTGTGGATGTGAGTCACCTTTGGCAAGGAATCAATGTTTCATTATTAATGGGCTGTTAAACTTAGATGGCTGCCGAAGCTGGTGGTAATTGCGAAGCGACGGTTCCCGGAAAACTCATAGTGAAGAATGGCGTGACGATCATAGGTATGCCATACGCTTTGCGTTATAGAAGAAATTCTCAAAGGACCAAGGTTACACTGACCTTCCCTCACGACTTCCAACGCAGTCGTCTACTCTGTACTCCAACAATATCACCAAATTTTTGTTGTCCATAGGAGAGAACAACGCCTTCAATGTCGATCTTACTGATGAAGTTGTTCGTGGTTCTATCGTTGTCCACCAAGGTGCCATCCTCCCTCCTGTGCCCCGACCTGCTCCTCCTGCCCCGCGTCCCGCTCCCAAGGTCGAGGAGAAGGCAGAGATCCTGGCCATCACTCCCTGGCAGAAGGCTACCCGCGAGATAGCTACTGTCACGGCTGGAATGGGTTCCGTAGTGGCACTCGGAAAAATGACCGGCGCCGCCTTCATGAGCAACTTCTTCACGTTTGGCCTTGCGGGTATCGTCGGATACCGAGTCGTCTGGGGTGTCGCTCCAGCTCTGCACTCCCCCTTGATGTCCGTTACCAATGCCATCTCTGGTATGTACCTTTTCTTCGGGTATGAAATTGAGCTGAGTGTTTCCCAGGCATGGTTGGTGTTGGGGGTGTATTCGTCATGGGAGGAGGATACTTTCCAGGAACCATTCCGCAGGTATTGGGCGCACTCTCCGTGCTCCTCGCTAGCGTCAATGTCGCCGGTGGGTTCGTCATCACGAAGCGGATGCTTGACATGTTCAAGAGTGAGTCGAGCCTTGATCTTGACTGCTACCGTGTTCTAATATTTGCGTGATAGGACCAACGGATCCTCCTGAATACTCTTGGTTGTACGGCGTCCCAGCTGTCGTCTTTACCGGGGGTTTCTTGGCTGCTGCAAGCACGGGTATGGCCGGCCTTGTACAAGCAGGCTACCTGACGAGCAGCATGCTTTGCATTGGTGAGCACATTCGAGTTTTTGGGAGTATGTAACTGATAGGCTATGTTGGCCTACAGCTTCTCTATCCGGGCTAGCATCACAGGCAACTGCACGACAAGGGAATGCACTGGGCATACTCGGTGTCGGATCGGGCATCCTTTCTTCACTTCTGGCAGTCGGCTTCCCCCCTGCCCTGCTTGCCCAGTTCGCTGGTGTTGCCACTATTGGAGGTACAATCGGTGCCATCCTTGGTCGCCGCATCACGGCCACCGAGCTTCCGCAGATGGTAGCTGCTTTGCACTCTGTTGTCGGTCTCGCTGCTGTCTTCACCTCCATCGGTAGCGTCCTCGCCGACCCGTCTCATATCTCTACGTTACACCTGGTCACTGCCTATCTCGGGGTTGTCATTGGTGGTGTCACCTTCACCGGCTCCATTGTCGCGTTCTTGAAGCTTGCTGGAAGGATGGGCTCGCGGCCGTTGATGTTGCCCGGACGACACCTCATTAACTCTAGTTTACTCGGAGCGAATATAGCGACCATGGCTGCGTTTGTCACGGCTGCACCAACAGTACCCTTGGTTGCCGCGGGGTACCTTGGAGTCAGCACGCTTCTCAGTTTCATCAAGGGTTTTACGACGACAGCTGCTATTGGTGGTGCTGACATGCGTATGTACGACTCTAGGCACTTTTAGTTTGTTTCTGATGTGTTGTTTGAAGCTGTCGTCATCACTGTCTTGAACGCCTATTCAGGGTTCGCGTTGGTTGCAGAAGGTGAGTGTCAGAGTTGAGCTGTAAGGAGGTGTTTGACCTTCGGATAGGCTTCATGCTGGACAACCCTCTCCTTACGACCGTGGGTTCGCTGATTGGTGTCAGTGGTTCAATCCTATCATACATCATGGTGCGTGTTATATGTCTCCCAAATTTGGAGTATCTCAAACAATATCTCAGTGCGTGGCGATGAACCGATCATTAACAAATGTTCTGTTCGGCGGCATTGGCACTGTTGCACCGAGTGAGGTCACTCAAATTGAGGGCACTGTCACGAAGACGAACATAGAGGACACGGTAGAGGCTCTTGCCAATTCCGAGAATGTGATCTTGGTAAGCCTTGATTTCGAGCCGGCTTGACACACTCGCTGACTTAGATCCCAGGTTGTTGGGTACGGCATGGCTGTCGCTAAGGCTCAATATCCTATAGCAGAAATATGCGCTATGTTGAGAGCAAAGGGTATCAAAGTGCGCTTCGCTATTCACCCTGTAGCTGGTCGCATGCCTGGCCAGTGCAACGTCCTACTTGCCGAGGCCTCTGTGCCCTACGATATCGTCTTAGAGATGGACGAGATCAACGATGATTTCAACGAGACGGATGTAACGCTCGTCATCGGCGCCAATGATACCGTAAACCCTATCTCCCTTGAGCCTGGTTCGCCGATTGCTGGCATGCCGGTTTTGCATGCATGGAAGAGCAAACAGGTCATTGTGATGAAGAGAGGAATGTCCAGCGGTTATGGTACGTGATGGATCTCACATTGTTAAGCGGTCGACTTACATCTCTGCAGCTGACGTCCCGAACCCTATGTTCTATATGCCAAACACGAAGATGTTGTTTGGTGATGCCAAAGATACATGTGATGGTAAGTACTCGAATGAGACCATAGCTTTCTTTCGCTGATGTGACGTCTCCTTTGCAGCTCTCAAGAGAGGCTTGGAGCAAAGAACATGATTGCACATTCTCATCTTATATATCCACTTATCCATGTTGTACTTTACCACTCCACACCGCTTTCGAGATCTCTAACAAGGGCATCACACAAACGACGAGAAAGCTTCCATGGAGTATTGATTGTATTGTATATCACATTGTATATCGTAGGCCGACTATCGTCGCGCAATCAAATTAGGACAACGTGAGGATGGGGACACAGAATAGGGGGTGTGTCCATAAAGTTAAGCGTCCAGATGCATGTCCGAATTTAACAAGTGTGACCGTCCTTATCGGTGTATATAAGTGGTCGAAGACGAAGTGTTCCGAGCACTCCCAGAGCGACGACGACGGGCTGAAAGAAGTCCAGCTCGAAAACGTGCTATCCCAATGTGCACTACGCTCAATTCTTGCCCACGTACGCTAGCCTTGATGTGCTGGGGCTTCTCCCGGGCTGGTTGTACAGCCAAGTTGCGATAAGGACAATGACAGAGCCGAGAATGAACGTGAACGTCATCTGGAAGTCAAAGAGTGCGACAGACGCCAGGAACGAGATCACGATAGACAAGCTCGTGGCGAAGCCCTTGAGGATATTGTCAGAGTACTTGATGACCATAGCAGTGACCAGACCACCAAACACTTGGATGGCAACCGTGGCCCACGCCCAGGCGCCGAAGTTCTCGAACAGTGAACTTATGAGTCCCGTTTCAGATGGTCGTGTGAGGATGATGGGAACAAGGGCAGGGAGGAGGGAGAATGCGGAGAGCTGCACATTGCGGATCCAGAGATCGGACTGAGAATTTTTGAGGACCATTTCGAAATAGACACCTGCAAGGCCGGATGTGAAACATGCGGCAAAGACCGCGAGGAACCCCTTGAGGGCGTTCATCGAGGTGCCATGGAACAACAACGAGGATGCGACCTTGCTAGTGTCGCTCACACCAGTCTGTATTTGTACCACGCCAACTCCGATAGCAAGGAACAACAGCGCTAGCCATTGGCTAGCACTTAGCTGTTTTCGCAGGAGCAATACTGAAAACGCCGCCGTGGAAAGGATTTTCATTTGATAACTGACTTGGAAAGTTGCCGCTTCTAAATTGGTGGCCGCAACATACTGCAGATTATTCTGAATGACTGGAACCCACGAGGTGAGATTAAACGAGAGCGACTTATACGGACAGCGCAGAGTACATACCATATAGGATGGCGGGTATCGACAGCTTCCAGCAATCCGGTGAAAAGACTTCTCTGCCCAGTCGTCGAACGCGCAGGAGAACCTTTGTAGGATGCCAGAAGCGGCTGGCAGTAAGTGGTAGCTGTGGGGTGTCGGACGTGTAGGGCGTGGAGCGATTTATACGGGCGAAAGCGATGGCGAGTGATATGGACCCTTTGAGAAGCTCGTTGAGGAGAACGGCGGTTGGCGCAGAGTAAGACTGGGAAGGAGGGATGGACACGCGAGAATAGTGCATTATTAACGTTAAGAGAGAATTCTGGACCGCCAATGTGACGAGCCTGTAGACATGAGTGTGTCAATAACGTTATTCGAGGTTCAAGACAATGAAAATTGAACAGGATCATGACAGGCAGGAAACGCTTAGACGTTGAAGCAGGTCGACTGCGGAGAGAGACGCGACACTCACGATATGTATTTCAATGGAATGCCGCGAAAGGAGGGAACAGGAGGGATATCTGCGGGCAACAGTCCGAGCTCTTCATACTCGATATCGTCGTCGCCGCCTTTGAGGGCATGATTTTCTTGATGGGCGGGGAGGGCGAGTTGGGACATGGGGTATAATGGAAAAAGGTGCAAAGGGGTATAACAGGCGGGTGGTATGTGAAAAAGAGTTAAATTAGTGTTCAGAATAACTGGGGGCGTGCTCAGCAACAACTCCAAGTTCAGTCTGGCTTCGGGTCGTCCGCAGCTGCCAGGCTTTTTTTTTTCGTTGGCGCAGTTGTTGAAATCTCTTGTCCGCAGCAGGAAGGAAAGACACAGAAGGAAGAAAAAGTTGAACTAGCTATATCATATACGGTGACCCTCTCACGAATCCGAACATGACAACTTCCGCTATCACACATGTCAATTTTATGTTTGTTGACTTGCCGGGACCAGTTCCTGTAACTTGATGGATAAGAAGTGCCAAGCTCTGGCCGATACGCCGCTCAGCGCCTGGGACTGGTACAACGCTGGACAGCAGAGGACAGCCTGGGACGGCACGGAGATCACAAACGTAAACCCTCAATTGCAGCTAGCACCCTCAATACAAAACTATAGTAGGTGACAACACATCCGTCTGCTGTATAGTTTGTGCGCGAATCCATCTAAATCAGTATCCGAATGAAGTTCCGCGACTTTTCCTGTCCGCGTCATACAATCCATAAATGCTGTATGTCGGGCTGTGGTACTCAGCATACGCTTCTGGATTCGCGTGAGCAAGTGCCATCTGTGCAAGCGACGGTAGCGGTGGAGGTGATGGGACACGCGGTGGTCTATCCTCCGCTCTCTTCTTCATGCTCGTCTTCGGTTGGCTGGACCCCCCAGAACTCTGCCCTCCCTGAGGTTGCGCCTCCCGAGCCTCCCTGGCTGCTTCGGACGGACGTATATTTACCAGCGACGCAGTCGACTTTGACGCCGCGAAGTCCACCATCATCAAACTTCCCAATGCCGCAGAGTCGGGCGAAGTTGCCTTGTCGTAATTGAGCATAGCTTTTGGAACTGGCTTCTTTTGGCTTCGCGTGCCTGTCACGGTGACCTTCTTTGCTTCTCCAATTACACTCATGGAATCATCCGGGTACAGTGTTGGATGAGGGGATGGCGGGACAGGCGATACGAGCCCAAGAGCACAGGTTAGCGCCTGTGTTTCACGGCCTCGATGAGACTCAGAACGTTGCAAATCATGAGCGCGGTCAGAGTGGGGGCCGTCCTGCTGTCCGCGGTCTTTTAGCCATGCTGAAGGAGCTGCGGAGGTGCGAGGATATGAACCAGGTGTGTAGTATGTTGATTTGATGCGCGCACGGCCCCCGTTCTGCGGGCTCCTCCCAGATCCAGGTGAGGCCGGGGTGGTGAGGTCCATTCCACCGTAAGCATAGCTCTGAGAGCGCCGCAGCGAAGAGGCATCTCTGGCGTTAGGAGGGGCGACCATGCTATTGCGCGCGCGTCCTGCCGCAACCCTGTCCTTTGCTCGTATCATAGTCTGTCCGTCGCCTGTCAGAGGTGCTGTGCTGTCGATGGCTACACCAACATTCATCGCACCATAGGTAGTGTTGGCCGGCGAGTTTGGGTAAAGAGACATGGAGACAGTGGAGAGCCGAGAGACTGCGCGAGTGATTGCATTCTGGATAGGCTGCAGAGGCGGCTGGGCTCTTTGTCCAAAGTTACCTTGGCCAGTGAAAGGGTATTGGTCCTGCCCACCGAAAGAGGCCCTCTTCTCGGCAAGCAAGTTCTCTTGACTGCCTGATCCTTTCACGGGGTCGCCTGACGATGACTTTGTAACTGTGACAGTTGGCGCCGGCTTTGGCAGTCCGGAGTGATACTGAGTCCATGTCCAGAGCCCCGTGTTCCCTCGTGCACTCCTCAGTGAGGGCGAGAATCGCTCCTTGCCTCCAAAAACCGGGGATCCGGATCCTTCACTCTCGAAGTGGTCTGGGAAGGCACCATCCAGGAGGATCGGGAGAGATGGTGTTGGACACTTGCGGCGGCGGGGACGTCTCAAAAGCCTTATCACGATGAATACCCCCAGTAATACGACACCACCAACAATAGAGAGTGCAATTATTGCTGGTTTTGAAATTTGGTGCGAAGGAGAGGGATGTTGTAGTACTTGCGCCGATTGGACAGCATTCTGGGACTGAGCTGAACTCGTGCGAGGAGGAGCAGAGGTTATTACGATAGCATGCACATTTTCTGTGCTTGGTGTCGATTGCAGAGAGAGTAGTGGTGGCAACGGGGTAAAGGTTGAGATAGAAGTTGCGCTGATGGACTTGACCGCCGGAGCGTGATATTCCTGGGATTGATGGGTTATTGAAGGAGACGCAGTAATAGGCGGCGGCGTGAAATATACTGTATCACCACTTGGAGGAGGAAGGCCAGTGTCTGGTACAGGATTCGGTACGTTCGTCATCTCCTGGGAGTCGTAGTCCGCGACACGGACGGGCCTGACGGGTGTCGCCTTTGGTTTATCTTTTGCATTATAAAACGCTTTCTTGGAGGTTGTTTTTGCGGTGGAGACATGATTTGCACTGATAGCGGGCATCAAGGCGGCGGCGGCATCCGAGTCATCAATAGTAGAAAGGAGTGTTCGAGCGGCGGAAGATAAAGAGCGACGCTTTTTTGTTTGATCTATCTGGTACATTTCGGCCTGCTTGTCGGCGGCCAGCGCAGAGGGTAAAAGGAGCGAATGCGAAAAGATAGGTTGGCACGAAGTAAAATGTAGAAACAGAAAAATCAACCATTACATTGACGCGTCGAGAGCACGTGCATTGATTTCTCACGTAAGCAGGAGTTGACTCTTCGTCAACCGTTGCATACATGCGCATTGACTATGTGAATAATGTTTAAACGTTCAGAATCAGCCACAGGATGAGATCGATGAGATTCGGTACGTACGCGATTCAAGAATCGGAGGACCTACAAATTTCATGGTTTTAGCCTTAGGAGCTAAAGCGCGCTTAGCTAATGAGTCAGTGGCAGTGCCCATTCGGAGAATCTATGTAATAGTCCCTGAGCTAGCATACCTAGGCGCAGATCTAGTTCATTTTCGCGTCGCACCCCCACTTTGTGAATGCGCCCTAATTTTACCTTGTCCATTTTCGAATTCGTAGATCTCCTACATTTACTGGCAGTCAATCTACTCCGTGACTGTGGCCAACAAACACACAATCAGCGCGACGCAAAGGTCATATGGACATGTTCAACGATCACAGGCGCGTCGTCATTGCGTGCTCAGCGGGACTTCCAGTTAAAGTTTATGCGTTTAGTGATTCCGAATCGCAGCCGACCCAGCTTTTAATGCATGCACTTACGAAACAAAATTCAATTGCGGAGCATAGCGACGAATGGGGGTTGAATCATGGATGCGACCAAGAGGGAGATGACAGGAATCTCAGTTCAAACTTTTCTACTGATTCCATGATGGTTCCGCCTGCTCGAGGTTCAACGTCCCGTTACCAGTTCAACTGGGTCCCAACACAGACGCAGCCACAAGTTTTGCACAGGGAGGAGGAAATGGTCGAGGAAGGATCCCAGAAAGAAAACGCTCCAGCCTCAAATGAGAACAAGCACAAAAATGTTGTGCGTACCCGCTCTTCGTCCCCGCAAGCATCTTCTGCCAAACCGGTCGATGTAAAGGGTTCCCATGCCGATTCTTTGAATCACCCTGATTCACGTACAGCATCTCGCATCGGAAAGGCAAATGGTGAGCCACCAATCAGCCTTTGTAGTCTTTGCTTTTAGATCGTGACGTCTTTGTTGGGTTTTAGTCCCAAAGTCTGTTTCCTTCCAGTCTCCTCGTTCAGCAGGGCTTGTTCAGCCGCTGCTCCAACCTACCAAATCACTCCCTGTGGCACCCAGTCGACGCCAGAGATCTCTCTCCCTTTCCTCGCAAGATTCCTTCGGTGGCGCAGTATCACAAGATCCTGCAGCAAATTACATAGCCCAGGCTACTCAGGTTTTTGACGTGCCACTCTCTGACCTGGGACATACAACTGCAACCGATCTCGCCATGGATGACCACATGGACTATTCATCCAGGTCGCAGGAGGAGGAGGAGGACTCATGGATGGACAAAATGCGACGCGCTTATGAGCAAACGAAAGCCAGCGGCAGTATCCTGGTGGCAGGCACTCCTTCGCATTCGGGCGGGTCTGAGGGCTCTTCCCAGGATATAAACATTCCCCACCCCGACGCATCGCAGTTGTTGAATGATGGTGAGGCCCTTTGTTTAAATGATGTTTCGCACAACCTCATCGATTTCCATTTGATGCAGAGGACTCCCTTGAATCTCTCGAAGCACAACGCAATCGATATCGGGTTCAGGCGAATGGGTCACAGTCTTCACTTATTGTCGCAGAAGATGAGCCTGCAGAGGAAAAATTACCTCCGGCAATCCCTGAACAGTTTGCGCCCACTCAGCTATTAATGCCACTGGACAATACGGCTACAAGCGCAGTTACAGAAGATCTATACGCGCAAACCTTGCGTTCTAGAAGTGCTCGTGCCACATATGGGACAAATTCTACGCTAGGTCCACGTGGTCTCCTGTCTTTAATCCGCCCAGAGCAACGGGAGCACAGACTTAGGAAATATGGCAATGGCGCCGGCGCAACCCCGCCCCCCGTGAGTGACAGTGCAGCCCCGCAGCCGTTTGAATCTGTTCAGGCGCCAAATGAATATGTCGAGACCCAACCGTCAACCTTTGTAGCAACACATCCTCCAGACTCGTATTCTGAGGACAATGACCCGCTTCCGCCAGTCAGACAACCGCCTTCTTTTCGTCACCCTCGGTTACTGCAACCCCAAGATGATAACCTTGACATTGTGCCCGACTCTGAACCACCTGTACCGAGCGCCGCTACCCCAACAAGAGACTTTAGGCTCAACGAGAGTCCTACAAAGCGCCTCTTTTGTCCTCTTAGCCCCATGTCTGAGCTTAGCTCAGGAGAGATTGTTGCAGACTCTGTGGTTATGCCTGAAAGCAGCCAAGATCCGGAGGGTGATGTTCCTTTAGCTGCCCTTCTGCAGGTCAAGTCAGCTACAAAGAAGTCAGCAGCAGCGCCGGCTTCAGGGAACACGCGTTCCTCGATGATAACACCATCTATCCCTCCGCCCCCTGTGCTGGTCAAGAAGGTGGATGATCTTTTAACTGTTTCTTGACGCTTGTCTTAACTAGTGTCACCATCAGTCTGTGAAATCACAGGTTAATCCTTCCACAACGAAACCGAAGAGCTCGACTCGTGGGAAGAAGGCGAAACAAGAGTCTGGAGAAATTCCTACCTCCGCTCCTGAGCAGGATCTGCGAGATCGAATGGCTACCCCTACGGTTGTCCCTCCTTCCGTCAAGAACAGGAAAGGGAAAGGGAAAGCACCACCGGTACCTAGTACGCGCAAGAGTACTCGTACTCGTGCCGCATCCTCTGCAAAGAAGCACAAACACCCCTCAGATACTGAGGCCTCTGATGATAACCAGGATGAGACTTATCCAACTCCAAAAGCGGAAAAACAGGAGGAGGAAGAGACGGAACTTGCTGACGATGACGACTATATGGACGTTAGTCCCGCTCCTGCTGAGATTAAAGCACCTTCATCACGGAAGCGGAGACGCGTTGAAGATGTCAAGCCTGCTCGTGCTCCGTCGAAGGCATCCACTCGTAATAAAACCTCTGACACCCCTGCGCCAGCTATACGAGCTGCCAAGCGGCTTCGTCACACTGTCTCCACGGGCCGTGCCCTTGCAGCCCAGCCCGCCACCCGTGTATTCGCATTGTGGAGGCAAGATAGTTATTATTATGCGGGTATCGTTCACTCGTTACAGGCCGGTACCAAGTATCGGATCAAATTTGACGACGAGACGGAGGACTGTGTGGATATCGCTATGCTCCGTCAGTGCGAACTGCGGGTCGGAGATGCAGTGATCATTTGCCACGACCATTTCCGCGGTACCGTGGTGAATATCAGTCAGATGGAATCAGGATTTGTCGGTGTCGAAGTCGACGACGGTTCTGACACCGAAAGCTCAGACTACAGTATTTCGGACATCCGGATCGCCTCAAGAGCTATTCAGTCGCATTGGAAAGACCGTACCCTTACTGCAGATTCCATCGTCACTGTCATTCAACCGAGGCCTCCACGTGCTGAGCGCTCGCCTTCCGGGATGTCCTTGATGAGTGCCACTTCGGTCAAGCAGAAAAAGCCGTTCGCGAAGACCGGTTTCGTTGTGACGGGCTCCGTCCAAAACGAGCACCCGGAGCAAATGAAGGACAGCGTGATGCTAGCTGTCAAGCACAATGGAGGCACAGTCATCGACGACTGGTCAAGCATTTTTCACATTGAGGGTGTCTACAGCCAGTCAAACAAACGCTGGGTAGCTTCCCAGGATAACTTCAAGTTCAAGCCGAAGCCCGAGTTCGAGGGTTTGGAACGTGTTTTCCTCCTGGCCGACGATTACAATCAGAAGCCTAAATTTCTGGTGGCTCTCGCTCTGGGGATACCATGTCTATCTCATGAATGGATACGAGATGATTATCAAAACAAACAAACATCACCGGTACGTTGGGTTTGAGTCTCCCTGATCTTCTGCTTACAACCGCTTTGTTTAGGACTGGCAATCCGTACTGCTTCCTGCTGGGTTTTCAGAGACATTGAGTGCTCGCGTATCTCAACTTGTTGACCTCGACTGGGGTAACTGCAAGGAGCACTTGAGTGACATCATGTCGAATACTGTAGCCTCCAAGTTATTCTCTGGCAAGACTGTACTGTGCCTCGGCGCTGATCTTGTACCCTTGCGCGGGGTGAACAAAGTAAGCAGTACATTGCCGCTTGTTGTGTTGATATTCATTGTCTCTCACAGGGTGTTTCCGATACCGGGAAAGCTGCGAGCCAAATCGTTCCTTGGATTATGATTTGCATGGGTGCTTCTCGGGTGGAAGCCGCGACCGAAGTCAAATTTGCATCCAAAGATCTTCCTTCGTACGATTATGTTATCGTCAAGGAAGCCACAGATTTCCCGAAGAACCCTCAGGACGGTGTGACACTCGTTCACGTTCCATGGGTGAAGGATTGCCTCATTTCAGGAAGGCTTCTGTCCTTGCCCAGTCGTTGACATTGATATCCTATTGATGATCTAATTGGTATCTTGACTATTTTTTGCGTACTATATTTCATCCTTGCTTGTTAACGTATTTACTTGCTGTCGTGCTCCGGTCTAATCGTAGTGTAATAGATTCAGATGTTCTTGATTTTGCGATGAATGTTATTGCGATCTAACTCGTTTACAGTGTGTCTGCGTGTTTTTGCCGTGGGTTATCCTTTTGCTTCCGTCAAATTAATTTAATGGTGCTACGTCAATGCTACGTGCTGCAATTGGAAATATTCTCCCACATTATGCACAACACCCAAAATGCGAGACCTATGCTCGAGGCTCGAGGCTTACTGTGCTTTCCATCCATGTTACTATGAGTGACGCAGAGTACGAAGTCGGTGAGTCTCCGAGCGCTTGTTGCTTGTAGTTATTTTATCCTCGTGCTCATGATGGCTCAGAGTCTGTGTCAAAGGCGCGCGTGGATGCGAAGCGGGGCAAAAAAATTATATGGGTAAGTCGAAGACAAAGCATTGTTTCAATAGGCACGCTAAATCTTTGGCCGAAATAGAAATATTATGTCAAAGTAGGTACACAGCGTAACAGAGCGTCGCGTTTTGCTCAACTGACGCGTCGCAGTGGAAAGGATATAGCTGGGATGATAGCACGTAAGGTGTCATTTAGCTTGCTCGGTGGTTTCTTTACTTATTTATCGCATAGTTGGGAACCCGAAAAATCTTTTACAGCTGGCTCAAAGCATTTCCTCAAGACGTTCTGGACGCACGCTTTGACCCGCGGTAGAGAGCATACGAACCCACAGCTTTTTGAGAAAGGAGAGGAGGTTCATGTTTCGGGCTTTCCTGGTACGCCATATGTACCCCTACAATGAGTGTGTATGTCTAACAGTTTATGATATTAGGGGCGAGTCCGCGTCTTGAAAATAGATCCAATCGGGACAACCTACAAGGACCGTCTGAGACATTCGAAAATGATGCCTCCGATGATGAACCCTTGACCACGAAGAAGCGGCGCAGACGTACAAAACCTGCGGGAGAGCCAAAGGCAAAGCGGAAGCGCGAGTCAGAACCTGGCACTGCTGGCAATGCCCCCGCTCAACGAACGAGGGCATTTGGGCCCAAAAGCAAGGCCAAGTTATCACCGCCAGCGAAACAAAGGCGTGCTTCATCACCAGGCCACCGTAAAGTTGAGGGCACGCGCCAGTTTTCCCTAACTAAACTGACCGATACGGACGCTGAAGGGGAGCTCGACATGGATGTCTTTGGAGAAGCGGAAGTGGAAGAAGAGCTGATGCAGATGAGCCCTGATGACCCTGATGCTCGGGATATCCCCAACTCCCATTCTGATCCTGTCAAAGTCAATGGGACGATCGTGGAGTTCGAGGACCTTCCAAGCTACTCTCCGGATATCCAGGACACCATCGAAGTCAGTCAAGTAATAGCTGAAGATGGACTTCTTTCGGTCGACGAGGGACGTAGCTCACCTGACCCCCTTTTTGATTCTATTTCGCAATCAGGGAACGACGAAGGATCTCGTTCTCCCGCTGAGCCAGCGGTACCTTTTCACCGTGCTCGAGCGGCTAATCCTTTGGTCAAGTTCATCGATACTGCTCCGCTGATGGATAAGGCTTCGGGGGTTGTCAACCCCGCAAAGACACGCTTGATTTCTGGCCAGCCTTCGAGCTCATCTCGGGATAGCGGTAGTAACGCATCCCAAAAGGCACGACCAAAACCTGGTCCTGGTGGACGTACCTCGGCTTCCCGGGGCAAAAATCGAAGCTCTTTGTTGACAGCTGTGAAGGGTGGCCTAACCAGCGTGAAGGGTCGCTTCGGGCCGGCAAAGGATGTAAGGGAAGAACCAGAACCAATTGAAGATGCGCCAGCGCCGTCTCATCTTACAGAGCACGAATTTGCCATTACATCCTGGAGTGATGAAGATGCAGCGGGCGAGACAGATCACGAGCATCTAGCAACGGCACCCTTAACTGACCAGATGGCGCCTGCGTCCAATCATGCACCTGCCCCTATCCCAGTTCCCTCCGGTCAGGAATTGTTAGAGATAGCAGGTTTGAAGTCGGATGCAGCCGCGCTGCCTGACTTCGAAGATGAAGCGAATGTCGAACGGCCGCCTCAACTCACGAATGCCACCTCGGTAGACACTCTCGCTGATGACGTTCCTACCGAAGATGCAGCCTCCCCGGCTACCATGACCGTGGAAGATGAAGCGGCACGAAAAAGGTGAGATAATGTTGTAGAGTGTACCCAGACCTCGCTTGAATGACATCTTTCTAGTCTTGCAGAAGCTAAAGAGCAGCTGTTCCCCTCTGTACAGGCCACGGCTTCGGTGACGTCCATTTCAAGCTCATCATGGAAGACGTCAAAAGACAACACTATCTTTGGACCAATGTGCGGCTTTGCTTGTTTTTTCCTCAGTGGTGTGCCATCTCACGCCTGAGTAGGTATAAGCTACAGGAACCAGCTCAAGGACCTAAAGTCAACGAGTTTGTACTGTCACCTTCGGATGATTCCTGATCTAACTATTACTAGATCTATTCCCACATTCAAGCTCATTCTGAATGCGAATGTGCCCGTTCCACTCGTGTTGAAAGATTCAAACAACATGAAAGGAGTTTCATTTACGGATATATACGCTGACAAGTCGCTCGACGGTCGAGCGGGGACGTTCTATCTGTTAGAAGATGCGGTCAAAATCGTCAGCACTTTCTCAGGCCTCGGCAGCGCTAGGGTTGTACCTGCCTCCTCCGCGGACGATGGCCACAGGACGCAATTTGACGTATTTCAACAACGTCTGCATTCAGGCCAGATGGTAAGCAAATAGATTTACGTCGGGTTGTTTTCCCTAAACAATTTTGCCTTTAATTCAGTTTGTTACCAAGGCTGGGAAAGAGTTGCTCGTCTTTTTTAGCTCGCAGAATGCCGAGATCTCAGCGAAGCTTAATCCGCCACAAGTACTGATCGGTCTTGCAAACACAGTGCTCCTCATGCGCGTCCAGATCACTGACAGTACTGGATATGCGAATGCTGTCATGCAAATCACCGCAATGTAATTTCTACTAATCACGATTTCCAATCTACACAATTGTTTTTGACATACTTTACGTAGTTACTTGACCAGTGGCTACGACCATTTTCATATATGTATTGCAGTTTGCACGTTACACTTAGTGAAAAGTCATCAGCGCCGAAGAGTTCCAGCAGAATCTGAACGCTCAGTGCTGGAATCGGCTCGCAATGGCACATTTGATGAAGGACTTTGAGCTTGATGCATGATGTTAACCAACTGCCACGTCCCGGAAGAGTCGTGACAAACACAATCAAACATTGACTCCTTATTGATTCCCTATCAACTAGCACTACAGTATGCAATCCCGGACGGCACAGAAGCGGTCAGCAACGTCCAGCGCGGAGGCATCAACATCTCAAAAAACTTCACATGCTCCAAAAAAGACGCGTTTCATTGAACCTGATGAAGATCCAGTGAATTTTGCAGAAGAAGTCGACTCTGCGCTTGAGAATCCCTTAGCCAAGCGGAAAGGACGGGTTAAGAACGAAGGATACGACTCGGACTCGAGCGATGATGGAGAGGGTGTGGTACTGAGCAGAAGGAAGGACGCAGATGGGGAAGGGGCTGACGATGATGACGACATGTTTGCCATGGCCGAGAAGGAAGAGAAGAAGGACGAAGTGCAGGGGAAGAAGAAGGAAGAATTTCTACGCCTAGGGGACATAGAAGGACAGGAGTTCAACGACGGCGATGAAGAAGATTCAGACGAAGAAGATGAGCCTGAAGATGAGGATGAAAGAGAACGACGGAAGAAGGCAGGCATGGGATTCGAGCTATCTTCATTCAATATGCGGGAAGAGATGGAAGAGGGCAAATTTGCTGCTGATGGCACGTATGTCCGGTCATTTGACGCACACGCCGTACACGATCGGTGGATGGATGATCTAGATGACAAGGAGATCAAGCTGGCGCGTCGGAGAAAGCGACAGCAAGAGCGAGTACAAAGAGAAAAGATGAAGGCGGAGGAGACAGAGCTTGAGCAAAGCGGCGGAAAGGGCGCGTTGGAAATGCAGCTCGTCGGAATGCTCAAGAAAGGTGAAACAGTACTTGAGGCACTCCAACGATTAGGCGCAAAGGCGAAACGCAATTCGCGTTCTGCCAAGTACGTTGTCGAGCAAGCGTTCTTCAGGACCAACTGATCCGAGTGCCTGCCCTGCAGGAAAGTCGATGGAAAGGCTAAAGATGACACTGCTATGGCCGTTGACAGGGCGGCAGAGAAACCCAAGGGTCTCAACGATATTGACATGATCACCCATCTGGCATCAAACCTTATGTCGCTTGGTGACACTGACATCTACTCTCGATCATACGAGGAGCTCGTCCGCACGGTGCGTTCCAGCGGAGGGGTGGGACCTAATTGGACGCCTCCATCTGCAGATATCACATACGAGTACAAATGGGACATCCCTGGACAGTCTACCGGGGAGACATTTGGGCCCTTTAGTGAGGAAGAAATGAAGATGTGGCACATGGCTGCCTACTTCGGCGAATCAGGAGAGAAGGTAAAAGTTAGGAAAGTCGGGGACGACTGGGGAGCCTGGGACGATATTGTTACATAGCATTTGCATGATTGCGTGACACTAATACCGTTGTAGTTTCATCCTTTGTAATATAATGATCGTGTGGGCTCTGAAGTAGTGCTACAAATGATGAGCAATAAATATCAATGAATGTCCACGACAGTGATGCGGCCAAAAACCACCATGAGAACCCTGGTGTCTTCTAGTGACTGATGTATTGGAAAACGAAGGAGATTTCGGACAAGCCTACTTCAGCTCGAAGTAGGTCGTCATGATTATTCTTTAGCTCCTGATTGGTATAGTGATTCCACCTATGCACCAAAGTCAAGGGGTATGTATACATTTCCAAGAGGCAGGCTTACGTGCTAGCATCACCATACAATAATGCAGGTGACTTGATAACTTGTTTTCCGTCCTTGCAGCGTTTGCACTTGAAGGTATCATGGGTATCGCAAATTGTGGTCTCGTTGAATAGGAACAGCTGCCTAAGGGACTCGACCGAGAAATGCCGTTCAGCGTCTTCCTTCTCATCGACGACAGCAGAAGATAAAGCTTGTTTCGATGCTTGACGTTGGAATATCTTTTCCTCGATCGTTCCCGTCGAGATAAAGCGATACACGAAGCCTTTGATAATAGTGGTCAGTGATACGCTGAAAACAGATGTGTGCCAGGCTTACACTCTTTCTTTTGACCATCGCGCCATACACGTGCGAGAGCCTGCTGATCAGCGGCAGGGTTCCAGTCTGCGCAGATCTCGTCAGTTCAAGCTAACTATAATATCGAACATGCTAACCAGGGTCAAAAAGGATCAGTCTGTTGGCGCCTATAAGATTGATACCACACCCCCCAGCTTTGCTACTTAAGAGGAAAATAAATTCCTTCCCATTTGGATCATTGAACTGATCGACGAGCTTCTGGCGCTTGGTAATTGTCATTGTCCCATCAAGGCGAAAGAAGCCATACCTGGTTCATATGTCAACATACACCGAACGCATCATCATTATAGACTCACTTCTTGCTTCGACACAGCTTTTCAAATAAGTCAAGCGTCTGTGTATAATTACTGATGAGCACAATTTTGTCATTGGTATTTGTCTTGATGCGATGCAAAAATCGCTCGAGGACCAAGAATTTTCCTCCCCAGTCACATCGCACCGTCTGGTTCCTGCCTTTGTCGCGCCCGGTGGCACCCGCACCACCATAACCTTCGGGCAGAAGCTTTTCGGAACCATGAAGATCGGAGGGAAGATTGAGCAGTTCAGGATGGTTGCACAGCTTCTTGAGAATATTGATTGCCTTGAGTGGTTGGGACTCTGTACCGCGAAGTAATGCCTTGATCTCAGGTGAGGAGATGAAAAGGCGGTACAAGGAAAGCTGAAAGTCAGAGAGTCCACAGAATACGACGTGCTCGTACTTGACCGGTACTGCATGATGATTGGAGTAAGTTTTTAACAGTGCAACAAGTACGGACTCACGGTATTTTGACAGTAGGTCATTTGTCCGCCGAATAATGAATTTAGTGACGAGACCACCGAGTTCCTTGAGTTTCTTCTCGCATTGAGCTTGTACTTCTGCACTGGCGCTCGCATCGCGACCACGAATAATGGCGTTCTCAAAGTTTTTACGGAAGTCATCCCGGGAGCCGAGGAAGTCAGGGTTTGCGAAGTTCAGGAGGGAGAAATATTCCGAGAGATCATTCTGAATGGGTGTTCCGGTAAGAATGACTCGTCTCTTGACATTGAGCGAATTCAAGGCTTGGAACGTCTGGTTGCCTGGAACAAGACACCTTATTAATGATGCTCCAATTAAGTCCCGCGAATGTGTGAGCTCACCGGAGTTTTTCAGCCTGTGGCCCTCATCGCAGAGCAGGAGGCCAATGCTACAGTTGGCCAGATGCGCGGTGAGAGTACGAAGGGTTTCATAGGACACAATCATCACTGAGAAAGCATGAATATCAGGCATCCATCATTAAGATCAACGACAAACCTGGCTGTGTGACATTCCGACCTGTTGCTTCTACCCACCGAACAACCTTCCCATGGAGTTCGCCTCTGCCACCTTTACCATCCACCGCAAGCTCTGAAATGGCATCTTTCCCTAGCCACTTGACTGAGAGAAAGTGAGGGATGTTTCGGAAGAACTGAAAGATAAACAACACACCAAGTTCGTTCGCCCAATTTTTCACCAAACTAGAAGGACATGCTATAATGCACTTCTCTATTGTGGGCTTACCCGCGTGAGGGGATTGCTTAATCAAGGTCCATAACAACGCGATGCATTGTAGGGTCTTGCCAAGACCCATTTCATCGGCCATGATGCAGCCGTACTGGTTGTCCACCATCATGCCGGTAGTACATTTGTACAAGAACTGTGTCATATGATGAGTACAGCAAAAGCATGCTATAGGAAATGCCTGCCTTAACACCTTCCACCTGATGTGGACGTAGAACCTTTGCAAGCCTGGGATCAATTACTACCGGGACTTTTTGTGCCTTTTCTTTCTTGCCCTTGCCTTCGCCCAGGAGCATCCGTAGATTCTTATGCGGATTGTACATTCCTGCTGTCTTCTCTTGTGCTTCCTTGGTTGCCCTCTCTTTAGCTTCCTCCTTCTCTCGTTCTTTCTTTTCTTCATCTGTTTCGCGGTCGTCAACCGTAGGGTCGTACAGGACAATAGCATGGTCCTCCATTGGATCATGTAACGGGAGGGAGGATCTTGGCCAGTGGCCGAATCCCCAGAGATACGTTGGTAGGCAAAATGTACACCGCCTCCCCGCTCTTGTTTGTCATAGTGGGCATTGAGAACCTGCGCAGCATATCGAATGGCTTGGGCTTGTACACCGGAAAGGTCTTGATAGCAGCTTTCAACTCCTCCTCGTTGTTATAAGTTCCGTCCTTGTCTATCTTCTTCTTTTTCTTCTTTCTTGCATCGTCGTCGTCACTGTCATTCTCGTCGACCGCCGCGTCTTTGTACGAAACTCGCTTGCGCTTGCGCTGAGGCTGGACGCGTTCGGAAGCATTGACAAGCGTTGGGGGTTTGAATGGCTTGTTTACGCGCGTGCTCTCATGCAGCCTATCCACAGGTTTCCCATCCGAAGTCGTTGGGGTGCGCCGTAGCATAAACATGATAGTGGGTGAAAGTGAAGAAGGAAGGGGCCGAGTCAAGACGCGTGACGCGTGGATTAAGCGGTCACATGATCATATTGTCATTTGGAGAACAACGCGTTAAACGTTTGCTTCCGCCACTGGCCCACCGTCATTCATTACGAGTAATATTTTCCTCAACGTTGTCGTGAATTCGGTGCATGACGGACTTGTGGAGACGGTCTCCCTCTCCAGAAGAAAGCTGGAGCGACGCGGAAGGTGGGAATGAGAATGGAGAGTGGCCAATCAAGGGGATCGTAGGTGAGGAGGTTGATCCTGATGGCACTTTAAGGTAAGCTCCACTTGGATTACACCCGCATCTTTGTTTACGAGTCCACCGTGACTAGATATGAAGTAGGCACTCTAAATAGAAATTGCATAATCTGTACTGAACATCATCAGGTGAGATGGGGAAACTGGTCGCGAAAGGATGGCACAAACACGACCTGGCAACCCGATATAACTGATCGTGGTGATTTGGTCAATCGCTGGAAAAGAACGCAGCGCCTCAAGCGTAATTCACTTGCCCAGGACAGTCTAGACATGGAAGTGTCCTGGCCAGATGACGCAGTGCATAAGCGTTTTACCTTCCTGCGCGCGCAAGCATACGAGGAGAAGAAACGCAAACGGCCTGATAATCCCTCAGCAGCAGATTGGGACAAAGAGATAGAACTTGCATGCAGGCGCACAGATGAGCCCGACGCCGAAGACGATAATGCGGCGTCTCGCCTGCGTGTTCGCCGAGGTACCCCACGTTCAACCCCGTCGTCTGATGTACCACGTTCGTCCTCGGTCAAACGCACTCGTGGATCGACTCCTTCGAACCCCCTATCTTTATCTAAAAGACCTTCCGTAGGGGATGACGCTTTTCGCTCTTTGATGTCCAATTTGTCTACAAGCTCAGTGGAGTCTCCCAGGAGTATATCCAAAGATGTCGCAGAAGGTTCCAAGCATATTACCACAAGCCGCTCTGTCAAATCTGGTCGGGCCAGCACTTCAGCGGGGTTACCGAAACCCACACCGTCAGATATGAAGGGCAATGTTATATTCGTCCGCCCTGTGAAGCCTTTGTGAGTTTGATTGTTGCGTTTTTATAGATATATCTTATTTATGTGTCGCAGGCGCGGGCGAGCGCTCTTACAGAGTAACTGGAACCAAGCAGCACAGGAGACTGGTGCTGCAGATATACGCATCTCCAACGAGATCGTAGATGGCGACATTGAGCAGCATCTGCACAAATTCAAATACATAGAGAGAAAATATAATTTGTGTGTCTTCAGATCTCATTTTATTGGACCCTTTTCATCCTATGAACCAGTGGTAATGCTAAACTCCAGTCAACCTTTAATGTGGATCCAGGGGCTTTCCTTGCATGTAGATGCAAACCGTGTCAAAGAGCATCTCAATGCGACTGTCAGACGGGATCAGATATCACGAATGAGAGAGGGCAAAAGTTATACGCCTATAGCGGGGTGAGTTTTTTTTTCTGTTGCGGAACATATTGACAACTTGCGCAGGGACTTTACACGTTTCGTATCCCGCAAGGAACTGAAGTGATTGAGTGTAACAAGGTACAGGTTCATCTGAGGTGACACGCCGATCGTACTGAAGCTGCTCCAGTACTGTAGATGTAGTCCAACGTGCTGTAATCGCGTTGCTCAGAAGCCTCGTGATGTTCCAATCGAGATTTTCAAGACAAAGCAGTGCGGCTGGGGTGCTCGCTGCCTCGTCGCACTACCAAGAGGAAAGGTATTGGGATTATATATAGGGTTTGTATGCTTTTTTTTATGTCTCCACTCCCGAATACTGAAGTTTTCATTGCAGGACGTTGCTGTTAGTTCATCCATCCTGGCTTCTGCAGGCCCACACTTAATTTCATAGGCGTCGGGAAGACGTAGACAACCTTCCTCCAGAGCACATTGGTTATGTTTTCGATCTTGATGGCACAGAGATCCGTGGTCAGCACAATGCAGGAGATAAATATTCGGTCGATTCTTATGAATGCGGTATGCCCCGTGCCGTGATTCCTTTAATTGAATTAAATTAAAATTTATCTCTAGGCAACTGGACTCGCTTTGTCAAGTGAGTCGAAACAATCTTCCCGAGAGCCTCTGAGCTGACATTCAATTACATGACGTGCAGTCACTCATGCTCGCCCAGTATGAAGGTCTATTCGGTCGTCTTTGACACCATTCGAGAGGTATTTGCCTATGACCTAAAATTCTTGCCGTCGCTCGAGACCTTGGTTTAGGTACACATGCCTTATGTGGCATTCGTCGCTGCTCAAGATATACCTGCCGGAGAGGAGCTCACTATTGATTATGAACCAAGCGCTGCCGAAGAAATAGCTGAAGGCACTGGGAAGCGAAAGCGAAAGATTTCACCCACCGCGCTTTTATGCAAGTGTAGCTCCAAGCAATGTAGAGGATGGATTAAGCAATGAGAGTCGCTCCAAGGTTGTACACATCAATCATTGTCGTCAACGAGAGAATACATGTAGCCATCCCCCTCCCCCGCTGAAGTCTAGGATCACTGGCTCTGTCGCCGACCTGTATCTGGAAAGCCTTTGAATTGAAATCCCATGTACGGGGTAGAAGACGATACAATGCTTAACATCGAAAGTACATGTACAGATATATTATACAGGAAGTTATTTGTGCACATTTCTTGACACCACCTTGTAGATCAGCCTATACTGCCCAAAATACTGTTATCTTCGCCTTCACAGCATTGTTCATCCATCCTGGAAAGCGAGCCCTCATCCACAAAGTAATGCAGTCTCCGACTTGCAAGTCACGCACAAAGCTACCATCATATGATTTCCATCCCTGTCCCCTATTCTCTGCTGCAATCGCGTCGGATGAACCTTCTTCAACATTGTCGAGGTCCGTCCAAGTGATGGTGTGATGTGATGTTTGACGTTCCGCAACAATATTTTTCTGGAGAGTGGAAGGAGATGGTAAGAATGGACACTTGACGTCCTTTCGAGTAAATCTAATGGAACCAAAGAAACTGGATTAGTCATCGAATGTCGGTGCATCAGTGGGGTGAGCATACGTGATGTCATCTGGCAGATTTGGTGCATCAACTGCGGTGAAGAGTAGTGAAGAGGGCCACCTGATGCTTTCCGTGAAACATGAAGTGGGGTCAAGTCTCTCCACATCGACGTCGAACCAGGAGTATGAGCCATTGTACGTGCCTGGAAGACTACCTTGAACACCGACCCAGCCCTGGTCATGACTCCATAGCTGAAACTCGATTTTGCGAAAAGGTTTGGCAAGTGTGGGCGGTACCCATTTTAGCTCAGTTGGAGGTAGCCCTCCGAGGACAAACCCTTCTTCAAGCAAGCCCCTTTCTTCGAGTAGGAAGTCTCCTTCTGTGTTATATACTGCAAGAGGCAATGTGCGCATGTACATCATGTCTCCAGCATGGACAACAGCGCTACGATCAACTGTTATAGAGGAGTGTGCCCAATAGCAGGCAGCATCGATAATGTCATCGACGAGTTCGTCTGGAAGTGGAATGGAAAATAACTTGAAGTATTGTTTGACTATGAGAATGTCCGCAGTGGTTGGTTCATATGAACCAGATGGGCAGATCTTCGGGGAAGCAGTGATCATGACGATAGTGAGCCTAGTACTCGTCCTCAGATCTGATTCTATTAGACGGTGATATACGCTGATACTTGCCAATTAAAATCATGACTGCTACAACGATTGAGAGCGTAGATTTGATTACTTACCAGTGTAGAGGTCTACTCGGATTTCAGAAAAATGAGAGCGTATGCGCCTGTGACAACCCTGAGACGAAGCTCAAGCCTGAGAACTACCCGCAAGTCAAGACACATGCAATGCCAATTATGCTATGCATATGCTGATGCCGCATGTTCGCCGCACGGTAGCCTCCCCTTAGCCCTAGACAACCCATAGACGAATGAAGGTAATCATCGTTCATTTCATACTATAAATTCTAGAACATTGTCGGATTCGGCAGCATCGATAATGTGATCGATGAGTTTTGTCTGAAAGTGTACATACGGAAAAAACCCGTATCATTCAGTGGTTGGTTTATATAAACCAGACCAGATGGGCGGACTTCCGGGGAGGCGGCCATCACGATGATGGTGCTCATCCTGGAGAGTTTCCGAGGCAGAATTATCTACCTATCAGATGCTGATACTTGTCAATTGAAATCGGATTCGGGACCGCGATAAAAGAGCGTAGATTCAGTACTTACCAGCGTACTAGAGGTCCACTTGGATAAGATGAGAACTAAGCGCCCGCGTTAGTAGGCGCCTTTAAATGACGAGCTCGAGTGAGACTTTGAAGACTTATTGCTGCATGCACTCTGCACACCCTTGTCGGATACCGGAGGATGAAAGCGGTGGATCATGCACATGCCGATTCGACGGGTTAGGTTGCACACGACCGAACAAGGCGGCTTGGATGTTCTGCCACGCACTAGGTGTGTGAATCAACTGGAGGCAATCCAAGGCGCTTGACTTGTCGTAATCCACTACATTTAGCATGAACCTCCAAGCTCTGGTGGGGATGTTCCTTACAGCGAAATTTAGCCAGTTGCTCGGATATGCTTCTATGGGGTGTTGGCTCGGTGCCCAATTTCCGTGAGTGATCAGCATCCAGTCTTTCATTACGTTGCACTTCGTGAAACTAACAATGAATTGCGCCATATTCGCCATCGTAGACAAGTCATAGAGAATCACAAACGACAGTCGTGCGAGGGCCTCGCCCTACCGTTCTTGTGTAACTGGCTGCTCGGTGCGGACATCCTTATCGATCGATTCGCCATCCACTGATGTTGCTTTCTCGCCCACAGGCGACTTTTCAAATTTAATTGGTTGTTTGCTCACCCACCAGCTTCCCTTCCAGGTGGGCTACTGAAACTAATTTCTTCTCTTCGTATTATTGACTTGCTTTCAAGACTTACCTTGCGACCTACTTTTGCATAGTGGATTGCTCGTTGCTGGCTCAATACTTTTACTATGGTGGAGGGCCAGCAACACCATCCGAGGTTTATGTACGCACACGGTCACGGACTATCTCCACTGCTCGTCGACTCTCATTAGACGCATCGCACTATCGCACATTATCTGCAGTCGCGGGAAATGTTGCCGCAGCTGCAGCATTAGCCGCGTTCCCCGATCCACTTCCTGAACATCGTGTCACACGGAAGCATCTTACGGACCAACCCCTCGATGGCGCAGCACCCCAAGTTGCCGAAGAAGCGCAGGATGAGGTTGATGATGCTGTCTTGTCCGCACTCTCAGAAAGTTTCCACTCTGGGCGGAAACGCGTTTCATGGAGCCAAGAACGCCGTGATCATCAGCCGAGTTCTCGCAGTCAGGCGCCGGTCGTTCCCAAATCATTGCAAATAACATCTCAGCGCGAGTTCGCAGCATCTGCACGGGGTCGTCCAGAGCAGCGTGTGGCAGATGTGGACGAGGTTGAGGTTGGGGTTGAGCAGCCCGGCTCGCGTGCAGCGAGTGGCCATAGGGCCAGTTCGCGTGCGAGTCGACGCGGGGCAAGCATGGTCTTGCTCGGATTTGGGGCGCTGTTTAGTGTTGGAGCTCTAACCAACGCTCACTCCAGATCTTTTGCAGAGAGGAGTGACAGCATCGGACGAGTGCTAGTGGATGAGGTTGTTTTACCACATCCAATGACAGCATCTTCCGTGCAGGATGCGGCCTACCATTCGTCATCAGGAGTTGTGACGGTGGAATTCCCTTTGACACTTAGCCAGAACGAGCTGCAATCTCAATCAGAAGAGTCCCCCTCAGCGGAACGTATCATTGGACGAATATTTGCCTGGCTGTGTACTTCACTGTATTTGACTTCTCGGCTTCCTCAGATATGGAAAAACGTAAGCCTACGTTTTCCTTCTGGTTTGGAATAATTTCAACTGACCAACTTTTCCAGTATGCCAGGAAGTCTGTTGAGGGACTCTCGATGTATCTCTTTGTCTTCGCTTTCCTTGGCAACTTTTTCTACGTCTGTTCGATCTTGACATCTCCAGAGGCCCACATGCCTCCACCTGCATCAACCAAATTTTTCAAGGAGAGCATCCCGTATGTTTATTATTTTATGTGCTTGTAATCTTTTCATTGATGGCCTTCTAGATACCTACTGGGAAGTGGCGGCACGTTCATTTTTGATGTCACTATCGTGTCCCAATCCTTTATCTACCGAGGCAAGCCTCCGCGTCGGCGGGGCCGTGGTGCATCTATCGCACACAGAGCTTCCCTCGCTGAAGAGCAAGCTTGTTTGTTAGGAGGGGATGCTCTTTCTGGTTCATACTACGGTGGTAGAAGTGCAAGTGTTGTACGGCACTCCAGGAGTCGGACCTCCGGTTCACGCCCTACTTAACACCGTAATTGCATAAGGCTCGAGCTCTGATTGTTCATTATACCAACATATGTATTGTACAGACCCCACGAGTTAAAGATATACGCATGTGAGAGTTACTCTCCAAGCATCCGAGATTGCATTGTGGCCAGAACTGTCGTGCGCTGGCTATAATCCTGTCGCCTAGTCCTTTGGCAGTGCCTTCTTAATTTTGCTCTTTACCACAAGCAGTGCCGCTTGAAATCTCCCATGTCTTCCATCATTAGGAGCCCAGCGCCAACAATGCGCATCCCATCACCGTCTCCACCAGTTAGCAACCAACAATTCGCGGAACCGCAACCTGATCATCTCGTGCGTTCTGATTCGCCAAGAAGTCTTCTGTCACTGGCTGATCTCACTCTTCCCTACAGCGCGCCTTTGTACTCGATTACCTCTGCCATAACTGTTACACAGGGACTGCGCAGGCATTCGCGAGGGATACCGCCGTAAGGCACCTCGACAAGGATGGAGACGAAATCACGTCGCCTGACAGAAGGTTGCAGGGGACCTCAGCAGACCTGACGGATGACGGCCTCCGGAGAATACGGCGTCGTGAAGGTACAGTGAATTGTGGGTGGTGGGGTCCGTCAATATTAATCTCCTTGTCCAGAAATACGAACAGAAATTCTCTCGGGGCGAATAGATGAGGCCACTGACCTCCTGAACGAGCACTTCCCCAGCGTCCTTGCCTCGTCAAGTGGATCATCCTCAGAAACGTCGTCTTCCATTGATTCTTCGCCTGACCGTATAGAGTACACCTCCCGCACAGTCTTGGACCCGACACTCCTTTCACTTAACCTCCGTATTCATGCTTTCATCGAAGCCTGCCGTACCCTCCCCCTTCCCTATGTCCCGCCTCATCGGACGACACCCGTAGCGACCCCAGAACCCCCGACGAATATATCCCGTGCCCCTGACCCTATGGCTGATGAGCGTTATCAAACAGAGCTGATACTGCGTGCGCAAAAGCTTTATGCGCTGGTGGAACTATTACAGAAACCAGAAGACCGAGCAACGTATTTGAAGGAACTAGAGAATGTCGGCGGCCTTCTCGCATACAAGGTGCCAGAGCATAGCCCGATGTCCAAATATCTTGACCAGGCAAGACGAGAACGTGTTGCAGACCAGATCAACCGTGCAATACTCTGTGAGTGCTTTAATTTAGCTATCTCCTCACATGAAAGGGTCATATGCTAAGACCTATTTATCAGATCACAGCAACTTACTGTCTGTGTCTCACTTGGAAGTTGCCGTGCGATATAATTCTTGTCTCTGGGCAGCATTGAACGAACTGCATATCAGAGTTCCTGCAAACTCCAGTAGACCTGCAGGAGTCATCCTTCCACCAAAGCCTCCCAGCAGGAGTGCGTCAACTTCAGGAGAGAAGAAACCGACTGTTGAGGTAAGTTTCATTACAAGTGATATATTGTCTGCGGGATCTAACATAGAATGCAGTACTTGCCACCATTTGATCTGGGCTTATTTCTTGATGCTCGGGTATGATTTTATTTCACGTTCCGCTCAGGCTCTTTTGTACTTTCGTATACCCCACTGGCAAATTTGCACTATTCTCTCCGTTCCAGAGTTCTATATACTAGTATGCAGTTCCATGTATGTATACTATATACGCAAATCATCAATGAATGACGTCCACGTCATCCCATCGACCTCTATTGACCTGCGACAAAAGCGTTGACGTGACGCGACACCCTCGTAGCCCCAAGACCTTCAAGTAGTGCAACTTCGTCCACGGGTAGTCATCTAGTAGCCTCTCCCCTAATGCTGGGATGAGCCAACTGTTGTAAGACAGGTCTAACAGCGAGACCAGAGGGCAATACGATGGAAGTCGTTGAAGGGATAGTCGTTGAAGGGATACTGGTTTAGGGATATTGATGAGTGCGAGGCAAGTGATTGTGGGCGGAAGGTCGCTCAAGGAAAAGGTCAACGGTGTGGATAGGAAGGTAACGGAGAAGAGCACACTAGGCTCGCTCCCCAGTGTTGCAAGAGAATCCCACGTAGACTCGTCTGCTGCACATTCTTCAGGCACGGATTCTCTTGAGGAATGCATGCGCCGGAAATGATCGCTGCGCAATGTAGCGTGCGGCCCAACGACTACAAGCTCTCCGTCTGCATGCCCTTCTTCTCCGCATATTGCATTCAGCTCGGACCGAGAGAAGGGACTATTTATTGCGCTGTGACGCATTAAGACGCGACGGAGGTGAGGTGGGATATGGGACATGATGTCAGCCAACTCGTATGCGCTGCACTCCGTCCGAATGACATGAAGGGATAATAGTGCAAGCGTAGGGAACTCGCGCTTCCGAAGGGCACGGAGGGATTGACTACCTGGCGGATGCGCTGACGCGTTGCCAGGGGAGAACACTAAGTTGAGGGCATGTTCGCGCCAAGCAGGGGAGTTTATGTCCGTCAAGTCTGCCTCCCGGATCTTCGGAGATGAAAGGGCTGTCCAACTACGAGGTGGGTCAGGTCCTGCGATCCAGACAGGTCTTGTAGAATGGTACCCTGAAGCAGCTGCTGCATTCCGCCCGCCGTCTTCTGCAGAGGGATAAATCAGGCTGATCGGAAGAGTTGGAAGGTTGTTGACATGCAACGGCGTGGGTAGACTTGCTGGGACACGCTGCACATTGCGTGAATGGCGAAAGTGTTCTCCTCTGGACGAAGAGATGAGGTGTTTCGCTCGAGATATAACCAGCTGCGGCGTACCTCAAGTTCCGTAGGATATTGTTTACTTGACGAGAGGTTTCACCTGCGGCGTCCTGAGGAACAGTTCGTTGCAAAGGCATCGCAGAATAGACTTCTTTACCGTATTATCATGTCAAACTGGCATCATGGATCAGATTGGGCTCATTGGGACTGGGAGTGAAAATAGAACAGACGGTTGTTATCACCGTGGTAATCGAGTGGACGCGAATTCCACCTACATTACAGCAACGTAGAATAATACAAGTCTTATCATGCCAATGAATGCTGAAGTTGTTGGAAGAAATCCATACGCGTTTTCATAGTGCATACATGGCAAAAATAGGGAAACATGATGAATTTCATGCCAAGCATACCTCGCGACTGCTCAATCCCGCCACTACCCCTCCGTCAGACCACAATAAGAGATACAATCAGTTCATTTGGCGGATGAGCTTGTTAATGTTGGTCTCTCGGTCACCAAAGTCACCACCTTGAACAAAGTGCTTGAATTTGCGCGTCCTCCAGCCACCGTTGGGGTTCGAAAGTTTGAAGGGCCAGAGGAAGTTAGATGCCTGTTCCGATCTGTCAGCAATAGAAAATATTGTAGGTGTGGTCGCGCTGACCTGCTTGAAGTTGGGGCCGGCAGTAGCGATCTCGTGAACGAGATCCTCTATGGAGAGGATGTCATATTTGCCAAGGGACTCCTCGATGATGGCATTGTTGGTCAGGGGAATGCGCTGCTTGTTGACCTTGCCGTAACCGCGCTTGTAGAGGAGTTCACGGACGGACTTGATGTTTGCCTCGCTAACGAAATCCATCAATTAACATGCATATTCATAAAGCAAGTGACTTGCCCGTATGTAATATAGGGCTCAACCAGTCTGAGCATTTGCTGGGTAGCTCTGGTGACCTTTACGAAAACACCGTTGTTGATCTGAAGAAGGCGGAGGAGCTGTAGGATTTTACGGGGTTTGGGTGCAATCTCGTTGATACTACGCGGACCTGAGAAAAACGAATCATCACGAGGGAAGCTGCACGTACCCACGAATACGGACAACGAAGTAAACCTTGGCTTCTGCAGGAACGTAGAAGTCACCAGATGTCCGGGCAGCACGCTTCAATCGGATCTCCTCCTTCTCCTTTGACAAGTACTCCTTAACATAGCTCTCCGCCCGCTTGAAAATAACCTTGCGCTTTGCCTTTGATGCCTGAAACGAAATTGAGTATATGGTGGAAGTAGAGCCAGTTTAAAGTAATGGATCAGTCCCGAAAGATGGTTAATTTGAAGGCGGCACTGCAGAACGAATCCCACTAGCCATTCGGTCGAAATAATCGTATGCATCACACATAGAGCAAGGCCCTAATGAACGGTTTGACACGAACCTTGCGTGCGGCAGTGGCGGCTGCAAGGCGCTCCTCCCGTGCCTTTTCGTTTTGCTTGCGCTTTTTAAGGAGGGTCTCCGGAACTTCAATGTCCTGTGTAGAAGTCAATGGAGATCGCATAGATCGCGAGTAGGTAAACGAACCGAGACTGTAGGAACCCTAACAAAAATGTAAACTCCTGTTAACCGTTCAGAAACTTGACAGACTCACGTTGTCGAGGGGGCCATGGGGAGTTTTGAGGATAGTGTCGGCGCTGTATGCCTTGGTGTAGACAACTTTGGAACCTCACAGTGGCTGGCAACTGTATAGTCTTAGTCAGATATTCCCACAAGTCCCGCCGGATGCAGAAGGATATTTATTTATTCGGCTCCTACCGACCCTGACACACCTGACATCCAGCGCATATGCTTGGACGATTGCCATGATGCCATCACGGGTTCAATCCGAGCGCTCAAATGCCTGAGCGGACTTTATCCTGCTCAAAAACGAGTCTTCCTTGTACAAAAATTTGACATTACAGGTGGTGGGCCCATACTGTAAGCCGCTCACTTAGTATGGAACGGAGAGGCATTTGAACCGAAAACCCTGAGGCACTCGGTTCAAAGCTGTGTTTTAAATGGAGCTTGGCAATTGATGCGGCCGGCATCATGTCGAACAGCCATGAGGAACAAAGCGCTTAATTACTATAATTTGAAGTGCTTCTGTCCGTTCCGTCTGCCCCATCCTTCTTCCTTCTATCCATCATGTTGCCACTCACCAAGGCATGGTCGTTGATAGTGGTCCTGGCAGCAGCAGCAGTTGTACCCAGAGGTGCTTTTGCGCAGACGTCCAATGTGACATGCGTGGCTGGCTTTGACTGGGTAATGATTTTTTAAAACTCAAAGATATAGATTCTGATGCTTGATTGCAGATGAACAACAGCATCTCGCAGAACCCTTGCACAGTTGCTTCCTACCTCGAGAGCGTCTGCTGGGGTGGAGGTACGCCTTTTTCGTTTCTGTTTTTAACTTAGCTGACAAATTCTGGTGCAGATTTTACAATCAGTCCTTTACCTGTCGATACCCATTATGCAGCCCCTACAACCGCTGAAGCCAACTCTTGCGAATGCAGTTCAGTGACCTACTCGTTGATTAGCGCTTGCGGCGATTGTCAGAACCGAACGTATCTAACGTGAGTCTTATTCAAGTCGTATCGAGTGTGATCGAACGGAGCGCTTATTTCCTCGCAGCTGGGCTTCCTGGAGCTACAATTGCTCTGTGATATACCCCCAAGTGTCAGTCAAGATTGTTTATATTTTCTATGCTTTTCTAATTCACCTGATTGATAGATATCCAATGAACATTCCCAGTGGTACCTTAGTTCCACAGTGGGCTTACCTTAACGTTAGTGCACGACTACTTATCCCAATTGTCATAATCTAAATTTTCTCTGAAGGTGACCAATGGGTTCGACCCCGTCGCAGCGCAAAGTGTTGGAGGTTAGCATTCGGGCATCATCTTTCCGTCGCAGAAGCACTCACCCACTTTCTTGTAGACCTCCCAGAATCTACTGCAACCAAAGTACAATCCACTGGCACAGTGACTTATTCGACCAGCGTGTCTGCTTCTGCGACCGGTATTTCGGCCGCGGCAGGATCTTCAACGACAACATCATCACCAACCGCTTCGAAAAGTTCAAACGTCGGAGCTATAGCTGGAGGTGTTGTTGGCGGAATTGTGGGAGCTGCAGCCATCATAGGCTTTGCGACGTGGCTCTTTGTCAAACGCCGTCGCTCCTCCACAGCGCCATCGGCCGCTTTCAGCGACATTGGCGGAGGTCCGGGCTATACCCACAGTGTTTACTCCGCTAATCCTAGTCCATTCCCAATGCAACCTCAAATGACGCAGCAACAGCGTCTCTACGTATGTTTCTCATGATCTTGTGATGCAACAACTCATTTCCTTGTGCAGGACCCCTCTGACCCGACCACTTTCCCGGGTTCCCCTCCCTCTCCCACCCTCCAAACCACCGGATCGAGCAACATATACCACAACCCATCGATACCCTCAGCCTTTTCCCAACAGCCGCGTCCTGGGCAGTACAGTGGTACTCCGGAGATTTGAATGCGAGCTCGAGGCTGATTGACGATCTGTGACCGGTGACCATTGGATATGATTCCTTCCTCTCTGATAATCTGACATTACAGTTACAATTGTATATCCGTAGCTGCGTGTTCGTCCATTATTTGTTGGATCAGTGCTTATTATTGTTATAACGAGCTTTTCAAACGTGTTACGTCTTTTACACTTGCACTTGAACACCAGTGCTAGCTCCCAAAACTTTGTTGTCCAGTAGGACCTATATGTACCCAAATGATTATGCATGGAGGCGAGTGAAAGCGCCGCACGATTAGGCACACAGTCTTTGCTACGAGGACCGTATCATCTATCGATTACTGGTTTATGGCAAGCTTATGACAGTTGTGTCGCATCTTCCCTTCCTTCATGGTCGCTGCTTGTAGTCCTAGCGGAATCGATATTGTTGCTGCTGAAAATGCCTTTGCGCGGACGATGAATGCCAGAGCCTTGCTTGATCGTTGCTGCCCGTGGGCATCGGCAATGGGGATGCTGACCCTGTTATAGATGATGTAAAATATCAATATATCACAGCCAATATATATAACTTGAACTGCGAATGTGGGTACACAGGGGTACACTGACCGCGGCTGGCAGGCCTGACAGTACTTACACGACGGGTGCATTTAATCATGATCGCTAATGCTGCCCTGCCCCAGCTGGTTGCTTCAAACTTTACATTTCCTGCTCGTTGCATGCTCCCTAATCACGTTTGTCCACTGATAACCGATATAACATGGACCTACATAGTCTAATTTCATCCGATCCCACGTACGGCGGTGTTATTGCGGGCTGAAATCAAGTCCCCTGGAGGCACAGGCAGGTTTAGGGCCGCTGCACAGGTTTTTAGTGGACGGCTGCCAAGGTTGTGTAATTTTGTGTCTATAATCGTATGAACCGTGCGAGTCCGCGAGACGGCTTTCACGTTCCGAGTTGGTGCAACTAAAGACAGATAAACGACTGTCCGAGACGAAGGCACACTGAGCTACAAGGAGACTCCAGCGGGGACGATGTCAGGACTCAGATGATAGTGATGATAGTGATGGCATACCACTGCGACAGATACCTATAACTCTGATTATGAACAACTCGACGATAGTTGAGCACTGCCGCCCAACTGCCGCCAGACATTGCGGTGGTCCGGGAAGTTACGGCTGTACTTTGGAGCATTGTATCCAAAATGATCTCGCCTGTGCAGACCGTAGACGAATGTCGACAATCGTTCCTTCTGAACCTCAAAATGCTGTATAGCAAGATAAAAGGGCAATTGTACGAACCTGCGCAGCTTAAAGCAACACACACAAAGTCCTGCAACGAGGTCACCTTCCGATACCGTCAATCTCTACATGTATGGCGGAAGTAGCAGTGCAGAGCATCATTCCAAGCACGACGCCCGTTCGTGCGTTTGAAAAGCATGAAAATTCCGTACTCGCAGTCGCAGTCTTCCCCGATGGACGACGTATGGTGACGGGTTCTCGAGACAGGACGCTTCGTCTGTGGAACTTGAACGACGGTGTTATGTTGAAGAAAATGGAAGGGCATCGCAGCAGGGTGTCAGCAGTGGCGATATCACGAGATGGGCAGTTGATAACAAGTGGTGATAACAAGGGAGTGGTCATCGCCTGGGATGGAGACAGTGGTGAATCTCTTGCCCAAGCCATCAAAGCCCACTACTGGGCAATCTGCTCGCTGGACATCTCACCAGATGGCACAGTTTTGGCGACTGGTTCATCGGACAACACGACGAAGCTATGGAACACAAAAACTTGGCAGCTGCAAGGAAAACCAATCGAATGTGGTGATGAAGTCAACTGCGTTCGGTATTCGCCGTCTGGTGAACATCTTGCCATCGCAACATTCGGTGATATCCAAATATGGAATTCAAGCACGAGGGAATGTATCGCAAACTTCGAGGGTCACGCAGTGATCAGTCGAGCATACAACGCCTCAATCGAGTGGACGCCCGACGGGACACGCCTTCTATCAGCGGGTACATACCGGGATCCCACAATACGGGAGTGGGATTCATCAACCTGGAAACAGGTTGGTAATCCCTGGCACGGCCATTCTCACTTCGTTGACGCCATCGCCGTCAATTCTACTGGTACACTCCTCGCTTCCGCATCTTATGATAACCATGTCCGCCTTTGGCGGCTCTCAGATCAACAAACTATCGCCATATTCCAACACTCTGACCCAGTGTGCCGCGTCACCTTCTCCGCAGATGGAAAGCACATTCTCAGCGGAGGTAATGACAAGAAAATCCTACAGTGGGCAATACCCGAGGCCGCTTTAGAACAGGCGTCAAATGTGGTATTTTAATGTTCATGTTCCTTCCATTTGTCATCTCATATCGAGTTTGTTTGATGTCAAGGCTCAAGACTTTCATTCCAAGGCAGGTTTCTGCCCTTGATTCGTATAACGCAACTTTGAAAGTGACCATGCTTCATGTAGATCCTCGTTATAGACGCGGCAGTTCGCTATGCGTGTATAGCTGGGGACTTGTCTACTGCTGAAGCGTTGCTAACACGAGAGATCGAGGCTGATGACAACAACCATACATCCTATGCAAATCGCTCATTTGTTATGGCGCGAAAATCTGACTGGGATCGTGCACTTGATGATGCAGTCAAGGTGAGATACATTGTTTATGACGACCCTTGTCCAACTAACTTTCATGCGACACAGTCTGTGAGCATTCAGCCCTCCTTGACAGGTTATATCACCATGGCCATAGCCCTCTGCGGACAAATGCAAGTCCAGGACGGGATGCAGGCATTTGACCTCACATTCATGTTCTCGAACGAAGACCTGAAAACTGTCCATTTTATTTTATTGATCAAGGTTGGTTGGTTTTTATTCTCTTCATGTGCTCCCTAATTTGTAACGGTTTTCAGGCCATCGTGCTTTTCAATGCAAATAAACATCAGGAAGCAATGTTGCGCGTCCAACAGCTAGCTGCCGCTTGTCCCAGTGTCGATAATGTTGCGTGTCATATTGTCCAAGTGAGTATCACGCACCCCGTCCAGCCCAGGTTTGTACGGCGACACAGATTTTTCTGAATTTCACACGTCAGGCATATCTACATCTCCAACTGGGAATAGATGCCTTGGATAACGCGTGTCACAACGAAGCTGCCGATCATTTTACTGCAGCCCTCAACTGCAGCCCCTTCTCATCTAAATTGGCTGCCCATTCCATATATGAGGACTTTACTGTGGTACGTTGATATGATGCAAGAGAGACAAAATTGACGCCTAATTGCGGGCTTTGAGAAGCTCTTCGGGTGGGACCTTGAGTCTTTGTGGAAAACTGCAAACCAAAAACGGTGTCATGCACTCCTTCGGGCAGGTCGACTTGGAGAAGCCCTCGAATCATACCGATACATGATGGATATGAGTGATCAAACTACTAAGGCCAACTGCCTTGATTGGTCCGCTGGCGAGTTTTTCAATATTGTTACCTATGCTGCAATTCTGACCCACATTTCACTCAGCTTTCGAGAAAGAATGTAGCATACTCCATTCTGCTAACGGTGATGCTGCCCTCGCTGCGTGCGATTACGACGAGGCAGTCAAACTATACTCGATAGTGATCGATCTGAATTATGCGGACGACGCCATCTTTGCAAATCGCAGTAAGGCGAAGCTGGAAAAAATGCTATGGGAGGATGCGCTTGTCGATGCGCAAAAGGTTCGGTGTCGTCCATCGTTTTGTAGCTAATGCTCACTTTGGCGATGAGCAGGTCATCGACCTCAACCCTTTGTCTGATCTTGGACATCAACTCAAGTATGCAGCTCTTCATGGCGCACAGCTTTATGATGAGTGGAACGAAGCCTTCCAAATCATGCTCTCCAAGTCGGACAATGCTCCTGACATGCAAATACGAAGGAAGCCCAAAATAAGACATGGATACTCGACTGTTTCTCAACAGTCGCGCCAGCAGCATGTCATCCCAGAAGCAGAAGGTGCTATTCGAAAGGCAATTCACACACAACTCGACAACGCCCCGCTTCGTCTACTTCACACCTCCACTGGGCTATTATGCGATCGAGAGGCACAGATAATTGCCTTCAAATCGAGTACAGAGTACAAGGAGCTCTTATCATCAACAACGAAGTATGCAAACCTCCGAAAGGAGCGCATCGAAGAAGTGGTAGTGATGTATTTTCGACGTGTCATGCTATCGCATAGATGGGAAGGGAAGGAGCCCCTGCTGCACGACATCAAGGACAAGGACGTGTACAAGTTGAATCCAGTTGCCGGTATCATGAAGTTGCGGTCGTTCTGCGAAATCGCTCGCAATGCTGGCTATCACTGGGCGTGGATCGATACATGCTGCATCGACAAGCATAATAATGCCGAGCTTCAAGAATCACTCAATTCCATGTTCGTCTGGTATCGCCACGCAGCACTTACAATTGTCTACCTCTCGGATGTGCTGCCCTCGTCAAAGCCTGGCGCATTGGCAAGGAGCGCTTGGATTAAACGAGGATGGACGGTTCCAGAATTTCTAGCTTCCGAAGTCGTACTCTTTTATCAGAAGGATTGGACCCTATATCTCGATGACCACTCTTCCAACCACAAGGAGTCCACTGCGATTATGCAGGAGTTGGAGGATATGACAGGCATAAATCCACAGGCCCTTGTTGCCTTCCGTCCAGGGATGAGGGACGCCCGAGAGAAATTCCGATGGGCGTCGACGCGTGACACCACGTTGCAAGAAGACGTTGCATACTCATTGTTTGGCATCTTCGATGTCCAACTACGTGTTAACTATGGAGAGAAGAAGCAAAATGCACTCGGACGCCTCTCACAGGAGATTGTGGCTCAGTCTGGCGACATCACTGTCCTGGACTGGGTCGGAAAATCATCCGAGTTCAATAGCTGTCTGCCAGCCGACATCACTTCATATGAAGCTCCGCCATTCACGCTATCGTCTCTATCCGAAGATGAGATGCAGAAATCCGTCTCCTCGTTACGACATGCCGTGTCCGTGGAATTGGCTGCGGGACTGTATCACAAGCTTGACCACCTGAGCGCTCCTCGTTTCGCGCACCGCCGACTACATCTGCCTTGCATCGCATTCCTTGTCACGGAAGTCAAGCGGAGGCCTGGTCAAGACCAGGCGACATATTTCACGTATGAAGTCAAGTCAGACGGGCTTCATGACCTGCAGATCACCACGGAAGACAGGCTGACCCAGTTCTCGCGGGCAAGGCCCACTCGACAGACATTCTTACTTGTCCGTCCGTGGGACCGTTATCTCCTAGAGCTACCTGACTTCGCAGACGACACGCAGAACACGGAAGATTGGTCCGCCCCCGAGTCTCCGTCTCACGAACCGCCTGGCGGGTCACCTGGAGAAAATGGGCATGTTGACTCAGAGTCTCACTCGCGAGCGTTGCGATTGCTTGTTCGTCTCGGACAGCCTTTTGGCGCATTTCTACTCGCACAGCAGCGCGGCGGAGAATATAAGAGAATCGCGTCAGACCATGATATCATCGCACAAATTAAAGATATGACTTCTGTTCACAATACGATGGACGTCAGGACACTGGAGATATTGTAGAGAACAACGATCTCTAGTAGTTTTCATTTGCACTGTGTAGATACTCGATCTTGCGTGCTATTAATGATGACTTCGAACGAGGCTAACTAGCTATAACGACTCGTTGGGCAAAATATAAATTTGGTCTAGGTCCGGGATGTAGTAGATCTGAGGTCACCATGCAACATTGTATTGTGTATCTGAAGGCAGTAAACTGTCGGTACACCAGGTGACCGATACATCCAAGAAGCTAGGATGGGCGGCCAAAGGGTGAACCGTGCTCATCTGAGGCGCTAGGAGATGAAGGATTGCCAGTAATACAGACAATCGAACATGTGGTAAACATGCGCCTGGAGTTGTTAAAAGATGAAGAGGAAAAACACGCCCCGCTTTAAAATAAACAAACAGTTTTCTTTAGGGCTGGTCTATCGTAATTCCGCCCTCAGTACGCGTCCAGGAGTCTGACAATTGATATTTAAAATAGCGTGTGCCCCCATGCCAGCCGGGCCGCCCCATAGATAAAGATCCCCTCTAGCGGTATATACGGTACAACTTAATTGCGCCATCACACCCGTGGGCCATGTTACGGAGATCCGCTTCATTGGTAAAGTGCTTCGAGAGACTGGATTTAAAGCATCACACAGTAACCGGGCTTCTTTCAAACCACTTTGCAGGCCGATCATCTAGAATGACCATATCTACACTCCCTCTGAATGACGGACACCAGGTCCCTTGGATGGCTTTCGGCACTGGTACTGCGCTCTTTGGCAAGGACGCCGCGGAGGCCATCCGCCTTGCTATCGACAATGGCTTTACGCACCTCGATGGTGCGCAAGTCTATGCCAATGAGGACACGTTGGGGGACGGGATATTAGCTTCTGGCAAGCCCAGATCCGAGCTCTTCATAACGACGAAGCTCGGAAAAATGCAGCCTGGTGCAACTCCCAAGAGCGCACTCCAGGAGTCCTTGAGGCAGATGAAAGTGGATTATGTCGATTTATACCTTATCCACCAAGCCAGCAACCACGTCGGGAAGCTAAAGGAGGTTTGGAAAGGCATGGAAGAGGCTCAGAAAGCGGGCCTCACCAAGTCCATTGGAGTTTCTAACTTCACTGCTGACCACCTGAAGACTATCCTGGAAATTGCCACTATACCACCTGCAGTTAACCAGGTTAGTTGTGTAAGCATGTCCGTGTGGTAGTCCTCATTTAAGGGTCATTTGATAGGTCGAAGCTCATCCATATGTATGGAAAGCGTTGGAGCCGAATCTTGCCATTCACAAACAATACAAAATCGTCACGTCGTCATATGGTGGTTTGTCGCCTCTTTTTCGTGGAAAAGGTGGCCCACTAGACCCTGTGATCGAGCAAATCCGCGCTCGTTTGGAGAGCACTCGTGGCGCCCCTGTGTCGGATGGTCAGGTGTTGAACAAATGGCTTCAACAGAAAGGCGTTCTTGTGGTGACGTGAGATTTAATCCCCACACTGATGTGATTTTTTTCTAATGCTTGCATCATCACAGAACCTCCTCGAAAGCCGAACGTATCAGGGAATACCTTGACACCGAGAATGTGCCGGAACTTACAGCCGGGGAGATTGCGCTTATAGACAATGCTGGAGGAAAACTTCACCAAAGATACTTCGTAAGTTTAGAATTTGACGATGACTTACATTCTTCTGCTCATCCTGCATTTTCAGCCTGGCAACTGGCCGACCGAGTAAGTCAATGATTGTTGAGTTAGGACTTAGAATAATTTCCACCCAATTCACTCCACGTGGTCACAATTGTAGATGTTCAGCGAGATCTCACTTGTAGCCTATAGAGTTGTAGGAGAGAGAGAAAATATCTATGCCTTAGTTGTAGGGAGTTTTAACTAGAAGTGGATCACGTGACTTTGAGCACAATTGAATCGACTTTCTGTTACTTTAAATCATTCATGGCCTTGCCAACAACCATGTCATCCCCAGCTCTATCTACTTTACCAACCTATGTATCAACGTCAAAATCACGTCTACAGTCGCTGTATTCCGATATTCACAGACAGAAGCATTCTAATCCTTCTTCCTTCCATGCTTACGTTGACTGGTGGCATGGGACGTTAAAGGATGTCATTTCGCGAGGTTGGCAGGGAAGCGATGGGTCTGACGGAACAAGCAACAAACTCATCCTAGGAGCACGAAGAGCTCTGGTGGACAAGTTGCGATATGAAGGTGTTGGCAAGCCTCTCGGACTCGGAACCACCATAGTGCGTCTTTAGGCAGCTCTTACATCATTCGCGACTCACCACATTGCACTAGTAAAGGCCGAGATGCGACGAAATAACGATCTAATACCACTTTCCCAGTTTCTTACTTCACAGCAGTCTATGTATGACCCAGGCTGGCTCCCATACCGAATTGCTTCCTTCGTGGTCGGAAAACCACTATGGTGGGCGATGGAACAGCTTGACATAGTCCGCTCAGAAGACTCTTATACAGAAGCTGAGATGTGGAAGAAGATAGAAGGGGACTACGTCATGCTTGGGCTTGTTGTACAGGCTGCTGATACCCTTGAAACTCTGCGAGGCGGCACCGGAATCAGCCCGGCCGACAACCTGTACACATTCGAAGAATTTCGCAAGGAGTTTGGTGCCAAGGTCTTACCCGGGGTTGTGCTGAGCGAGATAGACACAAAAGTCCTGATCAAACACCTCGAACGAGAAAGACGCGTGGTTGTACAGATCGGCGATGTAGGTGTTTTGGTCGTGTATCTTGCCTGCTGACTGACATTACTTCGAGGTCATTAAATTTGTGACAGCAGACCATGACCGGGAAATCACTGCTGTGGACCGAGGCATTCTTGAGCTCAAGACGGCAGTGAGAAACCTGCGTGAACAGGTCGATAACATCCAGAAGAAAATTGATCAGTAAGGAGCGCGTTTTTCTACAGTACGTCATCTAATAACACATGTATATATCCAGGACCACCTCAAATATTTCGAAGGCCCTGCGTCAGCAGCGCAAGTCAATTGCGCTGGCAGAGCTGCGGTTCAAGAAACATTTGGATGACTCGCTCTCAAAGCGTCTGGGATCACTTCATAATCTAGAGTCAACATTGATTAGCGTCGAGACGGCTGGGGGTGACATAGAAGTCGGTTCTCTTTCCTCTTCTGTAGTTTCCGCGTTGCTAACTGGCCAACCTGTGCAGATTATGAAGACGTACGAGAGCTCGACGGCAACTTTGAAAGCGATCCTTAGCCACCCCTCCCTTCAACGCGACAAGATTGAAGAGACAATGGATGCACTTGCGGCATCGACTGCTGATGCGCGCGAGATAGACGATGCCATCCGAATGGGTGGAGACATGGTTGCGGTAGATGCGGGCATAGATGATACGGAGCTAGAAGCTGAGCTGAACGCGTTAGTGGAAGAGGTAGAGAAAGAGAGGGCTGGAGCGGTTGAGCAGGCGGTTTTGGAGAAGCTTCATAGTATTGAAGCTCATGTCCCAGAAGTCGCACCAGTTGAGGCTGAGGCAGCGCCCAGGCGGACGGCGGAGGCAGCATGAGAGGACACTTACCATAATTAGCATACAACGTTCCTAACTTGATGACCGTGACGCAATCTCAGCTTATGACCACCAAGTCGAGCTTGTTCCTTTCCCTAACACCATTCCCGCACATCAACAATGGCACCTATTCGTTTGCGACATCCCAAGGGCGTCACAACGTTGCAAATTGACCTTGATAACGCTCTAGTTCAAGACCTCCAGCAGGAGATATTTGGCGCGTCACAAATATCACCATCGCAGCAAGAACGTATGTACTATGCAAACGCGTGGAACAAAACTCATTCAATCGTGATTTTAGTCAGATCCGGGTACCCACCACGATCGCTCACGATTATCCCGGAGCTTCCGCTTTCGAGTCTGGGATTAAAGCCCGGCGATCAGGTCATTGTGAACCAGAACGTATCAAGCTCGGCGCGCGCCCCGCCTTCCCCACCCAAGGCCAACCCTGTATCTTCACAGCCAGCTCAAGCCCCACTATCGCAACCGAATTCAAACAGGCTCGCATCGAGCAGTAGCGGTCCAGACTATGTTGACACACCAAACGGTGTGTTAGTGCACAGGGTAAGGCAATGCGTTCATATGATCGGTTATCTGTCACACGCCATAGATCGTGCCGGATGATAACTCGTGTCTTTTTTCGTCCATCGCTCTCATTTTTGAGCAAGATGCCCGTAAGGCGCAAAAGATACGGCAAGGTCGGTCGTCGCATAGGTTCAGAATCCGTCAGGTTGACTGATTTGCGATCCCCACAAAGTCGTTGCAGATGGCATCCGAGCAGACATGGAAACCTACAATGAAGCTATTCTGGGGTAACTGACATCGCTGCCTACTGCACTATGACGCCGAGCTGATTTGAGTTTCCAGCTTGAGCCGAGATGCGTACATCGCTACCATTCTGAAGCCTTCGACATGGGGAGGTGCAATCGAACTTGGCATCCTCGCTAAGCATTATGGCACAGAGATTGCATCTATCGATGTCGAAACCGGAAGGGTTGATCGTTTCGAGTCGCCATTAGAGGCGAGCACAGGCAATCGGTAAGCACCCGTGTGGCCCTCGTTCAGAACCGGTCCTGATGCCCTGGTACGCAGTTGCGTTGTCATCTATTCTGGCATTCATTATGATGCCGCGTCATTGGCGCCCATGGCTGACGCTCCACCTGAGTGGCACCAGACTGTCTTTCCGATCGTGAGCTGCATCAGTATCGTGCATATCATCCTGGGTTATTTACCTCAGATGATAGATTTCCGCGGACGAAGACGATCCAATTCTGTCAGCTGCTAAACAATTAGCTACTATCCTACGGGGAAAGAAAGCGTATACCAACACTTCAACGTTTGATCTCAAATGTGAAGTAAGCAGGCAATTTCATCGAATGATCTGCATAACAGATAATTGAATATGCACAGGACTGTGGCAAGGGACTGAAGGGTGAGAAGGACGCGAGAATGCATGCCCAGGAAACGGGGCATGTTCGATTCGGAGAGTATGAATGATATCGATTCTTGGCCCGTTCATATCATCATCCTTATGTTGTATGTATTTCATTAAGAACGATGACGCGCGAAAGGAAAGAAATATGCACATATCGCGAGTGCTGCCGAATTTAGCTTCCCGTGACGATACTGCTCTCTATTTCCATCACCACTGGTACATGGTCTGATGCGCCATAGATCTCACTTCTGATCTCGCACATCTTGACCTTTTCCACTAGTCGCTCGCTCACCACAACTGTGTAGGTGGATGCTGATGTTAGGACAAATTGCCTAGTAGAGATTGGCAACTTACACATATCCAATCTCCACCCAAGGCCTTTGGTCCGGCAATCAAAACGGTACGAAAAATATGTGTAGTGTTTGTCTTCTGGATGATTCTGCCTCCAGACATCAACAAATTTGCCAGCTCCAGCAGCAGATTCAGGAGGATCGAGAATATTTTGAAACGCTTCCGTTTCATCCTTTGTATAACCAGGTGTCTTGTTCCAATTTGACTTTGGATTTGCCAAGTCTGAATGTGAAAATGTAAGATACACTGGGTCAAAATCTCAGTCAAATGTGAATCGTGCACCTATTGCGGTCGGTGCGACATTGAGGTCACCCATCCATATGACGGGTTTCTTCGTGTCTAGATCACGTATATGCGTGGTGAAGTGCTCGTTCCATGTGTTCTTCTCCTTCAGAGTCTGGGATAGGTGAATCAGTGTCTACGCCATGTAACTGATGATCCGACCTTGAGCCCCTGACCAGCATTCGTCGCGTATGTAGCTACAATGTAACAACCAGGAAATTCCACGGTGACGATACGACCTTTGACACTACTTGGGTCTGGATGTCCCGGAAGTTTAGTATCCACAGATAGAGGCTTATGTTTGGAGAGCACGGCTGTTCCTGCTGAGTCAAGTTGAAATGAGCGAAGCGGCGAGCCAATGAAGGCCATTTACAGTATGACTTCTTGGAAGATATAGCCCAAGTACAATGAGGAAATCGAGACGTTAAGAACGGGTCTACTGGAACTTCGTTCACCTAATATGAGAGTATTAGCAAGACTAAGACTAGAACAGAACGCGTACCTTGGTCTCTGTTAGCACGAGAATGTCTGGATCCTCCGCTTCGACATAGGATTTAAATCCCTGATGGAATGAAACATCGAGATGATTAGGAAGCCAGCACAAGCACAATAAATTCATTGCGCACCTTTTTAGAAGCCGATGCAAGTGAACAAATATTCCACGTTGACAGGCGAACCGTGCCTGCTATCTGAGGTGGAAAGTTGATGTTGACTGGTAGTACTTTGTTAGTAGGCTGGCCGTTGGCGGCAATAGTAGGCTCTGACGAGTCTTTCGATACTTTAGCCTTCTTTGAAGCAGACGCTTCATTGTCCGATGGTGACTCGGATGCCGCTTTACGCTTTACTGCGGTTTTCTTTTTGGGTGGCATTATTTGGAGGGTCAAGAAAGACGCGTAAAGCGGGCAAAATGGTGATAAAGCTGGTCGAGGACAATGCACAAAGTTGTGGAGGCCACGCCGTGCTAACAATAACAATGACATGGACGCCACACGTGGCCTGTGGATGTTCAGTGTTTCCTAATCGGGCATACTTGTGGGCGCATATTTAAATGTATTTGTTACGTTGTGCTTAAAACCGATTTGCCTGGGCCTTCTCCAACTTGCCAAGGACAAAGCAAGCAGCAGCTTTATCTCTGTAACTTATTTTGTAAAAGCTACGCCAAAGCTATCAGTGTCGATTCAGTTATAAACAGGCTACCTCCAGCTTTCATACTCTGCAGCACGACCTTCGATCCTTGATTAGTTTATCATCCCCATCCTCGAGTGCGATCATCATCACCCAACATGCTCACCTATCGTGGCTTCTCCGCATGTATAATCTCCGAGGGCAACCTAATCTCCGAGTATCTCGTCGCTGTCGACGAGACGGAGAACAAAATCTCGTGTTGGATCCCAAGTGAGGCGGGAAAGGTATCTCAATCCGTTCATCTAATGTGTACGCGTCTCACCAATGCCACCAAAGACTTTTTCAGTGCACTGGAGAGACGAGGGCACACGAGTGCGTTCATGCGCGTTCATCACACTGGATGGATTCGTAGTTCCCGGTCGGTTCTTGTGGGGCGGGGGCGAGACCTTCAGGAATGGCGTAAGGACAGGTCCGCAAACAGAAAGACCGTTCGTGTTTGCACAGAGCCCAAGCTCAGGTGAGTCGCGACAAACACTGGGTACATTGCGAAGGCTTATGTTCAACAGGTGCAAGTGGGCAAAGCACGCAGGATGCTGGATGCATCACGCTCAAGGTTAAACAAGTCGAGCTGGAGGGGTCGAAGCCAGCAAATCCACTACAGAAAATTCCAGATTGGAACGCGCAAAGTCACGTTGGCGATCATTGTGTTGGGTGCGCACGAGTGGGGTCTGTTGATATTTCCGTATCTGACAAACATTTCATAAGGTACGGCGAGGAGATGAAGACATACGAACAATCACCCACGACGTGGAAGGTGAAGCCATCCGACAAGCACGGTAATAAAACACACGTTACCTTTGTGTTCCGGTACAGGTCTCCCGGTGAGTTTGGAGTGCCTTGTGAAGATTAGTCCTGATAGCATCCGTTTTAGAGTGGTTAATAGCGCAAGGAATCCTATCCGCTGAAGTGCATGGGCGAGCAAGTCGTCCTGAGAAGCGACGGGTCGCCAGCGCACCCGTTGCGCAATTGGTGAACGCACCAATAACCCCAAGCCCAAGTCCTCCCAACCCAAATGTGAGTGTGGTTGTTTTTGTGTTCCATCCCACTCACTTATTCAATTTCCATGTAGAGCGCAGAACTAAATGCCTTATCTCCGGGGCAAGGTCAAGTGCGGCCTGCACGCAGTGTCAGGACCGTAAGCGTCAAGGGTCGCGGGAGGCACGACAAATATCCAGGGGAAGGATTAATGGATTTTCAAGTTGGTCCTCCACCAGACCCAAGGAGGTTTATGCAAGGCCCTGACAGTACGTCTTAACAGTCGAACAGCACGCGAGTAGATTCAATGGAGCGGACCGATGAGGGCAAGATAAAAAATGTTTGAGGAAGAGATTATTTCGTTCTGTTATTTGTTTCGATATGCCGTCTGGTATATCATATCGAACTGCTATCTTTTGAAGAATATTTCTGTTGTGATATAGCGATTGTGCTTGTATGTGGAATCTGTATCATAGTTAACCATGCACTCGCGGAATATCATGACTTACAAACAACCTCAGGCAAACCTGATAATGCAAGGCGTTGCGTTAAAATTTACTGAGGAAGAATCAGTGGTGCAATCACCGAACGGCGAAGGACAATAGGAAAGCGGAAGTGTTTGTATTCGTGTATACGTGTTGAATTCTAAAGCCTTTGACAAACAACGCCAGCCAATTAAATGGGTACATAACCTTCTTGGGTGTATAACAAGTGTATAATGTCTGCAGCAGCTATACAACCAACCTTATGCACATTATACATTTGGCCTTCTAGATGGAACTTACCATCTATTGACCCCACATGTATTGCAGCAGTTTTCTACCTGCAATTGACTATTCCAGGAAAATTCGAAGTTGTAGAATGTACTAACCCCGACGTGTCCCCTAGTGGTGCGTTTGTCTACCTCATTGTTGGGACTTGCATCTCATAGCGCTACGCTGCAGGAAAGCTTCCCTTCCTCACTCATGGCCATGCCGCAGTGTCGTCTATCCCAGCCATCATTTCCTTTGTTTCCTCGCTGGCAAAGTCTACAACATCAGGTGCAAGGAACCTCGACGCGTTTTTAAGTGCACCACAAAGAGCAAATCGAACCGCGTGGTGCTCACATGTTGAGGTGAATATCGGGGACCTCGTGGTGAGTCCATACAATGACCTATGTATGTAGTTCAATGGTTGATATTCCCATAGGCGTATTCGTTCTACTCTTTGGATGACAACTTCTGGAAACTCACAAACCCTACAATGGCATCGATGCTTCCGATTCCGCAGCGCTACTACGTGCCTGGACGTATACGTGAAATGCATCGACCACGCTTAGAGGCTGCAGGTCTGTGGACACAGTCAGCCTCTGAACCGGAGAAGGACTCCTTTGGAAAACGACAAAAGACAGACGACCCTAAAGACGAGTATGCGCGCGCGTTTGAACGGGACAAAGTGAAGTACTTTTCGTCTGCTTAGACGGTCTTTATGTTTACCACCTTACAGGTATCTGCGCAAGCGAAGGCGTCGTTTGCTCTTTATGCGAGGTTACTGAACGGGCAGAAGTTTTTCTTTGGGGAGCGGTGAGAAAGACCAGTGTTTTTGCCTTTATGTGTTGTCTTAGCTCATTCTTAGGCCCACGACTCTTGACGTTTATCTAGCCTCGCATATTCTCCTGTTGCTTGATCCGCCATTCCCAGACCAACTAATGCGAAGTATTCTGGAGGAGTCATACCCGACACTCGTGGAGCATGCACGCAATATGCAAACCGAAATCTCACAATTACCGCAGTATCTTGTCGCTGCTGCACAAAAACAGTCGTTGCTGTCGTTAATTCCGCGACCACTGAGCAACCCTCCCAAAACGAAGGAGAGCCAAATGGATGAAGCAGACCTTCGCTTTCGTCGCATGCGATGGACGTGGTTCGCGCTTGCTTTAGGCGGCGTGGCGTGCTACGTCGCTCAACTCTGTATGAAAGTCAGCGTCGTGAGGGTCAACAGGAGACCTCGACGTGTGCAGAGGGATGGGGCTAACCAGGAACGTGAAACAGAGGTCACGATTACAGAGGATGAAGAACAAGAAGATGATGAAGAACAAGAAGAAAGTGCTCCGAGTCGGGACGGGGACGAGTAGCCAGTGATCTTAGTTGCGCTTGTGGCTCGGCTTGGTGCACTGTGTTCATATTGTGATGCTCGCCTTGTCTATAGGACCATGGCAGCGGTGCCTCCTGTGCCTCTCGATATCACGTTGTTCTATCCAAATTCCGTTGCATGATTGTGCAGGATGGGCCTGTAAATCAGTCACACTGTGTGACTCACACCGTCACATCTGGTGTTGACGGAAATGGATATACATACTAGTAGACTTCGTCTGGACCCATCGACCACATCATGGATGACGACCTCATAGTCGTCGACGACTACGAGGAACAACAAGCGGGCCCGTCTACCGTCAATGGCGCCAAGGCAACCCCTCCAACTCAACCGCAGAGAACGCGGCCCCTTCGCGCCGCCGCCGAACATGCAATGGCTACAACCCTTCGTCTAAGGGGCACCCCCGAGCCTTTTGAGCGAACGACGCGCTCATCATTAGCAAAGAACCGGCCCCAACCAAAACTAAAACTGAAGCTCAGCGATAAAGCAGCTGCGCAGGCCCCCGGAATGTCATTCCTGGGCCCATATGATCGGGAGTTGGACTCAGATGATGAGGATCTTGCTTTTGAAGAACAATTCGTCATCCGCATGCCGCCTGGGGAAGATTGTGAAAAGTTGCGCAAGATGGTTTCCTCCAGAGAAGTCGGGAATGATGTATGGTTTAAATTCAAGGGTGAGTGGCTTCCTTATGTTACAGCGGTTTACTGAGTGTTACTTTACCCAGACTCCCGCCGAGGAGTCTTCCATATTGCCAATACCTTGTATTCCTTCAAGCTTGTCGATCTTCCGTGTATAATTGAAGCGCAGAAGACCTTGGACAACAAGCAAATGTTCAAAGTAGCAGATATATGTCAGGTTACTTGTCTCGCTTGTTCTGTCGTATCTTCCACTAACATGCCTGCAGATGCTTGTGGTTGAAAACCGCATTCCAAACGAGGAGTCGTTCACAACATCTCGTAATGTGAATGTTGATGAATTCATCTGGCCACACGGTATTACGCCGCCGTTGCACCAAGTTCGCAAACGACGATTTCGAAAGAGGGTTAACAAGAGGGTACGTCCCCCGTATGCTCTTTTGCATATACGTAATTCTGACGTTGCCATTCTAGACTATTGAAAGTGTGGAGGAGGCTGTCGAGCGGCTGTTGGCCACGGATGAACTTGCTACAGAGACCAAATATGGTATAATCATCATTCTTTGGAGTTGGGTCCGTTTTGAGATATCCTGTGGCTAGATGTCCTGGAAAACGTCAACCCAGATCTTTCCGATTCAGAATTCATTGAACGGGATGAACCCATGGATGCACCTACACCTGGTGTCGTTGGCTCGGAGGCAGGCGATGCACCTACGCCAGGACCAGACTTTGGGGGAGATGAGGGCGAAGCCGAGGAGGCAGAAGAAGATGAAGGTGATGGTGACATTGACGAAGACCTCGCCGCAGAACTAGATCTTGCCCTTGGTGATGAAGATGAGGAGGGTGAAGGTGATGACGAGGAGGAAGACGAGGAGGATGAAAGTGAGGATGAGGACGAGGATGAGGACGACGACGAAGAGGCACAGGAGAGGAAGCTGTTGAACGAAGAAATTAGGGACCTTGAAGCTGCTGTGTTAAAGAAGCAAACTGAAATTGCTAGCTCTGCAAATCCCCTGATCAAGGTATCTGTGTTTACACTATTTTCATGTTCTAATTCTCATTTTGCTTCTAGAAACGGTTTGAGGATGCACTACGGAAATTATCAGCTGACCTTGAGATGAAGGCTGCACAGAGAGACGAGATGAAGGAAAGGCAACGACGGAAGAGGGAGGGTATTGCTCCCGAAGATCCAGACACAGACCCAGAAGGAGCTACTCAGGAAGAAGTAGATCAAACAATGGGAGATCTATTTGGGTCAGACGACCATGCTGCAATGGACATTGGTTGATACGGTAGCATACTTATTGCGCCGTGTTTGCTTTGCTATTTTCACTCCATCGCCTGCACATTGTAATCTGACATTACGCTGCCATTGATCTATCATCATGACCCCTGTAGGCATACAACTCCAGCTTGCATGACTAGCGGGGCGTATACGATACATATGAACGGCGCAAACCACACACCCAGCACCTCCCAGTTCCAGATCGCGCTTTCTACCTCTCCAGGTACCAGCACCAGCCAACCCCATGCTAGCACACAATAAGCAGCATATCGCAAACGAGAGGTCAATGTGCTTGAAGATGGGGATGACGTCGCGAGAGGAACACCCATAGTTATACCAAGTATGGCGGCGAGAGAAAAATTAAGTAGGGACATAATGGATATCACTGTCGATGCTAAGCACAAATTCGACGATTTCAGGAGCATTGAAGTTGGAGCTGCTTCCGGGGCATTTGTCGAAAGTAGTGGAGAGAGCACTGGGGGTATCATAGACACGGCGGCAAAAATAGCTGGCGCGAGAAACTATGGGGCGGAGGGAGTCGTCGTATAACACCAAGAGGTGGTCAAATAACTCACCAATCGATTCTCGTCAAACCGTCGACTGCAAACCAGGTTGAATACCAGAACTCCTAATACATGAGTAACCACCACAATAGTAAGCGCAGACAGCAAGGGCCGTCGCCTGTTTCTCCATGTGCCTTTCGCAGGATTAGGCGCTTCAGTGTCGTTGTTGCCTTTCAAAGAGGCCTCGGGTATTTCGTAAATCCACCCTGCGGTCACCCACTCGCCAAGCCCTTTAAATAACATGGCAACGCTGACGACGATGGCGCTTGGGATAAACATCCCAATCTTCATGAAAGTCCCGGGACTGGTTAAGATATAAAAAAAGAAGGAAGCGTGTAAACGCTCTAGAAGATTATTCATTGTCCTGAGCGTAGACTCGACGATTCTGGCGGGTCTTGCTGTAGTTGAGAATGATAGATATTTAGGGTTACTCACCTTCCTAGTGCATGGAACCCATGCGGTCCGTCTGCTGGAACGGCGAACAAGGTGATAGCGTCGATACGGAATCTGGATCGAATCAGCATTCCCTTGCAAGCCACTTAGAACAACAGAATTACTGATGCATTAGGCCATGCACCCCGCTACACATGCCGCGAGCCTGGTAGCCGATGTGCCGAGCTACATTCCGCGCGCGATACCCATATTGCTGAAGTTGTGGACTCTGATGAATAAAATCCGGAACCCATGACGGAAGGACGCTCTGCCCGACAGAATCCGATGGCTCCAGGTGATCGTACACGGTCATTGGGACACCGCCTGTGTAATGTGAGATAAGTCGGAAAGAATTGATGAGGTCCTGATTTGGGAGACGTCCGTTCAAGCCCTCTGTAGGCATCCGTGAGCAATTAGAGAATACAGAGTTAGGTATTTCACCCACCATGGAAGACGCCGAGGTGCGAAAAAGAATGGCTGCTATAGTCAATATTCAAAGCAGTCCAAATGACCCCCGAGGTGTGCTCGAGAGGGTCTGTATGAAGATCTAGTGAACAGAGAATGAAGGCTAAGTTGACACAGCAGACGCGGAACGACATACTTGACGGTATTGTACCATGGTATGCACTCAGCCATGCATGCATTCCATGAAGGTAGTCGTCACTGATGATAAAGATGATGTCTTTCGCCCATAAGGAATAATCTGCCAAGCAAGCATGTTGTATATCACGAGTTTGGAAGTCACCCGATAACTCTACCTTTCAAAAATGCAGCGAGGGATAATATAGTAGATGTTCCACGTAAATTCAGTGCGCCGTGTCCTGCTGCGCTTAACCATGATGCACTAATCACCATAGCTTCTGTTCCAGCGGCTCGAGGCGATGACATGACGGCATACGCATTGTTGCCTGAGATAGTCTTGCAATTGTTTATAACAAACTGACTGCTGAGCAATAAAAACTCACCCCTTTGCTGGTACTGAAAGTATAGTTCTGTATGGAAGCAGCAAGGCCGAGCTTACTGAATTCAGTCTTGAAGAATTCCGCTCTCCTGTCGATAACATTAGCCAGGGCAGTCGAGAGTCGAAAGAGGAGAATGACATACTGCTCACTAGTGAGATTTCGTTCTCGAATACCATCCAGTTGGTACAACTGCAAGTCTGCTGTGTGAACATCGCCCCAGTTCCAATATGTATTGACCTGTGGTTGTGTTAGCTTATGTGGTAAGCACCCGATATGCGCACGTACTTGCGCAGGCTGGAGCGCATTTTCGTCTATGTATGTTCCTTGGGAGAGCAACGGTATAGGGATAAGCAGCATCCACGCATATCCGAGGGTAAACAAGGCGACCCTGTACGACTTTAACGAGAGAGCGGGTGAACAGCGAAGACTAGACTGACGTCAATTGTGTTAAATTACGATGGATCAAGGCAGTTGCCTGTCGTCGCCGTCGAAGTCTGGCGACATTCGCGTCTGGCTTAGGGCGCCTTAGGAAACCTCGTATTCTGTCCATAGAGTCACTGTGAAGTCGGAGTCAATGATCACAAATATCTGGGAGACGCGTGAAGAAGGGACAAGTTTATGGGATGAACAAGTCAGAACATAGGAAACATGTCGATCTGTGGTTTCAAGGAAAGGGTACCAGTTACGTAACGTCGTTGAGTTTGTTAGCGCGGAACCTTCGGCGGAACCAGATAATTTGAGTTTATGGAAGTCTAGTTGCTCCTCCCTGTCTCCGGGTTCAACTCGTCCACGTTTCTTTCTTCTCCCTCCATCATCTTTACAGCCCAATCCGCCTTTCAGCTTTCATTGACCGGTCATGCCTCCGAAGCGCAAACATCGCTCGTCCCCAGCTCCTAAGGGACTAGCTGCAGGGGAACAGCTTAAACGAGGCAAATTGCCTGGCAGTGATCCATGGGGTTGGGTTGGCACGGAGGTCACCCACTCCTCTCAGATTACTTTGGAACATCGTCTTATGTCGTGTGGCCTTTCCAGGAGGAGTAACAACCCGCTCTGTGCCAACAAGTACGCCCATAAGCCAGAGAAGCAGAGTAGTCCTGTCCCCAAGCGCAAATCCGCAGGTGGCGAGCTGGGAGACGACGTCATTATCATCTCAGATGATGAACCACCACCATGCAGTAAGAAGTTGTGCAAGAACAACCCCAATTGTTTGAATTACCTCGGACAAGAGACATGGAAAGACGAAGGTGAGTGTACATCTGCCAACGCGACTTTCTACATCGCAAGAATAACACATATGTCATGAACCTAGACAAAGTCAGGGAATTGTTCCTGAAGGCATCTGACCTAGGGTTTAACCCAGTGCTCAACGCCCGAGATCCCGAACTTCCCGTTGGCTTAAAGGTAGAACAAACTACCGTGCTCTCTGTGATCATACAACAAGTTATACTCATATACACAATTCAGAACCTCGGCGCGACGTGCTATGCGAATGCCTTCATTCAAGTAGGTATCTTTCCACTTAATCATCTCGAACTGATTGGAATAAGCGCCAAGGTATGGTTTCGAGACCTGGCTTTCCGCAATGGTGTCTATATGTGTCAGCCTTCACAAGATAAAGAGGACGTATTTGAGGTCGGTGAGCAGATGGCACATGAGTGCATATTAATCAAACTTGCGTCTAGGATTCGCCCATATTTCAGTTACAAGTGACGTTTACTGCATTGCAGGAATGCACGCAAAACGTCTTCAATCCTGAAAAACTTGCTGAAAGCTTAAAGCTTTCGACCTCAGAACAGCAAGACGCGCAAGAGTTGGTCATTATTAGTCAATTTTGAATAATTTCCTCACGAATTAAACAGGTTCTCAAAGCTGTTTATGTCTCACCTCGATGCTGAATTTCAGAAACAGTCATCGCCATCTTTAAGATCTCTCGTGTCTAATCAGGTAGATCCTCTCATTGCCTGATGTGCCCGATGAACTCATGTCGCTAAAGTTCCAAGGGGAGCAAGTATACGGCACTATTTGCGGCAATTGCCACAATAAATCTGAGCGGTCTACAGACTTCCTTGAACTTGAAATAAATATCGAGGTCATTGATACTCGCACATACTCATCCTCGAATTCTCGCAGGCTAATGCAACTTTCGTTCAGAACAACGCTCGGCTGGAAGACCGTATTGCTGCTCTTCTACAGAACGAGAAACTCACTGGTGACAACAAGTTCGTAAAGCAGTGGATTGTTTATTCCAACATGTCACTCATGCGTATTCCACCAGGTACCTGTGTTCGAGATGCGAGTCTCTCCAGGATGCCACACGGTATACTGAGTTGCGGAACCTTCCCCCTGTACTTCATTTCTCCCTCTTACGATTTGTTTACGACTTTGCCTCCATGGAGCGCAAGAAGTCTAAACATAATCTTCTGTTCCCGACGACGCTTAACATGGACCAATTTGTAGGCTCTGCTGCCGACCGGAAAACAGTCAGTAGCGACAAGAGTGCCAGAAAGAACATCTATGAGCTCAGAGGCGTTCTATTACACAAGGGACCGAGTGCATATCACGGTCACTATGAGGCTCAAGTTCTGGATACCGCGTGAGTGACCTGACAAGTGTTTGCGTGACGTATTGAAGATGGTACAGATCGAATACATGGTTTCAGTTTGATGACGAAAACGTCACGAAGATTGATTCACTCGGAGAAAGGAGATACACTGGTCGCGATATAGTTGACGTTCTGAACGGGAATCCCAAGAAGTATGGTTAAAATTGTCGAAAGAAGTGAACTAAACGATTGCGGCAGGGGAGGCACTGGAAATTCGCGTGGACGTCCTGTAAAGAAAAAGCGGCGGATCGATGACAGCGACGATGAAGTTGTCGAGTAAGTTCGCCGAATGATTTCACTGGCAAGGTCCTATTGAACCCTGATTAGTAGAACTTCGTCACCACCCACGGAACCCAAGATTGTCGAGGCAAAACAACATGGTCTTGAGTACTGAACACCCTTGTCATTAAAGTGTGTCGCTGATTTCGTCTCTTTTTCAAAAATGTCCAGGGATATATTTTCATCGAAAGATGTCTATATGCTTATTTATGTTCGCAAGGATGTCTCATTCCCAGACAACGTCATCTGGCCAGCAGTGACTACTGCTAGCCAAGGATCCGAGCATGGAGACATGACGGTTGATGCTGGAAGTTTTTCCCCTCCCCCACGCGCTCAGGAGGTTGTAAATAGTCTGAATGCAGCTCATGACATGGCCTGTGACGCATATGCAAAGAGGCAAGCTAGCTCGATGCTCGAAATGACTTTTTCTCATCATGTGCTTTAGGGAAAAAGAAGCAAGGGAACATTTTGATGAGTTGCTCAAGAAGATGAAAGACATATTTTCTTCGTGGAGCGTAAATTCTATAGATGAGGTGCTTGATTTCTTCCAATTACATGTTCGCGCGTTATTTATGATCGCTCCCAGGACTCTGTCATGATAAGTCGTCAAGCTCTAGAACGATGGCTGTCCAAGCCTCTCATCAAGCGGAAAACCAAATCTAAGGCCGCAGAGGAACCAGAGTCCACGCTAGAGATATTGCCAATGTCAGACATCCTTTGCCAGCACGACTTCCTGGACCCTCAAAGAGCTAACAATATGAAGCGTGTCTCTGCTGTGAGCTCGTTAAGCAGTCTCCTGCGCAGTTCTAATACAATTTTTAGAGCGCCTATGAGAAGCTCGCTGAGTTCGGCGAGTCTGAAATTTCTCCAGTATGCCAGGTGCATGACGTTTGTGAGATTTGTGTCAGGGAGTCATTTATAGGCAAGTTCGAGTCTAATTTTTCCGCGATCTTGCCTCATTGCCCAATAGAAAAACTGTATCAAGTCAAACATCCTCAGCTGGTAGCGCAGTTCGATGCAGTTTGTGATGAAACTCCTGATCAAGTAGGCTACTGGATATCCAAGATTTGGCTCAAAGGTACGCATTGTCGTATGATAGCTATGCAGTACGTTGTTGATTTTGTCCACAGACTGGCGACTGCAGAAGCCCAAAATGCACATGCCGCTGCAAGGAGATGCGCCACCCGACGCCCCAGAGTATCTTGGGCATGTAGTGTGCGAACATAGTCAATTGTCGCTGGTGTCCACAGCACGAAAAAGCATATCCACTAAGGTAGTTCTATTCATCTCGCGGGCGGACAGTATTGTTAAACACGGTCACAAGGCTGGTGAGATCATTAAAGGCTTGTTCCCTCAGTGGGTACCACGCTCAACTCAGGAGGAGCTCTGCGCTATTTGTGAGGCAACCATCAATATGTCCAGGGAAGACAAGCGTGAGCTACGGAGGAAAGCTGAAGACGAGAAGGTGTGTTGAAAATAGGCTTGATGAGTTCGGCGACTCACATGGTCCAGGCACGGCTGCGTCACATGCATGACAACGCTCTAACAGGAAACACTCTGCTCCTCGAGAATGTCCCTTGTGCTATCCTGCCTGCACACTTCGTGCGTTTGTGGAGAAAGTGGGTCACTCGGCCAACAGAAGGACCACGGCCCGAAAGAGTTGATAATTCACAATTCCTGTGTGAGCATGGGCACCTTGTTTTCGATCCTAATTGTCCGAACGATTGGGACACGTCTATTGCGGTCGTACAAATGACAGAGTGGAGGCTGCTAGCAGATATGTGTGTAGTACTTGGACGTCACAATATGTCTCATTGATTGTTCCGATTATAGGTATCCTTGTAGCTCCACCATCACACTGGAGAAGAAACTTGTCGAAAATCCACCAAACGTATTTGACACGAAGTTTGAGCACGATATCCCCGTGTGTCATGACTGTCGTTCAAAGAGGTATGCACTCCTGATCAATCCAGCTCCTGTCATATCTCAATACTGATACCCCGCGCAGGCGGTCTAACTACGATTTTGCCGAGATTACTGTCCGGCTATTGAGTGGGAAAAACGCATCCAAGGATGTCATGACACAAGAGCACAAAATACATAAACCCGAGGAGAACGGTCAGCCTCATCAGATGACATATGGATCTCATAGGACCTTTGGTACGCGGCAGTCAAAGCGGATACGTGAATCTAAGGATGGTGTGGAGAAGAAACGGATTACTGTCACCAAATCGACTACGGTGAAGGACATCAAAGTGATGGTAAGTGCCTGTCTTTTTGGCGTTGATCGTCCCTTGACTTTCGTCATAGCTACAAGAAGCGCTCAAGATCCCAACAATTTGTCAACGACTGTCCCACTGCGGCCAGGATCTTGATGATAATACAGTCACTGTTGCGACTCTTGGACTTCTCATCAACGATGTCCTCGACCTTCGCGAAGAGGCAGAAGAAGATGACGAGAATGCAACATCAGATGATGTCAGTCGTGCAAAGAAAAGGCGCAAGGAAGAGCGAGGTTTCGGTGGTACACTGCTGGCTTCGTCACATCCAACCGTCACTGCAGATGCTGTTGTGAGCTCTGAAGTGGAGATGCACTTACTCGCAGAACCCTCGCAACAGTCAGCAGTGCAGGATGTGTGACCATAATTTGAAGCTTTGAAGGACGTGATGTCTCAGTATCATATAGAAGTACAGATAATGCTTAATCGACCCTCTTTTACATTCTCGAGTCACGATAATGATTGAATGCCGTGCCGAATTCTATAGGAGATGATGAAGCAAGTGAGATAAGCAGATAACCCAAAGGCACATAAATGAGTCCCAAAGCCCTAAAGGAGATATGCGGAGGATCATGATAGTTGGCCAAAGTCTGACATGCTACCAGAAGACATGGTAGATGTATAATGAACGACACCAACATTGGATTGCGTGGTCATGGCTGATGAATAAGAGCCTAGAGGTAGTGTGCCAGCAGAGTGGGAGTGCAGAGAGTTCATGGGTATTGATCGTTGAGCGGAATCGAGCATCGCTGAAAGTGGACTTACTGGAGCTCTAATCTGCTGCTGCAACAAGGAACTTGCCGTCATCAGGACGTCAACCTCGTTTGACAACGGTCCAGTGATTTCGACAGCCTGTGCAACGGCTGATTGCGTAGCAACCGACACTTCATTGACAGTCACTTGTGTAGCAGCATCAGGCGAGGGGGTGAAACCCGCGGAGATCTGACTCGCAACAGCGGCAGAGCGATCCGCAACTACTTGGCGTGCAGCCTGAAAGACGACCTGTTGTGCCGCTGCTGCTAAAGCAGTAGTTGCCTGTGGGCCAATCTCCGACCTTTGTTGACCAGTCACTTCCTGGTCGAATGCTTGTGCGGTAATTGTCAACACATGCTGTTGCTTAGCGAGAGCCTGCAGCTCAGGGCCGTGCTCGCCTTGTGTCGCGGAAGAGATGATTTGAGACTGAGCTTCTTGAGCGACACGCTGAGCAGCTGACTGCAGCACCTGAATTACTTGCGCATCACGCGTGGCAACGGGTGACACCAGACCAGAGGATGGTTGGGACCTTAACGTCCTAGATAGGAATGCGTGAGAGTGGACGACCTTAAATGCAAACTGGCACTGACCTGGGAGATGTCTGAGGAACTGTGGAATCACTTGCCACCCGACGTGGCTTGTGCATCTCCCCATTCATCGAACCGCGACGCGAGGCAGAGAACGAGGTGTCAAGGTTTGAGACAGGCACAATATTAAGATGGAAGGTCTGCGTCAGCAACTCTTCTTGCCCATCTTGAACATACTACGCCGCTGGCGTTAGATAATAATGGACGTCCACACAGATGAAACGTACACGGGCTACAACCGTGATGTCACAGCTCTCTGCTTCTGGGGGTGGCGTTCCTGACAGCACATCGTCTTCCCAAAATAGCCAGGATGGGAGGGACGGCGAACCGTACGTAACTATAAGGTTCGATCGCGACGCCTGTGGATCCCATATACGAGGTGCCCAAGACCACCGAAGGCCAACGTAAGCAACACCAGGCGGCGAGCCAGCCACTTTCCGATGAAAAGGGCGAAAGGTCCAAGTGCCATCATGAGGGCTCTTCTTTGCGTCTATGTTCCATATATGATTACCCTTGGACTTCGTCTTTTTACCATCCTCGTTGAAACGCGAGATGTACGGTTGGTTCCAGAGGTAATTGCGGATCTGCAAGAAATCAAGGTTCAGTCAGTCTATCATCAGATGATCGATCTCATGGGCTGGCCTTCTTCATTGGAATTTTCTCTTCTGGGTAACCTTGTTTGGCCAACTGCATGGGCGTCAATATCTCATCGATCGCCTCGTGTCTTTCAAAAGATACGCACCTCTTCCAAAAATGCATTTGTGAAAGCCTGTATCCGGAATTTAAATGGTCGAAAATCAGGTGACTCATCTAGACGTTGCATTTTCTTTGCCATTAATGTCTGATGTATCGGCTCCCCTTTCGCATCGGTAGCATCCACTGCAAGGAAAGGCATCAATAATAGTAGAATTGATACGGAAAAAATCCTCACGATTTGAACAGATACTGTTCAAGAACTCGAAGAAGATACGGTCAACTTCCGCACGATACTCTTGCGGAACTTCGTTGCTGTGCCCTTGCGCTGATGTCGGAGACAGGTTTTCTGCAGATTGTCGTGTAACGAGATGACCTGAACGAGCATCATGCCCCGTAACATTGCGAGATGAACTTGAATGGTGAGAAGTTCTTGGTCCTGAGGACTCAGGGGGACTGTGTGAATGCGAACCGACATCGGACTCGTCGTGTTCTCCGTCAAGAGATGAAGTTGGACTATGCGACCCAAGTGATTGTGCAGTAGGATGCTGTGCTGAATGCAAAAAATCAAGGGCATTGGAGGGGTTTACCTCGGATATTCCAAATGCGAATGGATTTGGATTGCCAGTCGTGAAAGAGCCGGATCGTGAAACTCTGCCAATCGGCGGGGTGATGCCCGTTCCGGAATTCGTGAGAGATCGTGGCTGTGAAGATGATGAAGGGAATGTTCCGGTTGTTGAAAATGGTAGTGGTCCGAGAGACGAGCCAGTGTTGGGTATCGAATGAAAATTGATGCCGGCGTTGAGGGAACTTCCCGAAAGTGAATGCTGATGGCTACGATGAGGTAATGTTGCAGCGCCGTCCGACCACGAGGTCCGGACGGTGGGGGGAGGGGGGAAATGAGCAGAATGAGGCATAGTCGTCGATAGCGGCGACGTTGAAATGAAGTCCGTAGATGAGGGAGGCTGTGCTGATGATCCGGGTATCGAATAGCTCATGGATGCGGCGGGCGGTTGATGTGAAATTAAACCATACCCTGCTAGGGGAGGTTGACCTGCGGAACTTGTCGGTTGGGAAGTTGAATCTGCAGACGCGTTTGCCGGAACATATGAAGCCGCGGATCGTATGTCAGTCATGGGGGCCGCAACAGCAGAAGAGAAAGACGATTGGTTGGACACTGGTGGAGGGATAATATGAAGTGGCGTGTCTTCTTGCGGCTCACGCTTTGGCGCCTTGATAACACGGTCTCCGGCCATCGAAGAAGCGCAGCGTTTTCGAGACATGTCTGAAATATCACCATTACTTTGACCATCCATAGTACCTATGTCTGCTGCAGAGGCAAAGTGCATCCCCGACCCCATTTGCTCTTGCGTTAAAGTAACTGCGCCGTGTAAGGACGGGGAAACGCTAGACTTTGCACCCAACACAGAAAATCGTCGAGGTGAAGGATTGCGTGATATGGCTGGAGTATCCGCAATTTTTGTGGCAGCAATAAGCTCGGAGACTAGTGTAATAGTCTTCTTGAGTTCATCAATCCTGACGTTGGCCTCAAGACCCTGACCACGAGAACATGCTGTACTTGCTGATTGCGCGGTATGCGCAATACTGCATTTTCAGCCGACACAATTATTCTTAGGCGTGAAGCGGAAGATATGAGAACTTACGATTTAAGTATGTCTCCGACGACCAGCAGGTGTGAGTCGCCGGGTGTCTCTGGCGAGCTATCGCGCCCATTGAACGAATCTGGCACGTCTGGGGGCGGGAAAATAAAACCTGAGTCCTGTGTCGGCTTTGATGAGCCATTGTTTAAAGGGGGAAATGCCAGCTCAGAAGCTGAACTATTCAAAGCCCCTGGAGACCCAGAAGAATCCAACACCCCAGCATGCACAGATTGAATTACGGGCTGTCCACTAACCATGATGGACGAGGTATTCATGGTATATGCAGATGACACACCATGGGCGGCGGATGAAGGGCCACTGGAGCCGGAGGTCGTGCTTTGAGGGGAGTGAAGGGCGAGATGACTATCCATCCGAGACAGTGCGGCGTATGAGATATTTTGACGAGGAAAATCAGAAATAAAGCCAGGTGCTGGTGCGCGGGATGATGTGGGTGCGTCAAGTACGTCCATTGAGTGTATTGCGGCGGAGGAAGGAGAGGTATCTGCAAGTGACAGGTGTAGAGCGTTAGGGTCGACCGGTCGTTGGAAGATGGAAATAGCGTCACGCGAAGTATGAGAGATGGTATTTTGTATGAGAGGATCCTCAGGGCGTTGAGGAACGAGAGCTGGGTAAGCTAGAGAAAGGGTATTCGAAGGCGATTGGAGGGAGGTAGTATCCATCTGAACATTTGGGTCCCGGGTATCATGAAGGGGCATCATTGATCAAGGAAAAGAGCTTCGGACCCAGTGCTGACAGGAAAGTTCCTGGGAGATCCGTTATGGAAGACTACTGCCAGAAGTTATAGAGAGAAAAGAAGATCAAAGTGTGATTTTCTATAGGAAAAAAGGGTACGGGCGACAAGAGCGTCCAAAAGCAAGCAAGGTCAAGCTTGAACACAAAGATTGCGATTGTTGTTCCGAAATGCTACAGACTGGCCGAATTTTAAGCTACGGACTGTCAGTGGTATTCTGGACGGAATAGAGAGGGTTTTAAGAGGATGAAAGACCGGGGTTATGGCAATGGACGTATACGCTAGCTGGACACAAGAAAGTGAAGAACATGCCACAGATTGCATGCACAGCGACCTTGTCAATGTCACGATTAAACTGTCACAGGCACAAAAACATAATTATACCAAAATTATATATTCGGGTATCTCTACTTAATTCGGTTTAGTCAAAATTACGGAACCAAGTACTCTATTGAGCCAATTTAGCGGGTCTTCCGACTCTTGCCGCCTCACGTTTCTTATACAGTAGACGACACTATCTGCTGCGCAGAACCATATGTACATACTTACTACAACCGTCTCGAAGTTTGGCGCCTCACCCAATCCACGATGCAAACACATCATGGTTCCTATCCCCTTCAGAAACCAACCCTTTCCAAGCGTAATACACTATCAGTATCGTCTGCGCCCGGGCGATCGAGAGCGATCACGATCTCTTCGACGATCACTGCATCCAAGGAAGAACAATTAACTTAAACGTTATCATCAAGCCCGCATACAAACTCACTCATATCTTGATGATGCATGTTTATCATACCCTCGTTCACGTTCACGATCATCACGTGATGACCGGTGATCGCCCCCTCGGTCTCCGCCGGGTCTGCCCGCACCCCCGGCTACCCCGGACGGAGGAACAGAAGATGGAGGTGGCATTTTACGCTTTTCACGCTCTTCCCGAAACTTGCCTAGCATGTTACGCAGCTCGTGGTAACCCAAGTGCATCTACCGATTCATGAGAATCCATTCTTCACGTGAACTCGTATGAAAAACAACATACCTTGCCTCCAAAGTGGTCCGCGAGGCGCCGGTCGGAATCGAGCACGGAAAGGTATGCACCACAAACGTCACAAACACGGAGTTTTTGATGGCCGGAGGCACCGGACGTATCTGTGAGTTGTTGAAGCTCGCGCTAGAGAGATCCAATGCTAGAATGAGATCTTGTTCCCATGGTAGAAATCAATCGAGGGCGCAACATACCTCCTTTTCTGATTTCTCGCTCTTCAAAGCTTCAATGGCGGCCATCTCCCTCATTGACTCATCGACCTTTCCTTGTTCACCTGGGGGATGTAAGAAAGCAGGCAACTTCCAAAGGGAAAAGCACATACCAAGGGTCTCGATCTTCTCAGTCCCACCCTGAATAGCCAGCTCGATTTCAGCTATCTCTCGCATTAAATTAGTTGTCTTCGCGTTCTCCTCTGGTGTCTTCTCCAGCCTTCGGTGCGCAGCCCGAATCCTTCTGTCGCACTCGTCCACAAAGGCAAATATGTTCGACTCATACTCCATTTGGAAACGAGCAAATATAGGGTCATTTGGGGTTGCCTCTTTAGCTGCCAGAAACTCTGTCTTCAATCGCTCCGTGTGTGATTTTGGGCATGCGCCAAGATCCATTTTCTAAGTTGAGAAGTTCCAGTGAAATACTGAGAAAAAGCAGTGAATGAACGCACAGTGTTTGTGAAAAGTGCATGCGGGCATGTCCCGCACAGAAAGTTTCGGCAAACTTTATCGTCAGACCAGACGAGGTTGGCATTAGCAACTCCCATTGCTTCAGGGCCCATCATTTGCTAGACACGTAATTAAAGACAAGGCTTCGGCAGTCAGATAATTGACATACCTCAAGGAGCTTCCTCTGCATCTCCGCTAGTCGTCCCATGATGTCAGTACTTTGGTGTTAAAGATTGGCAGTTGAGTTTGTAGTCAAAGGACCGATGCTGGTCAAAGTTGAAGACACCGGTGAGCTTGTTTGGCTGTCTTTGTCAACAGCTTTGGAATCAAACAAGAGCAAATAATCATTAATGACAGTGCTCAGCCAAGGCAATCAAAGAATACTAAGAACGATTTAATTTACATACGAGAATTGTATGCGCATAGAGTAAATATTACACAAGTTTGCGATATGAACATTAGTTCGTGATCACGATGTCAGCTGTATGAAGACGATGGGATGACTCAATTGATACTATGGATGCATGATGCAGTCAAGAAGAGACCTGATGCGAAGGGGAGGTATGTGCCAAGTAATGAAAGAATGAAAGGGAAGGAATCATGAGATATGCTGATGAGCAGAGGAGGGCACGGGACAGGGGTATGTGATCGCTGAATAACGATCTAGGTTCCTCGTCCGCGACCCCGACCACGACCCCGACCCCGTCCGCGACCCTGCCCACGACTGCCTCCGGGAGCCCGCTGATGACCCTCGCCGGGTTGTGAGGGCGCAGGCGGGACGCTGTTGTGGGGTGTTTTGGCAGGTTGAGCGTTAGGACGAGGTTGGTTGAAGTGTTGTTTTTTGCCACGAGTCTGCTGACGACTCTTAGCTGAACCATCCGGTGCAAGCGGCGAAAGGGGAGAAGGCGAATTATGTCTCGTATCCTTTGGACTCGAAACCTTTGGTGTTGATGGCGGTGTAAACCCTCCAAATGTCATCAGAAGGTTCTGGATCTCCGAAAATTTGACACTATCTCGGGGAAGCTTCTTCAACAGTGGCTGATTGACCTGTCCAGACGTCACCTGTGTCCAGGCATTTCCGATATCTTGAGTGGAAGCCAGACCCTTGTCGAGGATCAACCACACAACCTCGGGCTGGCAAGATTGCAAAGCTAGAGAAAGAAGCGACATTGGTTGTGAGAGGCTATAAATCGCACTATGGTCGTCGTCTTGCTTCGGATCATATGACTGGAAGAAATGGTTTATGATTGGGATACAACCCTGCTGAAGCGCCAAGTGGAAGGCCGATAGCCCTGCAGAGTTGCGCTCTTCCGGATCTGCACCTAGAACGTAGAATATGGGGTTAAAAAACTCGTGATAGCGGTAATTAAAGCAACGTGACTGACTGTGGGCGTCTAACCACTCCACGAGGTCAACGTCACCTTGCTGTGTAGCGATATGCATGAGTGTTTCCTTCAGATCATCAGGCGGCCTCTTGACGTAGGTTTCGCAACCAGGCTTGATTTCGCCTCCAGCAGGATCGACATTCTGTTCCCAAACTGCCTGCCTGACTTTGGCTGCGTCTCCCTTACGTGCAGCCGAAAAGGCGGCTGATCTAATAGTCTGGACACGCCGTTGCTGAGCCTCAGCAGTCTCAGCCGCTTTCTGACGAGCGGCCACAAATTCTGCCTTCTTGGAAGCTACTTTGGCTTGTTGCCTCTCGGCTGCCTCTTTGCGTTCTAGAAAGGGGTTATGTATAATTGTTACAATTTCAAGACGAGTCACGTACCCTTCTCGCGTTGCCGCGCTTCAAAAGCTTTGCGTTCAGCTGCCTTTTCCTGGCGCCGTTTTTCTGCCTCAATTTGCTCTGCGCGAGTCCGCTCGATTCGAGCCCTGTATTGTTCAGGGGTCTCAGGGGAGGTGGATCGGCGACGATAATTACGGTGAGGGTCGGCTACACCAGACGTTCTAGTTCCATCGAACCACAACTAGGAAAAGAAATGACTTACGTCGTCTAAAATACATATGTTCTCCATTCACAAACTGAGAAAACATGTACCTGTGAAGAATACGTCAGGAGTTTACGTCTCTACACGAGTGTAATAACACACGTGAAAAATCCAGTGGGGTCTCCTTCGTACTCAGAATCGTAGAGATTGTCCTCGTAGTCCTCGTAGTCGTCATATTCGTCACTGTCCATGCCATGATGGTGCATGCGTCTAGGTCCAGTAGGCGGATCCAGGTGTCTTTGGAGGACATTGTATGCATCGCCGACTGCCTGGAATTGTGCTGTAGCATCGGCATTGTCAGGATTTTTATCTGGATGAGTTCGTAGCGCATGCTGAATTTTATATTATTGGAATAGTTGTCAATGTATTTTTGTCTGGACAACTCACCTGCCTATAAGCAGATCTGACCTCTTCAAGAGTGGCACTCTAAACATGGTTATTGGTTGAATGCACATTTACAAAAATAAGAATTATACCTCTTGAAGACCGAGAATGGAGTATGCCTCAGCGACGGACGAGTGCTTGACCATGACGCCGCGATGGAAGAGGATAACGAGAAAAATGGCAGGCGGTGAAAGTCGCGCTAACAGACGCGCGCGCTCCAAATTAGGAATCGCTTTGGAATCGCTCCAATTTTTTTTTTGGTTTACTTCGTACAGGCTAGGTTCGTACATAACAAAGAAGCACCCAAGTTGGCCTAAGGGAGACTAGCTTTACCTGTTGAAAGTGTAAAGCTTTCTCTGGTTTCGACTAGTACGAGTTGTGCCACGATGACTATCCAAGGTGTTCCACCTCCTCCGAGTCTGGAAGGCCAGATTGCCAGTGCATCAGGCTTGCCAAGTACCAGTCCTGCAATACCCCAAGATGCAGGGGCAGTCTCATCCTCCGTCGTTAGCAGCCTTTTTGGTGATAAGTACGTTCTCCATAACATTTCTTGCAACTTGCAAGATTACTCAGAGCTATTCGAAAGTAAAGCCCCTACTTCCAGGCTGGTTTCGGTCTTATGGTCCGTACTACATCTCTAAATTTTCTTTGTTCACACTTGATACTCGAACCAGGGTGTCGGCGTTGGTTTAACTGTACTTCGACAAGGTCTAGTTCTTGGCACTACCGCACTTCGCCGGCGTCTCCTCGTATCATTAGAGGTTAACAACAAAGACCGCGCATATGAGTGGTTTCTCGCATGGCTTGCACACAATGCACAATCAGCTGCCCCAACTTCTTCTCGAAGAGCCGAGTCTTGGTTGCGCAGCCATCAACTAAGTGTCGAAACCGCAGTCGAGCAACGCAGTAATGGGAGTTCTTCTGTTCTATTCAGGCTAGTCGCAGGCCCCGGAACACATTGGTTCAAGTACGGCGGAGCTTGGATGCAGGTTAGTTGCACTATGTGTCACACCGGAACATATTTTCATAACATTGCGATCAAGATGAAAAGAGAACGTGAGACGCGCTCAATGCAACTCATGTCGGGCACGCCATGGGAAACTGTGACTGTAACAACACTCTCCAGAGATCGCCATCTTTTCTCGAAGCTCCTTGCAGAAGCACGCGACCTTGCTCTCCGCGGTCAAGAAGGAAAACTCGTGATCAGAACCGCGTGGGGGATCGAATGGAAGCCATTCGGTCAACCACGGCGGAAGCGTCCACTACACAGTGTTGTTCTGGATACAGACGTAAGTGAGAAGGTTGAACAGGATGTCAAGGCGTTCCTGCAACGACGACAGTGGTATGCGGACCGGGGCATTCCATATCGAAGGGGATATCTCTTGCATGGCCCTCCTGGATCAGGGAAAACTTCCTATATTCAAGCTTTGGCAGGATCGTTATCATATGACATATGTCTACTCAATTTGTCGGAACGAGGACTCGGCGATGATAAACTCAATCACTTGTTATCAAATGCACCAGAGCGTAGCTTTATTCTCATCGAAGACGTGGATGCTGCGTTTAACAAACGCGTGCAAACAGGCGAGGATGGGTGAGCCGATGAGTCTGGTACACCTCGGAACACACGGCTAATAGCGCATGCTATAGTTACCAGTCCTCTGTCACATTCTCTGGGTTTTTGAACGCTTTGGACGGTGTTGCCTCGGGAGAAGAGCGGATTATTTTCATGACGACAAATCACCTTGAAAAATTGGATCCTGCACTCATCAGACCGGGGCGTGTTGATCTAAGTGTGCTTGTTGATGATGCGTCGCCCACACAGGCACGCACGCTCTTTACACGTTTCTACGGTGGTAGTGAGTCTGTCCAACCGGAGGTTGTAGAACGCATGGGGCAGCAGGTAGAGGAATTAACCGCCCAAGAGACGTGTAATGGGAGGAAGATTAGCATGGCTGCCCTCCAAGGCTTGTTCATCAGGAACAATGCTCAGAAATCGGTCAAGACCCTCCCCGAGCTATTCGTAGAGAGACGGACATGAGTAGACGTAGGTACTTGTATGGTATCTCTCGTTACAACGAAGATCCGGTTTTGTTCGTGAAACACTGCGAGAAATTCCACTAGAAAAGTGGCTTGCGCTTGCGGCCAGTGTATTTTGAATCTCTTGGTACCCCTTCTTTTCCTCGTTGACGGTACAACTAATGATATACGTGAGCGGATAGACGCAGCCAGTTTCCATCTGACTTGCCTCTTTTTTCTTCAAGATCCAATCTTTGTCTTTCATGTTCTTTCTCTTCCCACTTATATCCCTCTTCTTTTCCTTCTCCCTTCTTCTCTCGAACCTTGCTTGCTCGTCGTCTTCACCCTCTACGCCCTTAGGGATTTGCTGCTGCGTGCCTCCTCCGCCAACAAATAAGCATAGGAACACCTTCCTTGCTTTCTTGGAATTTGGGTAGTCTACGACAACACCTCCTCCAAAGCCGGCCTTCTGCGCTATTGAAGTGATCAATTGTATCTGGTCATCGGAAGTCGGATAAAATTGAAAGACTGCTCGAGAGGGGTTACGAAGAGCAGAGTGGAGAGTCGTGAAGAAACGGGTGAGACGGTGTGGTGGTGAGGACGTTGGATGCGATGTTTCAGCATTCAAAAGCCATTGCAAGACAGATATGCTGTGAGATAATAAAATAAGATCACGCAAAGGAAGTCAAGTCACGAACCTTATTGCTCCGTCGAAGCTTCCTGGCCGGAAACCAAATCCCTGACCGATATCCTGCAAGAAAAGGTCGCCGTCAATATCCCTCTCCAGTGCGACCTCTAGTTGTGATTAGCCCACGTCTAGCGTTTTCTATGCCAAAACGTTATTGCTCACCGAGCATACTTGGCGCGATGTCTACGCCTGTCCAGATGTATCCCTCCTCCTCCAAAATCTCACCTGAAAGACCCGATCCGCATCCAATATCTAACAGAAAAGCAGGCTCATCCGGAGGAAGATTGAGCAACTCTAGAGCACGGTACGTCATATCTGCCTGGATTTGTTGATTACGGGTGCTTATATGACACTGAGAACGGCAAGGGGATGCATATGTGAACAAGCATACTTTTGAGTGTATTTCTTGGCTTCAGCATCGCCATAATACTGTACATGTCCAAAAATTAGTCGTACATCGCCTGTGAGTCGACGAAAATAACGCATACAATCTCTGGGGGGGCCTGGTGCTCTGGCCGTGACATATTTCTTGAGCAGCTCTGATGATGATAATGGTAGGTTTGTTAGAGTTGACAAGCACGTGGATTCAATCTTCGATTCAGCCCAATTTGGCAGTCTAGTCATTCTTCCCCGACGATGGCGACGACGAGCAAACAGTACAAAGCCATCGGAGAGGACCTTTGGAAAAGTCGCACAGAGAAGATTGTGAGGTTTGGACTTTGTGTCGCGTCTTTGGGTCAATCAGGCTTCAACTAACCCCAAAAACAGAATTCAGAGCTATTTGCTCTTACATATGGCGCCCTCGTCGTCCAGCTGATCCAGGACTATGAAGATTATGCTGAAGTGAACAAGCAACTTGACAAAATGGGATATAACATTGGGACACGATTAATTGAGGACTTCCTTGCAAGGAGTTCTTTAGGTCGCTGCTCTGACTTCCGAGAAGTGGGCGAGGTGGTGGCGAAGGTGTGCGTTCATTACTACTCCCCTGAGCTGACGTTCTTAGAGCCTCCTCATTTGAAGGTCGGGTTTAAATCCTTTTTAAATATCACACCAACAGTCACGCACTCTGGCGGTCCACCTTCTTCCTCCCGCCCAAGCAGTACAGTCCAACAGTCAGGAGTGCCTGGCTCGTCGTTCATTCTGACCCTGGATGAGAATCCCTTGGCTGAATTTGTCGAACTCCCTGACGAAGCTTTGGAAGGATGTTTATGGTTCAGTAACGTGCTGTGTGGTGTTCTTAGAGGAGCACTTGAGATGGTAAGTCCACAAAATAAAATAATCTGCGGAACTAAGTATCACACCCATTTCAAAGGTCCAGATGCAGGTGCAGGTGGAGTTTCTATCTGATGTACTTCGTGGGGACGAGAGCACGGAGATTCGGGTGACATTGCTGAAGTACCTGGAAGAAGAAGTCCCAGTCGGAGACGACTAGAGAAGCCACCTTGGATCATTTTGTACTTAGGAAAAGTGTATTATCTAGAAAACGAATACGGGACAAGCGCGGAGTGGACTTCCGAGGATATAGGGACATACATAATAAACACCCTCAGCCACGACGATCGACCCTGTTGAGTTTCTTCGCGGTCCGCGCGTTGTTTTGGGTATTCTGGCCGCGGACTGGCAAACCCATGGCATGCCTCTTTCCGACGTAACTGCCTATCATGCGTTGATGCGCAATATTATCCTTGACCACTCTCCTTGCTTCGCTCTCAATCTTGATGTTTTTCAACGGATCTGCCCATGCCCTTTGCGAGAACTTCTTCGTCTCCTCCTTCAGGGCCGCGAGTGGAGTTGAGGCCGGTGGAGGTCTATAGGACGACGTGGCTAATGGAAAGCGAGGAATGGGAGTTGAAGTAGAAGGTGAGGAAAGGAATGAGGCAAGTTCTGTGATTTGATGAGGTGTTAGACTTCGAACTTTGCACTTGTCGTGAATCTGAAGACGTGCACAAAGTCGATGTGCAGTTTTGTGGCCAATGCCATAGAATGCAGTCAACGCGAACTGGCTTATCAATGAGCAAAGCTTTCAGAAACAATCAGCTATAGCGCACCCTTGCATATTGGTAGTCTGGGAGCTGCACCCCCAAGACGTGAACCATGTTTCACTGCGGACAACAATTATTGAGAGGAACTCAACTTCAGCTTGCTTGAAAAGTAATTTCATACTCCGCGAGTCGACTTCGCGCTTCACGTTTCACGCAACCACAACCTTCATGGCTTCTAACAATGCGGAAGGACGTCGTGAAGATGCTTTCGTCAAGCAGCGCGCTCAGAATCGTGAAGAGTATGAGCGCCAAAAACAGACTCTTATCAACGAAACAGAAAAATCCCGTCCCTCAGCCAACAAATTCGTCGGTCAAAATGACTCCATGGAAGAAACACTCAAGAACCAGACTATCGGTCTAGTGAGGCTGGAGGACTTTCAGCAGAGAAGGAAAGAGTTGGAGGAGGCAAAGGCACGTGAGGCTGCTCGCACCAACGAACTCAAGTATGTCATTTTCAGTGTCCAATGACATTCTCTCTCGCGCTGTGACGACTGTGTGGAAAGATGGCTTATATTCCGTGGAGGATTTGTTTAGGGACGCAACAAAGAGGATAAAGAAACGCAAGAAGACAAAAGCTACCCTATCATTTGCCATGGACGATGAAGGTGACGTCGAAGGCGACACCTCATCACGTCAAACGCCCGAGGTCGAGAATGATGAACAAGCGTCTAAGCGTGCCAAGTTCCGCAAGAATCCCAATGTCGATACGTCATTCCTACCTGACCGTGATCGAGAGGAAGCGGAGAGGAAAGAGCGTGAAAGGTTGCGCCAAGAGTGGATTCGCAGACAAGAAGAGCTTAAACAGGAAGAAATTGAGATCACCTATTCGTATTGGGATGGGAGTGGACACAGGAAGTCGGTTGTGGTATGTTCTCATATTGATTTAGTACTCAATAACTCATTCACGGGATGCTTCAGTGTAAGAAAGGTGATACCGTTAGCGCCTTCTTGGAGAAGTGCCGACAGCAATTCCCGGAATTGCGAGGCGTTAGCGTTGACAACTTGATGTACATCAAGGAGGACCTCATAGTACCTCATGTGAGTTATTGGTGAAGTATCCCTGAATTGGTCATTTGAATATTTCAATTCATTTTCGACAGCATCACACGTTCTATGACTTCATCATTAACAAAGCTCGTGGCAAGAGTGGGCCGTTGTTTAATTTCGACGTCCATGACGATATTCGCCTACTTGCTGATGCGACTAAGGAGAAAGATGAGTCGCACGCTGGTAAGGTGGTGGAAAGGAGTTGGTACCAACGATTTAAACACATCTTTCCTGCCTCTCGATGGGAGGTAAGTGAGCCATTCCTCCTGTGTCCGTATCCTGTTAATCAAGGTGTAGATATATGACCCAGAGAAAGACTACGGAAAGTACACTATCGCTTAATATTGTTACGTTCATATTGTGTATGCATTGCGCTTTGAAGACACACCATACCTTCCGTTGAACTCAGAGAGTATCAAAAAAAATGAATGAATGCCAGGACCGTGGATTGAACACGGGACCTCCAGAAGAACTTACTTCAGTCTGTTGCTCTCCCAGCTGAGCTACCCCGGCGATTCACTTGCACGGCACTTGTCAGATTTGGTGCACATCTACGATGGGGCAAACAGCGCGCCTCGAGGCGCAGGCAATTAGCATAACCTTGGTATGTATATCGCACAAGCACCTTTAGCACATATTTGACTGATAAGTATCTCGGATGATATTGATTATAGTGAATAGACTAGGCAACCCTAAACCAGATGCTATAGTACATGCCTTGTCTCTAAGTGAGATGCGATCCCGATAATAGCGCGTTGCAAGTCAGGGTAGATGGTCGATATAATGCGACGTGATATCGAAAAATGTCCAAAGGAGCCCGTGCGTCGTGATGCTCCGCACTGCACTGACGCCGAGACCGCGATATATGCGTGCTATGCCAGCGAGCACTGGCTTTGGATCTTTAGGATCCGGACCTAATGAACTTTGAGCCTTCGTAACAAGACTGTGTTGGTCTGCCGTACCGCGCACGAGGCGACGGAGAGTTTCCCATACTCCTTTCGGAGGAGTGCCAGCTAAAGCACGTTGCTGGACTTTCGTCTTTACTCTGATAAAAGATGGAAGGATGAGCGTTGTAACACACAAAATATCGATACTTACACATCAAGGGGATATATCAATGCCCATGAAGACACACCGGCCAGCGAACCACAGACGAAGGGAATTAAGGATGTGGGTATCGGCAGCCATGCTGGTGTTGGTCCCTGCTCTCCCGAGCGCTGGCGGCCCAATAGATGTCGCATGGCATCATATTCGAAAAAGTACAAAGCAGTGCCAGCTGTATCTCGCACTATGGAGCGGATCAATCAGAGTAACAAACATCGAAGTATATCACTCACCAAAGTGGAGACGGAACCCTATCCAGAGCCCAGACAGCCCGTGAGTTCGAAAGATTTCTCGGACAGCGTCGATAGTGTTTGGGGGTTTAACCATTTGGATGCCTTTAGTTGCGGCTATGCTGTATTCCAATTGCCTTCGAACCTGTCAATAGACTTGGAAGATTACCTTCCAGACAAATCAGCCAAGTAAGAATACCTTGACAAGTTCGAAGGCTAGAAAGATTCACATGTCAGATGTTTAGAGAACACAGTGAAAGAGTACGCACGTGCACTCGTAAATGAGATCAACGACCCAGACAATGCACCACTGAGACCGCCCGCGAGGGCAGCATGAGAAGCTCTATCACCTGTAAAATAGTTGTTTTTACGACAGTATTCTTTTGTACTACTGTATATCGTGAATGAAGCAGCACCTGGATAGCCGTTAGGGCATGTGCAGAACGAACATCGTGCGATAACTCACGGACAAACGAAATCGTGACAAGCGGTATCCAGAGACCTCTATAGAAGCCTTTTACTCCCTCTTCCCGATAGACGGTACCAGCAAGCTTGAGTACTGGCATCCTTGTCTTGGTGGTCTGTAGTCTCGACTTCAAGGAATCCAACTGAACAACACCCAGGTTCATAAGTTCTTTCAAGGTAGAAAGGGCAGACACACTGGATATCCAACAAATGTTGAAATGTAGCTAGCCGAGAGGGCGCAGACCACTGGCTTATTTCCTAGCAGAGAAGTTGTTACAAAATCGAGCTGAGTTTTTGAGCATACATACGCTTTAAAACGTCGTTGAAACCATCCCTGTTGAACCAGGGATTTATTGGCGGGCTGAAGACTTTTCAAGAACTGACACCTTGCAAAAAGTCAAGATTACGGGCGTACCTTGTTCCATCCATAGCTCTCCTTGCTGGACCAGACAAAAAGTCCAGTTTCGTGCCTCTGCCAGTCTATGTCGAGAATGGCCGGGCGTGATCTCAGTTGGAGCCAGAAAGAAGAGCTAGAAAGGAGATAGGGATCTTCCACGGCGATTCGATATAGGCTTGTGGTAGAGTTTCGGAGGAGTGTCACGCGTCATGAAAATTGTCTATATTTGGTCGACAGCTTTGATTTGAGTTGTCATTATTCACGACACGCGCTTACAACGCGCTCATAACACAATTGATCCGGGAAACCAGTAAAACTGACTCATCTGCTATGTATTACACAGGGTATGAACTACTGGTCCATAAGTATCAGAACCCACCCAGCCTCTTCTTCACAAGCTTTTTGTTCGTCGGAGCATTTCGACCACCATAACGTCCAGGCAACACTTGAGTACTCGTCATCAACTCTTGAGAGGGTTGTGAAGGTTCAGGGTAATGGTAATTCCCGTTCTGAATATCTGTAGTCTGTGAATTGAAGCCTTGCGGTTGGGTGCCGGACCTTCCCCAGTGGCTCTGGATAATGTGAATGGGAGGTGGTCGAGGGTCGAAGCCTGGAACAATCAGCGGAGGGCGTTGTGATGTTGTAGTCGTCGTTTGCGTAGCCACTAGGGCGGTGGGGAATGCCCGTTTTCGGGAGGGAGCGACAATGTTGTCGCCTTCTGCATTATATGGATCATAATATGTATAGGACTCAACGTCCATCCCAACCTCCCACTCCCTCAACAACAATCGTACACCCAGTGGAGTGGAAATATTCGCATCCTGTGCAGGTTCTGCGACAGCGTCCTTCCCTTTGAAAGCATTGGGGTAATGGTCGACACCAAGCTTGAGATATGGACGCAAGTAGCCAAACTGAATCTCGGGAAGTTCATCGTCAAGTGTCAGAGCTTTTGCGGCAAGAGACATAGTCTCCACATCGTCAGCTTGGATTGGAGCAGCAGACATAGAAACAGGCTGAGCTGAGAACACCATGCTAGAAAGGGCCAAATCGAGAATAAGCTGCTCTCGTGACTCTTTCTCTTGTTGCTCGAATAACCCAGAGGCATCGTCCGAATAAGACAAATTGAGAGCCTCCAGAGCACCGTGCATGTCCTCCCACTGATCCACGCGACCAAGCCCCATACGGCTGAGAAATTGCTTGAAATCGCAAGACCACGCCGCACCACTCGCAATTTCTTGGACCGGCAGCTTGTTGTGTATGAATTTTTTGTACCCAAGATTCGAGTTAATGATCCCGCCAGCGAGAAAGTCCGCTCGAGAGGCCTCGTCTGGCTCATCAGTGCAAAGGCAGATATCATGTCTGAGAAATATGACGGATCAGCCTCTTAGGACGACAACATGTTGAACACGCCTCACAAGGTCAACATTGCCTTGTCAGTGTTCTCTGTCCTTTGCCAAAATTGAGATGACTTGTCTGTCATGGCGGCAAGTCCGCCCTCAGAGGCAGTTTGTTCAGTCGCGTTCCCCGTAATGAAAATTTCTGAAACCAAAATCAGTGTCTCAACGAACTCAGCCGAACTGAACCACAAGTGCTCACTCTGATACGCAGTCCGTAGGTTGAATTCAGAGAAATGCCTTGCGCTCAGTGGCCCGTATTGAGGCTGAAGCTCCTTTGCTCTTTGAGCTAGTTTCTGCACATCAGCGGACCAATCGTGGCTAGTGCCACTAGTCTGTCTTGGAAGTATGTCTATGCCATTGTGACATACAGCAAAGTCCTGGCAGTGGAAGCTGCCTTGTCCAGAGAGCCGCAAGAGCAAAAGGGTGGACCTATCAGGCTGGACAAAAAATGCACTTTCCGAGTCAGGCGCACCCATATCACCGTCGTGGGGTAAAAACGTTGGAACGGAATGGGAGTGGATCAGATTGTCATTTCCTCGAGACACGTCATAAATGGTGACGAGTCCATTTTTGAGCGAACTTAGGAAAGTCAGGGGGCCTGCAATAGAAGGTGAGTGAAGAGAGGACCAATATCTCGCAAATTCCGTACCGCTATCCAGCTGTACAACTTTGACATTGAGCGATCTATCATGCGCTCGGTTGTGCTTAGAGCTCAAAAGTGTTTTCTTCGGGTACCGATTATCCATCCATATGAGCTCCGAGGTCGTCGAAATGGTGAGGAGATGTTCTCGCTCTAACCAGTCAAAAGATGTTACAACAGAGCCCGACTGGCCAGTGGAAAATAGGTCAACAGCAGGCTGGCTCGACTACCTCTCTGCGTTAGCCGAGATATCAGAATGCCCTACTGGAGTTCGTACCCTGAAATCATGATGTTGAATGAAACTACTTGACGCCAGGAAGTAGCCTTGGTCAGATGGACGAAGCCTCCAAAATCGGTCCCCGTTCGTGTTCTCAATATTGACTTCATTAGGCCCTATGCGCCGCCTGATGAAGGCATGAATTCAGCGAAATTGAACGAGAAAAGACACATACACAGCTTTTGCTCCTTGATATATACTGCAGGTGTAAAGTGCTCCAGAGGTGTTCACAGCAATGATATCGGAGTCATGGGGTGAAAATGTGGCATCTGCCACGCTTTTGCCTCCTGCGTCATCCGACAAGATGTCCACCTCCCGCGTGGCCTTGAAGTGGGTGCCTTCATTCGCCGATTCAATGCTCAACAGAGATGTCGCGGAGAGCGTTCTGACCAAAACAGTATTTGTACCACGCTTCATAGGTGAATTTGATCCATTCGAGGTTGAGATCTGGAGAATGGGTGTCTCGAACTTGGATGCAACACGACCAGGTGCGTGAAAAGTCGAGTCGGAATTAGTAGCAGATATAAATGAAATATCTGGCATCCAAGCTGAGATTAACTAACTAGGGCAAGATTGGGCAAGACAGCTTACTCAAATCACTGGTGGTTTCTCCCACTGGAAAGAGAACCAGTGATGTCTGAGGGGTGCTAGAAGACGGTACGATACTAATGAGATTGCCTCTCAAAGGATCGTAGACTTGCAATGCTCGGTTTTGTCGCTCGTCGGACTGGAATTCCGCCTTGACGAGCTCCATAGGGAAGTCGGCGTCAGGGAAACATGTTCTAACGAAGTTGAGCTATTAGAAGATACACAACGTCAAGATGACGCTAAGACTATGGATGAAGTTCATACTCCTTCCTCGATTCGCCGCCATTGCGCAAGACGACTTGGCATCGGATTCATAGGTCGAGTGGCAGGGAAAATGCAACGCCCTGCCCCAACTGATGTCACTCTTCGAGCTGAAAGATTTGTTAACTACGCTCATGTGCAAGGCCCAAGCTCACCATTAGATGTATCGACAACAGTTGTCCAAGCTAACCGTCCGTCTGATGACACGAGAGTCGCTCCACCAAAGGTTCCATAATCGAGAGAAGGATGATTCCAATACTGAGGGTCGTGAACTTGAAGCCTTTTGTATCCCCTTCCCTGATTTTTTACAGGTAAGGTTTTCTGTCGTTCATCCGCAGGCCAGTGTTCCATTCCATCTGAGAAAATGTCTGAAGAATATGCTGTAAGCTAAGCAAGACTTGACTTTTGTGTAAGTTTGAGCGCGGGAAATGAAGCACCGATCTCCGACAACATTTTCTTTCAGTAAAGCCGCAAAACTATGTTGTTTTCGACCATGCTCAGACGTTGGGCACTCGCGCAGAGGCCACAGCAGCTCCTTTCAAAATGTCGACAGTTCAGTATAACTCGCGTTGCAATGGCGCGGGCTGCAAACCCCAGTTCTTCTGCGACGCCAGCCAAGTGGACACCGAACTCGATACGCACTGGTCTCATTGTCCGTAAACGTGGAATGACTGCTATATGGGACAACCACGGTGCGCGCGTTCCGGTTACAGTGCTGCAGGTGAGCGGGTTCGCAGGCGCTTCTCTCTTGTTCTCATATTTGTCACAGTTGGAGAACTGTCAAGTGACCAAGAACATCGTACATGTGCGTCCAGACCGCACAGAGTATCATGCAGTTCAACTCGGCGCGTCCGACCGTCCAAAGAGGACAACAACACATCAGATGAGGGGTCACTTCCGGAAGGCTCATGTTAAGCCGAAGTACATTGTGAAGGAGTTCCCTATAACCCCCGATGCACACGTCCCTGTTGGTGAGTTCCTCGAGAACACGTTTTCCAATCTTCCATGACAGAAAAGCTGCTCAGGAACGACACTTTCCGCTATTCATTTTGTACCTGGGCAGTTTGTGGACGTGATTGCTGATTCGTGAGTTCCCCACATCATCTTTTACATGTGTTACTCAGGCCCTCCAGTATTGGGAAGGGATTTCAAGGCACTATGAAGCGGTGGAACTTTAAGGGTTTACGTGCAAGCCATGGTGTTTCCGTATCACATCGCTCAGCCGGTTCGACTGGACAGCACCAAGTTCGTGTTCATTAAACTGAGCAACATCCCTACTGACTCTGATTTATAGGACCCAGGTAGAGTCTGGCCCGGCAAGAAAATGGCAGGCCGACTAGGAGGCGAGCGAATCACTGTTCAGAACCTCCCTGTGGTCCGTGTCGACACGGCCCTCGACCTGATTTTTGTGAAGGGCGCAGTGCCAGGGTTTGACGACGCACACGTCCTTGTCCGCGATGCAAAGAAGAAGATGCTCTGTCTCGCAAATGCAAACCAAGCTAAAGGCCTTTACGAGGCCGTCCTCCCCAAGGGCGTGGACGATCTACCTTTCCCTGCTGGTACTAAGGAGATGGTTCAATCACTCCCTCCCGTGATCGAAGCTCCTTCAAAACGGAGTAGCCCATTCATTCCTAGGGAATAGACCATGTATAGTTTACCCGCATTCTCAAGCACTCGCTGTTCCTACGTCTATTTCTTCTACGGTGGAGGTGCGTGGATGGGCCAGATGGTCCAGAGCAAGAGTGATAATGATTCAGTATGTTTCGCGAATCTGATCGACATGTCGTCCTCGCTGTCCTAGATTTGGATTTCATGTTGCTCAGAACACCGATCTTTGACTTGAGAAGTATTGATCTGCACTCATTGTCAATTAAGTGAGGAAGGACACCCGAGCAGGATTAACAACACATTAACTTCTCAGACTCACGGGGCTATTTTCATGGTTTCTGGCAATGTCCATGCGGTGGTCAAACCCAAGTAAGCTCAACTCATCTAGTGGTATTCCCATGATGGAATTTGCATCAGCAAGAGCATGGTCATGGGTTCTACTGTCGAGCTAACAAGATAAAGTCAATGAATGAAGCCACTGGTGTGATCGACTGTTGTACTGCGGGCGTAGATACAAGCCTTAAGAGAGAAGTCGCTCGTCAACAATTTCCTTAGTGAGTCCTTCTTCTGCATCTCGAACTTCGATAGTCTTGTTTGCTTCTGCCTGGAGCATCACAAGCGTCATTGAATAGAATTGAAGCCTCAGGAATGTACTCACGACTCTTTGAAAGTCAAGGAGAGCACTAGCATGCAAAGTCATCATTGTTGTCTCGGATGACGATGGCGCCCAGTTGATAAACACGAGCGGGAATGACGTCCTGCCATCGCGGTGTTTGAGTTCATATGACAACACAACATATCTGGGAGAATTTCGGGGCAGCTCTGGAGTGTGCAAATGAAGCTATGATAAATAGTTCCAGGATGACCATACCCTCGACAAGGTCTTCGATCGAAATATCGTCATACTCCTCGTCTACGGCCATCTTGAGTGCAGATTTGTTGATCTTGATAACGATTGCTGCGTGTCCCTGGCTCCTACGCTGGAATCGGAATTTTCTGAGAGCCTTTGTGACATCCTCGTTGATATCCACTGTCCTTGCTGCCGTCTATGAAACAAAGTTATAGCGAGGAGAGGCAGATGAAGAACGGGCTTACCGCCATGGTGACGATGTTGAGCAAGATAAGCTTACTTAGGGTTAGCTTACATAAGGTAAGCACCGATCGAAGTTCATCAAACCGACTATCGGCAAATGACAAACGCGTGTGATTCGCTATATGTAGCAACGGGGCTAACCCATATGACTTCAGGCAGAGCACCTCACGGTGCGTATCAAAATCAAGTATATCCTCGTTCCGTCCGTGCGGGCACTTGCGCTCAACGCCCACCATGTCTCGGAGAGCATCCAGGAACACCTCTGTTATTTCCTCGAGGAGTGCATATATTCCGCAGTCCGAAGAATTGATCATCATGCCTGGTGGTTCAGTCGACGAACAAAACCTGCACGATACTGCGCACCCACATCGACAGTCAGAAAGCACACTCGTAGGCCAGGATGGGTCTTCATTTGACCGAGAGGACGATGAACATGACGAAGAAGTCACAGCTTGGAAGGCACTGCCGTGGTGGAAAAGACCGTCGCCCTACTGGTCAGCGCGCGAGCCTGCTGTGTCGGAGATGATATTGACCATTCGAGCAGGTTGGTGTTTGCTACGCCTCTGGCCTCGATAGGCTTCTCTGCAGTCATCGGTCCTCGGGTGGAGATGTACACTGTCCTCGCATGTCGTGTTCACGCACCTGCGTTACAGTATGAACCAAACAGCATGCTACATCTAGCCCAGCCATATTCAATGTTGTCCAAGAACATGGCGAAGACTCTGCATGTCGATTTTAATCTAGATGAGCCCAGTGCTGCGTCTGTATCTGCTCAACCTGTGTCTCTGTACGTTCCTGCAAATCCAGGCCCCCAACAAGAACACGTTCCCGACCGTGACCAATGCGCGTCCGACCCAGTCGTGCAAGCTGCCGTTGCGAAATTGTCTGCAGGTTGGTTTCATCGTTTTTCTTTATACAACAGAGAGAGACTTATACTGAGCTAGTTCTGACCACCACGATGGGTATTTTGAGCTGCCTTACAACCGCTTGGTGGGGTTCGGTGAGTCACCACATTTATGTTTTCAATGTTGGCTCTGACCGCACTCTAAGCTCTCAGACCGTTTGGGCCGAACATCAGTCATGGGCATCTCGATGCTCGGTTTACTGGCCAATGATTTAACCTTCATCGTCACTGCATTCTTTGTGGAACGCCTCCCGGGCGGATACTGGTTCTTGATCCTCGGTTTTGCCTTGGATGGTGTGCTTGGTGGTAAATCAGAGCATGTCATTTGAGGATAGGTCAGTGTCTGACGCTATTTTAAGGGATGACCACTGGGATTGCTGCTTCACATGCCTATCTCGCCGACAGTACCCATCATTCTGATCGGTAGGGCCGCATATTCATCCTTGTTTAACCCAAATAAATCATCATTGATAGATCTCGTATGTTTTCTCTGGCATTGGGCACTATGTTTTGTGGAGTAGCCCTCGGTCCTGTCATCGGAGGCATTTTAATTCGGGCCACGGGCTCGGCACTTTCCACGTTCTATTTAGCTGCGGTTGTCCATGCGCTGCACGCTGCTTTCATGTTTCTGGTCATCCCAGAATCCCAGACGAACGCGCGAGCATTGGGTGCGCAGAAAAGACGACAGGAGTCACTTGAAAGGAGGGATAATGGTATTTCAATGGCTGCATTCGTCTTACAGAGCACTACGGGGTTATTCAGCCCTCTAGCTGTTCTTCTACCCAAGCGTGTTGCCGTTGATGGAAACCCACTCAAACACTTCAAGAGAGATTGGAGTTTATGCTTCCTCGCTGCTAGCTGTGGATTCGCGATGTCCCTGATGGTGTGGTTTGACTATATTTTCGTGACATCCCCAAGACTTACACCTACTTTCCCTGCAGGGTCTGGTGACACACATGTTGCAGTATGCCGCAGGAACTTTTAAGTGGTCATCGGAAACGGTAAGAGAACGCAAGAGTGTCGCCATCGGATCTGACAGCCTTCTAGATTAGCTACTATGTCGCCTTCACTGGAGCTGCCCGTGCGCTGTTCTTGGCTGTCATCTTACCAGGTTTGTGCCAATAAACTCTTATCTACCTTTTGTTCAATATGAATCCAACTCCCTAGTTATCATTAAGCTGCTGAAGCCAGCGCCCGTGCAGCTTCCTATAACCCCGGATGAGCCACTTCAGAACTTATCACCACAGACCCATCTCAGTAAGAAGAACGACACAACATCCTCGCATTCTCCGAATTTTGATCTCAATCTCGCTCGAATCTCTGTCGTTCTTGACATTCTTGCGTTCGTGACAATGATTTTTGCTTCTAATGGTCTCGTCTTTTCCTGCGGAGCTGCCTTGCAGTCACTGGGCGCAGGGTTTTCGCCTGCTGTCCAAGCATTCGCGCTCGATGTTTACAGCAGAAGAGGGGGAAAGGGCGAAGCTGGAAGGCTTTTCGGCGCCATTAGTGTTGTACAAGCTCTTGGGTAGGAGCATCTCTTTTTTGGCCAACTCAAAGCTCTAACGCATTTTACCATACAGTTCTCAGATCCTGGGTCCTGCATTGTTTGGCTTTGTGTATTACAAGACTGTCGCGACCTTTCCTCGTGCAATATTTGTTTTGACCGTGGTGCTTATGTCGATTTCTCTGGCCCTGCTCGCACTAATACATCCGCCCACGACGAGCGAGGATGATGCTGAAGTTGCGGTATTGGACGATGAGACTCAAGTTCCGGTGATCCGTGTTACGATAACCCAGGAGGACGCACATGTTCACATTGACGAGGACGAAGAGACGGAAGGACGTGGCGCTCAACCACATAGATAATTATATAGGTGTCTGATGTACAATCTCGAGTGTTCATAATTTAGATCAACGTTGACTCAGACATCGGCAAGAGGTACAGCTGGTACCTTCCACCATCTCCATGCGGCGAGCCCCAGGAAGAAGTTGAAAATCCCCACAATAGACGACCCGGCTCCGACCACTGTGAGAAGCCACCATATATAGCCAATGATGCGATCAAGCGTTCGGCCGGTGTACCGTTTGAGCGTAGCACGCGGATCAGGCGTGGGTATGTACCCTGAAGGCAATCGGAGCATGGGAGGAGCACACGTTTCGGGGGACGATGTAGCCGTAGGTGGTGGAAGGAGTAGAAGGCAGACGACAGGTTTCTGCTCACCTGTTAGATGCGGATTAAAACGGTGATAGGAGAACATACATGGTCCGATGCGACGTATGATGGTATTGATGTGTACAAAATGTTAGTAATGTTAGACTTCTCAGGTGTGTCGGGGGAATCAGTATGAGTCGCATACATTATCCTATCGGTCCAAGATGGAGTTCGTTTAGTGCTGTTAAGTCTGGGTAAGTAGGAGAAAATCATCGAGGGGACATGACATACCTGTACCGGTCGACCTCGCCAAGCTTGTATTTATATGTACATTTGAATGTCCAGAATGGGCCCTCGCGCAAACCGATGAAAGCCGTCCCTTTCCTCCGCTGGTTCAAAAGTTGGTCGAATTCCTTCAGCTGTTCACGTGATACGTCGTCCTTCAACATCGTAAGAACCTCGTGAGGTTTGACAGTTTGTACAGGTGGAGACGACGGAGGTATTGATATACGGAAGTTGAGGTCGCCGAGGAAGAATAGGTGTGATGTCGAATACATGGTGGTCGGGGAAGAGGAAGGAGATGATGGTAGTGCAGGGAAGAGAAGAGTGCCGACAATGTGATGATAATCCGCGATGCGTTGAGCGAGCTTGGGCTCGTGTGCGGTGAGGTGAGCACAAACAAACCTACAAAGCGTTTGTTTGGGACACAAGCCATTATGAAGATGAGACATACGTGAAAACTTCTCCAGCTTTGCTCCCCCTATCTGAGACGCGGAAACGTATGCCAACAGCGCCTTTGTTACCCATGTAAGCTGGACCTGTCCCAGTCCACTGAGTTTGTACATCACAAACTCGGCGTGCGACGCCACTATCTCGTGCGTACACGAGAAGCGCAACACCAACATTCACGGCCTTCGCGACGAGCGTGTAAGACTCCTTACCCGGAGTATGCTTCTCAATCTGACTACGAATATGCGCATCTCTATCGTCGAGCAGAGCCTTGGACAATCCAGCCACTTGGTGGATGTGTCATGTCAGAGTAATGGTATACGAACACGATGACATACGTCCAAGGTGAAGGGGCAGAAGTTCCTGGAAGCCAATTGCAAAAATATCTGGCGCTCGAGGCTCCTTGGAGAGAAAAGAGGCTACTTGGAGTGCTGGAACGAGCCAATCGACAAGGTCCTGAGGCAAGCCAGCGCCACCTTGGAGGTTTGTATTATATGAACCGACTTGAACAAACAAACTTTCGTCTCTGGACATCACAAAAAATGGGTCTTTGATGGAGTACTAGTCGAAGAATCTTGAGTACACGGAACGTTAGTAGCACGCGCCGTTGACCTGCTTTTGGCTCAGTATTAGTCAGCCAATCATTGACATGGCGCCAAGTCCGAGTCTTCAGAATCAGGCTTGACCACCATCCTCAGGCTCTAGTCCAATCGGTGGATCCAAGGAGGTGGTGTATCTTGAAATATTATGTTGTGATGTCTGGATCTCATGCTGCAACCAGGTATTAGCCCTGATCATCATGCAGTTCAAGTTTTATAACAAGCTTGCATGATGCAACATTACCAAGCTCTTCTCTATGTAGTTGCCATCAACTTTGTGTGCAGTAGCCAAAGTGGGCCATCCATGCCTGCAACTATACAAGCAGACGCGCCAAACTCGATGGCTGGATGGAGAGGATATCTTGGTCGAATTATATAGTAAGTACTGCCGTTATTACGCTTCTATCGAGCGCATGACCGGACGGAACTTTCTGGTCCTCCCAGGCTCAATTCCATGTTTCGTTTGACGAACCCATGTTCAGGCACGCACGGCTCATTGTTCACAAGATTCTTACTACTTGGCCTGGATAAATGGGAACACAGAAAAGGTAGGGGCCATCTAGGATTTCCTCGCTTCCGCAGGGGGCATCAACGAAGCGCGGAATTGAATCAATGGGCACAGCGTACTACTACAAAGAGGGGGTAGGGGGGCGGAACACCCGAAGTCAAGATATAACATCAAAATCAAAGCACACGAGGGAAAGGTCCAATAACAAGATTGACGAAGGTATCATACGACCTGTTACACAATATCAGTATTATAAGCGGAGGGTGATCGACACGATAATTACTTCAGACATCATCGGACTTGGCGGAAACTGCCGACAGTCCGTCCAGGGACTCACAACTACTGCTATGGTCTTCGCAGTCATCCAAATCCCTGAAGCCTGGCAAGCGACGTTCGGCAGCGTAATCGTCCGGGTGCTCATAAGCTATGTCCTCCATGAGATCAAGCTGTTTGTGTCCAACAGCGAGCGACGTCACATCAGGGCTGTATGCGGCCATGCAAGAGTGGAGGCGTTCATTGAGCTCATCTACGCTACCTTTGGAGAGCTCTTGGAGCGAGGTATTTCAAGGTTCTGATGCGGCACTGGCATACGTGTCACCATCATCTTCAAGAACCATCTGAAGAAACCTTTTGTGCTCTTCGATGGCTTGGATCCAAGCGGTTGCCAGAGCACGCACCCGCCTCCATTCAATATCAGCTTGTTTCGTGATGACAGCTTGCGCAATAGCCCCAGAAGACAAGTGTTGCAATCGGCTTTCGAGTAAAGCCTTGCCCTGGTATGCTGTTTATTTATCAATAAGCCGTGGATATGCATTGATTAACATACCTTCTGAACGTCTGGCACGGGTGTAGAATCAATGGGGGAAAGTTGGGTTGCAGCATAGCGGCGGTGTTGTGTGCTGGGATCACGCCTTTCATATGGCCTGGGCCGTGCTTTCGCGCGCTGCACATAACGGGATAGACTCTTGACTATGGGAGGAGGGGTTACAGGTGCATTTATGTCGTCATCAGATGAATCAAAGGAACCGGTATTAGAAAATGATGGTGAACTTGCACGGCGTTTGGACCGGGGGTGTGTGGTTGGCGAGACAGGACGACTCGGATGACGACGGGTCGTCCTATTGGCAATAGTGGGAGTGTAAAGAGGATTATGTTTATGGTCATTGAAAGGGCTATTGGCTCCGCCATTGCTTGGGTCTTCAGGATGTCTAGCAATGTGCCCCAGAGCGATCTAAACGTTGCTTTGACTCTTGGGCTGAGTTTGAAATCATGAGTGCTTTTATCACACGGTTTTTGAAAATGGTTTCGTTATCATAATGCCTCCTGAAAAACTATTATGTAAGAAACCTCTTGAACCATACCAGTAACTTCGAGTCCGAGTATGTCTTTGTAGTTGCCACCAACTTTGTGTGCAGTAACCGAAGTGGGCCCTCCATGCACATAACTATACAAGTAGACGCGCCAAACTCGATTGCTGGATGGAGAGGAGATCGTAGTCGAATTATATAGTAAGTACTGCCGTTGTTACGCTTCTATCGAGCGCATGAACGGACGGAACTTTCTGATCCTCACGGGCTCAATTCCATGTCATCTGACGAACCCCCAACCTTTTGTTCAGGCACGCACGGCTCATTGTTCCAATAAACCATGTGGTTCCCGGGTTTAAACGTAAAAGGCGATGTGAATGTGTTCAGCGACTCGAACGCGAGCGGGAACAGAAGCCCTTCGTTCAGGGGATCACCGAGAAGGAATCTCTTGGTTAGGGCAAATATGATACGGCGCAGTCAGATCAGCAGTTCAGTTCGACCAGGTATGCGCCACACAGGTGGGTTCCGGAGATCGGATTTGTAGCATATGTATTTGACTGACTGCCGGTATGTAGGTATATGGTATAGCCAATACTCTGGCCTCGACACAAACACATCTCCCAGGTCCCTCGGATTTATTCCAATCGAATCTTTCTCTCGAACCTCTTTCTCTCGTCGAGAATGAAAGTTTTTGTAAGAGGAAATAAGATTCCGGGTTTCTACAATATTTGGACGCCCACCTTGATTGAGCATGCTGCTGAGTGCGACAGTACCATGTGGTCTGGATGCCTTGGTCTGTTGGTCCTTATGGTGATAGGTGATATCCTTTTTATCTCCCTGATAACGGCAACATTGAAGTAGCCTTAACTGCGAACTTTGAAGTGCATTTCCGCTGAGTGATTTTTGGCCTTCTCTGACTCTGAGCCGGCTCGCTGAATCAATTCTGCGCAATGCCGTTAGATTTGGTTTCCTGACCGTAATATAATGAACTTTATCTGGAACACACGCTGGCACCTACGGTTTCCATGAAGCGGATAGTGCGTGCAACTGACCAACAATTGAATAATCAACCTCGCGCCTCATATCCCACCTCAAACACGAACCCCCTCCGTTGACTCTTGCAGAATGAGATCAGTCAGTGACAGTCAAAGAGTAATGGGAAACTAACAGGAATGACATTCTTGTTCGCGCGCCTTAGGAAAAGAAGTCAAGATGGTGGCAAGTTGACTAAATTCATGACGTTATTCGCATAACTTCTTTCGTCTGTCGGTCGAATCTCAAACTCCCTCAAGCTCCGTTATCCGTTGTGGAGAACGTGTGGTCATACGAGAGAAGCTATTAACGCTGCTGGCGTCGGTATCATTTCAGGCCCCCGTGCCCGCCACCTCGCAAGAATAGGACTTATCTATCTTGGCCCTGGTTCGTCCTTTTACAGGTCTTGTCGACTTTGATGTATGCTTATATATCAGATATTTTGCCTTGGTCTGCCTCGGCACGTCGCACTCTCTCTCGACAGCCATGGCTACTGAAGCTATGGAACAGATCCCTAGTGCTACCGACGAGAAATCCATCGACGCGAAGGAGGAGAAATCTTACTACATACAGGGAGACATTGAGTCATCCACCCAAGAAGCTGAAACAGACGAGATTGTCCTCCAGAACGAGCGAGAGATTGTAACTCACGTCATTTCCGTGGACGACGATCCTAGTCTGAACCCCTGGACACTTCGGGCTTTCTTCATCGGCCTCGGACTTTCAGCCTTTGGTGGTTCCTTGGGTAAATCACTCGAGGTCATTCAGTCGAGGGTCTTACTCACTTGCACGGCTTTTTTTTCCTAGCCCAAATTTATTACTTCAAACCTGTGAGGGGTTTTTTTTATCAAACATTCTCTCAGGGCTCTCATCCGGCTTGGCACTGCAGCAAACTGTCCTTGTGTCTGTGATGTTCCTCGCCATCATATCCTATGTGATTGGCTTTGCGATGGAAACATTTATCCCACGTCATGGATTACTCCGATACTTGAACCCAGTGCGTTGTCCACATAGTAACCCCTGACCCATTAAATTCATGCATAATGTATGAATATAGGGACCCTTTAATAAGAAGGAAAATGCGTTCGTTATCATCATGTCTAGTGCAGCTGCGAACTCTGCATTGGCTACGGAGGTTCTTGCTGTCCAGCGGTGCGTTCGAAATTCAATTTCTTGGTCGGTGGTGATTGATGACCCATTAGTCTGTATTATAATATCACGCCGAACGCCGTCTCATCAATATTTTTGTTGTTCTCGTCTCAATTGCTCGGGTGCGTTGCGCTGGAATACTGCTTGTTGTGCCCATTGCTGAAGCCGCAAACCACAGTTATGGGATTGGTGGCCTGATGCGAGGTATTTTTGTGTCCAACAGTAGTTATGCGCAAGATCTCGACTGACAACACTCAGGAATCCTCCTTTATCCGTCAAAGATGTTGTACCCCGGTGTTCTCCCGCTGCTTTCCATGTTCGACGCTCTCTATCGCGATGGCTTCGAAGCACGCCGAAAGCTCAAGGTCTTCTACGTCGTCTTTACTGCGTAAATTTAAACTTTATCAATGAATCGTGCTCTCAATTTCTAATGATCTTAACCCAGAATATTTCTATGGGAAATGTTCCCTGAATGGATCTTCCCACTTCTCACTGGTCTCTCAATATTCTGCCTCGCTGCTCCTAACAATGCTGCTGTCTCTCGTGTGTTTGGTGGTTCCAACGGAAATGAGGGTCTTGGTCTATTGTCCGTGTGCTTCGATTGGCAGGTACGGCTGGCTATCCCGATGTTGTTGACACTTGGATGAACTCGATTTGTTTAGTACATCTCGGGTGGTGTTAACCCGATGACTATTCCGCTGAAAGCTCAGGTTAGTTGACACACAAGTGCGTATGACAATTCTAACGTCTCCCCTAGCTCTCCACCTTCATTGGTTACATTCTCTGCATGTATGTTATTTCAGTCACGGTGTAACATATCACTAAGAGAGACGAAGGGTCGTCTTCGTCGCGGTATTCTACAACAACATTTGGGAATCTCAAAACTTCCCCTTTGTACGTAAAACCGTCGCTGCGCTTTCTAATGTCCAGGCTAACAATGCACTGATCAGTTGGCGCAGCTCCTCTTTTACCAGAATGGCACTATCTACAACCAGACTTTGATTCTGAATTCCAACTATGAGGTGGACCCCACTTTGGTCGCTGAACAGGGCCTGCCATTCTACGCTGGTACCTGGGTTGTAGCTCTTCTGTCCACTAACCTCGTATGCCAAGAATCACTGCTGATATAGGGTGCTTTGCTCATAGTTTCACCACAGGGATTAGCTGCGACATTCACTCACCTCCTCCTGTGGAATAAACATGACCTACGTGCAGCCTGGACTTGGATGAACATGGACACACTGAGGAGTTGGCGTGCTAATTTCGATTGGAAATTCTGGAAGCACAGTGGAAAGAGGGAAGTCCCCGCCAACATTGAGGACCTCGACCCACACTACCGCGAAATGCTGAAGGTCAGTCGCTGTGACATTGGAAGGAGAACCTTACTTCATTGTCATACAGTACCCAGATGCTCCGAATAGCTGGTACTTCATGACGTTTGTTCTCTCCTTCATTGTTGGACTAGTCGTTATCTACATGACAAATTCCACGCTGCCCTGGTGAGCAATATTCTCCATCTGGCAATCAAATTTATCAAGTCTTTTCAGGTGGGGCTTTGTCATCGCAGTCCTCTTGGCTGCCGTGTCTATCTTGTTCTTCGGCGCGTTATACGCCATTACCGGCATTCAGCTTTCCATCCGCAAGTGTTGTTTATGTGCTGTAGGTGCCCTGAGTTGATATTTTAGAGAAGAAACCCTGGTCCAGATGATTGCCGGCTACCTGCACAACGGAAGACCCATGGCGAACATGTTCTTTGTTCGTCTTGACGTAGTTTCCGATTTTGACCGCTGCTGATGTTGGTTTGACAGGTCCTTTACAGCTATGTACGCATCCCCGGTTTCGCCTCTTCGATCTGCTTTATATTTATGTTCCCCTTCAGAATAGTGTGGCTCAAGCATTGCTGCTGTTACGCGACCTGAAGATCGCTCAATGTATGTGCGCATTCTTTGTCGGGAAAGGTACCTCTCACTGGCAAGTGCCCAGACGCCAAACTACCTCCCCGCGCTGCATTCACGGCCCAGATCATTGGCACCTTACTCGGCGCTGTTCTCAACTATGGTCAGGGAGCCGTCTTTCATATCTATTCACCACATTTGACTTGTTGTTCTAGTGTTGATGAATTCTATCATCGACAGTCAACGTGAAATCCTGCTGTCTGTGCAAGGAACAAACATCTGGTCTGGCCAGCAACCTCAGTCATACAACTCGCAAGCGATTGCATGGGGTGGCCTTGCTCACGAGCTCTTTTCAACTGGTCAAAGATATCAATGGGTTCCCTTGTCTTATCTGATTGGCTTGGTCGCACCTCTTCCTTTCTGGATCATTCACCGTTACTGGCCGAAACTACGCATGGATTACTATTACACCCCAATCATCTGGTACGTTCTGAAGTCATTAATGATTCATATTCTAAGCTTATCATATGTGCAGTTCGTTCATCGGTTGGCTTTGCGTTGGAATAAACTCTTCACTTTTGTCGTATTTCACTGTCGCGTTCTTGTCCCAGTGGTGGCTCCGTACTAGGTACCCGCGTTGGTTCGTGAAATACAATTATTTGGTCGGTGCAGGTAAATGTCGCGGCTTTCTTATAATCTCAACTGCTAACATCATGCCATACTATAGCCCTCGATGGTGGAACACAGGTCATGGTATTCATTCTCTCTTTTGCAGTCCAAGGAGCTGCTGGATCCGCACATCTTTTCCCGGAATGGTGGGGTGCAAACCAAGGCGGAAACTATGACCGCTGCTTGTCTCTCTGAAAACCATATAAGTACTAGGTTGACGTATTTTTGTGATAACAAATGAAGTTCTTGTTCCACTTGGTGACAGCCAACGATGTCTATTAGAATTTCAGAACGTCTCATTATCTTGCTTGTACATAGTCATCGATCTTCAAAAGTAAGCACACAGTCTCCGTCGAGAGTTCAATTGCGCTCGTGGAGACGAGAAGAGGTTGAACAACATCCTCCTCAAGAATATTCGAGATTAGGCCCTAAGGTGTATGTGGTCAAATGATCGAAGTAATTCGAGGCTGCATGGACTTACTGTGCGGACGTTGATACCAGCATTCCGGTCACCTAGAGCATGTCGGTTGCGTAATTCCGTGACAATAGAAATCGGATTAAGGCCAGCATTCTCCGCAAGAGTTGTCGGTATCACTTCTAATGCGTCTGCGTATGCTTGGAAGCAGTAAGCTTCCATGCCTTTGAGTGACTGTGCGTATTGGGACAACAGCCGGGAGACGTGGATTTCAGGTGCACCACCACCACCAATGAGGGCCCTTGTTATCATATTAGAACCTCAATCAATCAGATGGAACATTGTGTCTCACCGCTTCTTTACGAGACACCGGACAACACAAAGAGCATCATGCAGACTGCGTTCACATTCCTCCACGACAAGGCTGTTACCACCCGTAGCCAGAATACTAACTGTGCGTCCACGGTTCTTCACGCCGGTAATCTTGACAACTTTGATACCAGCATTTGAAGTCTCTTCGACTAGATCTGCGTACCCAAGCTTGTCTTCTGTAAAGGCTTCGATGTCGGCAACAGGTTTACAGCCGAGACTCTTGGAAAGGAATTCGATCTCGTCACGCTCAACATCCTTGACTGCAAGGATGTTAAGACGCTTGAGGAAGCTAAGGGACGTATCGTCGACTGCATCACGGAGGATAGACTTTTGGATGAGCAAGACGTTGCAATTCGCCTTCTTGATCTTTTTGCAGATGTTGAGCAGGTACTGACGGCCCTCTTTGATGACCTTGTCCATTTGTCGGTAGTCGTTGATCACGACAGTGTTGTCCATCTAACGAGGTGTTATGAGAACTGAGACGAAAGGAGTGAAAGACACATACGTCAGGTTTGGGAGCACTGAGCTGGAACTGGATGATGGCAATCTTGGCCTTCTCCACGCGAGTAGGACCGCCAGCTGAAACAATGACATTTTGGTTGAGGACAACACCGTCTACAAGTTCAGTGTCTTCAATAGTGCCACCGACTTTCTTCACAACCCTGATGTCACGAAGGTCGACATTGGACGATTGAGGTGTAACTAAACGCGTCACAGCAGCCACTGCAATGGGAGCAAGCGTCGATGAGTATTGAGAAACGATCTGTTGCGCGCATCAGCAAAGTGTTACCACGATAACTTCAAACATCCTCAGCACCTTTGAGTTCAGGGAAGTGCTTGCTGCTCGGAGCAGACTGGTCTTGTCACTGAGATCGATAGGCGTTGATATCTCAGTGAGATATTCGACTGCTTTGACCGATGCTTTCAAAAACGATTCTGCGATGATGGTTGGATGTATGCCTTTCTGTAGCATCTTTTCTGCGGCGCCAAGAAGGCTACCTGCTAGAACAACGACCGATGTTGTTCCATCACCTGCTTCGACATCTTGAGCAGCTGAAAGGTCGACCAGCTAAAATGACGTAAGTAGATGATCAGCAAGCAAGCATCACGCCTTGGCGCGCACCATCTTTGCGGCAGGATGTAGAGCTTGAATGCTCCGTAGAATTGTGGCTCCATCGTTGGTGATGATGACCTCACCCTTTGAGGTTTGAATCTACGCAAATGAAATGACATCTCTTCATCATCAACGAAGTAACATCAAGCCATACCATTTTGTCCATCCCCCTTGGACCGAGAGATGTTCGAACAGCATCACTTATGGCTACAATAAAGTCAACAATGCGAAACGATCGCAAACATCACTCTTCACGTACCTTTAGCAGCGACCAAGTTAGACATCCGAAGTTCCATTGGCTTGACCTGTGGACGCGTTCATTCCTTCGAAACATCGCGGCAATTGTGAGACAGTATTACCTTGTCGTTGAACGCAGCATTTGAGCCCGTACGAGATGCTGCTGGTGCAATCTTTGATGCCATTTTGATATCGTCGAAGGCTCAGTAGATTTTGAGCAGTAGACGATGCGCGTAGACAAAACCATCGATCGCTAAATTAGTAGTCACGGGGTTTGCCGCCGCTGCGTTACGCGTATGCTCGACTCGAAAGCTCTTGAAAGCAACGTTGACTCTAACTCCTTTCTCTAACTTCACGATCTCGCTTTCAGATGGACTTTGTGTGTGCATATCATAACAGACGATCAACGCAACTGATCATTTTCTATAGTTTGACGATCATGATGGCATGGCAGGTGGCCCAGGGGGTCTTTTCGCTCAGTTTGCCCAGTAAGCCACCTCTCTTTGGCTCTTGGGTCAAGAAATCTGACTAGCATCTCTGTCATTCCAGAGGATTTGGGGTTCCTATGGGCTCTCGTAACCGGCCAAATCCTCGGTCGTATAGTGTGTACTTGAAGGCCTACAGTGTCGCGATGCTTCCTGGCCGGGAGCGAGAGAATCTCTCCTACGGAGGAAAGAGTACGTAATTGCATTTCATCGCACACTGATATCGTGTAGTAACAATTCTGGATGTTCTTGCAGTTATTATGCCTCCATCAGCTCTCGCACACTTGACCCACCTCGATCTCGAGGGACCTTGGATGTTTCAGCTCACAAACGCGACCAATCCGGCCGCATCCACGCATGCAGGTGTACTCGAGTTTATCGCTGAAGAGGGCATAGTCCACCTTCCGTACTGGATGATGAAGACGTTGCGTCTCAATGAAGGCGACCCAATTCGCATAACTGGTGCTGAACTACCGAAGGGCAAGTTCGTCAAGCTACAGGCACAATCTACACATTTCCTTGAAATATCAGATCCAAAAGCTGTGTACGTGCGCGTATTTCGGCATCACTGGCTCAACTAACATCCATCAGGCTCGAGCAATCCCTGCGAAACTTCACTGCGCTCACTCAAGGTGATATAGTTGAAATATACTACAACTCAATCATCTTCGGCTTTCTTGTGATGGAGACAACACCCGGTGGAGGTGGCATCAACGTGCTAGATACTGACCTAGAGGTCGACTTTGCTCCCCCGGTCGGTTACGTAGAGCCTGAGCGTCCGAAACCCGCCCCGCCTTCCACTATGGCATCCAAATTGAAGATCGACCTCAATTCATCGAGTCCCGGTTCCTCGCGACCATCATCATCACTAGGTGGTGGTTTTGTTGCTCCTAGTGGAACGGCTGTAAGCAAAGGCGGCGATCATTGGGAGAGTTTCAAGGGCAAGGGAGAAACTCTCGCTGGTCGGAAGACGAAAGGCAAGGGCATCAGTCATCGGGGAGTCGAAGCAGTAGGCGGAGATAGTAAGATCATCAGGACTGAGTGGGTTTCAAAAACGCGGTTTCGTCTGGGCATGCTAACGATTTCAACAGCCAACAGAAGATAATCAACAACAGTTCCACTGAGGCAGAAGTCAAGGTTCCCGCCGCACTCAATCTTCCATTTGGGAAGCTGTTCTTTGGCTTTAATGTCGTCCCATACACCCCACCGGAACCCAAGGCTCCTTCCTCTCCTTCCGCTCCTCCCCCTTCGGCTGTGAGTTCGAGTATAGTTTATCCACAAATTGATGTCACAATTTCTCCAGCCCTCTTTCTCAGGTTCGGGTAGTACCCTCACAGGCCGGCCAATAACATCACCCCCAGATGCGAAAGGGAAGGAGAAGGAGAATGCATCTGCAAAGTCGCAACCGAGCGAGAAGTCTTGGGGGGCTGGCAATACGTTAGGTTCCTCCCGGTCTACCCACATTCCACCTAGCTTCCGTGGGCGTGATCTTGGTGCTGCTGGAGGTGGTCCACTTACCCGGCAAACAAAAGCACAACCAAAGCGACGTAGTCCGACGCCGGATTGGGGTGTGGACGACGACGACATGATTGACATTGACTGTGATTGAATTGATGGTGGTTGTAAGTTAGTTAATTCCACAAGGTGGAGAAGGTCAGAGGATGGTTCGTTTGTAGAGGATAAGTTGTACGTAGATACTCGGGCGATGTATAATTCATGAAAGTGAGCAGATCGACAGGCCTGGGCTAACGTCACAACATGACAACCCCGACACCCTTTCCTGGCTCTACATCGCCAACGGCTGAAACGCCTGCCAGAGGCGCTGCTCTCCAGTTGTACAAGTAGAAGTTCAGGAGACCATCCCCGGCGCCGAACTACCACAAAACCGTAAGGACCGACTGCGTTCCCTTCATAAATCAAGATACATACCTTTAAGCTCTCCAAAAAGCTACAGTTGTCCATGAGTGTTAGGGCATTGAAGACGTCAAACTTGGCCTGGTTCGCGATGATCAGGGCGTCTCCTACAAGAGCTTCTAATCGTTTCTTGAGGTTGTTGTCCGCTTCCGAGCCTTCAGCGAATGCCGCGTCAGATGCATAGTAAAACAAGTAGGCAGCTTCCAAGAGCCCATGTTTCGGATGATTTATAATCGTCGAGGGAAGAGAGTAAAAGGAAAAGAAGTCAGTAATCCGGCCTGTGTTTGAGTCCTACAGAATGCATTAGAATCATGGCAGGAAGGACATGAATAGGAAATTGACCTCAACAACATACGTCCACACCACCTGGCCTGGTCTCCGATAGTGCACTGATAATTCGTCCATACGTCCTCGCCCACTCAAAAACTGATGGCGGACCTCGTCAAGGGTCATGACTGGCCCCATGCTGAACCTCTGCATGTAGCGCGTGAAGAGATCGGCAACGTCTGAGACATCTCTTTCCTCCATTTCACGAAGGCCGCTCAGTTGAGGCTTAGCCACGGTCTTGTAGACGCGAATCATTCTGGCAAGCGTCATGCTCCTGGGAACGTACGTAAATTTGACGTCGACGAGTTTTGGGATATTCAGTGAGCGGTGGAAGTAACTGATAAACTCTTGAGCACTTCCACAGGCTGTAGAGATAGGCAACATACCGGCAAGTGGACACAGGCGTCGGAAGAACGACACCAGCGGTATAGATGGCCTGGAAGACACCCGTCAAATTTACTTGTCGTGTGATCTCTTTGATTAGCACAGGGGCCAAGCGTTTCGAGCGCAGCTTTTTGTGCACACAAAGATAATTAATCTCGCACGCCCGGAAAACACTGCATGATTTTAACTTCCGAGAAATCATCATAATAAAGGGCCTTACTTTCCGCGCACACGTAACGTGATCGGCACACCAGAGATGAAAGCTACCAGTTTCTTGTTCGAAGACACACGCACACCAAGATGCCATTCTTTGAGGTAACCTGGGGGCTTGAGAGCCCTAGATGTTCGTGAGGCGCACGTCCCCCACTTTGCACCGACGAGCTTACCATTCAAGAAACTCGGCGCTATATTGGAAACGGAATGCGGCCTCATCGTCCTCGACGTAATTGAGAGATAAAAGATCATAAACTTCTTTGATCTGCAGAATTGAAAGTCACAAAGACAGTACATGATACAATCGATATGCATACTTGCTTAGGCTCGTTAATGTCTAATATAGACCATTCGAAGTCTTTCGGCAGAGGGTATGCCTCTTGTCGCACTTCTTCTCGAGGTTTGTCGGGTTCAATGAAGCCGTCATCGGGCGGAGCCTCATCACCTAGGACCACCGTTGAGCATGTCTTGGAATCGACATATATAATACAGTATACCAAGCTGTGGGACTGGCTGGGTAGCCCAAAACTACGTCGAGCCTTGAATTCATCATCCGCACTGCTACCTGAGTTGTTGCACATACCTTATGTTCTCCCATAGCTTTCTTCCCTCGCCCAGCGATACCCGATTTACCTTTGATGACATCCATGATCTTCATCTGCTCCAATGCTTGCCTGACATTATCCTCATTTGTAGCTGCGGTATTTGGCCCGTGCTCAGCAGCGACACGATCCACGACGTGACTGATGAGCTCTTGTGGTATTTCGTTCTTGCCGCGCACTGCGTTGAGAATCTTTGCAGCCTTGGACTTTTTCTTCTTCTTTGGCTTCGATGATGAAGCCTGTGGTGTAACAGCACCATCCTGATCGTGATCAACATCAGGCTCCGGGGTAGAACATTGATCCTCAGGGTCAGATCCTTGGGTGGTATCGATTATTTCTTGGATTTGTGCCTTTTGAGAGGATGAAGACATTGGTGCAGCGTGGTTGTCACAGAATAGTGTCACAGGACACGCAAGACTACGTGCCAAATTGAGCGACCCTTTCGGTTATCCACTCTTGTTGCTCAACAGTCACCATGTTCATCGTAAATTGGTTCTGGGATGTTCTTGCTCAGCTTGGTCGGTCTTTCCTGTTTAACTTTCTGTGTTTTCTTCATTGTTTTTAACTCGGCTATAGGCCTGATGCACAAGAATGCCAAAATTCTCTTCCTAGGTTTGGACAATGCTGGCAAGACGGTGGGCAGCGCGTAACTTGTGCGAACCTACACCACTCATTTACATGCTTTACAGACGCTTCTGCATATGTTGAAGAACGACAGACTAGCCACCCTTCAACCCACCCTGCACCCTAGTACGCCGTCTGCATTTTTAACGCTCTTCCTTCGTTAATGCTATGCACCTGCAGCTTCCGAGGAATTGGCGATAGGTAACGTTAAATTCACTACATACGATCTTGGTGGACATCAGCAAGGTCAGTACACTATGCTTTCTCGCGACCTTGGCTGTTTACCGAACACCAACCTGCATTTAAGCTCGTCGCCTCTGGCGCGACTACTTTCCCGAGGTCGACGGAATTGTGTTCTTGGTCGACTCTGCAGACTTCGAGCGCTTCGCTGAATCAAAGGCCGAGCTTGACGCTCTGCTTTCTATCGAGGAACTGGCCAAAGTTCCGTTCCTAGTTCTTGGCAACAAGATCGACGCACCTGGTGCAGTCAGCGAGGAGGAATTGAGGCATCACCTTGGGCTTTACCAAACGACCGGCAAGGTGAGTTTTGTATCTAGATTGGTATGGAGAGTTACTGATAGACCGTGACGTGGTTGCAGGGCAAAGTCCCATTGAACGACATTCGACCCATCGAGATATTTATGTGTTCAGTCGTCCAGAGACAAGGGTACGGCGAGGGTGAGTAGCCTAAATTGTTACGGTTAGTGCGTAAATGACTGAATGACGTGTCCGTTCAGGCTTCCTATGGCTCTCGCAATACGTACGTCCTATCCCCATTCTTGTATCTCACCTTGACTGATAATGTTGACCTTTCCAGATATGATTGTTTGCCTCTGTTGGTGACTGGGGGGGATTTCTTAGACCTGCACTAATTCTCGTTTGCCCCTGTCCTTCGTTTTTGTTGTCGTTGTGGACCATCCTATGCCACCCTTCACACTTCATACCTATGGAGTCAACCAGCTCAGCAGACTTGAGCCCGTTGAGAAAATATCGTTGAGTATCAGCACATCTTCTCGACGAGATAAGCCCGTGGTCCGTTGTGAGACCTCGGCTGCTTTCATCAAATATAAGTTAGAGACCGGAGACGTAGCCATTGAGCAGCGAAAATGGCAAGCTAATTCATACGACGTGTCACATCCAAATGATGACAAAGGGGCGTTGAAGCTTTACAGCAGTTTGCGAATGCAATGGCACTGGTGTGTTGTGGGAAATCGATCGCCCGTGCAAATGTTTTATGACCAACTTGATTGATGTACGCTGCCCCACATCTTTAAATTAGTGTTTTATTGCCTGATGAAGCTTCGATGAAGCACAGGCGTGTTCCAATCCCACGTCCCTACCCTACGAACAACGCGAGCAGAGCTCGACTCCCATTCACATCAACTGCATGATACATTTATGGTGGCACGTTTTGCATCGGTTTTCATTAGCGTTGAGGGTGTCCGTTGGCAGCTGTTGGCAAGTGTGTTATCTTGTTCAAATCTCTGACTTTTCTGATGGCGTGCCGACAGAGATAGATTTTTAACTAGGACGTCCCTGGCTGTAAAACCTGATGCTTGTCACCACGGTGACACCACGGCACCAACTCCACGATGCAAATCGAAGATTCTGCGCTGATCATTGTCGACATCCTTTTGATAGGATAGCCCGATGAAGGAGGCAGAGAGCGAGAACGTGCACGTGAAGCGACAAAGAGGCAAGGACCAGGTTGGGATATGTACTTGCAGGGAGGTATTGCTGGCCTGGGTAGGTGAATCTCCCCTACTATTTCTAAGTTACGGCTGGTCTGGCATCATTCCGACGCAATGAGCCATTGTTAACTTTGATCTTAGACACTATTATTAGAAGGGAAATCAATCACATGATCTAGAACTGCAGTGCCGATCACTTTCGCATCACGTGACTAGCATTCGCTACATCACTTCGAACGTTACATCATATCTATTGAGTGGAACGGATATCATCCCTCGATCTCATTTCGGTCATCCAAGCACTGGATGGTGGTGGTATATCTAGCACAAATATCATCGTCGTATGTCCACCAAGTTTCCCACTCCCTCACATCCATCCTCTAACAGTATGGTACTAGTCTTAGACGACCCTAGTTGGTGGCCAGTCATCAACGCTTGGCGTTTTAGCAGCTATTTTGGAGGTTCGTGAAGAGCAGTCAGATTTCGGCGCTCATGTCTCGATCTGACCTTGATTGTGGTTTTCCAGTTGCCGCCTTTGTTGGAGTGGTGTATGATTGGGGTGAGCATGATAACATTAGAGAATTGCTGATTTCCTACAAGTATTTACAGCCCTTACGTTCGGACAAGAGGTATGTTGATGCTATGACCGGAGCAGCCATCTCGCTAAGATTTGTTTGTAGGTCGAACTGGTCTGGGTGAGCGCAGTTCCACGTCAGAAGAACCATATTGATTTGCGACAGAGGCAACATTGGTCCCTGATGACCGTCCTCTATCTGAGTGTACGTAGCTTGCCTGTTGTGAATTTCTGCTGACTTGACAATATCCTAGGTGCGCTATCTCGGAATGGTTTTTGTCATGTATGTTCGAAAGGCTTGACAATTGGTGTCGTGCTAATCTGTTGTTTCTCATCATCAGCCTGAACATACTGGGTATGTCTTCTCGCATTCACAGTGTTTTGTTTTTCCTGACCAGTGCCATACAGACATTGGTCCGACGATTTTGTTGACAGATTCAGTGAGTCTTCTGCACAGATGCCTGCTATTCCCATTCGATTAACCGTGACACCCTGTACTAGGGGTGAGTGTCATTCTTGACCAGCTTCTTCGTTTACTATAATGACTGCTACAGATGTGAGTCTGTTTTTAGTGTGTGACCCACCCACGGCCCATCACTAACCGGATTTCTCAGGCCGGATTATGTACTCCGCGTGGAATTGGACGAATGTTGTGGCATTTCCAATGCTGGGTGGTGAGTTATGCAGTTACATGACCTATGATATCGACTTGACCGAAACATGTTGCAGTCATCATGATCACTCGGTTACATGCCATGTATCAACGATCCAGAAGGATCCTGATATTTCTCGTCGTCGTGTCCTTGGCTGTCAACATTTTTGACTTCGCGACCGCTGTAATGGTAACGAGGCATGTTTCAGGAGGTACACTTAATTGTGAATGAAAACCGTGCATAGCGCTCATTGATGAACACAAGAGGAACACATTCTCTCTGGCACCTATGCGTGCATGACTGGCTATGCGGACAATATCTTTCTTCTGAATGCCATTACTTGGATACTCGGAACTGTCTGGGAGGTCCTCGCGCTGTGTCTCGCAGTCTGGATTGCTGTTAAACACTTCCGTGAACAGCGACAACATTCAGCAGGAGGGATTATCGGCGACTGTTTCACAGTGTTGATAAAATCACACGTGCTTTACTTTGCGAGGTGAGCTCATATTGTGAATGTGGTTCCCTTTTCCGTTGAACGATTGAACGCGCTAGTTATGTTACCGTGTCTTGCCTCGCCCTCGTACATAATTTGTCTCCGAAGCTGGTATGTCAATCTTTCACTGACCTCTGCATGCGACCGCGGTTCATCATTTCTATAGCACCTATTTTCCTTCGACAATCAGACTTTTACTGGTTTTGTTCGGATTTCGCAAGCCATACAGTCCTTTGTGCTAGGACCACGCCTCATCCTAAGCGTTCGAGAATATCACGCTCGGCTCGTGGCTGACTCTGATGCAGCAACCGGCATGATCTCAATCGCTTTCCAGGAGCGCGTGCATATATCAACTGGCAGTGGCGTATAGCACGGGAGATGCTCGATGGAGTTAACGGTAATCTGGTGCTATACAGGGAGCAGGAGAATTTGGTTCTTTTCTTGATTTTCAAGTTTCGTCGTGGTACTTATTTATTTGGTGGTGCAGAGTGAATTTCAAGGAAAGATGGGCCTTGGCACATATTTCGTGTAATATGGATTCAATTTATTTGTTCCGAAGAATGTTTGCAAGAGACAGGACAAGGTGTTGAGTCAGACCTAGGCCAACCCTCCCTAGGCCATTACCATATCTTTGTCATTTACGTTCGCAGACTCAAGTCCCCAGGCCGAGTTAGCGAGGCGGTGAAGCTGTTGATTTCATTCGGATCCAGCCTTGACTGGCGTTTCTTATTAGTCAGATCATTGTGCACACTAGAATGAGAAGTTGTAATTTGCGAGGCTGCCAATAAGGAAAGGGGCTGTCACGGTCATGCATGAGCATCTGGGGATGCAAGGAGCGACCACGAATGTTCCATCGTACGGAGCTTCTTCGTACGTTGAGAACGTGCATTCTCCTCTTCGTCAAAGGGGAGGAAGGCACGAAATGTGTGCCTTGTGGTATATAGGCTGCTTAATGGGCGTAGCTGCTTTGGTTGCACTCGAGGTTCGGATGGCGGTGACTTTAATGGGGAGCTCTCCGGTCGTCAACTTCACTCCGCCCTGCTAAACTCCTGGGTAGCTCAATCTCCTGCGCTTAGAAACCATGTGTGTTTTTCATACGCAAACAGTGGCATGAGTTACAAACGTGACTTATATGTGAAGATTTACGACAAGTCATAACTCGTCAACTCCACTCCAAGCTAACGGAAGGATGATAATCAGAGGGAATGCTGAGAGGCCTAAGGTGTGATGAAAGAATAAATGGGTATAGAGCGCCGAGAGAATCTGGGGCGCATATTCTTCCAGGGCGACTATGTATTGGGGCCAAAGATTGGGGAGAAGAAGTCGAAATCCAAGAATGAACTGCGGCCAAGCTGCATTGCTCGATCGTATGGAGGTGCTTCATACGTCAGGGGTATCATGCAAGAGGGTGTAGGGAGGCGTCGAAGCTTGGAAGACGAGATGTCGAAATGCCGTGATAAGAACAAGGGAGGAAACGAAACAGAACAAAAGCTGATCTGAAAGGTCGTACGGGAAGGTACCAGAAAGAGTGATGACGGTTGCACTGGAAGAATGACAAGAGTCGCACTATAAATAAGAAGAGTTAGTTAAAAATGTCAAAAATATTATAAGTCTCAAATCTCAAAGATCATTTTCCCACAATGCGCCAGTGCCATTACTAATTACGCACAGAGCTGTAATATAAACGCGTGGAAGAGTAACGGGGAGGCTCAGTCAAATTCAGCCCTCCGACTGTGATTACCTGTGTGTCACAATGTACAAATGGTCAAGAACTATGTTGCAGGTTGAGAACACGATTTTGAGACAAGAGTTAAGAACGTTAAGACGAGATATGGGCATGGATTTACTGGTTAATTGCAACCGATTTCAAAAGGACGCGCTTCTCATATACTAATAGGATCCGTAGCCCAGCTGCAAAGTCACTGCACCAAGGTAATTTCCTAACTACATTTTGGTTACTCCGTTTTGAGGTGCCACGCACCGGGTGTCTGAGTGTGCTGGTTACATACGAAGGGTGTATATCCACTCATGATAACCCCAAGTACCCATGCATGACCAGCAACATAAAGCAAACTCCTGACCCAAAGCCCAAAGAACACGTCATCACCGAGGAACTCCAACTTGTACGCCTCTGCAAGCCACAGTGCTTGCGTGCCCATCCAGACTGCTCCACACATCACCCACTTTTTCCATGAGAGGTTGATGCGAGGTACGAGTAGAGGTATGAAGAGGGTATACCAAATGAAGTATTGGGACGTGCACACACGGTTGAAGAGCACGAATGTGAACGTCTGTACGAACCACACGAACGGAAGGTCGGCTGAGAATCGGCCAAGGACGAGGCCAGTCCCGAGGGACAACGTCAGTTGAGGTATAAGACTCGTGAACGGCGAGCGGAGCAGTTGACGCCAAATTGATAAGTCGACTGAGTTACCTCCAGAAGTGAGGTAGATGAGGTAGAAGTAAGGAGAAAAGTTGTGCCGATGATCACGCCGGTCTGTGTGATATAGATACGCCTCGTAGAGGAACGGGTACCCCCACCTGTGGTAGCGAGTGAGAATTACTGCTTGGAGATGATGCAGATACTTACATAGCGTAGCATGTAGCTCCCAGAACAATAAAGGTCCCTGCGCTGAGCAAGGTGAAACAAAGTGCCTGTCTTCCAACCACATGACGCAGATACGCAAAACCCCACCCTTTGCCATAGGCGCGCTGCGAGGTAATCGCAGAGACACAGCTCACGCCATATATGATCGGGTAGATTTTCCAGTGAGCACTGAGTCCCAGCATCACGGCGGCAGCGTTCTGTCGACCTTCGAGTGCGTAGAATAATGTCAAGAGGACAAAAGTGCAGAGAATTGCTTCAGAAGAACCACGCGTTGAGATAGTGAATACAAGCGGGTTTAGGAGGTGGGTTGCCGCCAGGAGAGTTGCATGTGCACGCATAAAGCGTTCCGAGTTCTTTGCGGAGACATTTGGTGCCAATGATTTGGTATAGGGAAGGATGTGCGACATCAGAATTTTATAGATGAGGACGCCATTTATTAAATCGCATGCGGCAAACAAGTACTTTCCAAATGATGGGTGCAGATACTCATTTGGAAGGAGAAGAATGGCCAGTAGTGGAGTATAGCGATAAGTCTTCCGAGTGTATGGACTATGCAATCACTTAGTGAGCCTGACGTCTCTGGACAGACCGAGAAACTTACTCGCCAACAGTAAATGAGCGAGGTGCAAGTGGTCCCTTTGCAATATTATCCTGCAGGTTGGGGTAAAGGATGAATCGGGCAGCGTCGCTGAATACACGATAGTCGATGTCGGTGTACTTCACTATCGAATGCGCATCATGCCATTCGCTGTACAGTATGAGCACAACACGAAGGATAGCAGAGACAAACAGCAGCGTTCCAAAACCAGGGATATGATCCTGCCATGCAGCACTGGCTTTGGGTTGCATGCAGCCTTGAGACTCAATTACTAGCCTTAGTGGTACTAGTAGTAAGTATAGGCTACACCGGTACACCTTGCTAATATTTGAAGACGTGTTTGTATTGTGCACGTGACGCATGATGAGCATTTGAGGGCAACATCGACATGCGAAGGGGTGGATCATTTTTGGTCTCACGTGACGCCAAAATGGTCGTGCACGTGAACGACCATTGCCAGACCAATCGTAAGTCACGTGATATATGTTGAAAAAACGGAGGGACGGAAGAACGGGGCTAACGTGCGGAAGGGGGGGGAAGGAGAATGATGCGAAGCAAGGGCGGGGATTGATAGGATAGAGGAGATAATGTATTATACAAAATCTGAACCATTAGTAGCAAGGGGGGAAGGAACTGCGAAGGTACTTAAAAGAAAAGTCAAAGACGAGCGAGAGAGCGTGAAAATTTCAGTTAGTTGAAAGCTCAAAACGATTACTACTGTGAGGCCCAGTGCTCCTGGAGGTACTCAATGCGAAGGTGCTTGACGTTATTGTGCACAATCAGCAGTGCATCCGGTGTTGATCCATCAATCTCGAGCTCCTCGTACAACTTGAACAGCACGGTCCCTGATTCAAGTGTTGTTGACCGGTCGAGCAGCATCGTCGCAAATGCTTCCTGCTCGAGGGCAGGACTTTCACCAGATGGCCGGAGGAATACTTGCTCGTAGATTTGCTTGACAGTTTCGAGGAAGGCACGCGGATGGAAGTGCTTGCCTTCGGAGAATATGCCTGGTGGCTGTGGCCAGGGTGGAGGCGGCTCGTTTTTGGACACCTGCTTGGCACCGTCGGCGCAAAAGCCCCGTCTGTGGTTGTACCCCGAGTTCTCGGGACCGGGGTACATGATGGTCTTGCAGCGCGAGCATGTGTGTGCCTTGCGAATCTGCATAGGAGTGTGAGCAAACACGATAGCTGTGAATTTTTGAGAAGACTTGCGCACCTTCTTCCCAGGCTCGCTCTTGATGAGCTCAATAGCGTGACAGTGCCTTCTCCAGAAGGTTTCCGAGCCAGAACGAGCTGTATTGTGAATGTAGTTAGTGCGTGAAACAAATGCCCGTGAGTAGTTCAACTCACACTTGAAGTCGTTCTTCGCCACGCGGTTCATCACAGCCATCTCGATCTCGCCGAGCTTTCGGAGAAGGGCCTGGGGGTTCTTTTTCACCGTTTCAAACCCATTAGCACGATTCTTCTCCTCAAGACGGTTGTTGTAGGTCTCAGTAGCTACAGCCCACTGTTTGGGCGTCATTTTGAAAGAAATCCACGCGAACTCCACTCTCATGTCCATGAACAAGTGGAACTCGATATCGCCAGAGATTTGCATGGCACGGGCATCAATTCTTGTTGCAATGGTGAAGAAGTGCTGGGAACGGGTCATCCCTGGGGGCCTCAGAATGGGCGCGAGAGCAGTGGTACTGGTGTTGATGTCATTGGCAGCAGCACTGATCACTGCAAATGGGTTTGGGAGCGTGGAGTTGGGTGTGACCGTGACTGCGGGAAGTTGACGCTGAGCGCTGGCACTTGTCGCTGTCGTTGGCCGTCGTGAGAGAGCTTTGCAGTATGGAAGCCGACTTCTCGGTTTGAGGTAGTGGTCCAGTGTGGCTGATGAAATCCCCTGCAATGCAGTGTAAGATGAGTTGTTCGTAGGGGAAGGATAAAATGGGTTTACCGGATTCAATAGTGATGCAGAGACTTCTGGAGCATCAACGTCAGTGGCAGTGGTATGCCGCATGATTTTGCAGGGTCGCTTGCATGCTACTGCCCTGGGTTCGCCAGAATCTTCAGGCTCGCTCTCCGAGATGACGACGATGTCATCCACGTCATCCACCTTGCGCTTCGTTGTTGATTGTGGCCGAGTGTTTGTTGCGATGACGGCCAAATGAGAATTGGACTCGCTCGTGTCAGCGACTTCTGCAGCTGTGGGAATTGCAGCAGTTGGAGGAGGGCACGACAGTGACAGCTGAGGCTGGAAAAGAAGCTGTGGGTCGATGTTGAGTTCTTCAAGTATTTCAGACCTCGCAGACTGCAGGGCAAGGTCAACTGCATCGTCGTCATCACTGAGTGCCTCAAGCAACTTGGTGCCAGTCATATTGAGCTCAACTGGCGACTCTTCGGCCTTGACGTCCAGTAGCCCGCCAAATGTGGACGCAAAACTTGATTTGACGAGCCCAAAATGCTCCTCAGATTGGACTTCAATGAGCTCTGGCAGGCAACATGTGCTGGTGGCCTTCTCTTCGAGTTGGAGGTGGTTGAATAGCTTTGCGATCCTGTCGACGAGGTGAATGTGATGAGAGCCGTGAGTTGATGAGATGAAGTCTGATTTCCTCGCCCTTGAAAAGGCAACGCGAATGTTTCGCCGAAGAACAAAGTCGTGACAAAGGCCTGAGAAGGTTACAATTCCGCTGGTGTGCGCACGCTGGAGTGAGTTCCAGCCTTTGTGGGATCCCTCCACACGGCTTCCATCTGTTCGTATGTCCTGCCGCTGACGTTCGAGGCAGCCTTTCCGTACGTGTTTGAGCTGTTCCTCATGAACCTAAAATCAATATTAGTGTGAAACAGGCTTTTCCAGGGATAAGTACTCACTCTGCGTGCCCCCGCTGACCAAACTGTACCTTCGCATGCCCATTTCTCAAACGTCGAGGTGAGTCTCGTCTCCTGCTCATTTCGGTCCCAGTACTTTGCGGGATTCCCACCCTCAGCATGTTTCTTCAGGATACAGGCAGAAATCTCCGCGACTACTTCCTTCCGGTGGGGATTCTTGGAGGGATTAAGGATCACAGTCGCATATCTTGCTTTTAGGATTAGCTTGTAGATTATTAGATACAAAGGAAAATGTACTCGCCTCATAATAAAATGCCAGACATCCAGTTTCATTGTAGCATCAGGGAAAACAATATCTACAGCGCTGCGCACATGGCAGCAGTTGTCAGCAACAAATACTTCAGGCGGAGGGACATCAAGAGCCTCGCATCGTGTCTTGAGGCCTTCGAGAAGCTCGCTTATCTCGGCATTTGACTGGCCATGACAGAAGCGCTGATGTAGTTAGTAACCAACCATCAGTTCGGTGCCGTCTCATTCACTTTGCGAAAGATAGCTTACCCAGCCCACAATCTCACCATTCTCGTTCATCAGACTTATAATCCCTCCCTTCAGGACCTTCAACTTCTGTTTCTCTCGGCTGGTTATGGTTGCTTTCGTAGCGGCACGGAATGTGTTATCGAACGAAATACTTATGCCTGTTCAGCATTCATGGTGAGCGTCAAGTGCTGATAGCAGAGCAATTTCCGAGTCTTACCAGAGAGTGTGCGAAGATATTCCTCCGACTCCCTTTCCCGTGTTCCTGACACAAACTCCTGGAAGATCTCGCTGACCATGTCATGCGAGATCGGCCTCGCATTGTACTCTTTTATGTCGTAAGGATCCGAGAACGCCCGAAGTGGATTTGGACTGAAGAAATCCATCCCATGTCGTGTTGTTCGACGCGATTTCCAAGCTTGAAGGTAGTCCAGCTTCCGCCTGTGGTACTCAAGCAAATGAAGTTCTTTTTGAAAGGTATGTTAGACCTGCACTTGAGAAGTAGATAGTGCTACTCACGTCGGATGTTTTCAGCGAGAGTTCCCGCTGTAGACGATGGGCGTAACTCTATAACTAGATCGAACAACTCGCGAGTAACAGCACATCTGTAGAAAAATATTGGTACGTCGGCTGCCGCAATGATTGTGACTTCAGCCGCTGAACAATCACCAGCCAAACTCGATCAAGCTCACCTGGAATGGACCAGTGGGACCAATTGCGCCAGAAGTCTTGGCTTGTTGTTGCGAAGCAGTGTCCTTTGATCGTTTTTCTGTCATTGTGCTCACACTCACTTTCTACTAGACCCTTCTTGCTTGATGGATCGTTTTTGCAAGTCTCGCAGCGGAGCTGCATGCCTATCGCTGCCTCATCAAGCATTAATCCATGGACATCTCGAGGACCGGTCCCAGTCCACCCGTCCCACGAAACACCATCTGTACAATTGCATCGCGGACATCTTGCAAGCTCGGGGTGGTAGAATGGATGTACGACGCGAAGAGGCTTCAAGTACAAGACCTCTGGGTTAACTGCAGGCTCACATTGATTGCGCTTTCGGGCATGGAGATAGGATGGTGGCAAAAAGTGAGGGCCAAGTATTGGAATCCTGCTGTCCAGGCATGGTCGCATGAGTGATTTCGCTGATCGTATTCGTGTCTTCTCTGAGATATAGTTGATGTACTCAATGACTTCAGCTTCCCATTCACACTGGCGCCTGGGTCTTGGATGGGTCATGCGCTCGGTATGTCCTGTCCATGACCCAACGCGTTTTTTCACCTATAGCGCAACGGGTCAATGTCAATATGCGAAGTTCTGCATGCCAGTGCTTACCGCCTCTTTCCAGTTTGCCTCGAATTTTTTCTGCATGTCTTTTGGCTCCAGCATTGACAGCAGTTTGCGTACCCCGTCCGGTTCATAGACAGACATGATTCTCTCAAGTCTGCGAGGCTCTGCGGTGGAAGATAAAAAATGTAACTAGTACTGTGACGGTAAATGGAAGGGCAACAACAATAATTTTTTTTTGCAATTAGGAGGCGGATGCTCTTTGCGCTTGACTACTTCCACCACACTACTAGTGTCCGAACTTGAGTTCACTCTATAGTTGTGTAACTGCTGTGCCAAGTCACCGTCAAAATAAATTATTTCGTCAAGCGTGATTGGTGGAATGAACGAATTCAATTAAAGGCTCGAAACTAAGAACTGGTACTACCGCATACTATGTAGTTCAAAACTACTAAATGACTCCGCATCTCCACCAAGTCCATCCATCAAAGTCTACTACAACTGGGGGGGCAACCTACAACTATCAGATCCGACTTCGTTAGCAACGGTGCAGATGCCGTATCTGTCAGAGCTCACCTGGACCCACAGATTCACACCGGGGACATTAGTGTGTGTAGTTCGGATTTTACGAACAAGTGAACCGCCTTGCGACATCCAAAAGAGCGCCCTGTCACCCGGAAAGAAGCTTCCGCCGACTTCGTCGCAAATACAACACAGGTGGGTCAAACACCAGATCGTGTCCAAGTAACTCAATACTGAAATGTGGATCTGGTTGTGGGATACGGATGACGACTGGCTCCGACTGGACTCGATAGGTGGATCTGGTTGTGGGATACGGATGATGACTGGCTCCGACTGGACTCGATAGGTAAGCCATGGAGGGAGTGAGCATTTGAAGGTGACAGTGATCTCTGGTGGGCCGCCAGACGTTGGGGTGCGCGCTTGACACAGACGCTCGCGATGAATGGAATGACTCACACCACCGATTTGCGAACGACTCGAGGAGAATGTCGAGAGAGAAGTGACACTGTGGTTGCCCCACATCCCGGACTGAAGGAACAACCGAAGGGCTTTGTCCACCCTCAGTCCAATGAATCCGAAGGCGTCAAGGGAATGCTTGAGCACAACACGACTTGAACACCGGGACAGATAATCACCGAGTTGCACCCTGTCAATGTGCGGAGTTCTCAACAGGAGCTGTGCAAGCGCAGCACCGGCATGGTCGTCACACTGGCCCAAGCTGCTGAAGAGCGATGCGACTGCATTATCCGGGTCTGTTGAGAACTGCTCGATGAATGCTTGCACTGCAGGGGTTCTTGGGATGGTTCTTGAACACGGCTCCTCACGCTCGCTGGTGAAGAAGAGTTGTCGCAGCAAAACCACATTCTTGACGGTGAACTTCCGATCAGCAGGATTACGCTTCGTCACGACTCACCTCGAGGACTATATTGGGATCCTCAGGGCGAGGTTTAGCAATGACGAGAATGTCGTTGAACTGGAAGAGGAAGCGATCCTTGCAGATATTGGAATTCACTACCTGGAAGACTGGAGAGCATCGTAGAAACTTCCGAGTAGCCTTTCTCCTTAGTCCGTTGGTGCCATTACTTGTGGAGAGGGCACGATCTGACATGTTTAGTTCCGTATTTATTAGTGAAAAACATCCGTCAAATAGAATAAATAAGAGAGCAGGGTACGTACCTCGAGATTGCGCTTCAAACAACCCCTTCGCGAGATCTCCGAGTTCCGACAGAGCGACCCCTTCGCAGCTTCCCGTGCGCCGCAGGCGCACGGGCCCCTTCGCATGACCATATTTTCCATTTGAGTTGCCTGGGCCCTGTACCCTGCCTACATACTAGTGCTATTTTATCTGAATTCGTTCTCTGATCCACAAGAATATTAATGTCAGACGATTTCTTCTGTAGCACACTGTTCCGGCGACAATACGACGTGAACGCCATCATGATCATGTATGTTGTGCGTAGGGACGTGACGTCCGCGTTTAACGAACAGGATCTTAGTAAATCTATGTCACGATGATATCACTTCATGTTGTAAGGAAATATCGTCAATATCAGCCACAATCCGTCCACCTTGTCAAAGAGACAAGCAGTGGTCGTAATTTCCACCTTGGTTTGCACCCCACCATTCCGGAAAAAGATGTGCGGCTCCAGCAGCTCCTTGAACTGCAAAGGAGAGGACGAATACCATGACCTGCGTTCCACCATCGAGGGCTATAGTATATCATGATGTTAACAGTCGAGATAAGGAGGCTACGAAGCTTACCTGCGCTGACCAAATAATTGTATTTCACGAACCAACGTGGGTACCTAGTACGGAGCCACCACTGCGACAAGAACGCGACCATGTAATACGACACAACTGAAGAGTTTATTCCAACGGAAAGACCTCCAATGTACGAACTGTGCAAATGATGAGATTCTAATATCGAATACGATGAGTCAGAGCGGTACCAGATGATAGGGGTGTAATAGTAATCCATGTGCAGTTTCGGCCAGTAACGGTGAATGATCCAGAAAGGAAGAGGTGCGACCAAGCCAATCAGATAAGACAAGGGAACCCATTGGTATCTTTGACCAGTTGAAAAGAGCTCGTGAGCAAGGCCACCCCATGCAATGGCCTGCGAGTTGTATGATTGAGGTTGCTGGCCAGACCAGATATTTGTTCCTTGGACAGAGAGCAGGATTTCACGTTGACTATCGATAATAGAATTCATTAGTACTATGGCAATTAGTCAGACGTGGTGAATGGATGTACAAGACGACTCCCTAACCATAGTTGAGAACAGCGCCGAGCAAGGTGCCAATGATCTGGGCCGTGAATGCAGCGCGGGGAGGCAGTTTGGCGTCTGAGTGGTCTGTCAGTGAGAAGTACCTCCCCTGACCAAGAATGTGCACATACATTGAGCAATCTTCAAATCACGTAGTAGCAGCAAAGCTTGAGATACTGTATTCTGGAGGAAAACACAAATCAAAAGCAGGTCGAGGTGGCGAAAATAGGGATACATACATAGCTGTAGAGGACCTGTCAAACCAACATCAGCAGCGGTCAAAATCGGAAACTACGTCAATACGAACAAAGAACATGTTCGCCATGGGTCTTCCGTTGTGCAGATAGCCGGCAATCATCTGGACCAGGGTTTCTTCTCTGACATATCAACTCAGGGCACCTACGGCACATAAACAATACTTACGGATGGAAAGCCCAAGGCCAGTGATGGCGTATAACGCGCCGAAGAATAAGATAGAAACTGAGGCCAAGAGGACTGCGATGACGAAGCCCCACCTGAAAAGACTTGATAAACATTTTCGTCGGATGAAGAATGTTGCTTACCAGGGCAGCGTGGAATTTGTCTTGTAGATGACGACCAGTCCAACAATGAAGGAGAGAACAAAGGTCAATAGGTACCAACTATTCGGAGCATCTGGATACTGCACAGCAATAAGTTACTAGTAAGGTCTCCATCTAATATCAGAATGACTGACCTTTAGCATCTCGCGGTAGTGTGGGTCGAGGTCCTCAGTGTTGGCGGGGACTTCCCTCTTTCCACTGTGCTCCCAGAATTTCCAATCGAAATTAGCACGCCAACTCCTCAGTGTGTCCATGTTCATCCAAGTCCATGCTGCACGTAGGTCATCTTTATTCCACAAAAGGAGGTGGGTGAATGTCGCAGCCAATGCCTGTGGTAGAACTATGAGTAAAATTGTACATCAGTAACATTTCATTTCTTAGCATACGAGGTTAGTCGTCAGAAGAGCGATAATCCAGGTACCAGCGTAGAATGGCAGCCCTTGTTCCGCCACCAAGGTGGGATCCACCTCATAGTTGGAATTCAAAATCAAAGTCTGGTTGTAAACAGTGCCATTCTCGTAAAAGAGGAGCTGCGCCAACTGATCAGTGCATTGTTAGCCTGGATATTAGAAAGCGCAGCGACGATTTTACGCACAAAGGGGAAGTTGCGAGATTCCCAAATGTTATTGTGGAATACCGTGGCGAAGACAACACTTCAAGTTTGCCTCCCTCAGTAACATTTTGCACCATGAATGAAATCACATACATGCAAAGAACGTAACCTATGAAACTGGAGAGCTAGGTGGGGTGTTATCGGAAGCCTCACACGTACAGGATTGCCATCTAACCTGAGCTTTGAGTGGAATGGTCATCGGGTTACCAGCATTACTCGAGATGTACTAAACCAAAGTTGAAACCAAATATTATCATATCTGGACAGCCAGTGTACCTGCCAGTCGAAGCACAAGGACAATAGACCAAGGCCCTCATCTCCGTTGGAACCACCAAACACGCGAGAGACAGTAGCATTGTGAGGAGCGGCGAGGCAGAATATCGAGAGACCAGTGAGCAGTGGGAAAACCCATTCAGGAAATATCTCCCATAGAAATATCCTGAGTTTAAGATCATTAGAAATCGAGAGTACGATTCATTGATGAAGCTTAAACACACGCAGTAAAGACGATGTAGAAAACCTTGAGCTTTCGGCGTGCTTCGGAGCCATCGCGATAGAGAGCATCAAACATTGAAAGCAACGGGAGAACACCAGGGTACAACATCTTTGACGGATAAAGGAGGATTCCTGACTGATGTGAGTACAGATTCTGCGCATAGCTACTGGACACAAACACACCTCGCATCAGGCCACCAATCCCATAGCTGTGGTTTACGGCTTTAGCGATGGGTACAACAAGCAGTATTCCAGCGCAACACACCCGAGCAATTGAGAAGAGAATAACAAAAAGATCGACGAACCAGCGTTCGGCGTGATGTTATAATACAAACTAATGAGTCATCAATCGCCAACGATAGAGGAATTGATTTGCGAGCCCACCGTTGGACGGCGAGAACCTCCGTAGCCAATGCAGAATTCGCAGCTGCACTAGCCATGATGATAATGAACGCATTTTCCTTCTTATTAAAGGGGCCCTATATTCATAAATTATGCATAAATTTAATGGGTCAGAAGTCACTATGTGGACAACGCACTGGGTTCAAGTATCGGAGTAATCCATGACGTGGGATAAATGTTTCCATCGCAAAGCCAATCACATAGGATATAATGGCGAGGAACATCACAGACACAAAGACGGTTTGCTGCAGTGCCAATCCGATGAGACCTCTAAGATAATGTTTGATAAAGAAGCCCTCACAGGTTTGAAGTAATAAATTTGGGCTAGGAAAAAAAAGAAGTGAGTAAGACCCTCGACTGAATGACCTCGACTGCTTTACCCAAGGAACCACCAAAGGCGGAAAGGCCAAGGCCGATGAAGAGAGCCCGAAGGGTCCAGGGGTTCAGACTAGGATCGTCGTCCACGGAAATGACGTGAGTTGCAATCTCTCGCTCGTTCTGAAGGACAACATTCTCGTCTGTTTCAGCTTCTCGGGTAGAGGTCTCGATATCCCGCTTTATGCAATAGGATTTCTCGTCGGTGGTACCAGGTGTCCTTTCCACCGCTTGAGTGGCCATGGCTATCGAGAGAGGGTAGGAGGTACTGAGGCAGACCAAGGTAACATATTTGATATTTAGATTTGCACCAAAGTTTTTAAAAAACCTAGCAAGGGGACGGGCCAGCGAGAGACCGTGAGGAATCTATGTGGCAGAATCTATCCGAGAGGACTCGGATGTGCCTCATAGATTCTGCACAAAAGATAACGAGGTTTCACAGAGTTTCCAGCAGTTTCTCGACCAAAAAGATCAATAATTTACCAAGGCCTGCTTTGGCCTGTGAATCACGATCTGAATTTAGTCAACTGCCACGTTGACGTCGACGAGATCTCTTCCTCAAGGTCAGCGCAGAAGTCCATGTGCACACTGCACGCACCTGCGATTAGTCAGTTTCATGGACGGTGACTTGTTAAAGGCTACAGTGTTTTTGTCGTTGTGGACCATCCTATGCTAGTCTCCCCTAGCCTGACAGATCCAAGGAATATAGTCATTTATTGGGCAGACACCTGTGGAGTTGGTTGCCGAGACCCAGCGGCTTCGTCGGACATGGAATTATCATTGCAGGGGTGCAAGGAAAAGGAGGGAAGTCCGAGGTTTCCACTGCAGGACAAATGATTAATGAAGTATCATGATGATCATGTGCATAAGACGAAAAAAATGTGCCTGTTTTTTCGCTCCCTGTCGCTGTAGCACATCATCGATGTCATCACTAGTACTGTCCAACAAGTACCCAGTAGCCTCGAGCTGGAAATTGGAGCGTCGTGCACACCCGTTGTCTGGTATGCTTCGACAATATTCGTGCGACCTTTCTTCCGGGTTGGAAACGAATCGATTACGATGTTTGAGTCAAGCACTCGTATTGTAAGTACTACTACCGTAAATCGCACTGCTACACCGCGCTGCTTGGCTTTATTTGCAGAATCGGCACTCGGTCGGAATGTCCAATACTTCACAGACTCTACTCTAAGTAGGGAGGGCAACGAAATTTACCCTTGGCAGATCAAGCTTTGCATCACGCGACTGATGGACATGGTAAACAAAGGCGCTGACAGTGGCTATCAATCTGAGCACGGTGCCATCCAAGTCCTCTGTACACCTGAATCGCTCAGACATTTATCACAGACAGAAGACAATCTATTAAGTATCACCGGTACCCACCATACGCTAGTGAGTTGAATAGGACAAAATATACGAGCGGATCTGAGCACAAGTTATTCAAAAAAGATCTTACTCGATCATATCAGCCAACCGTTGAGCGGCTTCCCGAGGTATCCCACAACGCGTCTTGAGCTGAACTATAAGTTTCGCCTTTCTGATATGCGAATTCTTTGAAAGTAGTTTCTTCAGCGCACGCACCAACGACACGAACAAATTATCCCCTCCTATCCATGCGTACTGCTGCCTATCAGCAGTAAATTGCCTGACGAGGTGACGGATCGTAATGCGCGATTCTTCATAGAGGTCTCTCTGTCGGCCTTCCAATCCATCAGCAGCAGTGATGCACGCGTGACCAGCGACTTCGACCTGATATCTGTCGAAGGTACGATATTCTTTGTCCCACCAGTCCTCCATCCTCTGCTCTCTTTCGAGGCCCGTGATTGCCAGAACAATGGGAACCTTCTTCTCGCAGAGGACTTCGTGAAAGAGCCGATAATTGTTCTGAAGAGTGGCGTTAACTCTGCCGGCGCGAATGCAGAACATAAGGAGGTCAACGCCGCCTTCTGCATCCAACGTCTTGACAAGCCCATAGGCATTTCCGGCGGACTCGAGGAACTCTTCGATTCCAACCTGCGGTTCTTCGATGCCAATGGTATCGAAAACCTTATAAGAATCGCCGTCGAAATCGACGGCATACTCTTGCCAGCGCAGCGTGCAGCGTTCCGCGCCAGAGGATGTGTGGGCTACCTTCTCTCCTGCCATGAGGTTAATGACCGAGCTTTTGCCTACACCGGCCTCCCCAAAGAGCACGATGTTTTTTGTCTTCCTAATTTATCAATATTTAGCAAAATACGGCGTAGAGTGGATCTGACGACTGAGTATGTACCTTGCAGAAGGGAGAGTAGTCAGCTTAGGGACCCCCATATTCTGTGGGCAATGCTGCTCGATAAGGTAACAGACGGCGCGGTATGACTGTTTACGGCGCTGCCTGAGCTCGACTGTATCACATTCATCAATGGTCAGAGCGGTAATACACGCATGACCATCAAAGTCCATCCCAAGGTCTGAGAGGGATTCCTCCTTAGTCGCCCACCACTCTTCCATTTCTGGACTTCGGTCCTCCAGACCTGTAACGACAAGGACGATAGGAACTCTTCCATTCACTTGAGAGTCCAAGAACTTGTAGTTGCGTTGGATCGCCCAGGCGTCCTTTGCACCATGTACACAATACATGACAAGATGGATGGCTCGCTTATTCTTGAGAGTTGGAAGAAGTTGCTTCAAAGCTGCCTTAGCTTGCGTATTGGGTACTGTCCCTGGATCGCCCTCACCAAGACCTGCAGCCTAGTTCAGTGACACCACAAAGAATAGCGGACTGTACTGACCGGGCGTGTCGAATAACTGTACCTTTACGATTTTGTCCTGAGTCACAACATCATGCTCGTATACAGTGGTTTCAGCTGTACATCCCACGGCCCCATTGGACGTCGGTGCCGTTTGGGTCCTAGCGATCAAGTTGACCAAGGAACTTTTACCAGCGCCTGAGCCTCCAACAATGACAATATTACATGTGTCTGTGCGGCGTGAAGCTTCCTCGACTCCGAGATAGTTGCGGCCAGTTATACTCTGATCTGAGATGTGGGACTGATTTCGGGTTAACATCCTGCTGAGAAAGAGCCAGAGACTACATACGGTGGATGATGTTTTCCTATGAGACGGCGATATTGCGTCGAGGGACGTCGGCGCCGTCGGCAACCTAGCGAAAATTTTGGGCCAGCGATTTTTACCAGTGCCTGTTGCTCCAACAATAGTAACAGCATTGCGTGTGGCTTTAGTGTGTAAAACATCCTCGACTCCATGAAAGTTGTGGCCAGCTGCACTCCGTTCTGAGGAGTGGAACTGACATCAAGTTAATTTCATGCTAAGGAAGAGCCAGATGTCACATACGGATGAGGTGGACGATGCTGGCCCAAAAGACGACGACATTGGAAATATTGAAAACAGTGAAAAGGGTGTCTCAACTTAAATTGTTGGTGTCATCAGTCTTGCCTTCAGCTGGGAGCTCTCGATTAATTATAATGTGACGCATCCAGCCGCCAGTTTCGAAGATTGATCCCGGCACCTGCCAGTGGAGTCAGCGTGTTGCATATGAGAAAAGCATTGCGATGGGTGGCGTACATAGTTGGTTTCTCAATCACGGTGCATTACGTGGCATTAGGGTGATGCTAAGAGGACCCTGCTACTGCAGTACTTCTACTTCCCGCAACAGGCATGCGAGAAAGGATGCTTGAAGCTTTGAAGGCTGAGGAGTCACTGGCGTTTCCTGACGCACTAAGGTAATTGGGGGTGGCAGAGGGAACTAAGTGGCCAAGGCACACAACCCTCTAAGTATCAGGGAGAGAATCGGACCGAAGCGAGACGCTGAACGGCCACCGCGATGACCATCAAGATATGGAGGAGGTTTCTCCGAATCACACCACGTGACCACCTCACGACAACCCGCTACTATATATAGTAGTAAACCCCCCCAACCCCCCACGAATCCAAGCAATCGGCAAACTTAATCGAACTGATAGAGAACATCCCAAACCCTAGTTCATGCTCAATTGCATTTATAATTGATTCAGAAACCAACTACATCACCCGGATCACAATGCTTGTCTCGCATGCATTGCACATGCTGAATACATGCTTCGAATCAGGGACTGAAGGCAAAACTAATTGCGGCACTCAAAAACGCTGAAAACGCAAGTCAAGACACAATTTTCACCCTTTTCAATATTTCTAATGTCGCCGTCTTTTGGGCCAGAATCGTCCACTTCATCCGTATGTGAGCATCTGGCTCTTCCCTCAGCATGAAATTAACTTGAAGTCAGTTACAATCTTCAGAACGGAGTGCATCCGACCACAGCTTTCATCGAGTCGAGGATGTTTCACATCCCACAGACACACGCAACGCTGTCATTAGAGAAACGCCGGCACGTCCTCGTAAAAGATACTTGCACAAATGGATCACTGGGTCCCAAATGGTGCCGACGTCCCTCGACACAATGTCGCCGTCTTCTGGGAGAGCAACGTCCGCTGTATGTAGTTTCTGACTATTCCTCAGCAGGACGTTAACTCGAAGTCAGTCCCACGTCTCAGATCAGAGTGCAGCTCACTGCAGCTACCTTGGAACCGAGGAAGCTTCACATCGCACAGATACATGCAATATTGTCATTATTGGAGACTCGGGCGCTGGTAAAAGTTCCTTGGTCAACTTGATCACTAGAACGCAAACAGCGCGGACGTCCGATGACACCATGGGATGTACAACCGAAACCACCGTATACGAACATGATTTTGTGACTCAGGACAAGATCTTAAAGTTACAATTATTCGACACGCCTGGTCGGTGCAGTTCACTTTTCTTCGAGGGCATCACTGAACTAGACTGCAGGTCTTCGTGCGGACTCTCTCGGAATGCGCCCCGCTACGCGAGCTGTGAAGAACCTGATTCGAACTCTTATGAGGAATGCGACTATTCATATCCTCATGTACTGTGTGCGGCGCACACGGTCCGTCCGGGCGCTCCAACGCAACTACAGGTTCTTGGATTCTCAAGTGAATGGAAGAGCTCCTATCGTCCTTGTTGTTACAGGTCTGGAGGAGCGAAGTCCAGAAATGGAAGAGTGGTGGGCGGCTGAGGAGGAATCCCTCTCAGACCTTGGGATGGACTTTGATGGTCATGCGTGTATTACCGCTCTGACCATTGATGAATGTGATACAGTCGAGCTCAGGCAGCGCCGTAAACAGTCATACCGCGCCGTCCGTGACCTTATCAAGCAGCATTGCCCACAGAATATGGGGGTCCCTAGGCTGACTACTCTCCCTTCTGCAAGGTACATACTCAGTCGTCAGATCCGCTCTGCGCCGTATTTTGCTAAATATTGATAAATTAGGAAGACAAAAAACATCGTACTCTTTGGGGAGGCCGGTGTAGGCAAAAGCTCGGTCATTAACCTCATGGCAGGAGAGGAGGTAGCGCGCACATCTCTTGGCATGCGACGCTGCACGCTACAGTGGCAAGACTATGCCATCGATTTCGATGGGGAGTCTTACAAGGTGTTCGATACAATCGGCATCGAGGACTCGGGGCTTGACATGAAAGAGTACCTCATGGCAGTCGCAAACGCATATAGATTCATCAAGATGTTGGATGCAGAAGGCGGCGTTGATCTCCTTCTGTTCTGCATTCGCGCAGGCAGAATCAATGCCGCGCTTCAGAACAATTACCGATTCTTTCATGAATTCCTCTGCGAGAAGAAGGTTCCTATTGTTCTTGTGATCACGGGCCTCGAAAGAGAGCATAGGATGGAGGACTGGTGGGAGCGAGAATGTAGAAGCTTTCAAAGACGTGGGATCCATGTCGCTGGATATGCGTGCATCACCGCCGCTGAAGGATTGGAAGGCACACAGAGAGCCCGCTATGAAGAATCGCGCGTCAAGATCCGTCACCTCGTTAGGCGATTCACCGCTGATAGGCAGCAGCAAGTATGGATAGGAGGGGACAACCTGATCGTGTCGTTGGTGCGTGCGCTCAAAAATTCGCTTGTAATGAATCCGCGTATCAGAAGGATCAACCTTATCGGTCAACTCGCGAATCATTGCGATATGTCTCTAGGAACCGCAAGACAGTTGGCTGATATGATCGAGCAAGGATAGGTCAAAGTGAATACTTAAATGATGCATTGTTGTGCGCTTCTGCTTGCAGATCATCATATGACATATATGCCTAAATGTTTCTTATCCTCGCTCTCTTATCGTCAATAGGAAAATCAATTACTTATGTCTAGACTCCAATGATCACTCTGCCAAATGTCTGTGAGAGTAGAAGCGGCATTCCAGATGCAGTTCGCCGTTCACAACGAGCAGACTTTATACCACGAGGGCATCGATATCAAGGAATGGAGTCACTTGATGGCCTGAGCAGAAGTTCCTGCGCGATCGGATGATAAAAATAACATTCTGTCTCCGCATTCTTAGTTCGTTGAAATTGAGAAAGTTATCAATAAAAATGCCAGGACCGTGGATTGAACACGGGACCTCCAGAACTTCAGTCTGTTGCTCTCCCAGCTGAGCTACCCCGGCTTGTATATCTGCCGAATTTCTGGTACTCTAAACCACCTACCAATTTAGACTACCGCTTCTATTCATTACTTGCCCTCAGCACTCCCCACAACAATGTCTGGAGCAGGTCCTCGGGAGAATGTCTTCGCTACGCGTATGGCCTTGACAAACACAAAACTCCGTCTAAAAGGAGCCGAAACCGGACACTCGTTGCTCGCAAAGAAGCGTGATGCCCTGACCACGCGATTTCGTGCAATACTGAGAAAGGTGGATGAAGTACGTTACGCTACTTGATATTGCCCGTTCGAGTTGCTGATGCATGCAATGATAGGCGAAGCGCAAGATGGGTAGAGTGATGCAGTTGGCGTCGTTTTCGATGGCGGAGGTCACGTATACTACGGGAGATATATCCTATATCGTCCAGGAGCAAGCGAAACTTGCCACTTTTCGTGTCAAAGCGAAGCAAGAGAACGTGTCTGGTGTCCTCCTTCCAGGATTTGATGTTGATCGCGTGCCGGGATCTGGTAGTTGCTTTGGAGCTTCTGAGCATATTTATTCTAACGTTGAGCGTCACAGACTTTAATCTGACAGGTCTTGGTCGGGGAGGCCAACAGGTACTACGAGCGAAAGAGGTGTACGCTAAGGCTCTCGAAACGCTGGTGGAACTTGCGTCGCTACAAACAGCGTTCACCATCTTGGATGAAGTTATTCGAGCGACAAACCGGCGAGTGAACGCCATTGAACATATAATCATTCCGCGGTTGGACAATACCATCAAATATATTATGAGTGAGCTAGACGAAATGGATCGCGAGGAGTTCTTCAGGTAAGAGCCTCGAGTCTCCTGCTCAAGCTTAGACGCCAATGATGCTTGTAGGCTTAAGAAAGTCCAAGGCAAGAAGAAGAGAGATGCCGGGAAGGCGGCGGAAATCAAAGCTATTACTGACGAGGAGGAACTGTTGAAACCCCTGGATGAACAACAAGAAGTAACAGTGGACTTGCTGAGTACCAAGGACGAGGATGTCATTTTCTGATTCGTAGTCAGTACCGCATTGTACTATTTGTGTTCTATGCCAGCTGCGAAGGTAATTTGCATCAATCTGTACACTATGGTTTGATGCAGCTGTCTCAAAGTGAACTGGAATAGCAGGAGGGTCATGGTGCATATCATGTGCGATAGTGCGCATAGATACATGGTGGTTTTGTGAATGCAACAAGGAAAGTCAAAGACAATCAATACGCCAACAGGAAATTACTGAAAGATGGGACGAGTCAGTTTCATTGCTACCTATAAGATCTAATAGTGGTCACTTACGTCCACCATCTCGACATCCTGAGCGGCGGCTGGTTCTGCGGTCTTTGACCTGTCCTTGCGGTCAAGAATTGCCCGACTGGTGGAAAGAGCTTTAGAACGAGAAACATCAACAAAGCGTGGATTGCCCACCGATCCTTGTCAAGCTTGATGGTTGTGATCACGACTTTGCTGGGGTGGATTCCGATGGGAGAAGTAGCACCGTTGGATTTGTCGCGTTGCACACGATCCACATAAATGACCCATTTCTTGCGGTAAACCTGGGTAACTTTTCCTTCCCGACCTTTGTATTTTCCTCGCAAAATCCGTACTTCGTCATCCTTGCGGATCGGTAGTGACCGCGCCTAATGAGTAGTATAAACACCCCGCGCCTCGTTTCTCAACAGATCCAACGTACGTTGTATTTCGCCCGGAGTTCCTTGGATAGGGATGAAGACATAATCTTGCGGCGCACGGAGGAGGGTGCGCTGAAATGGGCCTTGCGGTTCTTGCGCCGCGAAGAGGAGACGTCTGTTATGTAGACTCATTCGTCAGCAAGTTATTCACCCAACAGATCTCATCCAAGTTTCAGCATCTCCATCCAACTTCTCCTGTGCATAAATTTTCACTCCGAGGTGCATAGACGGGTGGAACAGACACCAGCGAGTACAGAGACAGCACTGACCAGGGTTGTACTTCATCTTGATCTTGAGGAGGACGTCGATTACGGTGTCGGGCAGTTCGATTTGGGTGTATGGAACGAATTGTTTGGTTCAAAGTTTGCGTTTCGGCGTTTGCCGGATGTACCATTTTGGGACAGCATACAACATGAAGTTCTTACGCGCACCCAGTTCGCCGCGTGTAGTCGATGGAGAAAGTTCGGTCCACGCAGCTCAAATTCAAAGGGGACAAAATAAAGAAGAAGCGTAAGAGAGAACGCCACGATGAAGAAGGCTCTGCAAGCAAACGTGTAGAGGAAGATGAGGACCCAGAGACCTGGGTTCTACCGGAAAATGCAACAGAAATTCGCGGACCCACTTTCATCATACACCCTTCTGATCCTTCGCCCATATCAGTGAACTTTGATTCTACAAGAAACAAGATCATATTATCATCTCTGGACAAGGATTCGACAACTGAAACCCCGCCATTACTCGATCGCACACCGACGGAAGTAGCTCAGGTCTGGGTTACTACCCGCGTCGCGGGATCGGCCACTATCAACCTTCGGACGGGCACTGGTGAAGGAAAGTTTCTGTCTTGCGACAAACATGGTATTGTCAGTGCTTTTAGGGAAGCGCGAGGGCCCGAGGAGGAGTGGACACCTGTTCTTTTACCTGATGGCATGGTAGCCTTCATGAACGTGTATGAGAATTATCTCAGTATTGACGAGGTCGCAGGAGGTTCGCTCCAGCTGCGAGGCGACAGTGAAGAAGTCGGGTTTCGGGAGCGGTTTTGGTTAAAGATTCAGAACAAGTACAAGAAGGAGGCCCATGAGGAAAAGAAGAAAAGAGAAGCAGGCTCAGAGTTGACAGTCATTGACGAAACTTCCACCAAGTACGTTTCGCTTATGATGAAGTGGCTCGTGATCTGAAATATTTGAAAGCCATATGCACCAAGCTTGGGGAGCGGGACGTTCGGTGGTGTCGAAAGAGGATAATAGAGAGGTGCGTTGATATTCATATTTTAATTATCATCGATATTCTGAATAATATTTGTTTCAGCTAAAGCGAGCACGCAAAGAAGGTCGCTTGGCAGAGGCCTTACTGGATCGACGAGCGAAGTTAAAGAGGCACGTTCTGATCTATACTGAATGGATATCTCATCTGATTTTACCACAGTGATCGATTTTGTTGAGCTTTTTGGCGAATTATCTTTTATGCATGTTGGACTCGTGTATCTTCTAGTGTACTCTTATATTTGCTCCCGTGACACTCGCATCCAAAGGGGAGATATCTTATACGCCTCCCTTTGTCCTACTCGTTATCACTCCATCGCCGGCCCCAGACATGTCCAACCTTGTCCTTGTTTCTCAACCCACAAGAGAGTGTAAGGCTGTCTATGACGTTAAAATAGCATCCAAGATGGATCAGCGACAGTGGCAGAGATTGCGTGTACGTGCTATCAAAATCTGAATCCTGGTTGATTAACCTTCGAGGAAAAGTCTCTCGTCATAGAAATGGCCGCCAGGTTTCTGAACACACGAGATATATATGAACACCAGGACCCCGAAATGGTCCGTTTGTTCTACCAGTCGGTGAGCTTCAACTTAATCTTCTGTTGCCCTGCTTCATTACTTTGTCTTTTATCTCAGGTCCACACTAAATGGCCAGAAGTGGCAGAATATTACCCAAATTCATGGGTACTTGTCCGATATCTAAAGATATATTTGTCGAAACGAGTTTCGCGAAAACGGTGGGCTGATAAAGTCGCTCGTGAGAAGGCTGTCGAGCAAGCCATACAACGATCCGGGCGTCCTCGTGTACAAGTATGCTCTGTGCTTTGCATCGCCAGACAAGTTAGACTCTTAAAACGTCCTGCAGAACACAGATCTATCGTTTGTCCGTCATCTCAACACCCGTGCTTCAAGAGCCACTGCAGTGTCGAGGAGGAAGGCCACTGCCCGTGGTGGATCTACCTTTCCATCTGGCCCGGAAATCATGACGCCACTCGCAGTCCATCGATCTGCTGCCATCGCCCCCCAGCACAACGGGAGCTCTCCCGCCTCAGCACACTCGCAAAACGTACCCGTTCAAAGCTCTCATGCCGTTTTTCAATTTCTTGACTCCACGACACCAAGTCTGGTGAAACTCGTCCCAGATTTCCTTTTTGCTGGGATTGATGATCAGAATCATCTTAATGATTTCTTCACGTGGCCTGAGAAGGCTCAACGCAACTTTCTTCTCAAGACATTTAGTGGAAAGATGAACGCGTTGGAGCTGGGAGCAATGCTTATAGCGTTGAACTCTAGGCGTCGTGGCTAAGTCGAAGCTACACTAGCTATTGCTCTCATTTTCAACTTGTTCTTCGACCCCAACTTTGATGTAACTTACGACAAACCTTACGACACGTGTCTTTCTTAGTGGCTATGTAGCTTCCGATTTCAACAGCGTCAAACAAGAATGTAGCATGCAATTGCATTTGTGAAACTATGTAGCACACGTCCGTGACATTCTCTCCACAGCACTATTAGCATTAGGGCAATTCCGTCCGTCTATCCATCTCTTCAGGACTTTAAATATAACATGGAGGCTGAACCATTGATCAACGAGGCTACGTTAGTGACACCTGAGGTGGTTCCATTCACCAACGGTCTTTCACCCCAGAGTTTGCTACTGCTTTCTTTGGCGCTGGTCGCGGGTTTGCTGATCGGTGCGTTCTGGCCAACTTGATTCTGAAATACATTCTTACACTCTGAAGTAATCGCATTCTCTCGAAGAAAATCAAGGTCCAGAGGCGACATACTTCTCCTTCTCGGGCCCCCAGATGCTGGCAAAACAGCAATTCTTTCTACTGTTGGTGACCGTTTCATGAAGTTACATTGGTTGTCCATCTCAATTTATCTAGTTCGCATTTACATCAACGCTACAATCGCATACCTCCCTGCAAGTCAATACTTGTCTCGTACCTCTCTCACCAGTGGGGACATTGCCAGTTGTTGACGTCCCAGGGCATCCTCGAATTAGAGATCAGTTCCAGGAGTACTTAGGGAATGCCAGAGCAGTTGCTTTCGTAGTGGATGCAAGTACCATATCACGCAACGGGTCTACAGTAGCAGAGTGCGTATATTTGATTCTTTCATGACTAATTCTAACGAAGTGCAACGTCTAGACATCTCCACCATGTCCTTCATGCCATAACATCGCTCCCTCCTTCACACTTGGCACCCGCACTCCTCATCGTTGCCCATAAGTGCGACCTCATGAAGGCAGCTACGTCTTCAGGCTCTCCCGCCGAGGTCGCCATCTCACGCGTCCGAACGATTCTTGAACGTGAGCTGGAAAAGCGACGCGAGGCTCAGTCCAGTGGCATGGGAATCGAAGGCTTGGGCGCTGAAGGTGAACGTTCGGATATGGGAGGTTTAGATTGCAGCAGTCCTGGCGGAATTTTCAAGTTTGCCGATTGGGAAGGCGGGGAAGTCGATTTTGCAGGAACATGGGTGAACGTCGGAGAGCTCAAGGAAGAAGAAAAAGGAGCAGTCACTGACGGCCTGGACTCATTGCGTAGTTGGCTGGTAGCAGCTTTCACTATGACCTAACTATGATCGTGATTTTTTTATGATACAAGACACTCGCAGTATTAGTCTCCCCTAGCCAGACCTTTATAGACAAAGGAAAATAGTTGATCCTTATAATACCTTTGGACTTTGCAAAGCGAGTATGATTCTGGACGAGCAGCTGAATCGACTGTGCAATATGGTGAATTCATAGATATCGCTGGAATTTGCCTTCGGGTTGAACGGGGAGTTGCACAAGGTGGAGGTACCTGGAGTAAACAAGTACAAACAGACTGATGGTATAAATTCCCAGACAATTTTTGTTGACCTTCACCGCAGCCTTTTAGACAGTGCCCGTTCTACCATACACAGGAAGGACGACGGCGATTCGGTGGTGCGAAGAGCACTTCGGATAGGATTAGAAACGCACGCATCTTATTTGTATGGTGTAGTGGGTGTCAGACCTCTCCAACATTTCGTCCTCATTTCCGTTTAGCATTTGGGTGTATACATCTCACACGTACTACATGTATTTGCCCTGTGCAATGATATTCTTGATACAAACATGTCGACTGGATCAGTGGGCGTGGTTAGAGCATCTAAACCTAGGGCATCGGCCTGTGTAACGCTGTTAGATGGCGACAGTAATTGAAGCACTATGCGTGAGGAAATGCGTCTTCATCTCAAGACAGTACTTGACGAATTCCAGAGTGACTTGCTGTTTTTGGGATTTTTTGGCAAATCGAGACGTCCTCATCAAGAGCCACATAGACGCGCACATGAGCATAGATCTAATATATGTTACCCATGAGTGCCATATTAGATGTAGGAAATATCAATCAATCAGAACTTCGTTTCCTTCTTTTCTCCGGCCTGGGTGAACTTCCGTCCTCCTCAATTGAACTTAAGTCTGAGTCTGAGTACTCATCCTTGAGCAAACTGGGGTCATCGTGCACGGCAACAACAACAGTGGCGACAGCGGCTATAGCAGCCACAGCAGCACTCATCAACACGGCTTTTCTCTGCATCTCAGCCTTGTTCCGAGTCTCGTCATGTTTTCGTTTGGATGAGGACGTCGATGCCGACGCTGAGGCACCCATATCCCTAGCAGGTGTCGAGGGTTGAATGCCGAACGAAGAAAAGGCTTTCAAATCCGCCGTGAAAAGCACCTAAGGAAAGGAGAATGAACAAAAAGAAAGGCAACTTCGAATAGATACACACAGAATGGGCCCAACCGGCATATTCACCCCAAATATCAGCAAGCTTAGCGGCCACTTCATCGTAGATTCGAGGGGTCATGGCACCTTTTCCTTTGGAGCCGCCTACGGTACGTAGCCCGTAATGCTTAAGAGCAATCTGGTGAACATGAGTGTCCACTGGTATGACTTCTCTCTACGACAGCATAGATTCAGGATCGGATGTGAGCAGAACTGAGATCGACTGACTTTGTCCAAGCTCATGAGAAGAACGCAGTCTGCTACCTTGCGTCCCACGCCGACGAACTTCAGAAGTTCTTCACGAGCAGCTTCGGTGCTCATGTCTCTCAATCCGGTCAACCACTCCTCACAGTTCTCTCGTGACCCTGTATTGGAGATCGAGCAACCGTGAGTATCCACGAGCATTTTCGCAGTGCGCTGGATATAATCAGCACGGTAGCCAAAGCCCAAACCCCGAAGAGTGGACTTGACTCCAGGAGCAGCAAGGAGAGAGGGCGGAGGAAAGGAGTGGTACGTTGCGGGAACTTGACAGTCACTTTCACTGAGTTCGGGAGGTGGCAAGGAAATCAGGGAAGGAGAGTACTGTTTGCAAAGAGCGTGCACCATTTTGGTGATCCGGGGTATGTTGTTGTTAGAAGAGCAAATGAAGCTAGCAAGATGAAAACCTGTTAAGCCTCCGAGCCAGTTCAGAAGCAGGCTACGCACGATATCAGGTTCTCCCAAGGATCTTGTCTCAACATCCGGATCCCAGAAAAGCGAGATTTGAGTTTATTGAAGACTTGATCTCGGTCACTCCACTGGTTGTAGAGCTCTACCAAGTCTACGTCCAGCTGAAAATAATCCTTGAGCCAAATCAACGTTTCTTCGTTGCTAACTCTCTCCTGTTCTGCTGAGAGATGCTCTCCGGGAAAAACAGAGCGATAGAAAAGATAGTCGGGAGACTGTCTCAAGCACACTACGCGGTCCCTCAGGCACAGACGGTACTCGTGAGTAGGAGACGATTCTGCGTCAGGGGACGAGGGTAGTGGATAACTTGTCCAGCGAAATGACTGGCCACATTTTAAAACAGCTGCTAAAGAGAGTTGTACGGCGGACAGTGGCAAAGCGCGAAACCCAGCAGGAATTAGGGAAACCATAATTCAAGTCGTTGAAAAGCAGACGGTATTTTGTCCTAGAAGTCAGGCGTCAGAGCACGAAACAACTTTGACAAGGTTGGACAAGAGTATGTGACGAGGGTCGCCTACATTCCTCTCAGACGCAGACGCGGTCGTGGCAGTCTGGTCAAGTGCACGATATCGATTAATTTGAGTCCTCACAGCCACCACATTTGCTTCATCACCCGTACTAATGCCTTCAGAAGGAGATACGTTTCTTCCCAGAATACAAAGCGTGTTCTACGCCGTATTCGATTTACAGAAGGGACCAAAAATCGTGTATCAGGTCCCAGAAGGTCTCATTGCAGGGTCGACAGCAAGTCAAAACTCTAACCATTCGGTCACCTCTTCCCCTTCACCGTCGATAGCTGCCATTTTGGAACCAGACGTATCGCCTTCGCGAAGGTCGAGTCCTTCTGTAAATTCTCATGGTGGTGGACGTGCAAGTTCTCTCAACGTCCCGTCGCCACATCAACGCTCTTCTTCTTCCAGTCGCGTTCTGTTCAATTTCGATGACATCTCAAAGTATGTGATACCTCCTGGAGAGCTTTGTGGGCGACTGGTCATTTGCGCTACGCGGAAATACCGTATCATTGGCTTTCCTGTTTTGCTTCCTGGCAATTACTCGCGGAACTACTTCCAGTACAACGTCTGCTTTGTCTTCGAGCGGTCAGCGGATCTAAGTTGCTATGAACCAATAGTCCGCAAAGTCAGCCGTGTACTAACGGCCTGCGAGGTCAGCTCTTTACCCTACACACAAAGGCCCTATGTTCATGAAATTGTAGGAAGAGTCATTTTTTCTCTCCTCTGCACAATCATCGCCAGCTATGCATGCCATCCTCGAGCAGCTATACGAGGATCTGAACTCTTATTCTGAAACATCGATACCAATTGATGCCTTCAACTCAATAGAGTTGAAGATCTTTCCCTTTTATCCCAATCCACCCCCAGTAAAAGATTGGCATGTGCCTATAGCCCTTATCAACTTGTCCAAACGCATAGAAGACAATTGGGATCTAACAATGAGCAAGGTAGGCCGAACTGGTTTATAGATTGACTGTCCTGACAGCCATGTATCAAGGTGTGCAGACATATTGATGGCCTGAATCACGTCAGTCGCATTGCACACCTAGCCGACTGTGATATTGAGCTGACCCGCCAAGCAATATCTCACTTGCTGTAAGATATTGCACCCCGACCCTTCAATCCCACTCTCATCAGACCTCGCAGTTACTATCAAGTCATCATGACTGTCGACATCTTCCAATATTCCAACATGTACACTCTTCGTAAGAATGTGCAGTGGCTTGCAGACGAGTGCCATGTCAAGGACGAATGTGGACCATATGTCACGAAGCACGCACCCGGTTCGTACATGACTCCAGGGAAATACCTAGCTCACCTGTGGAGCAGGAAGGGCGGTGCCGGATTGGCCAAAACTTTTGCACTTATATTCGCGACTTAAGTCGGGGAAAACAGTACTGGATTGGATGGAGACCTACGATGTCCATGAACTTGGCATTGATGTTCGACGTTTCACAAGTTTCGGGGTGATCAAGGTATTTTCCATCAACTGTTCTATGGTCTAGGATTTGAAGTCCTTTCAGGGGTTTCTACGACGAGTGCATCGTTGGCCAATTTTACTTCCTGTGGATATACCGTCACCAACTCGTAGAAGGAGGCAAAGTCTCTCTTCTTCCGCCTCAAACGCAAGCCCTACAAGTACTTCGGCTCCAATTGGGGAGATTCCTCGGTTTAGTGGCCGATTCGATGCGTCTGTTGTTGCACCTATGCTCGGTTCTCCCACAAACCAGATGGAGGCCACACGAGCCCATCAGCGAACGAGCGCAGCGGAGAAGGTTCTCGAGCAGCTACGTTTCAAAACACTCCCACGGGCTGGACCCAACCCTACCATGCGGCAACCTCCTCTTTCCCCAGAGGGTCCTGAGCGCAATCACGAGCGCCGTAGTCGTGTCCTGTCTGATACTCGAAGACATTCAAATTATCAACAACCCACGAGTCATGTGCCACCGCCATCTAGTGTTGCTGGGAGCCAGTCAATTGCGCATCGCAGTTCATCTGAATTGCAGAACGCCTTTTCTGCAAGACCGCGACGATCACGGTCCCCTTCTACTTCTCGCACTCACGCCCTAAATTCACAAAGCTCTTCGGGTCCAATGAATACTCCTCCACCCCCTGAACTGTTACCACTTCTCGATGGAGATCATCATACGGACGAACTTTGTACGCGCTTTGAGGTCGGATGGCCTCAACTACAGCAATGGCTAGTGATTATCGGAGGTGGAAAAGGCGATGGAGATGGAGATTTCGGGAGAGTGTCCATTATCTATCGTTGATAAGTGTCTGTCATACGGTTCCATTGCACTGAATTTTCACGTTTGTTCTTCTATCACGACGGAATCCCAAGCAAAATTGTTGCCGAAAACAAAATTCTCTACAACAGTTTCGTTTGGAGATTTTGGGAAGGTATTATTCCTTGTGGATGATGATCTAGCACACGAACCCGTTGCATGGTATTATCTCTGCACGCCGGATGTCATCCAACCCCAAATCTCATCGACACTAACTAGTACTGAACGCTGAACCCCTTCCGAAAGACGACTCAAGACATTATACAAGTGCGGTCACTGCCGTAATATAATGGGACTATATGGTTTAGTGCCTTCCTCTCTTGGTGCACATATTTTATTTGGCTCACACAATGCACCGATAGTTCTATCATACGACAACGGTACCGACTCCCTTTCGACTACGGGCAGGCTGTATTGATATAGGCACAGCATTTACTCAGATACGATGGGCTCTGCGACTTTAGGGACGGTGTAGCGTGCTCATTATCAGTGGCAGTGTGTTTATGCTATGCCGTCCGTTCCCACCTATAATATCGTACCTATTCGGTTCATTGATGGCGTCCGTATTCTCTGATTACCTCGTCGTTAACGGAGGAAATCGTGCCTGGGCCAACTTGCAACCAGGGCCTCCACTGTTTCAGGCCCGGCTGTGAGCCACTGCCCATTACCCCGACGTCGTGCCCATTCACGTCACCTTCCCTGGCAGACACAGGAGTCTATCGCAGATAGCCGTGGTGAGGTGGACCTTAACTCAGGTCGCCACTTTGCACACATAAAACTCGCTCAAATGTCTTGATGCCGTGTGGTTTCCGTTCTACAGACGATCTGGTAAGAGGTTTTCCTATACAATATCGGCACGACTAAAGGCCGTGGTGCTGGTTTATAGTATGCCAAAGGATATTCGTACACATTTACCTTGCATAGCCGATAAAGAATGCGTTTGCACACAGGCTCTCAGGCATGTAAGTGCAATGAGTTGTCCATAATTTTCTGATTTTTCACTCATTCCCTCTGCCTACCACTAGTAGTAGCTCTCCTACTATTGGTGCACTATGTTGAAAAGGTCGCTGCTCTCAACTGGACTCAGTGTTTATTCGACATCAAGATGAATGCAAACGCTACCCAGAGTTTAGTTGGTCTCCTCAATGGCAACGGAGACCCCGTGTCAAATATTGACGATGCCACAGCGATAAGCTACTCAATGTGTACCTCCTTCTGTGGGACCAGACAGGATTTCTATATGTCTGTATTTTCGCAAGATTTCAGTTCGTGGCTACTGCCATATCTTGCACTTATTTCGCAGCTCCCCTTTGGGGCACAGTACAGGCTTGATAATCTCATGTCTGCTGTGTTGACCATCGGGTCACCCGTACTTTCTGGTTATTCTCTATTCATCACCCTACTCAATTCTCGCTGGATCAACCGCCGATTTAGTCAAGCGGTGGACTATCCCAATTCACATCTCGCACTCTCTATTGTCAGCAATCTTCAGCAAGTCCCGCTAAGACTGCATTCCGATCGCACACGCTTCCCATCTCTCGTCGTCCTTCCGGAAAACGACACCTGGTGGAAACACTTCTCTGAATTGGTGAACTATACTCATATGTGGTCAATTGCGTCCGCGATCTCCATCGCCTGGGTCGTCGTCGCATATATCCTGTCTATAGCCAACTCACAATCAGATGTTTATACAAATTTCGCTCAAGCCGGTGGCGAAGCCACTAGCTCCATGTGGCTGTGGTTGATTCCGATAGTTGTTGGATGGCTTCAGCTCTCACCGAAATGCGATTTCAATCGCTTACAATTAGCTTATGATCTTGCCGACCGCCATGGCATGCGCACACAAATGGAAGATGCTCCTACTGGAACACCACCTGCGTCCGCCCAAGGAGCTTTAATAATAACTGCTCAGGAGGAGGATGTGATGTCTCCAGACGAACTCCTCACCCCTCCGGTGTTTAATTACTCGCGCTCATTGCAATGGGCATATACAGCAGAGACTATCTTCCTGGTGTACAAAGCGGCATCAGAGAAGGCTAAAAGCCGTACTCCCGTCAATTTTGGGAGTGAGTGGGTGGAGTCCGACGATTTTAAATCTATCCACCCCAGCAATCGACGTGGGTCCCTTCAGGAAATCACCGCGTACTGCGCGCAGCCCGTCCGTACATGCCGCAGCCACTGGGCGCCTGGCGTGTTCACAAGAATGGCTCTCGCGTCATGCGCTTCGCTTGCATTACAATGGGGAACAGCCGGAGGAGCGTTTATTGTAGAGTGGTTCACTCCTACGACAGTGCGTTTGTTCTGGTATACGTGATATGTCGGCTAACTTCAAGCAGGGCATGGGGTGCCGATCTTTTAGTTACCTCATTTATGGAGCCGTATCGACTATCATATGGATGATGCTCCTGATATCCAGTATTCTCACCCATTATTCAGCAGCTTATTCCCGTCAAGGCTCATCATTGTCTGCACGTATTGCACTGGCGTTCTCGCACTGCCTGCGAAGGATGGGTAAACTGTTGGCCATTGCAAATACCATCTGGGTGATCTTGACGTGTATTATTCAATATTCCGGCTTCTACGATACATGCTTCTGCAATTCCAGTATGATTAGTAGGGGAAGGGCTGCTGCATACGTTACGATCATCGAAACCACAGCCCAAGCTGCACTGGCCAAGGCTGCATGGATCGGCGCCCTCGTCCTAGCGTGTACCTCAGCGTCAGCTTTCGTCGCTCTCGTCGCTCTTTTATTGGATACTATTCCGGCATAACTATTGTTGTAAACATATTAGTATGTAGTTGTTTTTGACTCCTAGAAGCTACCCAAGCCGATTTGCCATGCTCTAGGTGACCGGAATGCTGGTATCAACGTCCGCACAGTAAGTCCATGCAGCCTCGAATTACTTCGATCATTTGACCACATACACCTTAGGGCCTAATCTCGAATATTCTTGAGGAGGATGTTGTTCAACCTCTTCTCGTCTCCACGAGCGCGATTGAACTCTCGACGGAGACTGTGTGCTTACTTTTGAAGATCGATGACTATGTACAAGCAAGATAATGAGACGTTCTGACATTCTAATAGACATCGTTGACTGTCACCAAGTGGAACAAGAACTTAATTTTTTATCACAAAAATACGTCAACCTAGTATACAGTTTTCAGAGAGACAAGCAGCGGTCATAGTTTCCGCCTTGGTTTGCACCCCACCATTCCGGGAAAAGATGTGCGGTTCCAGCAGCTCCTTGGACCGCAAAAGAGAGAATGAATACCATGACCTGTGTTCCACCATCGAGGGCTATAGTATAGCATGATGTTAGCAGTTGAGATTATAAGAAAGCCGCGACATTTACCTGCACCGACCAAATAATTGTATTTCACGAACCAACGTGGGTACCTAGTACGGAGCCACCACTGGGACAAGAACGCGACAGTGAAATACGACAAAATTGAAGAGTTTATTCCAACGCAAAGCCAAGCGATGTACGAACTGCACATATAATAAGCTTAGAATTTGAATCATTAATGAGTTCAGAACGTACCAGATGATTGGGGTGTAATAGTAATCCATGCGTAGTCTCGGCGAGTAACGGTGAATGATCCAGAAAGGAAGAGGTGCGACCAAGCCAATCAGATAAGACAAGGGAACCCATTGATACCTTTGACCAGCTGAAAAGAGCTCGTGAGCAAGGCCACCCCATGCAATCGCTTGCGAGTTGTATGACTGAGGTTGCTGGCCAGACCAGATGTTTGTTCCTTGCACAGACAGCAGGATTTCACGTTGACTGTCGATGATAGAATTCATTAACACTAGAACAACAAGTCAAATGTGGTGAATAGATATGCAAGACGACTCCCTGACCATAGTTGAGAACAGCGCCGAGTAAGGTGCCAATGATCTGGGCCGTGAATGCAGCGCGGGGAGGCAGTTTGGCGTCTGGGCACCTGCCAGTGAGAGGTACCTTTCCCGACAAAGAATGCGCACATACATTGAGCAATCTTCAGATCGCGTAATAGTAGCATTGCTTGAGCCACACTATTCTGAAGGGGAACACAAATAAAAAGCAGGTCGAAAAGGCGAAACCGGGGATGCGTACATAGCTATAAAGGACCTGTCAAACCAACATCAGCAGCGGTCAAAATCGGAAACTGTGTCAATACGAACAAAAAACATGTTTGCCATGGGTCTTCCGTTGTGCAGGTAGCCGGCAATCATCTGGACCAGGGTTTCTTCTCTGACATATCAACTCAGGGCACCTACAGCACATAAATAACACTTGCGGATGGAAAGCCCAATGCCGGTAATGGCGTATAACGCGCCGAAGAACAAGATAGACACGGCGGCCAAGAGGACTGCGATGACAAAGCCCCACCTGAAAAGACTTGTTAAATTTGTTTGCCGGATGGAGAATGTTGCTCACCAGGGCAGCGTGGAATTTGTCATGTAGATAACGACTAGTCCAACAATGAAGGAGAGAACAAACGTCACGAGGTACCAGCTATTCGGAGCATCTGGGTACTGTATAACAATGAAGCAAGGTTGTCTTTTTAATGTCACAGCGACTGACCTTCAGCATCTCGCGGTAGTGTGGGTCGAGGTCCTCAATGTTGGCGGGGACTTCCCTCTTTCCACTGTGCTTCCAGAATTTCCAATCGAAATTAGCACGCCAACTCCTCAGTGTGTCCATGTTCATCCAAGTCCAGGCTGCACGTAGGTCATCTTTATTCCACAGGAGGAGGTGAGTGAACGTCGCAGCTAATCCCTGTGGTGAAACTATGAGCAAAGCACCCTATATCAGCAGTGATTCTTGGCATACGAGGTTAGTGGACAGAAGAGCTATAACCCAGGTACCAGCGTAGAATGGCAGGCCTTGTTCAGCGACTAAAGTGGGGTCCACCTCATAGTTGGAATTCAGAATCAAAGTCTGGTCGTAGACAGTGCCGTTCTGGTAAAAGAGGAGCTGCGCCAACTGATCAGGGTATTGTTAGCCTGGAAATTAGAAAGCGCAGCGACGGTTTTACGTACAAAGGGGAAGTTTTGAGATTCCCAAATGTTGTTGTAGAACACCGCGACGAAGACGACCCTTCGTCTCTCTTAGTGATATGTTACACCGTGACTGAAATAACATACATGCAGAGAATGTAACCAATGAAGGTGGAGAGCTAGGGGAGACGTTAGAATTGTCATACGCACTTGTGTGTCAACTAACCTGAGCTTTCAGCGGAATAGTCATCGGGTTAACACCACCCGAGATGTACTAAACAAAACGAGTTCATTTAAGTGTCAACAACATCAGGATAGCCAGCCGTACCTGCCAATCGAAGCACACGGACAATAGACCAAGACCCTCATTTCCGTTGGAACCACCAAACACACGAGAGACAGCAGCATTGTTAGGAGCAGCGAGGCAGAATATTGAGAGACCAGTGAGAAGTGGGAAGATCCATTCAGGGAACATTTCCCATAGAAATATTCTGGGTTAAGATCATTAGAAATTGAGAGTACGATTCATTGATGAAGCTTAAATTTACGCAGTAAAGACGACGTAGAAGACCTTGAGCTTTCGGCGTGCTTCGGAGCCATCGCGATAGAGAGCGTCGAACATGGAAAGCAGCGGGAGAACACCGGGGTACAACATCTTTGACGGATAAAGGAGGATTCCTGAGTGTTGTCAGTCGAGATCCTGCGCATAACTACTGTTGGACACAAGAATACCTCGCATCAGGCCACCGATCCCATAACTGTGGTTTGCGGCTTCAGCAATGGGTGCAGCAAGGGGTATTCCAGCGCAACGCACCCGAGCAATTGAGACGAGAACAACAAAAATATTGATGAGACGGCGTTCGGCGTGATATTATAATACAGACTAATGAGTCATCAATCACCACCGACCAAGAAATTGAATTGCAAGCGCACCGCTGGACAGCAAGAACCTCCGTAGCCAATGCAGAGTTCGCAGCTGCACTAGACATGATGATAACGAATGCATTTTCCTTCTTGTTAAAGGGTCCCTATATTCATAGATTATGCATAAATTTAATGGGTCAGGGGTTACTATGTGGACAACGTACTGGGTTCAAGTATCGGAGTAATCCACGACGTGGGATGAATGTTTCCATCGCAAAGCCAATCGCATAGGATATGATGGCGAGGAACATCACAGACACAAAGACAGTTTGCTGCAGTGCCAATCCGATGAGACCTCTAAGATAATGTTTGATAAAGAAACCCTCACAGGTTTGAAGTAATAAATTTGAGCTAGGAAGAAAAAGCAGTGCAAGTGAGTAAGACCCTCGACTAAATGACCTCGACTGATTTACCCAAGGAACCACCAAAGGCGGAAAGTCCAAGGCCGATGAAGAAAGCCCGAAGGGTCCAGGGGTTCAGGCTAGGATCGTCGTCCACGGAAATGACGTGAGTTACAATCTCTCGCTCGTTCTGAAGGACAATCTCGTCTGTTTCAGCTTCTTGGGTGGATGACTCAATGTCTCCCTGTATGTAGTAAGATTTCTCCTCCTTCGCGTCGAAGGATTTCTCGTCGGTAGCACTAGGGATCTGTTCCATAGCTTCAGTAGCCATGGCTGTCGAGAGAGAGTGCGACGTGCCGAGGCAGACCAAGGCAAAATATCTGATATATAAGCATACATCAAAGTCGGCAAGACCTGGAAAAGGACGGACCAGGGCCAAGATAGATAAGTCCTATTCTTGCGAGGTAGCAGGCACAGAAACCTGAAATGATACCGACGCCAGCAGCGTTAATGCCTTCTCTCGTATGACCATACGTTCTCCACAACGGATAACGGAGCTTGAGGGAGTTTGAGATTCGGCTGAAAGACGAAAGAAGTTATGCGAATAACGTCATGAATTTAGTCAACTTGCTACCATCTTGACTTCTTTCAGGCGCGCGAACAAGAATGTCATTCCTGTTAGCTTCCCATACTCTTTGACTGTCACTGACTGATTACGGTACTAAACAGGCCTGCCTCATTCTGCAAGAGTCAACGGAGGGGGTTCATGTTTGAGGTGGAACACGAGGGGCGAGGTTGATTATTCAGTTGTTAGTCAGTTGCACGCACTATCCGCTTCATGGAAACCGTAGGTGCCAGCGTGTGTTCCAGATAAAGTTCATTATATTGCGGTCAGGAAACCAAATCTAACGGCATTGCGCAGAATTGATTCAGTGAGCCGGCTCAGAGAAGGCCAAAATCACTCAGCAGAAACGCACTTCAAAGTTTGCAGTGAATGATGGTTCGACCTGATTGCTACTTCAATGTTGCCGTTATCAGGGAGATAAAAAGGATATCACCATTATCCTGGATCTGGTTCCATAAGGACCAACAGACCAAGGCGATGATCCAGACCACATGGCACTGTCGCACTCAGCAGCTTGCTCAATTAAGGTGGGCGTCCAGATATTGTAGAAACCCGGAATCTTATTTCCTCTTACAAAAACTTTCATTCTCGACGAGAGAAAGATTCGATTGGAACAAATCCGAGGGACCTGGGAGATGTGTTTGTGTCGAGGCCAGAGTATTGGCTATACCATATACTACATACCGGCAGTCAGTCAAATACATATGCTACAAATCCGATCTCCGGAACCCACCTGTGTGGCGCATACCCAGTCGAACTGAATTGCCGGTCTGACTGCGCCGTATCATATTTGCCCTAACCAAGGGGTTCCTTCTCGGTGATCCCCTGAACGAAGCGCTTCTGTTCCCGCTCGCCGTTCGAGTCGCTGGACACATTCACGTTGCCTTTTACGTTGAAACCTAGGAAACAGATGGTTTGTTGGAACAATGAGCCGTGCGTGCCTGAACAGAAGTTTGGGGGTTCGTCAGATGAAACATGGAATTGAGCCTGAGAGGACCAAAAAGTCCCGTCCATTCATGCGCTCGATAGAAGCGTAACAACGGCAGTACTTACTATATAATTCGACCAAGATATCCTCTCCATCCACCCATCGAGATTGGCGCGTCTACTTGTATAGTTACAGGCATGGAGGGCCCACTTTGGCCACTGCACACAAAGTTGATGGCAACTACATAGAGAAGAGCTGGTAATGTGGCATCATCATGCAAGCTTGAGGCTGTAGAACTTGAACTGCATGATGATCAGGGCTAATACATGGTTGCAGCATGAGATCCAGACATCACAGCATAATATTTCAAGACACACCACCTCCTTGGATCCACCGATTGGACTAGAGCCTGAGGATGGTGGTCAAGCCTGAGACCATGTGGCAGATTCGGACTTGGCGTGTCGATGATAGGCTGACTAATACTGAGCCAAAAGCAGGTCAACGGCCGCGTGGTACTAATGTTCCGTGTACTCAAAATTCGTCACTTCGACTAGTACACGCCTAGTTCGTAGTTAGTTTGTATCAACACCATTCTGTTGCATGCTCACTTTGAATTTTCTGCAGTGGCTGGACCAGCACAAAGAACTTCATCACTGGGAGCTTTTGCGTCCGTCCGAGTCGTATTTTGTTATCCAGGGCGATCATCGTCTGCGACTGTGACAGACTGATCACACATCATAGCACCGTTCAGCAAGCTAAATCACCAGCAAATGGATATACACCCTAATGCCTGTAAAAATACACTTTGCAATTTTAATGATACTGTCCACGATGTCATTATAGTACCGTTGGAAAATTTAAAAGTCAGTCTAACAGCAGAAACACAACCGACCGCTTCCGTGCTCTCCAGTATTGATCTGCCCTACTGTGGATGGTCGTTGTGAATCGGGATTCGGTGAAGGAGGAGAAACACAATCTTCGTCACGAATCCATTCGTCGTCTTTGACGGGAGCATCTGCTGAAGCATTCCGCTGTAAACGGATGCGTGAGATCTAGCAAACAGTGAGCGAAAATGAGCTGCGCGAACCTCTTTACCCTGTGCGAGAGGGACCTCGACAATAGCCGGTGATGCCCGACCTGTCCGAATGGGCCACCAGGATCGGGTAGTGGGTGGTACTGATGGGGGCCGGGGCTAGAAAATGAAATATAAGTCGAATATGTGAACATGGCAGTCCCCACTCACGTCCTCGTGGAGATTTATATGTGGACGAGGTAGGGGCGCTGTAGCAGGGGACTGCAAGCAGACCGTCGAGTCAACTGTACATGAAGCAAACAGATAAAGGAAACATACGTCCAGGGGATTACGAAGCCCATTGGTGCGAATAGGACGAACTGCATCCGTACGAGAAGAGGAAGGAAGGAGTTTGCGTAGAAAGTGAGGGGAAAATGTATTCCTTGTAGGTGGAGGTGTTTGCGGGCGGGGGATGGGAGGTACGACAGGCAATATCACTGGTTCACGGCGGCGTGTTGCGTCGCACTGTAATAAGGGATGGTGTGGTGTAGAGGAGCAAAAGAGCAGGACCACGTACGTTGAGTACCCCATCGGCGAGGCGTTGACGTTCAGGTTTACTGGTCTGTAAGATATTTTAGCACATAAATGATGAATCTATGGGGGTGAATACGTACACTAGCGAGGATGTTGGGTGGAATGTTCCATATATTTATATTGCTATCCTCATGGGTGGTGTAAGCCAGTTGGCGTGAATCAGGCGAGAAGATGAAGGCGTGGGGAATATGGACGTCGAATGAAGCAAGTAGCTGGCGAGATTCGAAGGACCAGAGCTTGATGGTGTCGTAGGAAGCACTGACGAGAAGGGCACAATCAAATGAGAGTGCTAGGTTTGTGATTTGGCTGGTGTGCCCTTGGAAGGAATCTCCGACAGTCTCCAACGTCAACGCGTCAAATTCATAGATTGTTGTGGGCCCGGGTTCGTCATCCGTGAAGCGGAATGCGGCAACAATGGATTTGTCTTTGGTTGTCCAGAAAACTGGCAAAGTCCCAAAATAGTGTTGAGTAGATGATGAAGTTCTAGTGACATCGAATTTCTGTGTTTCAACGTCCCACACTTGAAGGCACCGCACATTTAACAACATCGCCAGCTTCTTCGAGTTTTCCGAGAATCGAAGTACTACTGGGTCAAAAGCATCATTACTAATTTCGAATGGACCAGCCACGAGTTCGCCTGTGTCCAACCTCCATATCCGCATATGCATGGTCGTCCCGCCCACCGTAGCCCGCGAACTGAATCTTAATAATGTACCCACTAGCAGTGTGCTGTCCCTCGAGATGTTAATGGACCAAACGTAGTCCAATGACTCCGATCCATCATAGAATGTTCTCACGATCCCCGTCTCAACCTCACGAACTTTGAGCTTCCCACCACCAGTGACAACCCATTGCCCATTCCTTGATACCCCCACCGTGGCTGCTTCCACACCATCCTCACAAACCTCCCGAGCTTCCCCAAATTCCTTACCCTCCCGCAGGTCCCATCGCCGAATGGTATTATCCACTGATCCGCTGATCATTTGCTTGCCGTCGGGCAAATAGGAAATGGATGAAACATATTTCGACTCGTGGCGCGTGCCATTCGGCGAGATATAAACATATGGTTCATGACCCTCCAAGGTCATCACCGGCGTCAGAATCGATTTGTTTGCTGCTTTACCGAGCCGTTTCGAGCTGGAAGCCATGACGGTTGTATCCGCAGACAGGTTGGCAAGAATGACGAATATATTTGGTGAGTCGTCCTCGTGTGCTCAGATGGGGTGTTCACGTTACCAGGATGCAAGCAAGGACGAAGAGCGATCGCCTGACAGTACTAGTGTGTGTACCTCTTTATATCTCCCTGTCTTCATGGCTGTGTTATACAGCATGTCCTTTTTTAACTGCTCCTTATCGGCCCGGACTCAAACCTACCTGTTCCTTCACAGCAAGTTTGATAACACAGCTAGAAGATGATACCATTGAGAGCGCGGTGGAAATCTGATCATTCTCTTTTGCTGTAGCCCTCAAAACTCCTGTGACAAACACCCCATCCTCGTTTTGTTCGTTTATACTGTCTCATCTTAGATGCCTTAAATGCTTGAGTTAATATGAAGTCACCAATCATTAACGATGACCTGCATAAAACCTACACTGAAAGAAAAAGAATCAAAACAAGAACTTCGCGTCGCAGCAAGCGCTTGTGCTACAAGTCTGATAGTAAGTAGAATACTGTAGGAATCGATAACTCAATTCGACACCGACACCACCGATTGTACATGTGACGCGTGATCGTCGAATTGACTCGGAGTTGATTCCTGCAGTATTGGTGCACTATGTCAAAAAGGTCGCTGGACTCAACTGGACTCGGTGTTTAACCGACATCAAGATTCAAGACGAATGCAAACGCTACCCAGAATTTAGTTGGTCTCCTCAATGGCAACGGAGATCCCGTGTCAAATATTGACGATGCCACAGCGATAAGCTACTCGACGTGTACCTCCTTCTGTGGGACCAGACAGGATTTCTATATGTCTGTATTTTCGCAAGATTTCAGTTCGTGGCTACTGCCATATCTTGCACTTATTTCGCAGCTCCCCTTTGGGGCACAGTACAGGCTTGATAATCTCATGTCTGCTGTGTTGACCATCGGGTCACCCGTACTTTCTGGTTACTCTCTATTCGTCACCCTACTCAATTCCCGCTGGATCAACCGCCGATTTAGTCAAGCGGTGGACTATCCCAATTCACATCTCGCACTCTCTATTGTCAGCAATCTTCAGCAAGTCCCGCTAAGACTGCATTCCGATCGCACACGCTTCCCATCTCTCGTCGTCCTTCCGGAAAACGACTCCTGGTGGAAACACTTCTCCGAATTGGTGAACTATACTCATATGTGGTCAATTGCGTCCGCGATCGCCATCGCCTGGGTCGTCGTCGCATATATCCTGTCTATAGCCAACTCACAATCAGATGTTTACACAAATTTCGCTCAAGCTGGCGGCGAAGCCACTAGTTCCATGTGGCTGTGGTTGATTCCGATAGTTGTTGGATGGCTTCAACTCTCACCGAAATGCGATTTCAATCGGTTACAATCAGCTTACGATCTTGCCGACCGCCACACGCGCACACGAATGGAAGATGCTCCTATCGGAACACCACCTGCGTCCGCCCAAGGAGCTTTAATAATAACTGCTCAGGAGGATGATGTGATGTCTCCAGACGAACTCCTCACCCCTCCTGTGTTTAATTACTCGCGCTCATTGCAATGGGCATATACAGCAGAGACTATCTTCCTGGTGTACAAAAGCGGCATCAGGGAAGGCTAAAAGCCGTACTCCCGTCAATCTCGGGAGTGAATGGGTGGAGTCCGACGATTTTAAATCTATCCACCCCAGCAATCGACGTGGGTCCCTTCAGGAAATCACCGCGTACTGCGCGCAGCCCGACCGTACATGGCGCAGCCACTGGGCGCCTGGCGTGTTCACAAGAATGGCTCTCGCGTCATGCGCTTCCCTTGCATTACAATGGGGAACAGCCGGAGGAGCGTTTATAGTAGAGTGGTTCACTCCTACGACAGTGCGTTTGTTCTGGTATACGTGATATGCTGGCTAACTTCAAGCAGGGCATGGGGTGTCGATCTCTGAGTTACCTCATTTATGGAGCCGTATCGACTATCATTTGGATGATGCTCCTGATATCCAGTATTCTCACCCATTATTCAGCAGCTTATTCCCGTCAAGCATCATTGTCTGCACGTATTGCAATGGCGTTCTCGCACTGCCTGCGAAGGATGGGTAAATTGTTGGCCATTGCAAATACCATCTGGGTGACCTTGACGTGTATTATTCAATATTCCGGCTTCTACGATACATGCTTCTGCAATTCCAGTATGATTAGTAGGGGAAGGGCTGCTGCATACGTTACGATCATCGAAACCACAGCCCAAGCTGCACTGGCCAAGGCTGCCTGGATCGGCGCCCTCGTCCTAGCGTGTACCTCAGCGTCAGCTTTCGTCGCTCTCGTGGCTCTTTTATTGGATACTCTTCCGGCATAACTATTGTTGTAAACATATTAGTATGTAGTTGTTTTTGACAACTAGAAGCTACCCAAGCCGATTTGCCGACCAATACTATTCAAAATGCGAGTTTGTTACACTTGGAAACAAACAACGGGCACAGTGTTGGCGGCGCACCGTAAACACTTGTGAAGCATAAATACATATACTTTTGCTGGACAACTTGCTACCCCAATGTCCGGTTCACGTTCACGTAGCCAGTCCCAAGGCACGAGTAAAGCAACTCCGTGTTGGAAGAATCTGCAGGATCTGCGGGTGCGATGTTGAAGACGGTGCCAAAGAAGATCTTGATATCACGGAGAAATTGAATGCTGCTATGATGTGAGCGATAAAAGCAGGATAGTTGATCATCGCGCACGTTCTAACGGAGGGCTCTCCCATCCTACATCGACCGACGTCTTCACTACCTAGTACCATCATCAACAGGACTAGAGATTGATGTTTTCTATCAACACATCCTCCGTGTCTAATTTCTGACAAAAGTGCCCTAGTTGCCAACAGAGCTATATCTTCCGGAGTTTCACCTGGCGTGGATACGGCTTCAGAACAGTGTATGGCAGACGTAGTGGACTCCGCGAGTAAGCTTAGTGCATACCCCGGCGACCTTCATGCAAGATTAATATAGCAGAAGTGTGTTCAGTTAGACCACATACTTTCCGCTTTCATCTCCTTTGTAGACGTCAGAGTACAGGTAGATATCAGGGATGAAGCGATTGAGAACCGAACGTGATGCATCGATCATGCGATTAGAGAATTGCGGGTTAACACGGACGGCATGTCTGGGAAAATACTTCAGTATAGTATAACATATAACTTAAATGCAAAGGCAAGATGAACGCACGCAATGCCTCGGATTCGTTTGATCTTTCCAGGATCAACGAAGTTCAGAGTTTTTACTTCTTTAACAATAGGACAGAGAAACTGCACTTCCCCTCCACCTTCTGGAGGGGCGCCACGTTTCTTTATCTGCACAGGGATATAAAGGCGCAATTTCATAATGAGACGACTGGCTCACCCGAAGCTCTAATCCATCAGAGATACCGAAAAGTTGGAGATGGGGTAGTGTCACAGTACGGATGAGGTCAACCTAACAGCGTTAGGGAGCATTTTATTGCGACGGAATGTTGCTCACAGAAAGATCATTGTCATCTGATGTTATACCTCGCAAAGTCAACTGAAACGGCTTCTTCGAAAAGGGCGCGATCATGATCAGCGGCTCCAGAAAATAACCTATTGAACGTGATAGTGGACAATCATGAATGATAGGACCGCCGGACACGACTCCTGGTTTGAGAAGCACAGCGGTACCTTGATGGCATATGAGTGAGTCCCAGCGTAATGGACAGTAAAGTAGTATCGTACCGGTCACAGAGATTTCAAAGGAGGACCCATTAGTAACTTTTTCCAACAGCCGCAGGAGGCTCACTTCGTAGTCTGGGCAATGACGCTGCTCGTCAAGAAACACCAGGCTGCAAGGAACTGGACACACCTCTCAGACCCGGATTTTTGTCCTCGGAACGAATTTTGTCAATTCGGACATGCTTTCCGGTGAGAATGGAGAGCACTAGACGTTGTCGTAAATATTGGTGTCCACTGAAGGTCACCGATGATCTTGAATCCACCATGGATGTAAACCTCGAAGAGACTTTTTTATTACGTAAGGAAATATTGATCCTAGTGGGCGTCTCGACTGAGTCGACTCTCCTGCCAGGTCAAACATAGTTCAACTTCCCTTTGATATCCTTTCACTCTCCTCAATGACTACGGAGGTACATGTGAATGGTGCAGCGACTTCAAGTGACTGGCAAGATCGGTATTACCATGTTGACCAGATCCTTGACAGACCTGGCCCTCGAACTGATCCATCATTCCTGGCTGGGGATGAGGTGCGTATCCCACGAAGATTCAAGGCAACTCGTCTTTTAAAGGTGCCCGAAAGGTGAAGGACTTCTTGCGGAACAAGTGCAAGATTCTTGTCATCGGCGCTGGTGGTTTAGGATGTGAGATACTCGCCAATCTTGCTCTGACTGGGTTCAAGGACATTCATCTCATCGACATGGACACCATCGACATCAGCAATCTTAATCGTCAATTTCTCTTCAGGTATGTTACATTTATGAGATTGCATGTATGTGCCGAAATAGGGATCAATCTCTCCAAGAACCGCGGATGTCGGAAGACCAAAGGCGATCGTTGCTGCAGAGTATGTGATGAAACGGGTGCCGGGAGTCAAGGTCACTCCGTAAGTTGGCAGTCTTTTGCGCACCATGTCTGAGACGCGAGGCATGCAGGTACTACGGCAAGATACAAGACAAGGACGACGAGTATTACCTGCAGTTTAACCTCGTCATCTGTGGTCTAGATTCTGTGGAAGCGCGTCGGTGGATAAATGCGACCCTCGTTAACCTAGTAGATTCTGAGAATCCTGAGAGTTTGAAGCCTCTCATAGATGGCGGTACCGAAGGTGAGCAAGTCTCTTGCACCTTCTGCGCGACCTCAATAGTTGTGAGAAGGTTTTAAGGGGCAAGCTCGAGTCATCCTCCCGACTGTATCATCATGCTATGAGTGCTCCCTGGATATGCTCAACAAGCCAACTACATTCCCTATTTGCACCATCGCGAACACGCCCCGTCTCCCTGAACATTGTATAGAATGGGCCTCTGTGCTAGAATGGCCTCGCGCGCGCGGAGGTCAGTCTCGCTGCACGCCCCATTTTTCTTCCATTTCACACGTAAGTAGATGAAAAACTCGACACTGATGATCCCGAGCACATCGGATGGCTGTATTCAATCGCCGTTGCTCGTGCAAAGGAATTCAAGATTGAAGGCGTGACTTGGTCACTTACGCAGGGCGTTGTCAAGAACGTTATTCCTGCAATCGCATCTACTAATGCCATCATTGCCGGTATGTCAGCGCCCACCTTTTACTCGATCTGTTTGATGGGAGCGTTCGCAGCTTCATGTTGTAACGAGGCTTTCAAGATTGCAACAAGTTCGGCGGCTTATTTGAACAACTACTTCATGCTCATTGGGACCGAAGGAGTATATTCGTACACCTTTGAGCATGAAAAGCGCGACCACTGCCCTGTTTGCGGAGGTGAAGCCCTGGAGATATCAATAAATCGGGATTGGACTGTCGAGCAACTGATTGAACTATTGACCGAGAAGCAGAACATGTATGTACTTATTTCTTGTTGACATCATCCAGGACTCACCCTGGCGTAGTCAGATTAAGAAACCTTCTCTCGCAACACCAGAGAAGCCGATCTATTTCCAACAACCACCCCAGCTGGAGGAGGCTACGCGCCCGAATTTAGAGAAGAAGGTCTCAGAACTTGTCCCTGATGGTGGAGAAGTTGTGGTCACTGCTTCGACTCTGCCTTTCAGCTTGTCGCTCATCATCACTTACATGCCATGACGGCACAGTATCTTACATTTCCGCATGGTTATACTCAATGTAGCAGTAAACACTCAAAATACAAGCATCATCACGGTTTATTCACGAGTGATCCTACATCTAAGTCAGGCCTACGGTTCCAAGTCCAGGGTAGACAGTTGGTTGTGAAAAACAAAATAGTGCCAGCCTGTCGTAGTACTATTCAATGTGCTGACAGTGTGATTACGTAACGTACCAAGCATTCTTCGAGTGAACAAGTTCATCGTTGCTTATCCTAACACCCACATTCACCAGACAAGATGCCCAAGGCAGATATCAACAAGGCAGGTTGGGAGCAAAGTGAATTCCCCATTCTTTGCGAAACATGTACGCTGTGATTTAGTTAAACTGAATAGACCAGAAACTGACGCGCTTGACTAGGTCTGGGACCTAACCCGTTCATCCGAATGGTCAGTACTCAGTCTTGGCTTCTATGACCAACCCGGAATACTGACGGCCTAGCTCAACGTGTAGTCGAAACAAGAGTTCGGTCGCTCGTGTGGCACATGTGCTCGCCCATTCACGGTTTTCCGATGGAACCCAGGCTCCGGTGCACGTTACAAAACCACTGTGATATGTCAGACGTGCGCCAAAGTGAAAAATGTCTGCCAGACATGCCTTCTTGACCTCGAATACGGACTACCGACCCAAGTTCGAGACACCGCCCTTGCCATCCAGAACGAAGCACCGACCAGTGACATTAACCGGGAGTACTATGCGCAGAACATGGAGAACAAGGTACGTTGTTGTCTACCATCGGCTCCCGTACATCTTGTTAAGTCATACTCAGATGGAGGATGGAAACCAATCCTTGATGCAAGTCGGGACGCGGGCTACATCTGCTGGGAAGGAAATGCTGAAGCAGCTAGCTCGGACAAACCCATATTACAAGCGAAACCGCCCACACATCTGCTCCTTCTTCGTAAAAGGAGAGTGCAACAGAGGAGACGAGTGCCCGTTCCGGTGAGCTCACAAGCAATACCCTTCTCGCTTCAATCCCTGATAAGGCTTGCTTTACCAGGCATGAAAAACCTGTTGAGAACGAGCTTTCCCACCAAAATATTCAGGATAGATATCATGGTAACAATGACCCAGTTGCACGAAAAATAATGGCCAATCACTCGGAGGCGCAAGGTTTGAAGCCACCAGAAGACGAGACTATCGTGAGTGAGATGTTTCCTCTTCTTTGATAAAGCGTTTGACGGTCCGGCACCATAGACCTCTCTATTCCTTTCCTCTCTCCCCTCGTCTGCCTCGGAACTTAGCATACGAACTCATGTCACCAATTCATTACCTCAAATACCTTCGTCACAGTTGCGGTCGGTCGTGCATGTCGCAAAATCAAAGTGAGCCAAAAAAAAACTGCTTTTCAGTGGTGTTTTAAAGCTAAGACCCATTTCAGATGCGCGTTCGTCAACTTCCGAGATCGTGATTCTGCTGAGAGGGCAGCAGAAGCTTGGGCGAATGGCCTGGACATGGATGGGGAACGAGTTTATGTGAAGTGGGGAAGAAGTAAGGGTTCTCCCAAGTCTTCAACACCTACCGCGGGACCATCAGCAGTCCCTGCATCTGCGTAAGCCTGTCTTGCAGGAGGGAATGTGTCCATCAGATGGCATAAACATCTGTCTCATTCCGTTTGGGGCGATCTTATGCATACGCTAATTCGTCCTGATTTGTTATTGTTTACACTATTGTAGTTGGAGTGTATGATATGCATTATTCGTCCTGAGGCGACGCGCTGTGGCCGAGCTGTGATGTAAGACAAAATTCTACTAGTCCTTGATTACTATAACTTTCAGCACCATTTCCCATTACTTTACAAGCAAGCCACCGAAGCCCATGGATAAAAGCCAAGCTGCATACTCCGTGAAACCAACACCAGCATACAGAGAGCGTCCGAAGTTGACTAAACCAGGACCAGCTGAAATAGAAGTTGGTAATGCTGCTGCCAAGGGTCCACGGTGAACGTACGACAGATACCACCGATCCCCCAACCTATCCCAAATATTACTGAACCAAGTATGAGCCTCCAGTCGATTTTGGTGGAGGCCGGGATGTTCCATTTGCCACCGAACCTAGGTTGCTCTACACACGCATACCGATAGAGCAGGGCAGCCAGAGGAAGAGCGCTTCCTGCGATGAACACCATGGTTGGGTCGAATGCCGAGGACAACGGTAACACCAAGAATGCTAGAACCCTGTGTGGATCGACCATATTGCCCAGGCGGATGGAGAACGCGAAAGCCAACGATGTCAAGAAGCTTGCCATATAGCGAAAAATAGACTGGAGGATGTTTGACAAAAAATTAGTGCAAGAATGGATTTACCTGCTCACGAGTGTTGAACTGTTGCTGGTGCCATTCTTGAGAGCCGAGCACGTGTACGCAAACCAAAGAATCCCAAGGGAAAGAGTTGCGCCCAGAAACTGTCGTCCCTGTTTATCGAGGGCCCAATCCAAAGACCCAGAAGTTCCAAGATCACCGTTTCCGTGAACGAAGTGGGCTGTAGCTACGGCGCTTGCAAAGAACGTGGCTGTTGCCACAAGGGAACTTTGAATGTGTTGAATCCACACACACTGAGAAGACGAGTTCAGAGCATACCGAAGAGAAAGTCGGGATAAGCCACAAATCATATGGCTTGAGAAATAATCAGACGCATGCGCGTTACAGATAGACCGGGGAGGCGAACCCTGAGGTGCATCCATTGGCCAGCTATGAACCAATCGCGCAATTAATGGAGTACCTTCTGAAAAAATACCGCACATACCTTCGTCCCGATCCCGACGAGCAACCCAGAAAACACCATTCGGAGATGCGAAGACACGGTAGTCTGGGGCTCTGGGGTATCCACATTACTGGCGATGCCGATAGTGACACCACCTAGAATCAGACCCACGACGGAAGCCATCGCTGCTTTGTCTCCTCGAAAGGAGCGGTGAATAAAGCCAGAAACACCAAGGACAGATCCATTAAGCACTAGAAGAGAATGAACAGACAGTGCAATGCCAATCCCCCCTAAGAGGGCTTGCAGGGGTTTGGGATGGGACTCCGTGATCTCATGCTGATGGAGCGACATGATTCAGCGGGGCGTTGTTGACCGAGGACCACACCTAAATCCTGTTGGGTTTTCTTTATACGTCGGGGTACGAGCTATATTGCGACGGTCGGCTTAGACAGAAGTTAGTCTCCCGTGACCAGAGCATATACTAGAAGGAACTTCAAGGAAGATCGCCTTCTTTCTAGGTTAGACAGAGTAGAAATGGCACAATAGCCTATAGGGGGAAGTGTTTATTTTTCGGCTCCTTCCAGTACAATCTCCGAACTCAGTTGAGACTGCTACTTCAAATCAGTGCACGGATCATGTCGACTCTCGAGTCAACTGATTGTTGACTACAATACTCGAGCTCTTGTCAATGGTGCGAACCAGGCTCGCCTGTGTCCTACTCAGTATTCCATTCATGCCTCCGACACCTATAGCAACTCCCTCATTTGTGTTTAATGTCACAGACTCACAGACCACGGTAGACCCTCAAAACGTTTCACTTGTATCGCACAATCAACCTCGAGCGCGTCCTCAGAGAGTCAAAAAGAAAATCGGATTCAGAAGCCACACTATCTAATACTCGTCTTCGTACATGCACGAAAATATGGGAAACATTGTCAAGAGACGAACTGGAACGTAGATGGTTGGCGAGACAAATAAATGCGAGAAGAATGAAGTCCAAGGGTACATCATTCTCTTGTACTTTTCCGAATATCTTCACTCTTAACTGGCACAGGACTCACACCCGAAGAGATCACTGCCCAACCCCGTGCAGAGCGCAAGCTCGATCGTGCAAAGGAGATTGCCGCCGCTGCAGAAGCAGAGACCACTTTCAAGGAAGAAAGTCGCGTCATCGCGCCTGGTATTGCGCCTGATGGCACGCGAATAACCCCCTCTGCTGCGACCTGGTGGAAACCAAAATCCGCATCCGTACCCCCGAAACAGTCGTTTCCAGACCTCGCACTAGATGAAGAAGAAGAGATTGAGCCTATACAGGACCTCGGGCATCTCCAACTCTTCCTTTATGTGACCTTTCCCCTCGTCTGGGCACTTGACTGTTTGACCATCGTACGTCCCGAAGCCATATGTCCCCTTATTCCATCCTCGAAACTAGTTTATCTTATCATTTTACCCAGAATGTGTCCTTTACCCTCGCTGAAACATGGAATGCATTACAAAATGCTCACATAACTTCGTTGGTCCCACAGCTAAACACACCGTCACCTCCACGTTTTGACAATCCATTCCTCTTATATCGCATACCACCACCATTGCTCCCTTGGCTGGTGACGTTCGTTACATGATTATATCCGCACCGCCTTTGACTTTCGAATTTTAGGTTTGGGCGCTTCATGTTTGAATCGCAGCGTTAGAGAGGCATTCAACGTTCGGAACATTGAAGATCTCGGCGTGATCAGAGCGTGATCAAAGCAAAAATGGACGATGCTGAAAGGTGATGTGGGTTAGTGATGCGTCGGGAAAGCGAGAAAACCTTGGATGAACGTGCGTCAAAAACGGTCGAGGGTATGGGACGAGGCGATGTGATCTCCGCGCTGTCCCCACACGACACTGCAATGATGACGAGTGAACAACAAGGAAAGATGAAATGCTACAGCATCTAAAACATTTTTCGGGCCCACAAGCACAGTGTCAGCAACACTGGCGTAAATATTGGAAATAAACAAGAGATTGACGCTCTAGCTTTTGGATTCACAGCCATGAGCTCCGAAGTTCCTGTGCAAATTTAAGAAATAGCACATTTTGCTGTGCTCACGTTGTAAATTCTTCTTTCTCTCAACCTCTTGGTAAGTCTCATCTGAACTTGCAGCGTAGATGAACTAACGATCAGATCTACTAGAGGCACACTGGTGTTCCAGCGGGAATCTTCAAAACGACCAACATTCAGACCTACAGCACACGAAGAGAGTGCACCGTACATTCAAACGCATCCACAGTATACCTTCCGGATTTGACGACTTGACAGTTTCTCTCGCGGACACGAAGCCATGGCTTCCACATCGACGAAGGCAGCCGCCACGAAATCAATTCTGAAACCAAAAATGACTTTCAAGGGTCCTGGAGATTCGATATCCTACTTTCCTGATGGCCAGCGAATGATTAGCGGATCTTTTGATAAGACCACCCGGCAATGGGATCTGAAGGCGGGTAAGGAGCTTGAGGAAGCGCGGGGTTTTTGCGAGAAGGAGGTATGGACAGTGGCGGTATCAAGGGATAGTCGATGGGTTGTTACTGGTGGTGGATTCGATGGTATCGATGAAGATACCGGGGAGCTGAAAGCCTGTGAGGTTGAGACGGGGATTGTGAAAGGATTTGAAGGCCACACGCGTGTAATCACCTGCATTGATATATCCGCGGACAGCAAGCTGCTGGCGAGCGGGTCATACGATGAAACAGCGCGGATATGGAACTTGGAGACAGGAAAACTTGTAGCCGGTCCATTCAAGAGTGTTGATTGGGTGGGCGCAGTTCGATTCTCGACGGATTCGAAGAAGCTCGCAATCAAATCGTGGTCGGGGACGTGCCTTGAGGTCTGGGATATCCAAAAACAGAAATTGGGTGTGAGCATAGGGGAAAAAGATGAATTCGAGGAGTGGCATAGCACGCATGCGCCAATTTTCTGGACAACTGAAAACAAAAGCATCTTGGCCGCATTCACCTTCGACACCGATGACGTAGCCAAGACAATTTACGAGTTTGACGCCTCGACGTTGGAGATTCTCGGGACTCCCTTCAAAGGGCACGGGCCAGGTGAAATTGACGCGGTCCTGCCGCGACTGCCGCGGTCGTGACGCGCCTGTGACGCGGCATATGTGACGCGGCACTGTGAGATAGAGAACATGTTCAAACAACATCTTATGTCGCTCGAACTGAATTCCAAACACTTTGAAAATCCTCGTCAATGATCAGCATGTGAGTGTCCGTCTGCGTACAAGCCCTAGACTGCTGTATTCACTTCTCACCATATTTACAGTGCTTGTCTTCTGTGTCTATACTCGCATACTACGCGGCCACCATGTTAAGCCCCAACCATGTTATCTCGAACTCCATTCAGGCTGGGTCAAGCACTGCTCATACCACGACAGGTTTTCCCAAACATCTTCACAGTCTCTGTACTAATGTCAACGTTCACACTTACCTGTGCCGCGTCAAGGCCCACTTCATGCCGCGTCAGTGCCGCGTCAACCATAGCCCATGCCGCGTCAGTGCCGCGTTCAAACAAGTTGTGCCGCGTCACATGCGCGTCACGCCGCGTCAAACCTCATCCATGCCGCGTCAGTGCCGCGGCACAGCCTCGTCACAGCTACCCTTCACACACGAGTTTGACTTGCGACTCTGGCTGAGATATGGCTGACCACTCAATTATAGTGTTGGCAAAAGCGCTTTGGGTCGTCTCGGGAAGTATTGGTATCCTGTGCAGCTAATTCAGTCCTTTGTTAAGTGTTGACGTGCTCCGCAGACTCGGAGGGTCCAGAGAGGGAGGAAAAGAAAATGGTCATTGGCTGATGTAGCTAGTTATACATGTCCCTATGACGAATAAAATAACAAAGGAATGGTCATGAACCCGTCCAACTTAAGCTTGATGTAGGAATCGAATGCAGAACATATAGGAACACCTGCACTGGCGCGTCAAGGTTCGCCAGTGCCGCGTCAATGCCGCGTCACGACCGCGGCAGGCGCGGCAGGACCGCGTCAAAATAGCCACGCCCAAAGGGCACACCAGGGCTGTCATTGGTCTAGCAATTTCATCTTACAACACTCTCCTCGCCAGTGCGTCAGATGATGACACCATCAAACTCTGGGCCTTCGAGTCCCGCCAACTCCTCGCTTCCTTCGTTCAGAATTCTACCACCCTTGTCCTCTCACCCGACTCGCGCCAACTAGCTTACACGAGTTACGATAAGAACGACGTGCATAAGTACAATATTTACATATGTGATATTCCACCCGATGTGCTTGCTCAGGCCCGTGTACGCATTCCCCGGAAACATCTACTGCTCGTGTGCTAATATCCCTTACAGACCAGTGCACGCAAAAAGTCAACCCTCAATCAGGCCCGTGTACGTGCCTCATTCTTTTACTCATTACACCACTCATCCATCATTATCATCGCAGCTTGGCGCAACTCGTCGTCCTCCTACAGTGCGCCATAGACCACCGATGCCCGTCATACCTATGGTGCAGAGGCCTCCACCTATAATCAACCCACAGCAACCCATTTTACTTCGCCTCCACAAACTTCTTCCCTTCTCTTCTCGCACAGCCGCAATTCCTCCTGTTCGCAATCATATTGAGCCTAGCGGTCCTCTAGATGTATGTCCCCATTTCTTCCTCCTTTTGCATTTGACTGGACAATCGCGATGTAGCTCCCAGCTACGTCGCCCCTACCCCACCATCTCTCAGGGCCCACTGCAACTCAGGGACGTTCGGATATCAGTTTCAGCCAGAATGTGAGTTTCCCCTACTGTTATCACATTTTTTGCTCACATTTTGTTCAGCCTAGACCACTGCCTACCACCCGATTGTCTGCAACCCCACCCACTACCTTCTCTACCCGTCTACACAATATATCAACCTGGTGGCCTGTTCGTGCAGGTCATGCACTTCCGCCTATTGTTGATGTCCCTCACGCACCGGGTCAATTGGTGTGCTTGGTTCATTTTTACTCTTGTCACTGAGGTCTCATCCATTCAATCGCAGCGCAACGCTGCAGCAGGTGCTCCCGGCCCTGACAATGAATATATCCGAGAGGAAGACTATGTTCCCCCTTCACTCAATACTGGGACGCATGGAAGGGACCGGTATTGTTTTTGCTTCTAGCATTGTGCGCTGGCATCCCCCGCGTAGTGTAAATTACCTGTCACTCCTCGCATTCCGTGTTCTATGCACATCGATACATATGTCGTTCGTATATCCAGATTTTGTTTCGTCTTTGACACTTCGATTCCGGAATACAGGAAATGAACGAGATAGATTCAGCCCATTCTCAATAAGTGATGGTTTTTTGCCGTGTAGCAAGAGCCTCCGGACTGAATAACGTCTATCGTCTCTGTGAAAAACGAACCAGCAGCTACATTCCCTCCTCTATGGCAGATTCGGATCAACTGTGCATCCGTGCATGCGGTATGCCTTCGCTTAACCGAGATCGATATTCAGTATGTGCGTGACTTAGAAGCATATCCAGCGAATAATGAGTTATCAACTGTCCTTCATACAAAGTGGTGCGACTGAGAAACCTATCCAGCGAATCATAAATTAATGACTGTCCTTCATACAGATTGGTGGCAGAGGCGGTGTAACTATGTCCATGTCTACATCCAAGAAGAGATACAAGAGCGGGTTGCCTGGCTGCATTCTGGCACAGTAGAATCAAGGTAGTAATGAAGTAACGGATGGAATCAAACTCTGAAGACACAGTCAAACGCGAATTATACCAGGAAAAAAATTGATCATACCGAAATGTCTGAAGCAGTTATCGGACACGCGAAACTGGCGGGAATGTTCACCACCGGATAAACCACGAAGAATAGGACACGTAGTCCAAGCTGAACAAGGAAAACGCAAGTGAGAACTCTATGCGTGACACTTCGCGCGCGCACGGACCGTAATATCAAGATTGATTGTAATATCTTGCACTGCTGCACCGCCCACACCGCATTTTGTAGCAAGATCTTCCAAAATTGATAGGCCTGAAGTCATATTTGTGCTAAATTCCAGCGAGAATGGGAATGTGAAGTTAGTTTGCGAGTTGGAATTGAAGGTGATGTCAGTTTCATTGCCGGTTCCGACGAGCGTATTATTGATAGGGTAATATGCCTGATGAATTGTGAAGCGATAAAATGAGGTGAACGGTGCTCGACCTACCTTTGCGTCTATGGACTTGAAAGATACAGAAAAGTAATTTGGGTTGGCGACGCTGTAGTTCCGGTCAAAAAATGAATCAGACAAAGTGCGCAGTCATCTTACGCAAGATCAACGCCCAGGTTAACTATGATGCTTCCCGAGCTTAGTTGAACCTGATATAAATGAGAACCGTATACAAACATCAAGCAGGGGGCTGCCTTACCGCATTTTGAGTGGTAGACGGCCCTACGGTACCAACAATAGCATCCGGAGGACGGACCCACTGCAAGAACATTGAGTGTATCATCGTCATTTCCCTTTGCAAGACTCACCATGAGCAGTGCAAGCAGTATGCTGATAATGAGGAAGACAGCAACCATCAACGTGCAACAGCAGAACCTCCCCAAGCAGCTAACTCGGCTGCCCTAAAAACAGCGCTCAGCTTGTGAGTTACCGAACAAGTGAGACACTGAATCACCCTTGTCCATAGACCACCAGAGTTCCCACCTCTCCAGGCCTTGAAATCCTGAGATTGGCTTGTGAAATAGAGTCAGGTAGGTCAGGGATCCTAAAAGAGCTAGTGACTTACCGTCCAGTTTCTTTCGCAAAGCCCGGTTGGTCATGAGGATTTGCTTCATGTACTGCAGGCGCATACGGTGTAGGCAAAATGTGTGGGTTCGCATTGGGGTCGTCTCTGTACTCGCCATGTGTGTGGGGATCATAGCCGCCTTGGTCATACGCCTGGTGTGGTTGCCTGGTGTCGTATTGATTATATGATGCATCACCATACTGCTGGTTGTGACCCCCTTGCTGCTGATCAGAGTATGGGTCTCTGTACTGAGACATGGTAGATGGGATGATGGTGCGAGATGCAAAAATGGAGCTACTGCGGCACTCACGAGAGCCGAAATTTGGCTGTGCAACTGCGAAGTGGCGCAAGGGGGCTTGGTTACATCACGACCAAACTTAAACATTAATTAATAATTTGGTGTGCAAGGCTGTTTATAGTTTTGCCATGCATACTTAAGTGTTGATGAACTTTGTCGAGCAGTCGCATAACGCACAAAGTGGGACATTTCATTTCATTGCATGTACGATCGAGAAGATTGTATGATAAAGTCAAGGTCAACCGAATCCACTGGTACTACCTGAAACGAATGGCATCCTGTGTCCTCCAGACGAGGTCCCTGGGACGTTAGAGGATGTTACTGCACCTGCGCCAGAGTTCGAACGTCCGTGTGAAGTTGATGGTATGAAACGGTTCGATTGGAGTGAGCGCATTTGGTTGGATGTCTGACCAGTGAAGTGAGTGCCGCTAGCGTGAAGTGGGGACTGCGAGACTGCAAATGAGCGTTGTCGAGGCCTGGAAACCAACGGAGGTGGTCGCTGTTGTGCCACTTGCGGTTCAGCCGTCTGGGTGTTTACCATTGCGGTTCTTGTATCCGTTGAGCCTATCACAGGTCTGAAGCGACCTCGAGGACCGGGTACTGGCGGGGGCGGAGGTGGCATAGATCGATGTCCTTGTTCCCCGGACGTTCGCAAGTGGCGAGTAGGCACCGATTGTTCGTGAGAGAGCTGAGGAGCTTGCATGCGTGATCCCTGTTCACCATTGTACGCATATTGTCTGATATGGACCATTGAAATCAACGAGTGGTGAGATTATTGATGTTCTTACTCCGCAAAACGACTCGTGCCAGGTCGTTCCGGTTGACGTGTCTGGCTTGGAATTCGTCCATGATCTTGACGCGTGAAATTTTGTTGTTCCCCAAGCGGCATGGTGATTCTATTTGGTCCGATTGGGGTGACGATGGACCTTGGGCTGGAGCTTGCCTTGAAACTGGCTGCGTGGTTATACCTCCAGCATAAATGCAGTCTTTCACTTACTCGCGGACATCAGTCATTGGACGCTTGCCATTCGCATTGGAGAAAGATGAGGGTTCTTGAGCATGAGCGGGGTCGAAGCCAGGAGCACACCGGCGTAGGCGCTCCACCTCTCGCCGCAAACTGTCAACTTCTCTGTTCTCGGTGAGGATGGGCGGTGTTACAAACTGTCAGTCAACGAACTTTCGAAGGGCCTTTCTCTCCGCTCGAATACGTTCGCACGTCTGGCTAAGATGGGAACAAGATTGCCGATAATAACGAATGAGACCAGCGAATGTGTCTTGTTGGAACTGTTGCGTGCAGGTCGAAGTCTAAAGAGCAGCGAAACTACATCCAAAAGGCTCACTTTCACAGCGTTCGCTATCGAGTCCAGTGAATAAGGGAGAGGCCTAAACCAGTCTGACATTGGGGGTTCCAGCTGTGTTTCTCGAAAGATAAGCCAGACATTGTGCCCGTACAGAAGCAAACATACATCTCGGTGTAGGGGTACCAGCTGTATGTTCTGGGCGTTGCATTGTGCACAACTCTGATCCGGCTCTCATTGGGTGAATCAGAAAGTTAACACAAGTTTCCAAGGCACCAAATTCGAGGGTAGGGGGAAAGCATCTTACTGAGATGATTGTTGCAAAGAACATGGCCGCATTCTGTGATCCAAAATGGAACGGGTGGTCCGCGGTCGCTTGATGTGAACGGGAGATGACATACAGAGCAGTTGACAAAATCCCAGAAATCGAATTCTGATTCCTGTCCTGCTTGCTCGTTTCCGGTGTTGGACATGGTGGAAGGTCAGAAGTTAGAACACAAGTAAGATGGACTTAACGTGAACAAACTGTGAAGTACGCCCGTAATTATGTAATTTAAATTAGAACGCGAAGGTCAAATGAAATAATTTAACAAGCGCTTCTTGCCCTCCACTCTTGAAGACGGAGTCGGAAGGACTGTCATCCTTCCATATACCATGTCGGATACCACCGCTTCAAATTCACTGCCGGAGCTGCAAGCAGATGCGACCCGTAGTTCAACCTTTGGTGCGAATGCTAATGGACGCCAATACATCGTCAATGATGGTACTAGCCACCTAACCAAACCGCTAATCTCCACCAAGGGTTGGACCCTCGCACAGTTGGTCAAAAAATCACCCGATTTTCATCCAGTGGACAGGGTCCATTTTGACGATCCGATGCTGATGCAGACAATCCGGATGCACGAAGATTCTGGTACCCCGTTAATCATTGAAGGATTTCATGAACACGAGAGTTGGCCTGCTGATCTGTTCACTTTGGATTGGCTCAGTGAGCATGGGAAACCAGGTGAGGGTTTTTACCCTGGCAGAATGTGTGCCACTTGACTGATGCGCGAATCCAAAGGGGCATCCGCACGTAACGTGCGCAACTGGGCTGATTTCGACCTGCCCCTTTCCGAGCTCATCCGTAAACTTCGTGCGACCCCAATATACGCTAGCGAAAATGGTGAGGACATGTATCATGTCGCCCTTTATGTCACCTCACTTTCATCAGAAACCGAGCGACTGTATGGCAAAGATGCAGAATGCCCGCATGAGTGGGCCACTTGGCTATCAACGTCTGGCGTACTTCCGAGCGATCTTCTCCCTCACGGAACCAATGATTACCTCAAGCACCTTCCGGTCAGTTCGTGTCTTCGATACACTTAGTGGCTATACAGATAATCATCTTCGTTCAGAGTGATGTACAGACTTTGATGTGCTACCTCGGAGTAGGAGACACGTTTACTCCTTTCCACAAGGATCTGTGTGCATCCTCTGGCCAAAATCTTATGTGTTATACTGAGAATGGCGGGTCATCTTTCTGGTTTATGACAGAGAGTTCAGCTGCATCAGCCATGGCTGAATTCTTCCACAAGATGAACGAGGAATTAGACTTTGAGACACATGTCGTGACCCTGAAAGAGTTGGGGAAGTCGAAGCTTAAAATCTACATTGCGGAACAAAACCTCGGCGATCTAGTGCTTGTTCCTCCAAGAAGCTGTCACCAAGTCATCAATAATGGTGGTATCACGATGAAAACATCCTGGTCGCGTATGACTCTCAAGGGCTTGTCGAATTCTCTCTATCATGAACTTCCTGTATATCATCGGTACGTCTGTTTATCACACTGGTGTGTTTTGCATGTGCAGTGACATTTTTATGCAGTGTATGCCGATCGGAGACGTACAAGGTCAAGTTGAATATATATCGCGCCCTTCAATATCAAACACAGATGCTTCGGGAACTTCAAGAACAGCAGACAAATTCTCCTCACCCTGATCGGTCATCACCCACTCTAAACTTGAATCTCGAGCGAGTCGCTGATGATCTCCATCACTTACTTGAGTTGCTTGATGATGTCCTTGGGGAAGAATACTCGCCGAAGCACCAACATATGCCGCATGTTTCGCAATCCGATACGTGCCATCAAACTGATATAACGTGCGACTTTTGCGGCGCAGACATCTTCCAGAGTTTCTTTGAATGCACGTCTTGTGCTCTCCATTTACCTTCGGTCAATGACGAGATGAAGATTGGAGATGGTATTGTGGTTTGTTCGCTTTGTTACGTCGAGGGTCGGGGTTGCAATTGCGGGTCTATGAATCCAACTCAATGCCAACCTTTCGGCGATCTACTAAGAATTCGCGATGAGGCCCTGCATGTCATTCGAGCAATATGTCCTGACATCGTGAAGGACTACGAGTGTCTAATGGAGCATTCAAAGTGGGTATACTTGTGCTCTTGGGAGACTGCTGTTTAATCGCGCGTTTAGTTCCATCATATCAGCACGTCACGTCGGTGTCTTCACAGCTGCCCTCGTCTTGTACGAACGACTGAATATGGAAGAGTCACTGCGCATGTGCCTGTCAAAGCACCACGCTCCCCGAAGTTCTATCATCTACTGCGCACTCTGCCATGTCGGACGATGCATGACTCATATATTGGAGGGCTACCATACGCATTCTGCACCGGCACTCCTGATGTCGGATAGTACAGAAGGATGGCACAGCTACCACAAGCAATCCAAGGCAGCGTTCAAGGGAGGATATGCGCAAATTCTGCACGACGAAGAGACTGGTGCACGCCCGGATTTTCGCATGAAGTTGGCATACGTTGCATCCAAATTTCGTACATGCAAGTCTGTCAACCCGAACGCAACTATGCCGGGGTGGTACGATAAATGCATAGAGCTAACCAGCGCGTCTGTGAGAGGTCCCCCATTATCATTTCCCCGCGAAGCAGCTAATACATTGGCAAGGTTGCATCATCCCCGTTGAAGCAGGCAACCACTCAATCTAGCTCCGAGGCAACGTTCGATAGACCTCAGAAGCCTTCTTTGTCTACGGCATCACTCTTTCGTAGGTCAGCAAGTTTTAGTGATTTGACATCGCTCCCAAGCGACTTTCAAGGTAGTTCACCGGGAAACCGTGCGGCTGGTGCTTTGGACATTCATGAATCACTTTCCACAACTCAACAACATCCAGGCGTACCACCTGCAAACACAAAGAAGCGAAGGTTTGTTCTGGACTTTGTATCCGTTCCCCACCCTCCATGTGATGGGCCTTCATCCAGTATGTTCGACGATACCACAAAACCTCATATCAGATCTATGGTATTTGCTCCACATTTGTATTCAAGTATCAGGTATTGACGTAGAACATGTAGTCAGATGAAAATGGCACATTTCTGAGCATGCGTTCGTCCACTCAACTTGACGCTTCTCCTCGAACCCGAGCGCGGGATGTCAGCGAGGAGCATGAGCAGCTTGATGCCTCTGCCGGCGGTTCGAACGGTCGGCCTCCAAAGAAGCAGCGTGTTGGTCCCCCCGGGAACGGGCTCTCGAGCAAAGAGCCCCTGAGAGTAGAGAAACGGTGAGAGGTTCGTCTGTCGAGAGGAGAAGCGTGACTGAGCGGATTGTTACGTAGCGCGTCAAACGGCAAAGTCTATCTCACGAACAAACCTCAATTTCCCATTGAACTACTCCCAGATTCTCACAAACCCTCCAAGAAAGCAGCAGGGAACAAAGCAACACCGAATAATGTTCCATCAATGGATCAGGAACAGCTACGCCTGGCGCTGGCTGAAAATGAAAAGCTGAGGGTTGCCAATGCTGAATTGAAGAAAGACAAGGCAATACTGGAGAACGAGATATGTGCTCTGGCAAGACACAACGAGGATCTGGTGACCATGGCGACAAGCTTCCGAGCACAGTCCCGTAAGACGCGCAACCACCTTCTCGCCCTGGTTGGACAAGGCGTTGTCAATCCTCCTTCCATTTCCGCTCCTCCGGTTGGCAGACACCAGGAAGCAATGCATCGTCGAGGCTCTCTTACTGGCACTATATCCTACACAGAAGCACCTCACACTCAGCCACGTTTCCTCGCGCAAATTATGGACGGGGCTATTCTACACACTCAAACTCATGAGACAGACCACACTTTCCGTATTGGACGTCGCTCTGTAGGTCGCTTTCCCCCCATCCAAGACACGCTGCGCCATGAGCTGGAGACGGGAGGGCCGCGTAAGGACACAGCACAGCAATCCCGTACCCCATCTGACGAGGAGAATTATCCACCCGAGATGCTCGTCGCCGAGCCTACCCGAACTCAAAGCCAAGCTAGTGTTTCTGATGATGACGAAGGCATTTTCCCCTCGCTTCTGGAAACCGAAACCTCCTCCGATGACATGGATGGCTAAGCGTCCACAGCATCAATCTCGCTCCTTAGCTGATCCCATAGTTAGACCCACATAATTGTCCTCAACCGACCACTTTACTGCACATATCTCAAAGCATAATTACTCCTGCATAAACCCTCCGTCACCAATTTACTTACACATTCCTGGTAGTCTGTAAAGCCGTACAAAGATAGTCAAAAGCAAGATTCGATCATTTGATCAACGCTACGGCGGATGTCCAAACATAAACCGTGAAAGTGGATATTAGGTGCGAGTAATGAATGGGTATAACAAAGTGTCGAAGGTAATGACTGACGATGGATGGTTTACGTTGATGATAGCATGGAACAGAAATAGGGAAAGAGCCAAAAGTTGGCAACGATCAGCCGCACCGGCATGTGAGAATTCTCCAGATGCTCGACTTTGGTTGGGGAGGGTCGTCATCCTGTTGCTGGCGGTAGTCCTCGCCGCGAGAAACACCTGCCTCATTGCCGTGGGCACGCACTGCGCTTATTGCGGGTGGAGCGGCCCCAACCGTTGACACCATGGGAGATGCACGTCCGTATGCTTGAGATCCGTATGGTTCATCGCCTGTTTCCCAGCCATCATAACCAGTAACTACATTCGCGTAAGGATGTTGCTGCGCACCGACATTATTAGATCTGTTTTGCGGTGTCGAGATAGGAACGTTAATTTGAGCAGCAGCAGAGAGGGGAGTGGCAGTGCCGCCAGGTGCGCTTCCTGCTCCAGGGGTAAGCACATTAGGGACTCTGCGCTGCTTCGAGCCGTTTCTAACCAGCGCTGGTGAAGGCAGGTTGACTCCACCAGTCTGAGATGCGCGGCGCCAATCCGCATCCCGACGTCGTTCCAAATTTCGACGGTCCAACGGTGCAGGCGCCATGCCCGCATTCTGTATCTGAGCAAGTACTTGCGATTGCCCCTGCGCGACAAGATGAAATCTTTGCATTGAGAAAAATAAAGCTTGACTTACCTGCGAAGCTTCCCAACCTTTACCCCCTGTATAGTTTAACAAAAAATTAATAAGAGGGTTACAAGATGCGATGATGACTATACCATTTAGTAGGTTCCAGTCAAAAATGCCATCGTCCAAGTCGTTGTTATTCTTAATGACTTTGGAAAAGAGCTCCCTCAAGAAATCATAGTCCGGGGTCTCCTCAAATCCAAGTTTGCGAACATAGTTCAAATAGATACCGAATTCCTCTGTTCAAGAGTTACTGGAGCATTTCGAGGACACTTGATGAATTAACAAACCTGGATATCCCTCAGATAGGTCCTTGATGGGTGTCGTCTGCTTCTTTTCTCCAATCTTTTCGTACTTTTGCTTGTTGGTAGCAGCCTTCAGCCCTTGCCAAGGTAAACTGCCCCGCAAAAAGTACATAAAGACATGTCCGAGAGCTTCTAGATCGTCTCTCCGAGATTGCTCTGAAGAAATAAGTCAATGTGGCGGATCACGACAGAAAGACACACACCTCGCCCCAAATGTGTATTGATGCTCATGTATCGCGCCGTACCGCTCAAACTTTTCCGTTCCCGGTAAGGAATGTGCTGCTTGGTTTTAGGATCGCGATATTGTTTGGCCATTCCAAAGTCAACCACATGAATGACTATAGTATGAGGCATATGTGAACGTAATATCCGCCATGAACGTAGGAAACTTACGATTCGCCGACTTCGTGCCAGGACGCCCAATGAGGAAGTTGTCAGGCTTAATGTCCCGGTAAATGAGGTTTTTGTCGTGGATAGTTTGTACCCGGGACAACTGCGAATAGTTAGACGGCGGAAGAAATCTGGAAAGGAGCGATACGCACCATTTGTCGGGCTGCCATGCACACCGTCTTAATAGAGAACTTGCGTCCGCACATATCGAACAGATCCTCCAAGCTCGGGCCTAAAAGATCTATCACCAAAATGTTGTGAAGGCCCTCCTGCCCGAAGTGATATATTTGAGGGATTCCAGCTACAATACGCGTGAATTAGACTTCGTTTACTTGTGAGTCCGACGAATGTACGCACGGCAGCCAGCTAGAATGCGGTATGAACGACATTCATCTCGAAGCTGAGGTGCCTCTGCTTTGCGTGGCTCCTGCAGCCAAAGAAGATATATGAGGAACAAAGGAGAAGTCAGTGAAGTAGAGCACCCACAAACTTGATGGCGACAGTCGTGGAGTTCAGCAGGTTCGTTCCTAGGATGGGCCATGGTCAGCTTAAACTGAAACACGATAAAAAGAGGTGCAAACCTTCAAAGATAACACCGAATGAGCCTTCGCCGATTTTCTTGCCAACACGGTAATGCACGCCGACTACGCTCGTCGTGCCAGAGTTATGGGAAGACATGAGAGGTGTATGGAAGGTTGTTATTCAGAGAAAAGAACTTAGACCGTAGACTGGGCAAGGACAAGGCCTCCAGGCCTTCTTCTGCCTGTGCGGCGGCGGTGGACAAACGTTGAGGGTACAGACCTCGGTCAAAACCGAGCTTGCCAAAACAAGCGACTCCCTATGCAGTTGCATTGATAATATCGCGTATTAACACAGTAAATTATGAATCCCATGCATGTCTTTACATGTAACTTATGTGAGTCCATATATACCGACTTCATGGTACATCGCAGCGTGAACTACATAAAGGAAATTGTGTTTGAATCCTCACCCTGAAAGAAGCCTATCTTTAAATGAGTCCGGGGACAAACTTCCAGAGCATAGAGGCATTGTAGGCAACGATGGAAACCATCAAAGCCACAAGCGCATATTTCGTCAATGCCACTTTCCTGCCCTGGTTGAACCACTCTTCTCCACCTACCACCTTAAAATCATCCCAGCGTGGCTTTCGCATGATCCACCAGTAGAATGAGACCATACCAGGGAACGTAGATACATTTTTTGGGCCTTTTCGATTGTCACCTCGATAGTATGAAAGACAGCTCAAGAATATCGTTTGTTCCATGCGCTTTTGGATCCAAGTGTTGTAATAGGTTGTGGCCTTTTGGCTGACTTCGAGTGATTTTGCCTTACCGTTGATGATAGGCTTCATCAGCTTGAGGATATAACTGACCTACATAGCCTTACGTTTGATTACAGTAACTCCAAGTTTCTAAAAACACACACCTGAGTTTCGATGGTGAAAAGAAGAGAAGTGTGGGCTGAGGCACTGTTGGGCCCTGACAAAGTTATCAGATGAAGTCATACTGCAAGAATCAGCCAACCACTAACCCACGATCGTGAACATGTTTGGAAACCCAGGGAAAACCGTTCCGTAATAGCTGCCTTCTGATTCGAAATATTGCTTCAGAGTGAGGCCACCGATTCCGCGGAAAGCTACATCTCGCTCGGCCTGTGCAGTATATCAAATATTAAGGACCGGTACGCGTGAGGGTTATTGCCGGATTGAAAATCACCATATAAAAGCCGGTGCCAAAGATTATTGCGTCCAGTGGTACTTTTTCACCGGTCTTGAGAACGATACCATCCTCAACAACTTCTTGGATTCCAGTGCAATTCAGATCAACGTTAGGTTGGTGCAAAGCAGACAAGTAGTTAGAATCAAGGACCAGGCGTTTGCACCCAGGAGCTATTTAGCAATTGTCAAATGGTCACAATTATCGAATTGCAATTGCTTACGGTAGGTGGGAATAAGCTTATCGTGGAGTTTCGCTGGCGCGGTTCGTTGCATGTACCACGTTAGGACCTATCGATCATTAAAAATAATCAGATAGACAGAGAAGCTGACGTTACCTTCCTCATGACAGCACTGACAGGTGAATTAGCCACGAAAATGCCCCATGGAAGATCACCCTGGAATTGAAAAGGTCAGTTTCTGCCATTCCAACAAATCTCTGTAGCGCACCGTTATCATGATGAAACTTCTGTACGCGTACATGAGAAACGGAACATGGGCAAACGCCCACTTGACCCACTCCGGGTAGCGGTAATTGAACTTCAGCCATTCAGCACAATGTGCAGCACCAGAATGATGTTTAACATACCCTCATTCCAATCCATTGTGGGGTACGACAAAAGTTGATGACACGAGTAGAAGGCTCGGCGGCGATAACCGGTATGAATTGAGTTCTGCGGTGCAAAGTCATTTAACACGTGGCTTTTGATAGGCAGACAAGGAACGGATTTACGCAGAGCAGCCATTGCCAATGACGCCAATTGCCTTGCCTTTCAGATCTACATCGTGCCTCCACTGAGAAGAATGCCAGAGCGGTCCTCTAAATTTCTCCCTTCCAGGAATATCCTGAGGATACATTGGCGATGTGAAAAAACCGACAGCCTGGATAACAGCTTCCGCTTGGGTCTGTATAGTCTGGCCAGACACTACGTCTTCTAGTGTCAGGTTATGCACGCCATTTTCTTCGTCCCACTCAACAAGAGTAACGCGGGTATTGAACACTGTGCGGGAAGCCAGGCCGTATTTTTGATATATCTCCTCCCAGTACGCGCGTATCTCGGGCTGCGTGATGTAGTAATTCTCCCAGTATGGATTTAGTTCCGTTGAGAGGGAATACCAGTGTCCGGGAACATCAGACCCACATCCCTGATCAGGAGATTCGATTATCAAGTTTAAAGAGAGGACACAACCATACAGGGTATGCATTGTCCTGTCAAAGCGCATTAATGTTGATTCTGCGCGGGTTATCATGCTCTGAATAGCTTACTCGCCACGTCCCACCGATGGACCCTGCTTTTTCATAAATCTAGAAAAGTCAAGTTTTCATCCTACAGAATGATGTTCCGGCTGCCAGTGGCTTACCACGAAATTGTCATGTCGCAACTTGTTTCTCAAGTTCACAGCCATGGTAATTCCAGAGATGCTGTTGTGCTCGATTAAGTATTGTCACGGTGCTCCCATTAGCCATTCGCACAACTACAATTGAACGTACCCGGCACCAACTATGGCCACTCGAGGTGTATCACGATCCATGGCTAGCAGAATGTTTGGCTTGTGTGGGTATCAAGAACAAGATTGCGTAGTTCCGTAACACGCCCATGAGAGGATATCTCTGGGCTGTACCCCGCTCGGGCAAAGTCCGGATATCAATACTTATTGATATCTTGCGCCAAGACTCTTTGAGAAAGAACTATGGTTCAGCTCAATTCGGAAACAATGTACAATGTTGACCATCCACGCCGTCAAGTGACTCAAATCCACGTAAGTATCGCTTAATTTCCAGTAAGTAGCTGTCAAACCAAATACAGTTAACAAGTATTCCTTGCCTTGGATTTGGGGATTTAGGCTCATTCGACAAAGGTTCCGTGCTTGCGCACAAAAGCCGGATTGATTCGAGAAGGCGATGCTTGTCAAGATTGTTGACTGTTGTTACAGCCCAGTTTAGCACCATCGACGCGCACCGAGAGTAGAAGACAAATAATAAGACTGCATGTCATGTTAGAACACAATACAGAGATAGCGTATGAGTGAAAGATGATATCAGGACCGAAAACAAGAGGGTAACTAAAAATTAACATACTCAGACAGCGCCTCGCCACAGATGAATTAAGTCCAGTCCAATATTCTGTGAGTAGTGCGTTTTTACCATACAGTCGGGACAGCGCTCCACCCCCGAGCTTCTCATCGAAACTCAAAGCTGGAGCTAAAGCGCTCCGGGACGTGACTAAGAGTCAGCTGTTGATATCTGGGAGATTCAATTAGAGGCATAAACTCGCAAACTACTCATACGTACGGTTCTGAGTTCTGATGGAAATAAAACCCGCTCATTGTTGCAGCAGGGGGATGAGTTCGTGGACCAACTGATAGGCCTCGGCCTCCTCGTCTGACGCTGGAATCCCTCCGCTTCCGCAAAGCAGGGACTGTCTCCGTTTTCCCGAGTGACGGTGAATGGGGCAACGGCGGATCATTAATTCCACCCTTCTCGAGCGGAACAGACTGCGTTACGGGGCGAAGTGTGGATGTGGATGTAGGTGGCTGGGGATTGAAATCGACACAAACATAATAAAAGCCTGTTCATAGGGAAAGCGCGTGTTGCTATGTCAGAAGCTGTGGTTTCTTGTCGGGCCAACCACATAGTGGTCCGCGCCTGAAATAAAGGTAGTAGCGCACCTGCGAAGCTTGCACCATTGATATCTTGTACTCTATGATTGGGTACCAAGAATCGTTCTTTCCATCTCATAAAGACTGCTCCACGATCGCGGTCGGGGATGGTCAGGTTAGGCTTTTTCAACTCGTTCTTTACATGCCGGAAAGCAGGGAACCGCTGCCAGTGGACCATGTCCTCTTGTTCATTAGCGCCCCAGTTTTGCGTCAAGAATCCATAACGGCTGCCTATGATTTCTGCGTCAAAGTAAGTAGTCAATTCAGGCCAGTCATCCGTCAAGCCGCGGATACGGAGGTACCCGCAAAGAAACGAGGAAGCAAAATCCACGTCCTGGTAGGGAAATGAGCTTCACCGAATATTGAGATTAATGTTCCGCTTGGACGTACAACGATGTTGACATTCACTTCATAACTATTCCTGCCACTTTTCTGTGTACCCTGGAACACAGCACCGGGATACAAACAATGGTGGCCTTGAGAGCGCACACGGATGTGCGTGACGTCGAGAAGGGGGTTTGGAGAAGAGTAAGAGGTATTTGGACGAGGAGAGTAAGAATCTGTGGATGTGTTATTGCGGGAGTGGGACAGGGGTCTTGAAGGTGTGGTAGCATGAGTGTGAATGGATGATACAGCAGGTTTCGGGGTAGCGGGTATAGTCGATTGGGAATAAATAGAGGGGGGGCAAGATAGCACAGAAATTGGAGTGCACAGAGAAGAAACTGTCGAGCTGGGTGTAGAAACATCGTCCATGTCCATATCATCGGCAAAGATGCCAGCGTCTTGCATATGGACGAGCGGTACGCTGTTCAGCTGGGTGGAAATTGCAGGAGGCATGGCTCGGACAAGGGAAGCGCCGACATCATCAACTGCGAAGACATCATCATCTGGTTGCATTTGTGGCTGCATGTCGCGACACCAAGCACAAATGGTGTTAGAATCGTGGTCGTCCTGCATGAGCACAGCATTGGATGGGTCGAGCGGGTGGTTGCAAGACAAGCAATATTTAGTTGCTTGTGTAGCTTCTGGTTGTATTTGATCTGGGATGACAGGGTATGTATTTTCTACTGGCATTGTTGAAAGCGGAACTTGGGGAAAGCTGAGGTGTGAGTGTGACGCTGGTTGACAACTTGTGTACATGTATGTGTATTAAGATTTGGTGCCTGTTCACGTTCACGTGCCTCAGAGAAGGTACTTGGAAGCTGTAACGTTGACAATTTGCTGAACAAACTCTATAATACTGCGGCAGACCTACCATCGCTGAGTCCTTGTTGACGTTCTCTATAAATCGCTTCATTTACGGTCAGGACTAGCGCTCAGAAGGCCATGCGTTTGCTGGCATGGTTCATATAATATCATGACATGATCTCGCGCAACGCGGCCGTGACTACTAAGACGCTCGTGCCTCGAGGCTACTAATAGGTTAAGTGACACGGCGGCCAAGTCTCCTTCGACACTCGGTGCATGCAAATAAGTTCCATGCAAATTTCCACAGCTTGGAGGCGCATTACATCACGAACGTTCCAACTAATATGATGGCCACCACTGGCAAGCGTCAACTTGCGCGCTTCTGCAGCAGATTTACCTACGTACCATTGTCATCAACTTGGCAACTGCAACACCAGTCAACGGCTCATTGCAGGCGTGCCATGCCCGAAGATCACCGCGAGTGATATTTTTATCTCCGCTGGCGCTCAGATCTCACTAGTAATCCGTTTGTACAACAAGAATGCCATACAAGACCGTCCCGCTGAGCGCTTACCAAAACGCTCGAGGGATCGGCAAGCAGCACAGGCTGCACAGCGCCGATTCTAGCAAGCGCCTACACGTTCAAGTTCTCGTGCCGCGCTGCGCGGCGGTCCGTCGTCACCGTTTGCTGTGTTTCTTCTCGTTGTGCTAAGTAGCATTTCAACTCTCATTCAAATCATTCGAAGAAGCATGAAAACTTATTCTGAAATTGACAGCCACTTGGAGACGCTCGCCGGCGTCTACACTTGCCAGTGCTGTGAGAGCCGGTATGATGTTGTACTCTGAAGCTGTGTGGCAAGTTGTTGTTGTATTTATGTTGAACCGCAGCCTATAGGAGGTAAGCTGCTGTGGATGGCAGCAGTGCGATTATTGCTTCGCAATTTCAAAGAAGCAGAATCGCGGTTAATCAAGGTCCACAGGCACATATTATGAAAATACGTATGTTTCGCGGGCAACCAGGCATGTGCCTCACGATTTGACGGTCCTCGGAGATTCAATATAAATGCATGCGGGGTAAGTAGTGGCTTTACGCAGTGCCGATGGGGCAAGTAATACGATCCTGGAAGGGAACCGAGAATTATAGCACGATAGATCGTGGTCGTCGATTATCAGCTTACGAGTCGTTCTTATCTGATCGATTTCCTTGTCAGATTCCTTTGTCTATAAAGATACAGCAGAGGACCTCAAGCGTTGAACCATTATTGCATATTAGTGCTCCGAGTTGTCACGATGATGCGCCTTCGTGATCGTCAGCCACCCTCACGTCGACCCACACAATATTCCCCCATCACAGTTCTTCCTGGCAGGAAGGTGCGGGTGCCACTGACATTCAACCCAATCTGAATGACTAGTAGTCATCAAACTTACTGATTTCAGGTAACTTCTACTGGCAGTGCCGCCCGTCGGCAATCCGTGCAGCGTTTTGGCAGGGTTATCAACAGAGATCGCAGAGAACTTGAAAGGGAACGAGACCAAGTTGGAGGTGAAGGTTTTGCCGATCTCATCCATTGGGTATGTCAGTGATCACTGTACGCCGACAACATGACTAATATGATGGCCTTTCAATCCAGCAAGATGGAAACGCAATGATCACATTCAAACGAGTGCTTGATCACCAAAACCCCACAGCAAGTTAATTTTTACCCCTCAAGCTGGTTTCAATTGATATAAGTATATAGAATCACAAGACGTCGACAAGATGTGAACCCTCTGGCCACACAGAGAGGGCAATGCATGATGATATCGTGGCACCACGCCGGGGGATGTGCGGAAAAACGGCCCCTGACGATTATGTGAGAAATTTCCTCAGCTCCTTGCGGCCCAATTTGGAGGGTAAGATCCAAGAGTTCAAGACAATCGGCCTTGATTCAAAAAACACACTGGATGCCTTCGTCCAATGGCAGGCATCTGAACGGGAGGGCTGGATTTTCTCTCAGAATCCGTACCTCCAGCTCACTCCATTAGAGCTCAGTGGGTTGATGCTAGGCATAGAGAGATTGTCAGATGGGGGTAACGGGGCATGATCACAACTGTATTTCCCAACAGTCTGTTGCAAGTTCTATTGCCACAACCTGCAGGAAGTAAACATATATGCGTTCCGAAAAACGCTCCATGAATGGTGGGTTGTTGCATTTGCACTAAGCAGGAAGTAAAAAAGAATGTATCGATTGGATTGGTGGATCGATGAGCGATTGTAAATGAAAACCACAGTATGAATGGACGGTCGTATGAAGCGTAAGTATATGGTAATTCACGAGATTACAGGTCATCTTCCTCTTCCGGAAGCGGAACAGCCTCAGCCTGACACGAGGCATGATTGAGCGATTAGCGCTCCATGAACCAGAAAACAAAGACAGACCTTCTTCAACTCTTCCTCGTATTGTTTCATCAACTCAGGGTCAACATGAGCCTCAGCAGGGGCAAGGGCAGGAGCCGCTACGAAGTCTAGGTCATGGTTGCTGCACAAGGTTCATCAACGAGATCGAAGCGGCGCTTGCTGAGGAATAGACGTACCCAACCAGCTTCCTTGCAAGCCACAGGAATGGTTTCTCGAAGTTGTAGTTAGATTTGGCGGAGATTTCAAAGTAAGGCAGGTTCTTTTTGCGGTTGAACGTGACAGCGCCTGTCTTCACTTTGCGCTCCTGAAGCAGATGATTGAATCAAGTGGCATCGCAGAAGACGAGGTCCCGACTGACCTTTACGTCAACCTTGTTTCCACACAGTACAATGGGAATGGTCTCGCAAACACGCTCAAGATCACGGTGCCAATTTGGCACATTCTTGTAGGTGATTCTGGAAGTGACATCGAACATGATAATGCCGCATTGGCCCTGGATGTAATATCCATCACGAAGACCACCAAACTTTTCTTGCCCAGCTGTGTCCCAGACATTGAAACAGATCGTGCCGAAATTTGTGGAAAAGGAAAGTGGATGAACTTCGACACCGAGAGTGGCTATACAAAGGGCACGCGGAGAGGAACCGGATTATCGCAACTGCTCTGCGATTATAAGAGGGATGACTTACCGATGTACTTCTTCTCGAATTCACCAGTAAGATGGCGCTAAGCATCACAGAAATCAGATTGTGATCGCTCAGATGCGGGACGGTACTGCTCACCTTCACGAACGTGGTCTTTCCGGTACCACCATCACCGACTGAATTTTTCCGTCAAAGACGCGACCGATAGCGCAATACGAAGGGCGCGATGTTTTGAAAGACATACAAAACCATGATGATCAAGAAATGAGCCACAGAGCATGAGCATGATGATCACTGCGAGCAAGATGGGGACAATGACTCACCAAGGACCAGCTTAAAGGTAGGAATCTGAATCGGATTCTGTGCCATGATAGGACTGTTGTCGTTGGAGAAAGAAAACGATAAACAAGAGGCGAAGGGCAGAAATCAGGAGATGAGATAAGGTTTGGTTGCCACTTTGGCGGGAAACTGTCCGTATCTGGGAGCCGCTGAGTTGGTCCAATAGATGTTCCCACGATTGACGATGTTGGTTTAAAAATTATGAAGAGGATGGCGAGCGTAGAGCTCGAGACAGAGCCTGACAGAGCTAAGAGTTGTTTTCCATTTGGTCACAATCACATAGTTACATAGGAGAGCACAACGTTTCATTTGATCAATAGGTACATGATAATCTAATTGAGGGTCGCTGTCACTGCTGCTTCCCTTTCGATAGTCGCCGGACTCATCGAGGTTGTTCCTGCGCCAAGAAGCATAGGATGCTGTGGCAAGGTAGTGACTAGTCGAGCTTCCAACCATTGTCAGCGAGTCGGAATAGAGGAAAGGCCTTTTCCATAATCGTGTTCATCAGCTCAGCAGCCGATGCTGTCACTCTACCCCAAGACAATGGCGCCAGTCCACGGATTGCAAATTCTGTCCATGTCACCCGCAACGCCTTTCGGATGGCCTCAATCATTGACTCTGGGATCGGTTCACCATGCTCATCTTCGAGAAAGGGCAGTTTTCCACGATTGTGACCATCGCCTCCAGCTGAATCGAGCCATTTGAGGAAGCTGGCCTTGGTCCAAAATTTAATGTTTGAGTGTCTCGCGGTTCGGAAGGTTAGAATCGTTGGCAGATGGGCATAGGAGTGCTGGACTGGCAGCAAGTGGATCCACATTGTGAAGCCGTACAGCACTTGCAAGCTGCGTGAAGTTCGCCCTGCCAAAAAAAATTTACTAAGTTAATTAGTAGACTGTTCGAGTGCACTTACACCAGTGTCACGTTCAGTGGTGACCTTGAGCAACTGAAGCTCGAGTGACTTGCAATATTCCCGCAAAGCCTGTAGTTGTTGGTGTTCATGCATATATGCGCCCTAAAGAATTGAAGTGTGAAAAAAGCAATCAAAATGAGTTTACATATGAGTTAAAATTTGGTTGAGGGTTCTCGAGTAACGACATAATAGAGCCAGATGCAGGTGATAGGGGGAAAGGCCATACTTACATAACCTATTTTTTCTACAGTGGATGGGGGTAACAGGGCATGTATTTCCCAACAGTCTGCTGCAAATTCTGTTGCCACAACCTGCAGGAAGTACACACGTGTGCTTTCCGAAAAACGCTCCATGAGTAGTGGGTTGCTGCATTTGCACTAAGCAGGAAGTAAGACAGCATGTATCGATTCGATTGGTGGATTGATGAGCGATTGTATATGAAAACCACAGTATGAATGGACGGTCGTATGAAGCGTAAGTATATGGTAATTCACGAGATTACAGGTCATCTTCATCTTCCGGAAGCGGAACAGCCTCAGCCTGACACGAGGCATGATTGAGCGATCAGCGCTCCATGAACCAGAAAGTAAAGACAGACCTTCTTCAACCTTGCCTCGTATCGATTCATCAAATTAGCGTCAATCGCAACCTCAGCAGGGGCGAGGGCAGGAGCCTCTACGAAGTCTAGGCTATGATTGCTGCAAAAGGTTCATCAACGAGATCAAGGTGACGCTCGCTGAGGAATAGACGTACCCAACCAGCTTCCTTGCAAGCCACAGGAATGGTTTCTCGAAGTTGTAGTTAGATTTGACGGAGATTTCAAAGTAAGGCAGGTTCTTTTTGCGGTTGAACGTGACATCGCCTGGCTTCACTTTACGCTCCTGAAGCAGATGATTGAGTCAAGCGCAGAAGACGAGGTCCCGACTGACCTTTACGTCAACCTTGTTTCCGCACAGTACAATGGGAATGGTCTCGCAAACACGCTCAAGCTCACGGTGCCAATATGGCACATTGCTGTAGGTGATTCTGGAGGTGACATCGAACATAATAATGGCGCATTGGCCATGGATGTAGTATCCATCACGAAGACCACTCCACTTTTCATGCCCAGCTATGTCCCAGACATTGAAACAGATCTCGCCCAAATTTGTGGAAAAGGAAAGTGGACGAACTTCGACACCGAGAGTGGCTATACAGAGAATACGCGAGGAACCGGATTATCGCAACTACTCTGCGATTATAAGATGGTTGACTTACATCGGTGCCCCTTGTCGAATGCACCAGTAAGATGGCGCTAAGCATCGCAGAAATCAGATTGCGATCGCTCAGACGCGGGACGGTACTGCTCACCTTCACGAACGTGGTCTTTCCGGTACCAAAATCACCGACTGAATTTTTCCGTCAAAGACGCGACCGATAGCGCAATACGAAGGGCGTGATGTTTTGAAAGACATACAAAACCAAGATGATCAAGAAATGAGCCACAGAGCATGAGCATGATGGTCACTGCGAGCAAGATGGGGACAATGACTCACCGAGGACCAGCTTAAATGAAGGAATCTGAGGCGGATTATGTGCCATGATAGGACTGTTGTCGTTGGAGAAAGAAAACGATAAACAAGAGGGCAGAAATCGAGTGTCGAGCACCCTATTATGACTCCGAGCTAGCTCGGCTCCCTTAATTGCCTCCATGACATGAGAGGGTGACAGACCTGTGTGATAAGTGGGACTGGGACACGAGAATGATGAAGCCAAAAAGTGGTGTGACTTGAGTGGAAAAGCGCCGCCGTCCGCTGATGCTGTAGGTCGTGAAATGGCGCGAAGGGGTTGGGGGGCCTGACCTGCGAGCGGCGGCTGTTTCTGTGGGCAGCGTCAGAAGTAGTACTGTGGGAGCTGAAGTTGGGGAGGTTGATATCGAGGAGTTCAGCGATGGACGTTGGTGTCATGGTGTCGCGCGAACATGGCAGAACGGCGCAGAAGAGCTCAGCATGCGCGAAGGCGGCAAACTTCGACTTAAGAATAACCAGGAAATGTTGTTACCGAGGGTCTTTGCCCTTCATGTAATTGATGGGTTCAGGGAACTGTCCGTATCTGGGAGCGGCTGAGCCCTAGACAGAGGTCACAGAGCTCTTCTTTCCATCTGTGCACAATCAGATAGAGAGTAAAACGTTTTATTTGATCAATAGGTACATGCATGATAATCTGGGGGTATGTATGCGTCATGGTTTCACCCAACCGTCAAGGCCACATAATAGCAACTCTCCCGAAGGAGAGCGGGTACGGAAGGTACAGGAATATGACGCCGCACCATCACACAAGCTCAGCCCTCATCCCCTACAACGAATCAACACCGCGAGGCGGACTCAGTCGCAAAGGATATAACGAGAACGAACCAGGCAACGATGCTTGATCTTGTGAGCGCCCCGAAGAGCGCCTCGCTCCATCAACCAGAAAGCAACAACGCCATGCAGAAGAGTGAACTTCTGTGCTGTTAGCTGACGCTTCATGCGGTCGATTGGACACTGAAGAATTCACGGCAAAAATTTGCAGCTCATTATATACACAATATTCAAACTCCGCCGGTCCCGACTCGCGTTTGCCGATATCGCCGTTGACGCGTCGTGATCCTTCGGTCTTGGAGCCGCTTTGAAGCTTGTGGAGAGATGTCAAGGTTGTCGATGTTACCAAGACCAAGAGAATCGGTATTTGCAAGTGGAATCGACTATCGTGGTGATATCAATGTCGTTTGTCCGCCAAACCTGCGCGAGTGCGTCCTTGCTATGGAAGACTGCTGCGAAGAGGTGGGAGCCTTGGTTGATATCACAACGCGCTACAGTTCACATCATCATCAGGCGCATGAAGCCCAACAGCTTCTTCGAAACGGGACATTTGATCTGCCCCGCATGCGCAAGGTCCTTGAAAGCCAAAGGGTGAGACCATATCAGCTCCTCCAAGTGCACACCTTGTGATTCATGGTACAGGTATTCCTTCTCATCGACGAGGGCACAGTACACAGATATAAAGCTGATCTTGCAGATGAGATCGAGCCCCAGATCAATGAGCTTATTGACCGTGCAGAGAAAGGTCTCAGCGCTCTAAATCGTCGAGAGGGCTTGATTCAGAGCAAGGTGCGCAAGTCACCTCTTGCCTTGCACGATATGGATTAACGTGCGAAGGTTGAGGTTGCACAGGCCATGCAGTCTAGAGTCGCGACGGCACCCACCTCAAATAAGCGCGAAGAAAGACGCCTGCAAATGCTCGCAAAACAACGTCGGCGACTTGAAGATGAAGTGAAAGTCTTGGAATCAGAGATACTAGCATTGGTATGTACACTCATTCAAGAAATAAGTCATATTGAACAGTACTTCTAGCAACATACAAAGCCTAAGAGGACTTGATTCGACTGTGCCAGTCTAGCATCTTATAGCTGCAACTCGACTCTCCGATAATGACATCGTCCGCATAGCTCCCAATTTCCAATCAATCTAGCCCACTGTCCCTTTTTGGGACAGCTACACGAAGCCCTTCGTTCCGATCGCGTCTGCAACACTTCTCGACCTCGGGTTCAGTCGCATGGTATCAACCCGGATCGCCGCCAAGAAAGATGGCGTGGTACACACACATGTCCACAGGTCGTCTGCCACGCTGGTACGACAAAGATGTAGAATTTGAACATGGGCAAAAGCAGGTTATCGGGCGGAGGAAGCATGACTTTCCTTTCATGTTCTCCTCCTGTTGTAGGAATACTTACGCAAGTTCTTTCCGCGTTTTATTGACACCTTCAAAATATATTATGCCTCTGCACCGGACGTTCGACTACGGACTTCAGAAGGTCGGCTCTTTCGAGACTCAGATGCGCGCCCAGACAACGAGTGCAAACAGAGATTAGTCTCTCACTCGTCACTAACAATATCAAGGTCACCAGCATTCCTTTAAGAGCTGCTCACAGTGATCGCCAATTGGTACCCCCAAGGCCTCCCAAACAGTCAAAAGGAAGTGGGCTAAGAGATGAGGTTTTCGTTGCCCGATACTCAGAATACGAGCTGGCGACACACTTTAACTCTACTAGCTCTTCTCTCCACTGACGCATGCCAGCGTCTATCTACCTCTTTGTGCCGGACAAATGCTAGGGTCCCGGCTTCGCCTCTGAGGCTTGTCAAGACATCAACTCCCTGAAGCATAATGTCTGCCTTGTGCACATCCTGATAGCCCGACTGCGCTCGTAGAAATCGTATCATGGAGTTCGTTCTAGATATTATGGGTCAGATTGCAGCGGGCTTGTACACAACACATTCATGGCCACCCCCTAAGTCTGCCTTGCGGTAATGTGGAAGCCAGAACTTCCGCAACCCGATGCTAGAAGGCCTCCTGCAATAAGTCTTTTCCGCAGCACCGATTTACGATCTAATATTATGTGATTAAAGCTCCCCTCGTGTGGTTTCCCCGCACATGTCGTCTTGCATGTTGCAGTAACCCGCTTTTACCGCCGGACATTTGTCTCGTTATGTCCCGGATCCCCATGCATTTCGATCCCTCCAAGCATGTACCGGACCAGTCGTTTCAGGCCTGATGAGGCTTACTTTCGATGAAACTCATTCTTTTCAACCCGTTGCAACCTGCGAGGAGCGAATTGCTACACAAATCCTCGGGTCGAACCGCTTGGGTGTCATCGTGTAGTATGTGGAGAGGGGTGTATGCAGTGCTCAGGCTGAAGGATGTCCGAGTCGCGCGTCTTTCTCCTGAATGAGACGCGGTGGGTAGGTAATCATCATTGTCGGTCCATTCCCCTGGATACTACAGGCGTCACGCCCCCCTCAGTATCATCCCTATCCTCAGAACGCTTCTCGGGACCCCTCGATCCAGAATGGGTTGGATAACGAAGTTTGCGCGCAGTTCCACCGCTAAAAAAAATACCAAAAATGCAGGCTCATCTAGTTACGACTACCGCTTTCTGTTACAACGATGTCTTTTTAGACGACAAGCTTGCCATGGCAATTCGTGACTGGTCAATCTTCTAGGGAAAACTTAACCACGCAGAACTAACGAGACAAAATTGGATGTGGTGCGTTCATCTTAACATAAACTATTGTATTACATTCATACACACGTAGGTTCGACGCTGGAATTCCAAAGTTCCGGGAGGCGCAGAGTTCACATGGGTAGTAAGGCATTGCATCATTCGGTAGTGCTTACTAGGGTGAGAACATGACTCAAACTACATACGTACTGAAGTCCGTTCGAACCGGAACCGTTCTGTTGTGTTGTTTTAGCTTGACATCTTATTGGCTCTCGTCCTTCTCCGAATGATGTCGCAAATAACCACATTCCTGGCCAATTACTGGGCCGAGCTGTTTGTAAATGCTACACATCTTTTGGTCGGTTCAACTCAACGACGTTAACCCGAGTCTCTGGCTTGTAACAACATTTGTTCGTGCACAGGATGGAGATTGCAGAGAACTGATCCAACCCAGGAACTGGGAGACACAGATCTGCTCTAGATAACAAGTTCCTCCAATCTATACAGCCCAACTCCGAGTGCGACCTGTTGTTCTTGATGTTTCCGTCTTTTTCTCCATTCGTTCGGAGTTTCCCTCGGCGCTCCTTCAGCCCTCTCCTTCACTATTCGATTCTGAGCTTTGGCGAAGGGTTCTAATGCTCCTCGGAGGTACCCCATACGCTCATGAAGTCCTATCTCGGGTTCTATATGCGACATAATATTCCGAAGCAGTTCGTGTGACGGAGGGTACTGCAACAAGGAAACAAACGAAGCGTCTAGCAACACTTGCAAGAAAGATATCGTCTGTAGAGTTGTCAGGTCGTATCTTGACTACTGGGCGCAAATATACCTTATCGTATGGAGGGGCCGCCCCGCCACGGTGTTCGATCGCAACATTCGACGCCACAGATTTTAAGAGGGAACGAATGTGCTCCTCGGTTCCACCAACTGTCCAGCCATCCAACAACTCCAAGATCAGAATGAGATCCTGCGCATCTGGCAAATGTTTTCTAATGGCCAGACGGAGTGCAGCAGGAGACGTTGGATACGAGACGCACGCCAGCATATAAGCTGATAGAGTCGGGGTCCAGGCCTTATTGCTATCCACATCCATGGCCTCGGGATCGGTCTGTGGCTCTTGCTCCTTATCAATAAGCGCCTTGGCTAGGGAGATCATCTCGTCCTCGGATATATCGACCACCGAGTTGAACGCCAACATGATACTTTCCTATTTCACAAGCTATTATTGGCTTTATCATGTTAGAGACGGGAATTACCCACCCAGTCGCCGCGCTGTTTTAGTGCTGTGAAAATCCTGCCTTTTAGCATGCCTGCGCTGACGACGCGATTCTCAATCAAGTGACGCGTGACGCGCGGAGAGTACTGGGGCTTGTCAGTGTACTCCCTTACAAAGAAGAGGCCTAGAAGCTCTTTGACAAAGCCGTAGCCATAAAGAGCTTCTGACGCCGCTCCGTCCTATTGGCAGACATGGCATCAGAGACTCTGAACGAGACTGTAACTGCGCACCGGTGTCGATATTGACAGTACATTACTTGAGGATGGCCCACTCGCTGAGGTATGTTCCTTGACCCATCTGAAGAATGCTTCATCCGCCTTATGGGGTTCGTTGTGTTGCAGATGATTTGCCATGTCGACAAGCAGTTTAGATCTAGGGTCACTGTCCACTAGTGGTTCAACTTTAGGAGTCGGTGCCAGCCATTCAGAAGTTGCGGGGTTTTTCCCGATCGCACCAGCGATGGTGGATTTCAAGTTCGGATCCAGGGGAATAATGTAAACTGTCGAACGATATGGAGACTCGGATGTCGACGGGGCGGTCGTTGAGACGTTTGCAGGGCACAACGTCAATAATACTTGTCCTGCGTCCGCGGGTAGTAAGCTCATACTAATGCCCAGTTTGATGCTCGATACAAGAGCGGATGGGATAGGGATAGCCTGTGATGCAAGAACTACACCGTAGCGCATGTCCCAGAGAAGGATTGATATCTCTGACGATGGCGTACCAGTCATAGTGGCGAGGAGAACCAATGAGGAAGCCATTGACAGGAAACAGGTGCCGCGTCCAAAAGAATGTGCATTCAGACGCGATAATTGGGCCAGAGTTAATGTCTCGCCAATCTGTGTTACGGATGTGGATGGACTGTTTATCTCGAGCTGGTAGGCAGCCCAAGTATGAGATTCGTCTTGGCGATTGTCAGTAATCTTCAGATTAGAACACACACATAAGCTCACTTATGTAGCTCAACACCCCACAGGGACCACATGAAAGGGCGATGACGTGCTGCTGTGTTTTCCGTCCCGAAACTCCATGGGATGTCGAAAAGTGGTTTTTGCCGATAATGGTCATATCCTTGCCGGTGACAGATACAATGGACAGAAGCAGCGTGGAGTCAGAACTCGAGCAGAATACTACCACGCTGTCCGGGGGATTTTCATGAGGCGGCAGAAAAGTACATGACGTGCCAGGGAAGAAAAACACGTCCAGGAAATTTTGTTCATGTGGACACGTGAGAGTGGACTGGATGTTCAACTCGTCGTCTGCGACACTGATGTCACCAGCGGAAGATACGAGTATTATGTTTGAACTTTTATCGTCGGAGTAGATACGCGCGACTTGGTGAGGCACCTAACAATTGCGTCAGTGTAGAACGTGACTTGGAATGTTTTCATGAGCATGACACACCACAATTTCGCGTTTATCACTTTTGCCCAAGGTGCCACCTGATATTTTTTGCTTCATAATCCATACCGTCCGGTTCCTGTTCTTCACAGCGACCTCCGGTGCGGAAGATATGACCGCATAGGTTGTGCATATGCGCCCACCATCCTCTGGCGTACACCGACTGCTCGCAGGTCCAGAAAACGTCACGTTAGATCCACAGGTGTGCGAGGCCACTGTATGAAGCTCAGATAGCTGAAAATAGGAAATCTTCATCAACGCGTCTCTGCAATAGTCCGGAAAACTCACATCAACGATATGTATGCCTTCTGCCTGGACGGTCACTGTTGCATGACCGGAAAAATCACGGCTGTATGAGACACATGTAGGGTTGTGTGCTTTTTCGTGCCTTGTCTTCGTTGGAACAGAGTAGCTCGATACTTGGAACGGCTCTCCGATGAGTGAGCTCATCGAGGTCTGTGAAGAAGATCAGATGTATTCAGAGGTGTCCGGGGAGCCATGCTTATTCATTCGGGGTCTCAACAAAGGGATCATCGTAAAACGGCAACCTTGACGGCACAATCATGTGCAATTACCATCAACACCTGAACATTGTCATTCCGAAATGATATCGATGAGGTCACGCGCACGGTCAATGTCAGCGCCGCATCAATGATCATGCAGGGTTCCGGAACTTAACCACAAGTTCTGGCTGTCATGGACTCGACAGTAAGTACTCATTAAGTTATAGTATATGTACCCTATGGCTAGGCGGTTAGTTCGACAGCCTCTGATATCAATTTGATTGTCCAGTCTTACCTTGAAGTTCGGAGTCTCGTACGAGAGTCTGTATCGCATGGTCCGGCGGGCGCTGTGATTTTGCTCTTTCAATCGCCGATCTTCTGCTACGGAAGCATCCAACTCGCTATAGGTAGTGGTTCCAAGAAAATCGTTGGAAAAGTGCTGTAGGTTATTGTGACTGCCGCAGCGCTGAATGTTTAATAGGGACGTCCTTTGAAAATTCCGTCACTGGATCACTTGATGATCAAATGACACCGGGTGACCTCGATACAGCACCTACATTTCAGCAGCGACTCCCACGAATAATCAAGGACGATAACCGTCTAGCCACCAGGAAATCATCAACGACGGATGCAGTGTCCCCCTCACCAGTATGTACTGCTCTCCTCCCTCGCCGTCGGAGTCAATGTATTCCCCCGAACGCCCAATATGATACCGAAGATCGAGCCCGGCACCTCACGCCACTTCAAGGTTATCCTCGCCACAAAAAACAGTGTTTATTTTTGTCGTGCTCTCGGGATTCAAGCTAGGAGTCCCCGCCTCCTGAATATCTATCGTATGCTTCCTTCATTCTAGTCATCATTCCGCCTACAAGGCAGATGTCTTCCAGTTGTCCCCCAGTACAACACTGGCTCCATGAAGGGTTACATCCCCCAAGACGTCATCGAGTATTCCAGCCGTAATTAACGCGTGAAGTACGTGAGACGTCATTCTGCAATTCTGCCTGCGCATCGCGACAGTGAGTTATGTTTCTGCTTTCGCATGGCTGATGGCAGCTGATGACATAGTTCGTAGCTGACTTGATCGATATCTGCAGGGTGCTTTTAATTTCACTGTTGCTTGTGAGCCCAGAGACCCTTTGAATAGACATGACATCGACTTGGCATCACATTTAACCGCAAGCGGTTCCTCCCCAGTCTGTTGACTTTGGATGAATGCTCATTGATGACTTCAGAGTTTTAACGAGTCGCTGATAGTTCGTTAAATGGCAAGTCTTTGGGGAGCTATGCAGTCACCTTATTATTGATTTATTGGCGAGATAAGTATGGGAGATTCCAGAATGGCGATGTCATACATAATTCCGAGTCCCCATGGAGTACAAATCCACCGTTATCTTTCCACCCTGGCTATTATGGTCCCTGGCAGGGTCAAGGATGCTCAGCGAGCATTTCCTGCTTAGAAACCTGGCTGAGACCGACCGATTCGCTGGCCGAGAGTGCGCCGAATCTAATTATAAGTTGAATGTCTGACAAATACCTGACATGCGGTTGTGCGTTTCAAGCGGATGAAATCTGCCCCTGAGACTCTGCCGGGAGCGGAGCTGAACATATTTTTACGTACCAGGGAGTGCCATGCATATGTACTACCAAGTATAAACGCATAATGCTCTCTCAGTCACCAATCAGTGCACAACATGAGTCAGCGAAATCAGTTAGCTGAGTGCGGCATCTCGGGGCTCATCGGCACAAAATTCGACCATCCATCCACCTTTATTATACACGTCCAGGGATATGAGTCCGCTTTCTTTGTGCCCATTCCCTGTTGACGTCCTTAAACTCACTCGCCCCCTCGAGTGACCAGACCCTCACAAAATTACACCGATGGTGGTACCACCGTCTCCAGTCAAGGAGGCCAAAGAAGGCACTGGCACATCATGGCAAAAGGAGGAGCACGTCGTCCCAAAAAATCGCATGGGTTTGGTCTTCTTCGGCCTGATGTGCAGTACATTCTTGGCCGCTTTAGATCAAGTATGCAATATGTTATGTATTCCCTGAAATTCTGACTCACACATCACCAGACTATTGTAGCTACTGCCTTGCCCACAATCGTAGCTGAACTTGGAGGGGGGAAGAACTACAGTTGGGTGGGAAGGTTCGTATGTCTCATTTGGGGCCAGTATCGCACTCTAACATTTTACATACAGTTCCTACATGTTAGCATCCGCTTCTCTGGGCCCGCTGTACGGCAAGCTATCCAACATTGTAGGCACGTCCCATTTCAGTGCTATCCACCTTGCTTGGAAATTAACGATCGCGATTAACAATTACGATCTGCAGGCCGCAAGCCTATGCTATATGGATGCATCATCATATTTTTAGTACGTTCCTAGCACGTGAGTCCTATTCGGTTTTAACATCACAAATTAGATCGGTTCGGCCTTGTGTGGCGCAGCTCAGACTATGACATGGTTGATTGTCTGTCGTGCTATACAAGGAATTGGCGGTGGAGGCATCATACAACTCGTACAGATCACTATATCAGACATTGTTACGCTGCAAGAGTAAATATGTGTGTTACTAACTTGCACCGTTCATTATTGACCTTTTTTTTCTTTCAGGCGAGGCAAGTATGGTGGCTTCATTGGTGCTACCTGGGGCATAGCAAGGTAAGACTAGATCAAACACCCCTCGCAAAGTTCGAAGTCTTATTATTTTCTCAGTGTTGTCGGACCGTTAATCGGCGGCGTAAGGTCTCTCATCTCCTGAACGGATCTGGGAATTGATGATTTTTCTACGTTCTAGGCTTTTACCGATCATGTATCTTGGAGGTGGTGAGTTTTCGAATTATGTTGTCGATCGAAAGTTTAATCAATGCACACCAGGTGCTTCTGGATTAATTTGTGCGTTTGATATATTTTCAATGTTCGCGCCGAGATCAGAAACGTATTGCTAATCCGACTTGGACAGACCGACCGGCGGCCTAGCTGGAGTGCTTTTATTCTTTTTCTTAAATTTAAATCCGCATAAAGGAAGACCATTTCGCGACCACATTCGGGAGTTCGATTTCGTTGGGCTTTTTGTGATTGTTATAGGGGTCGTTTGTCTGCTTATAGGTTTCAACTCCAGCGAAACGACATGTAATGTCATCCTTCTGCACTAAAGAACCAAATCTTACTTACTGGTTTTAGGGCAAAGTGCTGAAACCATTGCTCTCCTTGCCGTGGGAGGCGTGTTGCTCATCCTCGGTGGCGTTAATGAGATATACACAAAGCGGTCCCCCATTATCCCTCCTCGGCTTTTCAAAGTGAGTCGTCGACAAAGCCGTTCGTGTTGTCTCTCATGGTTTTCCAGACACGTACAACTGGCTTGATATTAGTTTCTGTCTTCTTGCATGCCGTGGTATTCTTCACAGGTACGTCGTGTATGCGAATTTGTCTCGGGTCGTAGTAATCATTCATACGACTGTCCCAGGTTCTTAGTGAGTACTTTGTTGACAGACTTGAACTTGACATTCTGAAATGGTTTTCTAGCTACCTTCCAATGTACTACCAAGGTAGACCTGTCTTATAGCTTTTGAGTACGCAATTTACTGAGCTCGACATCAGTTCTTGGCGCATCGGCAACGAGTTCTGGCATCAGGTGAGTATTGAATGTGTATGTCGTTGTTTCCGGATCGCTGATGTGCGCAGAATGCTCCCTTATTCGTTAAGCAGTGCGCTCATGTCGGCGGTTTCTGGAATGGTTGTGAGTCGCACAGGGTCCTACCGTCCTGTCATGTGGTTCGGATGGGTTGTCATGACGCTTGGTTGGGGCCTCATGATCATGTTGGATAATACGTCCTCTAAGTATGTGGACAGTCCGTGTCGAAGCCAAGTGATCGTTATATTTTTTTCGCAGTGTAGAGAAGGAAATCTACCCCTTTATTGCTGCCCTTGGCATCGGTTGCTTGTTCCAGGTGAGTGACTTTACTGCTTCATAACGATTCACGCTCATCATCGCCTCTGTGATAGACCCCGCTTATTGCCATACAGGCAGCCATGCCTATCAAGGATATGGCTACCAGTACGGGTGCTTTTGTATTCCTCCGGTGAGTGTAATTTACGAGTTGTATTTCACAGGTACTTATCAGTCCTCAGAACTCTTGGGGGCACGGTGGGTATTACGATCGGGGAAGCTATTCTTTCCAGTGTCCTCCAGCAGCAACTGCGGGGCATCCAAGGCCTCACCATCGACACCTCTGCTGCAGGTTTGAATGATAGCGTCAAGCAGATTTCTTCCATTTCTGTATGATACAATTTTATGATCTCGGTTCTGACTTACTTATCACTCCTACCAGAACCCAACAATGCGTAATGAGGTCATGCACGCTTACTCACGGTCTATCAGCACGGTTTGGTTAGTCAACACGCCACTATCTGCGTTCGGTCTCCTTCTGGTTCTATTTATTCGTGGATACACGCTCGAGCGCACGATCATCCGCGGTGGCGAGAAGAAGCTAGGAGACGTTGAGAAGGGTGCTGACCGAGCGACGATTGAGGAAGAATCGCGAGCCACGGAGTCGGAGTCTTTGGAGAACGAAAAGAGACAAGCTTCCTGTGAAGTCGCCTCTGAACAGACACAAACAGACACGGCAGACAATATTAGCGACCGGAAGACGGAAACATAGAGTGAGGGACATCTGATACCCCTGTCTCGGGCATGAAGGTGGCGATACCTGATTATACTTCATGGATAATGATCTCGGGCACTGCTTAATGACTCGCATATCAATGATTTGAAAGCAAATTGTGTAGCTTGTAGACGCATTAGAGTATCGTATGTATTTCTCTCACTTACGGATCGATGCCCATCATGTAATATACACACTCATGACTCGAGACGTCCTTCTGGCAAGACGATGTTGTGTATGGGATAAAAAGTTCGATAGAGCGGAATCTGGGCGAAACCTCTAGAGAGAAAAGGTCAACGCGACGGTCTGACTCCTGACTAGTACCGTAATGCAAATCATCTATGCATGTTTATATTTAGCCACTGGTACGGCTACGAAAGCTCGGATGTAAAAATACCTCTACGGCGCATGTCACGTGAGATGATTTTTCGACGTAGTGCCAATACATTTTTGCGATCGTTCCCTCTCTTCGGTCTTTTGTCCATTTACTGGCGCTCAGCGTGTCCATGGCCTCTCAGAACGTCGAAGACAATGAGGTGATAGAATCTCGCCCCCGCAAAAGGGTTCGCAACAACACAAAACGCAAACGTGCGACGAGTCCCATTCACCCGCCCAGAGTGCCTCTATTATTTGCGCCGTTCCGCGCTCTCGGGCTAATCACAAACCATATACCGTTTTATATGCAAACCCGTTCTTACAAGGATGCAACTGATGGGCCCCGGATACACATTTTGACCTGTCTCGGCAGATCCTGGGCGTTATGGGAGGGGGGTAAGATGGGCCTGTTATTTGTGGGTGAGTTATTGGTATGTCTCAAGTTAGAAGCCGTTTCTGATTTTCCTGTGTAATGTTGCACAGGCCCGGAAGTCCAAGACCCTATTTCGTGTCTAGTTATGGATGGAGATGCTGTTTGGGCAGCATCGGGCGTACATGTGATCAAATATCTCCGAGGCAAAGAAGTAATAGCTTTCAGTGATCCCGCGTATTTTTCTTGTTATTGACTCTGTCGCAGGTTTCACGCGTGTCGAATCCACTCCGGACCCCCTTAGCATTTGTTATACTATTTGGCTCTCAGTTGCTTGCATTGACGGAAGATGGTGGGCGGATGCTAATTTGGGAGATATCGACCAATGGTGCGTTTTCTGCTCGATCATCTCGATTATTTGTTTAATGATTACATCCAGAACAAGCCCTCTCCGCAACTATTCAATTTGATATCGGGTTTACTGCCACATCGATTCTCCATCCTGCCACGTATCTTAACAAAGTTCTAGTTGCTAGCAATGAGGGTGATATGCAACTTTGGAACATCCGTACACAGTGAGTTTAAGATTTGCAATCTGTTACCTAAATTTAACGCTGCTACAGGACCTGTATACACAAATTTTCTCATTCTCAATTGCGCACATTACCATCTCAGCAGCATATGAGCTCATTGTCGAGTCCCATCACAGCGTTAACGCAGTCCCCTGCTATTGACGTAGTTGGCGTTGGTTTTATGTCAGGAGAAATATCTGTGTACGATGTTCGTGCTGACGAGCGACTCATGAGAATGTACATGGATAACGGGGGAATCAAAGCGTTATCTTTCCGGAGCGGTATGTCGTTGCAGACATGAGCAAACCCAATTCTGATTTCGCTGTATACTAGATGGTCACCCGATTCTCGCGTCCGCCTCGTCATCTGGACACATCGCTCTCTGGGATTTGGATTCTGGAGGTCGGCTTCTGCACCTCATCCGGGGTGCACACGATGGTGCTGTCAGTGCACTTGAGTGGGTTCCTGGCCAGCCTGTCCTCATCAGCTCAGGTGAGGATAATAGCGTCAAGGTAGTTGTGAGGCCAAGCAATGTTTGTATATTACTGATAGTCGACAACTAGCAATGGTTGTACGAATCCCCCACCGCGGTTCCTCGACTCCTGAAATTCAGATCCGGCCATCATGCACCCCCACATCTCATTCGGTTTTATGGCGAAGACGGTAAACAATTGTTATCTGCGTCAGCAGACCGTACCCTACGGAATATTTCTGTTGTTCGAGATTCGAGGTCATACGAAATGTCGCAAGGTAGATATACTCAGTGCAGAATGGTGTTGCAAATAACTAACCTGAATCTGCTCAGGGTCCCTCGCACGGAAAGCCACAACGCTATCAAAACCTCTTGCTTCATTAAAATTCCCTCCCATTACCTCCATCTCTTATTCGTCGACACGATCTAAGGACTGGGATGACGTTCTGACTGCACACGCTGACGAGATGTGTGTACGGTCTTGGACAGTGCTTAACAAGCGCATTGGCAAGCACACGTTCAACTCTGCTGAAAGTTCCAAACGGAAGTCTCCCTCAGGGGTTGTAAAGGTATGTCGACTTCCTTGTTGCATTCTGTATTCTCATCCTGTTATTTAGAGTGTCTGCGTTACTGCTTGTGGAAACTTTGGTCTCGCAGGCTCTTCGATTGGGGAGATACATATGTGGAACATGCAGTCCGGATTGAAGCGAAAGTCATTCAAGGTTGGACCTTGCCCTCAAGCCGTCGTTGATCGCCTTGAGCCTTCGTCGTCGATGAAACCAAAAGCCAATGAGCGCGGCATTACTGGCCTGGTTTCAGATGCTCTGAATCGGGTAGTCATTGCCACTACTTCAGATGGCACTGTGAATGTAGGAATTCATGCTGCTTCAGCCGTTCTCAACTCACAATGATCGATGCTGATAGTTCTTCGACTTCCACACTTGTACTGTGGATCAAGTAATGGTTTTACCATCTTCAGCTAGTTCGATGATGTTGCAGCGAGACTCTGGATTACTAGCTGTCGTCTGCGATGACATGTTTGTTCGCATCATTGACATCGAAACTCGTAGAATCGTCAGAGAACTATCGTGTGGCGTCCACGGTCGAATACTTGACATTGTGAGTTGTGGACTTTACGTTGAGCTTCAGAGCTTTACTGAAGCAGTAGTAGGCATTCTCGTCAGATTCGCGCTGGATAGTGGTCACGTCATTGGACTCTGTGATACGGACATTCGATATACCTACTGGTCAGCTGATTAATGCGTTCCGCACACCTAGTGTCGCGACGAGCATTGCGTTTTCGCCGGCAAATGACTTTTTGGCTACTACACACGTCGACAGCGTCGGCATTTTCCTTTGGTAAGATGCCATTCATTGTCTCCTTATCTTGGCTGATAACTCTGAATAGGGCAAATCGGTCACAATATTCTGAGGTTGCGTTCCGTGCAATCTCAGAAGAAAATATTTCGGAAGTTGCGCTTCCTTTGATGCAAGGGTCTGAGGAAGATGAAGGTGAATTTTTTGTTTATATGGTTTCATGCACAGTTGCTGATTTACGTCTAGCATTAGAAGCTTTGGAAGCACTGGGGGTGGAAGATACGCCCACAGACGTCTTCTCGACGCCTTCTCAATTAGATGGAGACCTTGTAACACTAACGCTACTTCCTCGTGCACGTTGGCAGACACTGCTAAATCTGGAGGTCATTCAGGTTTGCACTTGTCCATTCGTTGTTATACGCTAGAATTAATTGTTTTTATAGCAACGGAATAAACCCAAAGAGCCACCGAAGAAACCCGAACATGCACCGTTCTTCTTGCCTACGTTGCCGGGCGTCGAGCATCGTTTTGCGGTTGAGGAGAAGAAGCAAGAGATGCAGGATAATCACACACGTAGACTCGACAAACACGCTGCAAACTCGCAAAGCACATTACAAAAGCTACTGGTTGAGTCAGACAAAAATGGTGGCTGTATGATTCTCTTCCACTCGCAAGTTGTTCGTGTTGATCACCTGGGGCTTTTCAGCGGATGATAAATTATTTGACTACATCAAGAGCCTTTCGCCGGCGGCAATTGATGTAGAGTTGCGTTCGTTAGTCTCATTCAACAGCCTCCAACAGTTTCTTCGCGCCATCAGGCGACGCCTGCAGTCACATCTTGACTTTGAAGCTGTGCAAGCACTACAAAATGTCGTTCTGCGAATCCATGCAGACATGATTATCGAAAATGAGGAGCTGCAGGCTGAGCTAGAGGAACTGCTGAAAGTACAGAAGAAAGAGAGTGGGCGAGTGTTGGACTTACTAGCTTCGTCACTTGGCACACTTGGTTTTGTTCGGTCTACACAATAGACAATGTACGCAACCAAAAGTACAATCAAAATATACAAATGGCAGCGAATTGTACTGCAGTTGACCAAAAAAAGTACTTCAAAGCACGTTACGTCCACAGGAGGAGATTGAGTTTTTTTATTTTTACGTAAATGTGGACTTGCACGTGTCTGTGTCGCGGACGCGTCTCGACAGCCTGTTGATCATTATCGGACGCCACGTTAATTGGTCGATGTACCACCACTAACACCTCCATTTTGTCTATATGGTCGGATTCAGACCAACTAACACGTCCTCGCCTGCGAAGCCCCTCACTGCAACCCAACGCCCGCTAGTCTCCTTCCAGGCAACAATATCTGATGTCTCTCGCGTGTCGGCGGCCTCAAAATCTGAATTACAGAACCTGACGCCTGCGGAAGTCGAGTTTTTTGACGCAGTTGTCAAACGAATACCCCCTAGCGCTACCTCTTTTCTCTCAGGACTAAAGGCTTACAACGATGAACTACACGATCGGGGTTGGGATAGCCAGACGGAGACAGTGCATTACGGGAGGCTGCTGGAGCTCTGCAAACTCCGGGGACCAAGTTGGAATCACAAATGGGAGGTGGTGAAAGAACAATATGGTTATGGCGGCATGCCCTCGACAATTCCAGTCCCTACAATGTCTGCCAGAGCACCCATTCCGACGTCGAAGCCTGCGAGATCAACTGCCCGTCTCGCAACTCCCGTTCGCGACGAGGATGATGATGTATTTACCCTTCACTCACATCAAGACCAGGAGCAGGATGGAACTACAACAGAAACGCCTTCTTCTGATGCCGAATCCGAACAGACCCCTCCTCGCCCCCTCATGCGCCTGAACCAGGCCACGCGCCCCAACGCATCAGCGCAATTGACTCGGGTGACAAGAACGCCTACAAGTCGCCCTTCGAATACCATTCTTCCACCTGCTCTTACACGTGTATCTACACCCCGTCCTCAAACAGATGCTGCTCATCACCAGCCAGCTGTATGGGAAGGAACTTCAGACACCACCGACGATGGCGATTTACCAGGCTCTTTATCAACTACTCCGCCATCTTATCGTGCTGCTGTCGCAACCCCCGTCCCTCTGAACGCACGGGGCCAGCCGATGCTTCGCGCATCATCACCCATTAAATATCCCGCAGCAGTAAATGCGACCGAATTTCCAAAGGGTCGCGAGCGCAAGGGAAGCGTGATAAATGAAGATGAAGCATGGAAGAAAATCAAGATGTCACGAGACGAAGAAGACGCGGATAAGTTCCGTCAAGATAAACTCCTCGAACGCTGTTGGGAGATTTGGGTTCTCGGTTACCAGTGGCTAACGGTAGGCATTTTCTGATTGTGATGTTCTCAGGTGGTGATACTTCAGTGTAGACAACGAAAGAACAAGTTGCTGAAGCTCGAGATAATGTAATCCTAGGTTCTTCATTACGCTCCTGGCGGAATGCCACTGCCTCGCGCCTTGAAATGCACGCTCGTGCTGCCTCCATTGCCGACGCGCGCCGCCTTCGCTTTGCCCTTGATGTTTGGGCGGCAAAACATAAGCAGAAAAGGCAGCTACAGTGGCGTAGTGACATGCGCGCCAAGATGAAGACGGTTCGCGAAAGGCATGAAACTCAACTCATCAAATATGCATGGGTGAAATGGCAACAGTCCCACCGTTCTTTCCAAAATGAGCTGCAGTACAATGAACGCATAGTTGCACGGTATTTCATGCGATGGAAAAACTCTCTGTTGAAGCTGGATCGCTTGGATTCTGCTGCAGACGACTTTTCTCGGAAAATCAAGGGGAGCGCTGCTCACAGGGCATGGAAACACTGGCAAAAATCTATGGCTACCAGAGATGCTGAGAAAACCGTTGCGCACAAGGTAGCACTGAGGACCAAAGGGATGGTGGTAGACTTGTGGAAAAAGCAGACGTAAGATTTAATTTTTTTTGTTTGCATTCAGACACCTGACACGTCTTATAGCCGTGAACGTCAGACGGCGGATGCTTACCGCGATGTTGCAATGTTAAAGCGAGCGATGCGGACATGGCAAACTGCCAGAGATCGTATACGAGTACGTTCCATGTCTCAATAATGTCGAACGACTCTCATTTTCAGTAGGTCAAGGAAAAGCGCGCCGACAAATATCTCGCTCGTCAAGACGCTTTTTTGCTCCGAGCTGTCGCCAGGGTTTGGAAGGCTCGTGAACGTGGCAAATTGCTCGAAAGGGTGAGAGACATGCGTCTGGTGAAAAATGCAATAGCTGTTTGGAAAGATCGCATACGTTCTCGCAAACATCTCGAAGGTGAGCGTCATTTAGCTATCAGATTCTCTCAGAGATCTCTAACGTCGCGACAGATTATGCTCTTGCATTTTCCATGCGCTCCGACTCGTATGGTGTCTCTTCAGCTATGCGTACGTGGCATCAGGTCTATACAATTTACCAAAATCGTCGCGCCTGTGCTGTTCAACACCACCTTGCTCGTGTGCAGTATGATGCGCTACTCAAATGGCGCATCCAGCTGAGGGAGAAGATGAAGCTGTTGAAACAAGCTCGATTCGTGGAGAAGTTCATTCTTCAGCGAAGAATTTTGAAAGTCTGGAAGGCTAAGTTTGAGGAACGCCAAAGGCTGAAGAAACTCAAAGAGCTTGAGACCCGTCGACTTCGCGCTTTAATGACAGGTGAAGTTGATGCATTTATGATCTAATCCGCTGTCCTCTGATATTTCATTTCACCTGAAGCATGGCACCACAAATATCAAAAAAAGAAATTCCGTCGGTTGGCTGTGCAGCAAATAGATGAGCTCGTATCTCTGGCAAGTCGGACGAACCTTCAATGCGTTGAAATTCAGTCTCATTGCATTATAGCGAATCAAACGGGATGCTCTAAGACTCTGGACCAATCGTGTCATTGAAATCAAGTTACGGGAACTGGAAGTCAGGCAGAAGAACGCCCACGCACTAACAGTGTACGCGACCATCTGCACCTCCATAATTTCAACGCACCTGACTTTTTTTTCCAGCTTCGCCTTCAAGAAGTGGAAGAATATATGTTTGCGCCACGTTGAAGACCTTAGCCTCATGGAGAGTCATCTTGATATCAAACGGGCCGGTCAGCACTTATGCTATAGTCATCTAGCTGCTCATCTAACAATTTAACTATAGAGAACGTTCGCCGGATGTTCCATCGCTGGCTTACAGCGGCCCGTGCTCGACGTCATAAACGCATTACTTTGCGTGAAAAGGAACTCGAATTCGACCGGGCAAATGTTCAGGTTGCTTGGAACAGATGGAGAGAACGGTACATGAATGAGAAACTGCAACCTCTCGTGAGTTCTGTGGCATCCTCAACAAAGCATACCTTTCTAACTCCAAAAAATCATAGCTACGCCAGATGGCCATTCAGAATCAAAAGAATTGCCTCTTCCGTACGTTTGGTATTTGGCATTCAAAGACCAGAGTATGTTTTTTTTTCGATAATCCGACACATGCGCTCATCTGTTGACACTCGTTCAGTCTCTCCCAGCCATCCGCTTCCAGGCCTCGCAAACCAAGATGAGATATTGGGCTATCTGGAGAGCTGCTATGCCGCAGGCACTTCAGGCTAAGAGAGCCCGAGAGATTCATAATCATGCCGTCCTGAGTGAGATTTCATTTATTTGACGATCATACCCAGTGCATGACCTTCATGATCCAGATCGAGCATTCGAAAAGTGGCACGAAGCCTACAAAACAAAGACGCACTTGAAGGAAATAGCGTAAGTTCTTTGCACCAGATAACTGCACAAGTTTGTTCAATGCCTTCAAACAGTCGCGCTCGGTATCTTCGTTTGCCGTCCGTCAGTCCCGGGCGAATCAAGCCAACGCTCAAGCCCCCAGTGCGCACCAGTCACAGCCCATTTACTCGTCAAGTTACCTATGTAGATAGCGAAACAGAAGGCTCGGATGCAGGACCAAGCCGTCCTGCCGCTACTCAGTCTTCCGTTTTGGTTACCAGACCTGGCATTGCACGTCTTCTTGCAACCCAAACGCGTCCCGAGCCCGTTGCCCGCCAGAGCTCCAAGGCCCCAAGCCGGGGACTCCGTGACCCCAGTCCGACGAGATCGAACAAAACTTCCATACCACCATCTCAGGCGCCGTCCTCACCAGTGCGACCCAGGTTCACGGCGAGACGGGCTATCAGCCCTGCAAGGTCCAGAAGCTCTTATGCTAGGGAAGTTAGTCCCACTAGGTCAAATTACACCTCCACACCTAGGGAGGAGCCCGAGCGCAGTCGACTCTGGCAGGAGCTGAGACAAGTTCAGAAGAGGCCAAGGCCCCCAACCGAAAAGTCACGAACGCCCGAACCTCCATGATGAAGGCGTATATGTATATCGATGTTGTCCTTTTACTTATAACTTATCCAGTTTTCCATTCACCTCATGCGATTTCCCTTGATATGCGCCACCCATTTATGCACATGTAGTACACCATCACTGGCTAGACTCTGCAGTACCTATATTGAATACTCATGTTCAAGTATCTGGTATCGTGTGTTGTGAGGCGCGTGCCGGAATTCTGCCGTATTCCTGGATACGCTGGCGACTGGAAATGAGTTTAGGGAAGGTAGAGGCAAACAGCAGCACTCACAATCAAGAGTTCTGATAGTACTGCCAGCCTACCCAGTTTGCAATCGCAAAGTACGCGCCCATGGGAATGATGAACAGGGCAAAATACTTGTAATGGGTGTCTTGCGCGAGGACGTCAAGGGCCTGAAGTCGGCGATTCAGATATGTGCCACGATGGCACTTTTTCTTGAATTGAATCAAGTACGCACATAAACACCAGAAAGCGGCAGAAACGTGTTGAATAGGATCACATAGCTTGCAACGACAAAGAATGCGGCTGTCAGTGTCGTTATGAAATGCCCAATATTCAACATCACACAGTGGACATGATGGTAATGGATGAAAATGGTAATAGGCAAGGTAACGTGTTTGTGTGCGGGTTATTACAACTGAGGTTTTCGCCGAACGATGCTCTAAAACTACATGGGAAACTACAAGTGGGCGAGCCACAGAAAAAGTACTGCAATGAGATATGATCCGTATCGTACGTAGCTAGGGTGGTGATTGATAAGTTTTCTGAGTATGATTCCTGATGGTGGTACAAGAATTAGAGAGCGGAGGTAGACTGATCAGGTAAAGTGGATGGGCATATGATCGAGGAGCATTGAGAAAGCAAAGCGAGAAGGGAAGTATGCATGCACTAGAAAAGTCCTGAGAGGCACGTGAACTTCATAAACCGAAAGACTGGAAACGGCATGCACATCGTGGCAACGAGCCTGTCGAAAAACATCTATACACTGAGTCTCTGTCGCGGCTCCATGGATAGGTCAGAATACGAAAACGGTCGCTTGTGTCGTAACTCATCAAAGTCAGAACGAGAATCCGAGACAGGAAAGTACTCCCTATTGGTGCTCTCCACAGCGTCATCCATCATATTGCTCTGGAGCTGATAGGCACCAATAGCATCATCTATGACGCCGAGAGTCCGAGGCAGCGGACGAGATGCCGAGAGCGAAGCTGGCGATGCCACATCAGGTGACATCGTATTCGCTACGTCGGATTTGATACCTGACTCCATCGCGTATCCCAACTGACCTGGACTAGCCACCAGGTCAACATGTGCCACGCTAGAACCAGCATGCGAAGATATTGACTCAGTAGCGCTCGTTCGCCTCTTTTTCTTGGGCCGACGAGGAGGTTCCGTAGACACTGGCGGAGAATGAGAATACTCCATTGCTTGGAAGGTTGGCATGTACACAGGTCCCGAGGGGGGGCCAGACGGGGGACCTGGTCCTGTATCCTTGTCACCGTTGGTAGAACCAAACGGATCGAGGGAAGAATGCTTCCCACGAAGGAATGGACTGAGTCCAGTACGTTTCTTTACCTCCTCAATGATGATGTCAAGACCTTTGCCGGTGACGTTTGGTGATGACTCCGCCACGTGGCCATAAGTAAGGGAGCTGAGGGCGTCATCAGGTAAGTCTCGGAGTACACCGCCTTGCCTCAAGCGCTTCTCCAGGGCAACTGCAACTGCCTGCAGACGCTCGTCGTGATCTCTTAGGACAGAGATGCCTTCAGAGCGACGAGCCCAATACGAAAACTGAGTATTGGACCAACCGGAAAGAACTAGAATGGTGGAGCGGGTGAGGGTAACAGACCCCGATGGGGAGCCCTGAAATGCATGCGTTAGGGACTTGAGCGGATTGTACGGATGTCTGATAATAGAGCACAGCAAGGCGAAACATTTAATTCAAATTAATTCACCAATGAAATGGCGACGATACTCACGGGACGTATGTGCGCAGCACTTCTTTGACAACCTCGACTTTGATGAGAAAGTCAATTGCTGTGGCGCCAGGACTGGAAGTGCTAAGTTCACCGCCTCCAGTCCCTTTACTTTTGACTCGCATCTTTGACTTGATGGGACCGAGTCTGCGTTCGAATAACCGTGCATAAAACGTGTTCCATTTTGGTTCCCCAAGCTGCTCGCGCAAAAATGCGGACGCATAGGGGTCGACCTGAGATGCAGCGCCGGAGTTTAAGCGTTTGTTAACGGAACGGCTCTAAAAGGACCATCAGATGACAGGCACATTAGAATGTACTAGAACGCACATCGGTCTCGTCCTTTCTGGCATTTGAGGGACTTGAATGGACGATGGGCGGTAACATTGCGTGAGCGTATCTGGCAACTTTTGGAGGCGATGATGGACCTGTATATGAAGTTGGAGCATTATCTGGAGAGCGTGACAAATCGTGGAGAGCATGTGCAAAGCTGGCTGAAGATGAAATTGAGGGAGAGGACTGAGGTTGGGACTCAGGGTCAGAAGGAGGACCTAGGGAGGAAAGATCCTGCGATTGTTGGAAGTGCTTTGCTTGCAACTGGGGATCATGTATAAAATCATTGGAGTGGGAATGTGACATATCCGAGGAAAGGATATATTGAAGGTCGAGTTGAGCAGCATCCGGTACATGACCTTGCTGCAAGGGGTAGGGATATGGACCGATGTCCTGGAAGGTGGCATCGGCGTAAGAGTTATAATACACATTGTGGGATCCATTAATAGATACAGGAAGGCTGCCGCCAATAGAGTTGTGAAAGTGAGCACCCGGAATGCTGAGGTCGTGAATGTCGGCGTCATTTGTGTGAGAGTCATGGTGGCCTAGAATATGGTCATTAGCCGCCAGCACGTCGTGACCGTCAATGACGGTAGACATCAGGTTGGGCATGTGGTAGTCGTCAACGACAGCGCCAGCGAAGAGAAGGAGTAATGGTGAAAGAAAGAGGGAGCTGAAGCTAAACGCTAATGTCATTCACCACACTTGTATTGACCCCGCATGACAATTAATCCTGAGAATATATTTCCTTTTTAAATACACGTGAGAAATATATACCGATGTTGGATAGTCATGGGTTTCGAGGGTTGTGGCTGTTGAGAAAAACATGTTGGAAACACAATTTGGTTTGACCACATTCTCTTCTTCAGAGTCATGGATTCGTCGTCTCTGGTAAACGCTTCTAGGTGCGGCAAAGAGAACATACGCGAGTCTATCGATTCGCTCATTTGAACCGCCAGCCCTTCAATTAATCGTATCGAACCACAGTCTCAACGGCACGGACCTCGTTCTGAGACTCCTTCTCCTACTCTCCCAGAGATTCCAGCTGCGGAACTTGATCTCACTTTTTCCTTTGACACGATCATGGGTTTTTCAAAAATTTCAGAGCCACAGTGAGTCGGATCATATCATCGATTGCCCAATACAGGGACAGTCAGTCACGGTAACCTCATACAGGGCCGAGAAAGTCCAGAAGCGAGCTAGTAACGTGATGAAACTAACACAGGAGAACGAGAAGTTGAAAGAGGAGCTAAGGGCGATGACTGCTCGGTTAGAAGCCGCTGAACGCAAACGTCAGGAGTTAGCTAGCAGATATCAGCAACCCGCACAATCCGGCCGGTCATAGTCTTGGGTTATCCTTAAACACGATCCCTCTGCATGGCAAGACCCGCTTTAAATGGACTATTTTACTCAGTTCACGCTTGATACCCCTCATTCCTTCCCACATCTTTGCTCTCGTTGCCTTGTCGTTGTTATAAGCATTATTTAGACATTCTATCCGATTTACATCCGATGAGATACACACAGCGTGCATGACACCACGCTCCATGGTCCGAGTTAACGATGTCCAGAAATCGGTTCACGGACGGTCACCCTCCCGGTGACAGGGTGCGAATAAATAGCGCTCCGTGTGTACAGTGAGACGCCTGTCGTTGTTCCTCAAGTACTAGTGCGTCTATGATTTTGCCGCATATGAAAACACTATTACTAATTGGTCATATCTTCTCCACACTATAAAGAGTGCAGGTGTTGGTCCTGCAACGAGTACTCCACCTATTCCCCCCATCTGTTATCTCAAAATTGATAAGATGGCCTCCACACGTAGACTTTCCTCAACCCTCGAGATGACCTCCACAAAACAGCCTGCCTCTCGTCGAGGCTCAGAGCGAAGGATTCCCGATAGGCGTGGATCAGGGTATTCGTCTGGTCAATCCAGACGTCCTTCTATCGACCCATCGAGGTTGATCCCGATGGACAAGTCAGTGCCCTTCCATTTGTTCATAGTATGATCCGATCACTGACATTTCTCCGATAGAACCACGCACGTTGGCGGAACAAATGACTTCAATGTCGTCTTTATCGGTGCAGGAAATATTATGTTTGGTGGGTTCACACCAGTGACATCTCCGTGTTGTGCGGGTACCTGACTCATCCCCCGCTACCCCAGGATCCGATGAGGGACCCTGGAACCACTCTTTCCGGTTCGAGCAGTAAGCCCCCCCTTGTCTCCATCCACTCTGCCACCTAAATCAATGTAGTAAGCTCGGTCTGCGTCTCAAAGTAGTGGCCCTCATCGATCCCGCAATCGAGCGTGCAACCGCTGTACTCCAAAAGAAATGCGACTCCTTCGTCATATCTGCGTACCAGGCAACGCGTGTGTTCAAAACCCTCGAGGACTTTGTTAAGAACATGGCTCCCAAGGACCGTCCTCGCGCGATTGTCGTCGGTTCTCCTCCGATGTTCCGCGGAACCCTCCAGCCGGGTCGCGATATTGAGATGCAAATTCTGAAGTACTTCCCTGGCGTGGCCATCTTCATGGAGAAGCCGATAGCGACCGGTCCAAAGCACGAGCTGGACGAGTCTTTCCAGATTGCGAGGGCCATCTCCGACTCCAAGGCCATCTGCTCTGTCGGGTACGCTTATAGCCAGCTCATTTAGCAAATGAAATTAATCCGTTCTCCACAGGTATATGCTAAGGTACCTGAAAGCCGTTCAGAAGATGAAGCAGATCATCGAGGAGAACGAACTTACCGTGATGGTCACCATTGCTCGTTATGCATGTGCTTACGAGTCAATCGCGAAACCTGACTGGTGGGATAAATCCAAGAGGTGAGATATGTTCTGGTATGCACGGTAATCCAATAACTGACATTAATTAATCAGTGCTGGTCCCGTCATCGAGCAGGGAACCCATTTCTGCGATCTCTCGCGGTACTTTGGTGGGGAAGTCGATATAGCCTCTGTCACCGCCCATTCCCTTGATTGGGACGAGAATGCAGGTCATCTCTCGAAGGTGCGCATCGATGAGAGCAAGATTGCCCCGGAGAACAGGATTCCCCGAGTTACCGCAGCCACTTGGTAAGGACGGATTGTTATGTTCAAGACGCCAGATGCTAACGGAGCAACAGGAAATATGATTCCGGCGCTGTTGGCAGTTTCATTCACACTGCGACCCTCCAAGGGCACAACTACAGCTGCGAGCTCGAGGTCCATGCCGATGGCTACTCCCTCAAGTATGCTCCTATTCCAACTTACTGTATTACCTTCTCATGATACCCTTAGGCTCGTCAACCCTTACGTCCAACCTATGTTGTACGTCCGCAGGCCTGGCGACGACCACGAACAAATGTATACCTTCCCCGACGACGACCCATTCTTCTCCGAAGTAAGTGGTGGTATCTCTGAATATGAACTCAAGGCAAACATGTAACTCAGGTATCCAACTGGATCGACATCATCGAGGACATCGAAGAGGACCCTGAGGCTGCTCAGATCTTGAGCTCATACGAAGGTGTGTTTTCAGTTTGACTCGTCGCCCATTCACAGTTTGACATTATTCGTTGCAGACGCATGCAGGACCTACGAGCTTACGTGGGCCATTCGCGAGGCCAGCGAGCGTTCTCGCGCAGCTAGACTCGCTGCGAGCAATGCTGCTGCCACTGTGTTTGAGGAGGAAGGTGAATCTGAATAAGATCATCACATACCTGTGTTGGAAACCTTGGAATGAGGAGATCGTTCCGAATCACTGTAAAATAGTATAGATGGTCGTGTGTACAACCCACATAATGTCTCCTGATTTTGTTTTTCTTGATTCCTTTCCCGTCCGATTTCACAACGATCCTATAGTACTTTCTCGATACCGGCTGGAAATCTGTAACCGCCCTGGCGGCGAACCTGCGACGAGGATCAGATTAAAACCTAGGCAGGGAACCCAGTTATGCAAACTTGCCTCATCGAAAACTTCCATCTCTAAAATGCTCTTGTCATGACTCCACAGCTCACTCTCGAGCTTTCCGTCTCTGATGCATCGTGCAACCTCATCGGCCTGGAAATGCCAGCCCGAACCGACGTACTCAAACGTCCGGGTGTCCTCGCGCGCGATCTCGCCTGGATTGCCCTCTTGGAAGTATTGCACAGTATACCTGAGTGGACAAGGGACGGGCGCGTCGATCATGATAGTCCCTTTCTCAAAGCGGATGGTAACGCCTGGGTTGTGGGACGCTACATTCATACTACAGCTTAGGACTGCCTGTGCCGCGAGAGTAGAACCTGTACTGGGGTTGGGGGAAAAAGTTACGATGTATGACGTGTTGCAGTCGACGCCCGTGATAGGTGTTTTGTACATCGTAGCGGTGACGTTTGAAGGCTTCGTGCGCTTATTGGCGGGGTGTTCATAGAGAGCAAGAATTGTCTGTGTAATAAACATGAGCAGAGGATGCCATGTAGTCAACGGCACATACCCAGATTAGGGGATACGGCCCACTGTGTGACTTCAGGGTGAACAACCATTCGAGGGGAACATATCACACTCACAGATCGAGAATCGCACCCCCACCGAGCTTGGGATCAAGCATGCGGTGAGTCAGGGGCAATTCTGTAAGTGATGGTCAAACGGATGTCGCGATACAAACAGGCTTACTTACTGTCAATGCCAAAGTCAACGGAGAAATCAGCATGGACAACCACAGGCAAGCCAAGTGCGCCGGAGTCGATGAGTTCTTTGACTTCCTTTGCGAGTGGCTGGAAACGCGTCCAAAGTGCTTCCATAAAGAAAACGCCATTCTCTTTCGCGGTTGCGATGAGTGAGCGCAGCTCGGCGGCGTTACAAGTCACTGGTTTCTCGCATAGAACATGCTTTTTTGCCTTGAGTGCGTCCAAAGCGTTGGTGTAGTGGTACGTGTGGGGAGTACCTAAGTCAGGTTGAACAATCAATTTGTTCGTGGTTATGATAAGCCAAGCTTATATACCAATGTAAATCGCGTCTACATTCTTCAATGATGTCAAGAGGCAAAATAGATTCGATGAAGCTGACCAACGAACCTTGTCTGCATACACCTCGTCATACGTTCCATATGCTTTCACAGTCTTGTCACCGTTCACATACTCATCAATGAACTTCTGCGCCTTCTCGACGCTTCGGGAGCCTACAGCGGTCACTTTGTGCACCACATCATTGGTACCACGCCTAAGGATACCCGTGAGCATCTGTTTCAAAGAAAATCCATGCGCTCGTACGTGGCAGGATCAACAAGCAAGTCCTTGAGGGCAAAAAGGGGTCAATAGCTCATCCGATTATGATACGAAGTTCTATTTTCTCACCGAAACAACGCGCTCTGCGATCCAACCCGTAGAGATGATGCCCCAGCGAAGTGTGAAAAGTGCCATAATTCCTGTAAAAGCTGGTGAGTCGACCCATTCCTCTTGCAGCCAGTTTATATATCAATCGGAAGGCGGGACGCCTGGGGATCCCATGACAGCCCTCGACGGACCGGCCTTGCAAAAAATAGATTTTGTCGGTGAAATCAATACCTGAACGATGACATGTCACCGCGTCCAACGTGATGTGATGTCTCGCGCCAAAATCGGAAAATCATGAAAATAGAGTTACGGGAAACATCTGATATGAAGTGCCTCAAGTTAATGACCGAACCAAGCTCACTGTATGGCACACAAGAGTGCGGCTTAGTTGTCACTATGGAGTCCTCACTCCTCGCTCTCACGAACCAACTCATCGTTTGAAGACGTTTGTAGGGAAGATGTTTTTGCAGGATCGTCGACACGTTTCCTCTTTCTTTCTGCCTTTGCCTTCTCTTGATCGGACAGTTTGTCGAAATCCTCCTGCAAGTGTGATTTCAATTTAGGCATGTTCGACAGGTTGCGATCGCATTTCCAGCAAGAAAGATCTTCCTTGAGTAAAGGTTCATACTCGCTCTTCTTGAGCTGAGAAATCTAGAGTCATGGAAACAGTCAGCGCAGTAGAAAAGGCACGGCAGCGAAGAACAAACGACCCACTGTTTTATAGTACGATGAGTCTGATTCGAACCAAGAAAGAACATCGCTCAGATGGATGAAAAAGCCGAGCTTTGGATGAAAGGAATTGTAGTGCTTCTTCAACTTCATTCGCGGAGAACATAGGTCAGCAGAAAGTATGTGGAGGTGGAGGTGTCTAGAAAAGTATATATGTGAGTGCATCAGAAAATCAGGCAACCGAGACTTACTGCATGCTAGGTACCGCGTGGAAGCCCATCCATATTTCCCACTTGAATCCGTATTTCTTGAGCATCTCGCTTTCAATCATTTTCTTGACATTGTCCGCTTCCTGATTTAAATTCGTGAGGAGCTCCTTGGCGCTGTTTTTCTCGCATTTGAGTAACGAACGTAGATCAGCGAGCTGGTACACATCGAAAGGTAGCCTGACACGAGGTATAACGAGAAAATGGAAAATGGATTTCGGAAATGCGTCAAAAACTGTCAAACACGTCTCGGAATGTGAGAGAAGAACTGAGGAAGGGAGACTATCAGGATTAGACTTTTGCGCGTAGGCGCGGAAGATCGCCATGTTAGCGCCAGCGGACATGATGGCGTTGTGTTAGGGGAGCTGGTCCAGCTCTCGGTCACGAAGTCGCGTATGTCACAATTGCTCATGAATTGTTTGTGACCGTTTCACTCGGACATCGCTTCATGATCAATATTCAATATTCAATCACCAACTGTAAAGCAATGTACAAAGAATCACTGCACCTTTATCACACATGCTAACTATAAGTGCAATTCAGAAACGCGCTCATCGCAATTATGTCTACGTTAGGCGCGATCACTAGTTCCTTGTGACCGACTGGGCGAAAAACAGCGCTTTCTTGAAAAGCGCGATTGCCTTGGCGAGGTCTTGTTCATTGCCTCGGTGATCAAAGCGGGTGGCGCCAGGCGAGTACAGTCGCAAGGTTATTCAGCACATTAGGTCAATCACGGTGATAAACTTCTTGCGAAGCCACCGCTTCATCGAATCCTGATGTTCTTTGGCAAATTTCCTTTGTGCCCACCAGCACGTGTGGGAACTATGGCGTCGGAAACAAGGTAGAACAGCTACGTTCTTTCATCTTTTGCTGTGTTCGGAAGAAACAAGGTGTCAGGAACAGCTACGTTCTTTCATCTTTTGCTGTGTTCAAGTGTTCCACTCATGTACACTGCCCCACATCTTTATGTAAATCTGATTAAGCACAGGCGTTGTTCCAATCCAATCCACGTCTCTACCCTACGAATAACGGGAGTAGAGCTCGACTCCTGCATTCGCATCAACTGCAGGGTGCATTTAGCTGATGGCAAGTGTGTTATCTTGTTCAAGGGAGGTATTGCTAGCCGCCATTGTTGCAACGTTGATCTTACGCAACTGACAACACTATTATTAGGAAAATCAATCATATCTTTCGTATCACTGGTATTTTATTCAAGTCCCGCTACATCACTTCGAACATGACATCATATCCATCAACAGGAACGGAAATCATCCCTCGATCTCATTTTGGTCATGCAAGCACGGGATGGTCACGGTGGTATATCTAGCACGAATATCATCGTCGTATGTCATTGTCCACCAAGTTCCCCGCTCCCTCACATCCATCCTCTAACAGCATGACTCTAGTCTCAGACGACCCTATTTATTGGCCACTTATCAACGCTTGGCGTATTGGTAGCTATTTTGCGGGTTCGTGAACAGCAGTCAGATTTCGGCGCTGATGTCTTGATCTGACCTCGATTGTGGTTTCCCAGTTGCTGCCTTTGTTGGAGTGGTGTATGATTGGGGTGAGCATAATAACATTAGAGAATTGCTGATTTCTCACAAGTATTTCCAGCCCTTACGTTCGGACAAGAGGTATGTTGATACTATGACCGGGGCAGCCATCTCGCTAACATTTGTTTGTAGGTCGAACTGGTCTGGGTGAGCACAGTTCCACGTCAGAAGAACAATATTGATTTGCGATAGAGGCAACATTGGTCCCTGATGACCGTCCTCTATCTGAGTGTACGTAGTTTGCCTGTTGTGAATTTGTGCTGACTTGACAATATCCTAGGTGCGCTATCTCGGAATGTTCTTTGCCGTGTATGTTCAGAGGGCCAAACAATTCGTGTCGTGCTAATCTGCTATCTCTCAAAATCAGCCTGGAAATATTGCGTATGTCTTCTCGCATTCACCGTGTTTGTATCTTCTGACCAGTGGCATACAGTCAGTGTTCCGACGATTTTGTTGACAGATGCAGTGAGTTTTCTGCACAGATGCCTGCTATTCCCATTCAATTAACCGCGACACCCTGTACTAGGGGTGAGTGTCATTCTTGACCAGCTTCTTAGTTTACTATCATGACTGCTACAGATGTGAGTCTGTTTGTAGTGTGCGATCCACCCAAGGCCCATCACTAACCGGATTTCTCAGGCCGGATTCTGTACCTCGTGTGGAATTGGACGAATATTGTGGCATTTCCAATGCTGTGTGGTGAGTTGTGCAGTTACGAGACCTATGATATTGACTTGACCGAAACATGTTGCAGTCATCATGATCACTCGGTTACATGCCATGTATCAACGATCCACAAGGATCCTAATATTTCTCGTCGTCGTGTGCTTTGCTGTCAACATTTTCGACGTAGCGGCCATGGTAATGATAACGAGGCATGCTTCAGGAGGTACACTTAATTGTGAATGAAAACCGTGCATGGCGCTCATTGATGAATACAAGAGGAAGTCATTCTCTCTGGCACCTATGCGTGCATGACCGTCTATGCGGGCAATACCCCACTTCTTGCTTCCATAACTTGGACACTCGGCACTGTCTGGGAGGTCCTCGCACTATGTCTCGCAGTCTGGATTGCTGTAAAACACTTCCGTCAACTGCGACAACATTCGGCAGGAGGGATTATCGAAGACTGTTTCATGGTGTTGATCAAATCCCATGTGCTTTACTTTGCGAGGTGAGCTTTTTATTGTGATTATGCTTCCATTTTACGCTGAATCATTGAACGCGCTAGTTATGTTGCCGGGTCTTGCTTCAGCCTCGTAGTTAATTTGTCTCCAACGCTCATAGCCGTATGTCAATCTTTCACTGACCTCTGCATGCGACTGCGGTTCATCATTTCTATAGGACCAATTTTCCCCCGAAACTCAGATTTTTTTTGGTATTACTCAGATTTTTACAGTCATACAGTCCTTTGTGCTAGGACCACGCCTCATCCTTAGCGTTCGAGAATATCACGCTCGGCTCGTGGCTGACTCTGATGCAGCAACCGGCATGACCTCAATCGCTTTCCAGGCGCGCGTGCATATATCAACTAGCAGTGGTGTATAGCACGGAGGATGCTCGAGGAAGTTAACGGTAATCGGTGCTATGCAGGGAGCAGGAGAATCTGGCCTTTTCTTCTTGATTTTCAAGTTTCGTCGTGATACTTATTTATTTGGTGCTGCAGAGCGGATTTCAAGGAGATCTAGACATAGGTCTTCGCAAATATTTCGTCTTAATATGTATTCAAATTATTTGTTCCGCAGACCATAATTAACAGTCCGGACTCGAGAGAGGCGAGTTATGCCATTTGGCTTGTTCATTTATTTGCGTTCTCACCCAGATCACGCCCCTACCCTACAAAAAGCTAACATCGTCATAATAGATCAAGACATCAACTCCAAAATCGTACCCATTCATGCGATGATAACGTAGGCGAGCACCTCGCAGGCTATACAACTCCCCGCCGCCCATTCAAAACATCGATGCGTACGTCAACTGCGGGCTGTGTGGATTGGTTGCTTGTCTGCCATTCAGCATCATGAGCCTGCACTGTTACGGTGAAGCCAGCTGGTCGTGCGGACGCCTTGAGGAAAGTCAATTCGTGGTGAATGGGGATACATAGCACATGCTAGCAATTTGGGCGAAGTTTGCAAGTTGGAGCAACTGGCCAGTCGGAAATGAGTCGAATTCCGTGTGCAAGGCATATGACACCGTGCAAGGACGGGAATTAACCATAGTAGTACTAGTACTGCATACTAATGACATGGCTCAAATTTACCGACTCAAGTGCGTCACAGCGATACGTGACATCACGTGACCGTGACACCACACAATTCAATCAAACTCCTTGTTCCCCTCGACCACACTTAAGTAAAGCACTCAGATGCCGCTCACTTCAGTTGTGCAAACAAACGACATACTTTTGGAACAGACGTTGCAGCCAAGTGGCGATCCACCAATCCATAAGCTGGCGCAATCAGTCTTTGCAGAGGTTCTGGCCGAATTCAGTGGCTGGAAAATCAAATACTCCGAACATGTCATCCGCTCTCTGTCCCGCGGCACACGAATTCCACGTGTTCCTATATCAGAAGGTGACAGTACACCTCTTCATGCCGTCGGTAAGGTCGGTGAGGGCCTGGACAGAGACACGGAAAGGAGGATTGCAGTGACTGCTTACTCAGAAGACGGAACTCCAAGTTCAACCTCCACGATATCACTTCAAGTAGTACATGCCGAACTACTTGAGCCACACAAACCCTATGAGTATTGCTCTCCCATCTCAAGGAATATTTTCAAGGGCGACGATGATGATATGATGGCATTCATCCCATACGCGGATGATCCGACTTTCGACCACGTAGATCATACACTGTGTTATGGCTCATTTGCGTGGCAGGATAATTATGATCCAGACTGTAAGTACTTATTATTCACTGGATGCGACGAAACGTCATTATTGTGAATAGTAGAAGTTATTTCCTTAGAGGCAGCCTACCGCCTTCATACGGTCCACAGTCTACTGTATCATGACATAGATAGCACGGGAGTGCTTCCCTTCAAGCTTTTCTCAACTCCAGGAAAACCTGGACTGTTTACCCTGAGCCGTCGTCGGTATGGGGTTCCCGATCATTTTTTGTGCTCACATCCAAACTTTGAATAAATGTACAGTGATTTGCTCAAATGGGAAGGAACAACCATCCCTTGTTCCTACACCTTCCCCCCTTCATCGCTATCTCACGGTATTCTTCAACATCGGCTTGAGCACACCCATGCATTGTTTTGTCCTAACCTCAACTGTATCGAGCCCCTGTGCACTGTTCATGGTATGGCCTCCAAATTGTTTTTGCATTTTTGATGCCCAAGCAATAGAATCTATAGTTCAAATAAATCCCATGCCGACACTCCGTAAGCCAACTATCCGGCTGTCCGAGCTGCTGAAACGTGTAGAACGCCCCTGCGAAGCTGGCTGCTTCTTGCAGACCAGGACGGTTGAGGTAAGCTTCCCAATCTTTGACGCAATACATACACACAGACTGAGTTCAAGTTACTCCCTCGATGGAGTGAAGACGACATAAATTCGTTCAAGACCATCTTAGACATTGAGTCAGATATGATACCTTGTGACCATGCTGAATTATGCTTTAAGCCTTGCCATGAGGTTCGTCAACAAGGATGACGAGAGCTTTCTTTGGTCTGACTGTGATTCAGGTCCTTTATTATCGCAGACTACTACATCCAGATTTTGACGAGCTTCAAACTGAGCGCCCGAATGGGGAACACAGGGGGAAATCGCGATCGTTGGAATTTCGAGGTAGGGCCGAATACATGTGGACACGTATTACTTGACCGACATTCCACACGAGATAGATTTTGACCCACTAAAGTTCACACCGTGCGTATCCTTAATGCAATATCGGATGTTGTACTGGATGTTTTTCATAGGAACGAACCTTGTCATCACTCTGGGCCATGTGACGTTTCATCCAAATGTCTTTGTTTCAAGAACAAGACTCATTGCCAGCGGAACTGCCATTGCCCCGCCAAATGTAGGTTTATGCGCGTTGTCACCAGCACGAGGCTTGATGTCACCCTTCACTAGGTACTCGGAGATGGAAAGGTTGTCGCTGTGCAAAAGCACGCAACGGAATGAGCTGCACGGATTTTAAGCGATGTCCTTGCACCGAAGCTCGACGCGAGTGTGATCCGGAGCTTTGTGTAAAATGCGGATGTCGGTGCGTGATAACGACTACCTCCTATGTTGCGATTTGTTCATTGATATCTTGCACATGGCAGAGGTATGTTGCGTGACATTTACAGGAGTTGGATGTCTTTAACTCTACATCGAAGACCCGGAAACGAGTATTTGCGGGAACTCCCAGATTCAACAAGGTCATTTCAAGGTATACATATACATTCAACATCTCAAAATGCATGAATAAATTTGCCTCGATGATTATAGAAACTGGAGGTCAAGGAAAGTCGTTGGGGCGCAGGTGTATTCCTACTCGAGCCGGCCAAGCAGGGCGATTTGATCGAAGAATACGTTGGGGAGCTTATTTATGAAATGACATTCGACAGCCGTGGGTGAGCGACGTTCATCCATGAAATTTCCCATAGCTCACTGAGTTGATAGAGAGGTGGCAGACCACCTCGGACGAAGTTATGTCTTTGGTCTCAACAAAACTCTATCCCTGGATAGTTCGCGCACGGGCAACGTGTCGAGGTTCATCAACCATTCAGGCGTTAGCGATGCCAGTAGCGAAACTCAGTATAATTGCCGCGCTTTTGGTGTGTAATGTCTGTCTTGATGTGTATCTCAATGACTAATATCAAACATCCGATAGCGCGCCTTGTGAATGGGGAGCACCGTATAGGGATCTTTGCGAGTCAGATAGTTTCCCTATTTCGAGAAGTCGAATGCTGATACTAAGACACAGTCAAAAACATTGACCCTGGAACCGAGATCCTCATTGATTATGGCCCGGCGTTCTTTACGGAGCAAAGGAATGCAGAGGCCTCGTGAGTCCTGCGCATAAGTCGCATTATCCTGTAGCTGACTTTATATTTTTCTGCATTTGTAGCTGCTCAAATTAACAAACAACAGTTCAGATCTAGCTTCGTACTATAAAATCTCTCAAGCAGCATACTTAATTCTGGTTCGACGCCGGGCAACCCTATAGCGCCCTGGGCAATAACTTATACATTACTCAATCCTTCGAAATTTGTGCGCGATTATTTCTAGCATTTAAATCGTACTCATACAAGTAACTTGTGGGCTGTGGCGTCAAATCACTCGATCGTTTTCTAGTGAGGAAGCAAATGTGTGATATCTTTGCGAGGACGGAACACATCATCGGTACCTTCACGGTCAAACACACCACACTGAGGCTGTCAGATTCAAGCAAGGTCCCCGCGAAGCCAACAATATTATACATGTGTATGTGATACAGTATCGTTATGCCACACGCACGAATACACTAAATCAATGTTCGATCTAAATCTACTCGTCCAATTCATCGCCCAGTCTTTAATAAGTCCCTGAGGTTGTCGCTCAGAGTAGGCATCGATACCTTTGACAGAGACGCATTTCCCTCTGAGGCAGACGTCCCTCGCCGTCGTAGCACACTCGTGGAATTAGTGGCTTCCTCCGCTCGCCTTCTGTCAATGTCTGCAACGAGCTGAGCAAATGACAGAAATAGGACCTCGGCTTGGGCAAGAGTAGAATCGAGTTCAATAGTCATGCTGAGCTCGTTGCAATACTAAAAGAAATTGGACTCAGTTTTCGGCAATCCTAATAGACGTCAGAGTTTACCTTCAGAATCTCGTCAAACTGATCGAATACCTGGTTAGAGAATATATTTCATGGCAAATAATCAGGGCACGCACCTCTACAAGATACCGGAGGATCATATCCCGATGGGACTCCAATATTGCCAAAGCAACGAAGAGAATGAATTCGTTGCTGTAGTAGTCCGTCCACAACACTTCCCATAGACGCAGAACATCGTCAAAAGGGAATTCGCGTTTGAATGCGATGAGGACCCATCTGGGACAGACAACGTCAAGAATGCCTTGCTAGTATGTTTGAAGACTTACCGGAAGCAGAAGAACAAATTGAGACCGTCAGTTTTTTCTGCAGCAGACAAGATCAGATAGCTATTCAGACAGCAAAAGGGTTTGAGAATGACCTAAATGTCGATATAGATCAGGATCCATGACACTGATCAGCTCTTGGAGTGTCGAGAGCTGCTTCTTCATTCCACTCTGATCGCGAAGGAAATTTTGAATCTGTTGTAAAGGTCAGAGGCAGAATCTTCATTCGGTTTCAGATGTACTCACCATACGATTCATTACCTCCACAAAGCACCAGAAGGTCAACTCCTCATCGGAACTCATCACAACGTACAAAGGAGCGCAAAGGTCCGACATGCCCTGCACATACCCTGTTTTCTCTCATTGAATACCGCAAACGAATGTAGTAAAACAAATCCGCTCACCAAGCTCTTTGTTGTAAAAATTGTACGTGAGGAGAACGCCTGCGAGACGATCGATGTGTTCATTGCTGGGAGATTGCGCACCGATGTCCGACATCTGAGGAGAGATCGTAGTATACCGGCGGTTTCCATTAAGGTCATTGTCAGCGGTATCCTCATAAGCACTGGAGAACAGTGGCTGAGTGCGGTCCGTGCGACGACAGTCCACATCAATGCGGTGACGTTCTTCGAGGACATCCGGTCGGTCAAAGACCTCAGGCACGCCACACCACTCATCTTTGATCTCATGATATCGCTTTCTGCAGAATGGGTCAGAAGACATGCATCTGGTGGCAAAGACAAAATTACCTCTTCTCTTCCCACTTCATTTCCCTCTCACTCTCAGTGATGTCCCATTCGTGAACACCAAGTATGAAGGGCCACATTTTCTTCCTGAGGTTTCCATGAGGAGTGATGCCTCTCCTAAAAACCTGGCGCCTCATCTCTTCAAGTCTGACTTTCGGCCGTCCATCATTATCAAACCACTTCGCCCAAAGTGCCTCGTCTATTGGGTGTGCCGGGTCTCGAGACGTTTTGGGAGAGGGAAGGTTGATCGTGGAGTGAAGGAGCTCGAACACGCCCAACGGGGATATCTCCTCAACGACATCCGAGGAGGAAGAGGGCAGTGCCTGAGCCTCTCGTTTACGTGCTCGATCACCTTCTTCAGCCACTATGCGGGCCCAGCGAGCAAGATACACCCTCGCACTCTCAAACTCACCAACGCCCCCTTTCTCCACCCAACTACCCCACTCCAAGTCGCCATTAACATTGACCAGACTCCTGACGGGGTCTGGGAGATGCGGGACGATTGGCTTAGCAAGAGGATGTGAGAGAATGTTTTGCGCCGCGTGGCGCGTGGCTCTAGTGATATTTGAAAAGGATTGAAGCAGCGCCATCCGTGCTTGTGAGCTAGACTGTGTGGTCGAGATGGAGGGCGGGTAAAGAGAGCGATGTAAAACGGATGAGCGAGTGGAATATGGGTTGGGAGGATTTGCAGGAACATTAGATAATGGACGTGGTCGCCTGTGAGCAGGTACAGGTGAGTGCGAAGAAGCATACGATGATTGCGCAAGGATATCATCCACAGCGTCGTCGTCGAATATCTGAGTGGTGTGCGTGTCTATGTCGGCTTTAGATGGATCGACGATGAACATGTTAGGCTGTAATGTGGAGCGGAGCAGGTGGGCGTAAGATCTTAAACGAGAGAGTAAATCCTCCCCTCCCCATGACGTAGAGGGTCGAGAAGATGATGTTAATGCTGTAGGAGGGTATGCACTAGTGGTGTTGTGCCTATTAGCATGTCGAGACGGTAGTGTCATTGAAAGCGACTCGTCATCGTGGAAGTGAAGCGTCGGAAGAGTCGAGCTGTTAATGAGGTTTATACCGATAGTACCATCTGTTAGTGGTTGCTTCAGCCCTGCCAATGTCCACAGACAACATAAGAACGTACACCATGATGAAAGAGTAGGTGGATTGACAAGAAGAGAGTATATCGAAGTCAGAGGGACCGAGAATGCATAGGACTCTGGTCTTTGGGTAGGAAGGTCGATTAGAACCGCATCTTTGAATCGCGTGAGGTTTACGGGTTAAAACAGAGGAAGAAGCTGCAGACCTTCATCCTCCTCATCTAAGATCGCCTTCTCCTCAATCTTCACAAATTTGTCCCATTCGTCGGTTCCCTTCTCGCAGAGCAGTGTCTCCGGAATCCATGCAAGCAGGTAGGTAGGATTCACAGCCTCCTGGATGATAATGCATGAGCGAGATATACGAGATATGACCTAGCGACTCACGCGCTTGACAAGAGCTACGAATCCCGGGATATTATCTCTTGCGTATGCGGTCGGATTGACGTAGACCTTGGATTTACTATAAAGAAGGCGGTATTTGCTCTCCTCCTCTGCAGAAGGGGATAATGAACCACTACTCTCGCTTTGGGTACGCTGAATCTCGACCATGGAATCAGACTAATAAGAGGGGCTTGGGTAAACATGCATGGGACCAGGGATCATAATAAAGGCCAGTGGCGACTCACTGAAATTATGGACAAGGAACCGTCAGAGTAACAAGCACGATGATTCTGGCCCACACGCATAAGTGGGTCAGGATCTTCTATCCAGTGTTCTTTCGCTGCGGGCTACGTGTTGCGGAGATGCACTGAGTCACGAGTTGAATACTGCATTCTCCATTTGTACTCCTCCCGCAGTTTGCCACATTCGAGCAACGCCAACTGAATTTCAAAAACGTTGTTTCATGGCCACACTTCGTTTAGTATTTGTGGGCTATCGAGACAACACAATGTCGACTATATATGCTTTCACCACGGGGAGGGAACGTTCTTCCTGAGCAGGTCTTTTCTACCGCCAAAAGTACAAGGGACCGTCTTAGGAAGAACATCCCCTCTAAACACCGACAACGAAACGACAGGCATCGCGTGTGTAAATATATGGAGTGCGCGGTGTCTGCAACGAACCCTTCTTGTAGGTTAAAATGCAAGGTCTGCAGTTTCATTCGCTAAACATTAAATGGTTTTTATCCGCACGCATGCGCAGCGCACTTGCACTCAGCATAGGCGTAAAGGTGTTCACACCACAACATCCAGAGAGCAAGTAAAAATGATGATATGACGAACGCTCTAATACAACAACGTTTACTTTTGGTACGACCACACATTCCGGAGCACTGCAACAACAAACCATCAGTCCAAACGGACAACTCATAGAGAATGAGACTCACAGCCCGCCTTCGTTGCTAGCCGGTTAACAGAGTCATCGCTCTCCCCTTGTGATCGCACTTGTCCACAAAGCGCAAAGGAGGTGTAAGTGTTCAGAGCACGACCGTTAGCATCAACGTCAGCGACGTTGATCTGGACCGAAGCATGGTCCTTGGAGGTAATCAGGCGGTCTGAGCCATGGATGGGTTAATGCTCTAAGACGATGTTTGGTTCAAAACATACTGGTGGCCGCACACTTGCGGGGGACGTAGAGGTCGACGAGAATACCCTAATACCCAAAGAAATGGTCAGAATACGATGCAGCGTGGCGACGTCAATACAGACCTGGTCGTTTTCCATTGCGAGATCGAGATTATGACTATGATGTGCGATGAGCAATCTACAGGGAGGATGCGTGGGATAATTCATGGAGAAACTGTACAGTTGCCACCACGTGGGCTGTGATTATGTGATATTTCCTTTTTGGGACCAAGCTTTGCACCATTCCAAGATCTGGAAGGTCGAAAAGATACACATGTATTGATTGTGTATTGTCTTCTATCAACCCGGTGACGAAGTAGGAGCATCAGGAAGACTCGAAGTACGATAATACTGGAAAATGAATCGAAAGATGGTCATGCAGATATAATAATAACAGAGATCAGGCGCAACTATCAAAGTAGGCTCGGATAAAGCAGGAGCGACGAGCAGAGATAAGCGGTAACGAAAGTGCAAGGAGCAAGTACAGATTGAAATAGATACGATTTCAAATACAGAGAAAGGCTGATAAGAACAGCTATTGCTGATCTAAGGCGGAGCGTAGTCCAGAAAGCGAAATAGAGATCGTGCAATGGATGATCGAGCAGAGTCGTGGCAGGATACATGGTGTTCGTTGAGATGGTGCAATGAGTGCTGAAGATGGGCGCGAGTAATCCTCGCTATTATAGGAAGATGCAAGTAAGATGGCGGTACAAGTGCTTTGCAGATGGAATCATATCGGACGACGGCGTCAAAACGTGTGACCGCGCGTGAGTCAACGCATCGCCTGTGGGCTGGGATTGGCAACACCATGTGGAAAGACTGGCATGAGATTGTGGAAAGTGACTCGCGTGGGGTCGAAAGATACCCTAGGTGGTGGGGTCTTGAGACACTCTCGATCACAGCTGGGGGACTGGAAAGGTAAATTTTGTCTGGAAGGCGATTCTGACTCTGGATTATTTCCAAGAGGGTTTGAGCGGAGGGATGACTTGCGATGGCGGACGGGTCCAGACGCAGGGATCGTATCTGAGAAGGGGAGTTCTTCAACACCTGGCAGTAGAGATAAATCCGCAGTATCGTAGAGATCGAACCGTGGAGGGAACTCCATGGCAGAAATCCACGGCAGGCGATCAAACATGGGAACACGTCCGTATACATCGAGAGGCGACTCGATGCGGGGAGGAAAGCGACGGCGTTTCTTCGTGGAGCGAGTGGAACGGGTGAGCCCCCGCCTTACTGCAGCACCACAAGGCATTGGTGACTTTGATTTCTAGGGGACACGTCTCAGCACTGCTCGAATCACAGCAATGACGCGAAAAAAAAACTGACCAGAGATAAGACACGAGATTCGTTGAGTGTGATTGGCGACAGCAGTCGCGGCGGACTTAAAATCATCCGCGACGGCAAAATTTCCTGACAGGTGCGTCAGCTCGATGAGAGACCTAGAATATCGCTAGGAGACCTACAGAAATTACACCTGTCGGTGAAGCATGGGGGACGTGACAATGACGCGTATCAGGTAATGGGGAAGGGGATTGTAACGCGTCTTGAAAGCAGGCATGAGCGACGCGTCGTGGTGATGGGGCAATTATTGATGGCATTCTTGGGGCTGGACAATGGGGGGCTTGAGTGGTGTCGTTGGTGTCGTTTGAGGGCAAATAATGATACAGAGTGTCGAAAGAACGTGGCAATGCTTTATGTTTGGCCAGCGCGAGGCAAATGAACCATTATTGTGTGCTAAAATGAATGGGAACAATGGAAAAGCTGTAAACAGGCGATTAGGGTGTGCTTTGAAAGCCTCGAGGTTACCGCTCCTGAACTTGCCTAAAGAGGAAACTTGACTCGCCCCCCCGTGCACACGCCTCAGCTGCGTGTGTTTTGGATGTGACTCACGTGAGTTGCGCGTGAGTATGATTTTCATCGTATATGCACGGACGTCCGCGTCAGACCAGCCACGGTGCAACATCTAAAATTTTAAACAGCACTAGCATTAATGGTCCTGCGTCACGGCACAGAACAAAGATCGTTTGAACTTCGACGTTCTCGATACAAGTACAACTACCATGTGTTGTTGCATGCTGCGGCAACTTGAACCTTCGACCCTACTAGAGTTTGGTAAGGGGGAATACCTGTAAGTATGCATCCATACCTTTTTACGATAACAAAGTGTATTGGTGCACTGTCAAGATGACGAGAAAACGGCAGATTTGCGCTCAGACTCCATGGAGAGTACACCCCAGATCTCGCGCATCAGGAAATCAATATCTTTTACTCATTTCTCGGAAGGATTGCGCCCGTTGATCGTCGCAGATCATAGCCACAGCCCCTCAAAGACCTTGTACCTGTCGGACACCTCCCGGACTTTCTGGATCACGGCGGCTCTGCGCCCAAACACCATGAGGATTAATTGCAATACCCAACGTAGATGTCCACGTTCTCCAATCAGCTACAACTCCGTGGAGGTTCTGTGTCGATAATCGCGTCTAGGTCTGTCATTTGATGACTTAATTGATTGCATATACCCTATCCCTTCGGTCACGGCCTTGGGTTCTTCTCCGTTTTCAGTTTTCGAAAAAACACGAAACAGAGAAGAACCTAGGATTGTCAGAAGCCTATTCGCTGATAGGGGCAGAGCCAAACTTTGCTTTATACATGGATCCCGTTCTGCAAATTGACATTGACACCTGCTGATGTTTTTTTCCGCCTTTTCAACGCTGCCAATGGGGTGGTGCACGTTTTTCTTATCATGTCGAAGGTCAACGTTCCCAAATCCCCCGTTACCCCTCGTTAATTCATGCTCAAAAACGCAACCTTTGCGAAATCCCCACAACATTCCCAATGACGATCCCCCAGCCCAGCGTAACACTGGGCTCTGCTCATGTGCATTCGCTTTCGTCCTGTCTTTGACCCCTTTCGCCCAGACAACGCTTCCGTTTTCATGTGCCTCCGCAAGCCGTCGTTTCCATTGTCACGAAAGGAGAAGACCCGTCATCTTGGGGACCGGGCCCTGCGTCGACACCGAGGCCTTGTCCTAAGCTTGGAACAACAAGCTGATATTTCATCGTGTGTATCGCGGACGTGACGCTCACGACTGTGCACTTCCCGCAGTCTCAGAGGATGGGAACTATCCTACCGATAATACGGCCGATTTCCCTTGAGCTAGCCTCGGATAACTTCCGCTAATGGTCGATTGTGAGATAAAGAACTTGCCGATCCTCGCGATGCATGTGAACAAATACGTGAAGATATGTTTTTGTCACATTCGATTTTGCTTTGTCGAAGTCACCCAATGAGTGCATTCCATTTTGATATGGCGATTACACCCACTGAACCTGAGGTGGCAGAACCCAGACGTCACGACGCGTCACATGCCCAGACCAGCCGCGATCTGCGTCGTCGATGGAGGCTCGTACTGAGAAGGTACATTTGTAGTGAAACGGCCGCAAAGGCTTGTCTATTGACGCAACTACCAATTCATTTTCCGATGCACTCGTATGCAAAGAGAAGATCATAACGCCTCACGATGTCCCCCATCCATTTCACGATATCACAGAATGAAATGCTTTTATTCGTGAGAGTACTAAAGAACTTTTAGCTATTGTCTCGTAAATGCGACCAAAAGACAGAAAAAAATGCAGCGACGACCATGATATGATGCAAGCTAAAGTACACACAGATGAAAAACGTCTAGTCAATCTCCTCCATCGCCGATGTCGACACGGCCTCCAATGGCGGAGGGGCGCTCGAGTCTTCAGCGGGTGCTGACTCTTCCTCTTCTTCATCGACGTCAAGACCCAAGCTGATCATACGGTTGATGCGCTTGGCGAATGATGTGGGGTCGTCGAGTGAGAAACCGGAGGTGAGGAGCGCGGTCTCGAACAGCAGGAAGGTGAGGTCGCGGACAGACTTATCAGCCTTGTCCTCGGCGACCTTGCGCTTGAGTTCTTTGATGATGGCATTTGAAGGGTTGAGCTCAAGGGTCTTCTTGGACGCCATGTATGATGACATCGAAGAGTCACGGAGAGCTTGTGCTTTCATGATACGTTCCTGTACACATGCGAATGAGAATTACCCTCACGTTTCAAAGACGATACGTACCATGTTAGATGACCAACCGAATTGGCCGGTAACGAGGACGCAAGGAGAGTCGGTGATACGGTTGGAGACGACAACTTTCTCGACCTTGTCACCAAGTGCTTCCTTGATGGTCTGGCAGAGGTCATTGAATTGCGCAGCCTCCTCCTCGCGCAACTTCTTCTCCTCATCAGTCTCCTCGAGCTCGAGGCCCTCTTTCGAAACGCAAATAAGTTTCTTGCCCTCGAACTCTTTCAGTTGCGTGACGGCATACTCGTCGATAGGGTCGACGAGAAGCAGAACTTCGAAGCCCTTCTTCTTGAGCACTTCGAGGAACGGCGAGTCGCGGACAGCGCCAAGGGATTCGCCAGTGAGGTAGTAGATCGACTTCTGGACCTCGGGCATACGGGTAATGTAGTCTGAAAACATTGTTAGGGAAATGTCCCAATGGACAGAGCAAAATGCACTCACCCTTGAGCGAAGTCTGTTCCTCGAGGGCCTTCGTAGAGAAGAAGCGGAGGAACTCGGCGAGCTTGCTGCGGTTCTGAGCATCTTCGTGGATACCAAGCTTCAAGTTCTTGCCAAACGACTCGTAGAACTTGTTGAAGTTGTCTTTGTCCTCCGAAATCTCGGTGAAGAGGTCCATGCACTTCTTAACGATGTTCTTGCGGATGACCTTGAGGATTTTGTTTTGTTGCAGGGTTTCACGGGAGATGTTGAGTGGCAAGTCCTCAGAGTCGACGATACCCTTGACGAAGTTGAGGTACTCGGGGATGAGGTCCTCACAGTCGTCCATGATGAAAACGCGGCGGACGTAGAGTTTGATGTTGTTGCGCTTCTTCTTGGTCTCGAAGAGATCAAAGGGCGCGCTATGAGGCCAAATCAGAGGAAATCATTCAACGTAGACGGACAATACTGACCGCTTAGGAATGTACAAGATCGCCTTGAACTCAAGCTGACCCTCAACAGAGAAGTGCTTGACGGCGAGATGTTCCTCCCAATCGTTGGTGAGGGACTTGTAGAAGGCGCCGTACTCCTCGGCATTTATCTCCTGAGGATTACGCGTCCAGATGGGCTTGGTCTTGTTGAGTTCCTCGTTGGTGGTTTCAGTCTCCTTGATCTTCTTGGTCTTCTTTTCCTTGGGCTTATCGTCGTCCTCGACCTCCTCGATCTTGGATTCCTCTTTCTCATCCTTCAATTCCTCCTCATCGTCTTCAACTTCCTGAAGGTACATAAGCGACAATCAAAGGGAGGGATCTGAAAACGACTTGCCTTCTCGACCTCTTTAGTGACGGCGAGTTGAATGGGGTATGAAATGAACTCGGAGTGCTTCTTGACGATCTCCTTGATCTTCTTCTCCTCAAGATACTCAGTCTGGTCATCCTTGAGGTAAAGGCGGATCTCAGTACCACGTCCGATGGGTTCGTTGATGGTATCAGGAGTGATAGTGAAGGTGCCACCTGCAGCGGACTCCCAGATGTATTGTTCATCATCGTTGTGTTTTGAGATGACCTGAACACGCTCTGCGACAAGGTAAGCGGAGTAGAAACCGACACCAAATTGACCGATCATAGAAATGTCGGCACCAGAGCTGAGAGCCTCCATGAAACCCTAAGTGGCGTGGGTCAGAAAATGAGACAAGACGAATGATTTGAGGATGATTACCTTTGTGCCAGACTTTGCGATGGTACCAAGGTTGTTGACCAAGTCAGCTTTGGTCATGCCGACACCGGTATCACGGATAGTGAGGAGCTTGTTCTCCTTGTCTGGTGTGATACGGATGAAGAGATCCTTCTCGGTCTCAAGAACGGAGGGGTCGGTCAAGGAGGCATAACGGATTTTGTCGAGGGCATCTGAACCGTTCGAGATCAACTCACGAAGGAAGATCTCCTTGTTGGAATAGAAAGTGTCTAAGCGGTACGGTTAGAGAGAGTAAGAAAGATATGATTATGTACTAACTGATAATCAAGTCAAGGAGTTGACTGATTTCAGCTTGGAATCCAAAGCTCTCGGTTGCCATTCTAGAGGGACAATGTTAGCTCAAGGATGCGCGTGTTATGATGAAACTCACTGATGGATGAATATCTAAGTGGAAAAGATGGGAATGCTCTACAGCAAAGGACGCGTTTATCGCGAGGGCCTTAAGTATCTTATTTTTTTGATATTCGAGAACTTTCGACGCACAGAAACGTACACATTCCAGAACATTCTATCACTTCCCTTTTACAGTACAACTTCGACTATCCTAATGTCCGACTACGAAAGCATCTTGGATTGATCGATGAAATGAAGTGCTTTTTCGGCAAGATCGTTGTGACTCAAGTCCGACCATCATGAAGTACTTTTCAACCCGTGGAGGTTCAGCAGAGCTCTCCTTCGAGGAGGTAACCCAACTTATCAATTACTGATGCACTGATTTAGATCTTCATCAGACAGTCCTTGCTGGCCTCGCCCCGGACGGTGGACTCTACATCCCCGCATCCATTCCACAGCTCCCAGCTGATTGGCAGCAGGCCTGGGCCAACAAGTCTTTTCCAGAGCTCAGCATCGAGATCCTCTCCCTCTTCATCTCCTCAGACGAAATCTCCCAAACAGATCTTGCAGCCCTCGTCCATGCAACATATAATGATTCTGCATGGCGCCATCCCGAAATCACACCGCTCAAACCACTCTCCACTGACAAGCCTTGCAGCAAGTACATCCTCGAGCTCTTCCATGGTCCTACCTATGCCTTCAAGGATGTCGCACTCCAACTCCTGGGCAACCTTTTCTCCTACTTCCTCCAGCGCCGCAACAAAGCAAAGTCTCCTGGAGGGGAGAGGGAAAAACTTACCGTCGTAGGCGCGACGAGTGGTGACACAGGGAGCGCTGCCATCTACGGGTTGCGCGGCAAGCCTGATGTGTCCATATTCATTCTGCATCCTAAGGGTCGCGTCAGTCCTGTCCAAGAAGCTCAGATGACTACTGTCACAGATCAAAACGTACATAACCTTGCTGTGAAGGGAACGTTTGACGATTGTCAGGTGCGTTCGTCCCTATTTAAACCTTGCACCCATAGTTGACATACATACAAATCTGCAGGACATCGTCAAAGCCCTCTTCGCTGACACTGCCTTCAATGCAAAACACCACCTAGGTGCCGTCAACAGCATAAACTGGGCACGCATCCTCGCCCAAACAGTTTACTACTTCCTCTCCTACTTTGCCATCCGCCGCACCCTTCCTACTGACGCTGAACTCCAATTCATCGTCCCAACCGGTAACTTCGGCGACATCCTTGCAGGCTATTTCGCCAAGCGCATGGGTCTGCCAATGGCTAAACTTGTCATCGCCACCAATGCCAACGACATCCTCACACGCTTCTGGAAGACGGGGCGGTATGAGAAGGTGGACTCGAGTCTCTCATCGGCGGATGTGGGGGGCGTGGTAGAGACACTCTCGCCCGCCATGGACATCCTCGTGTCGAGCAATTTTGAGCGCCTGCTGTGGTATCTCGCCTTCGAGGATGTACAGAACACCAACCCCGGAGGGGATATCCGTGAGAAGGCCTGCCAGACAGTGAAAAACTGGATGGACAATGTCAAGTCTATAGGGCGCATCGTCGTGCCAGATTCAGTGCTCGAACTGGCGAGGAGGGATTTCACGGCCGAGAGAGTCGATGATAGCCAGGTACGTTCATTCATTTAATATCGTGAGCTAAGCCAACATTATGAAATGTTCGCACAGATCCGCCAAACGATCCGGGAGTACTACACCTCCGCGCAATCTTACACCGCAGACCCACACACTGCAGTAGGGCTGCACGTCGCAGGTGTACTCTCGCCCCCACCCAACACGATCCAAATCATCCTCTCCACCGCGCACCCCGCAAAGTTTTCCGAGGCGGTCACGAGCGCGCTGCATGGCGTGCCAGGGTTCGACTTTGATGCGGTGCTTCCTGAGGCGTTCAAGACGCTACTGACGATGGAGCGCCGCGTGATTGAAGTTGAAAGGCCTGATGTGGAGCTTGTGAAGGGTGTCGTGGAACGATTTGCGGTAGTGTGAGCGTGTCGGTGGGGTGCCTGAGAGTGGGTGATCAAAAACAACGCTTGTTGTGCAAAAGAAAGGCTCATCTAGATGCGGGTCCTGTATACCAGTGATAGTAAATGTGCATTATCAATATAGGAAGGAGGGTGTCCTCCCCCCTTTCAATATTTGAGTTATCTTCACCGGTTTCAACTTTCTGCACGGGTTTGTCCACGGTTAATCAGACCCAGTGAAAACCCAACATGACGAGGTTGGGTGAAATGTGATAATCTCGTAATTACATAATATGAAAAATGATGAGTTCTGATATTTCGTGTTGCATCGTATCGTTATCATTGTACATTGCGTCGTTCTCGCGTCGTTCACATCGTTCTTGTATCGTTCGCATCGTTCGCATCGTTCTCACATCGTTCTCTTGCACTACGTGCGCACTTCCGTTGGGCATTGCGACTGTGTCGTATCGACATTGTACAAATGCAAGGGTATGTTTCTTTTGACCAAGTGTCTGACTGTATTTCTAACCTTCTTCACAGCAATTCAGATACACAACCCCTTCCTCAGTCCACACGCCGGCTTCAAGCTCATCGATATCTTATCAAACAAGGGACTGGTGAATTAGAGGGTTCTCGGGTTGGACGGGGAAAACGTGCTCGCGCACAAGTCCAAGTACATCTAATTTTCGTGACTATTCAATGAATTACTGACTGCCTTTGTATGCAGCCTGCCCAAGGGCCAGACCTCGAACAGGGTCATTCAGACCCTCCCCAGCAGCTCGACAGACAAGTCGAGCTGGAGTATGATCCTCCTGGTGGAGTAGATCATGGTTTTGAGGTCGGGGACCCTTACGAACCCCGCATACCACCAGACGAGCCCCGCATACCACCAGACGAGCCTGATATACCACCACTAGACGAGCTCCCACTAGACGAGCCCCACATACCACCCAACGAGCCCCACATACCACCCAACGAGCCCCACCACCGTGTCTTTGACATAGATAGGCTCGAGGAGGCTGCTATTCTGCAGAAGCAGAAAGATGCCATAGCCTTCATAAAGCTATTGCGGGGGGCGTCCTTGGATGATGCAGTCGCAAAATTGGATGACGCTGCATTGAGCCGATTGCGGAATCCATACCGGACACGTCTCGAAATCAACAGCAGTGCTGTTCGGCATGGGATTACATCGTACTTCGCATTAGAACACTCTGCAATCAATGCGTACGAGACTATCCGACGCTCCGCTATGCGATCCTTTGATGGCGACGCAGCCAATGTACCTAGTTACCATAATATTGAACGACTGATTGCAGAGTACACTGGAGTGGAGTCGATTGAGCACGACATGTGCCCGGACACCTGCGTCGCATTCACGGGTCCCTTTGCCGAACTCGAAAATTGTCCTATCTGTGATGCAGACCGCTACGATCCCATCAAGCTTCGTACTAGTGGTGGTCGAATGCACGTCGCACGTCAGAAGTTTGTAACTATTCCCCTCGGTGCACAACTACAAGCACTGTGGCGTGATCCTGATCAAGCTCAAGCGATGGGCTATCTGCGGGAAGTAACACGGCGCTTGTTTGAAACACTTCGAGCCAATGGTGGCGTCGTCGATGTTTTCGACGACTTCTGCAAGGGCCGTGAATTTATAGAGGCTGTTCAACGGGGTGATATTAAGCCCGATGATGTTGTGTTGATGATATCACTCGACGGCGCGCAGTTGTACGAGTCCAAACTATCCGACTGCTGGATCTATATCTGGGTCATAATGAACCACGCTCCCGATCGACGATACAAGAAGCAATACGTGCTTCCTGGAGGTTTCATCCCAGGACCCAACAAGCCAAAGAACGTCGACTCATTCCTATTTCCCGGTATGCACCACTTAGCTGCCTTGCAGAACGAAGGCCTTCGTATCTGGGACGCATGGCGCGACATCGTATTTATTTCCAACCCGTTTCTTATCTTCGTTACCGCAGACGGACCCGGGCTTGTGTATTTTGATGGTATGGTGGGGCACAGTGGAAAGAATGGGTGTCGAGTGTACTGCGGATTACTCGGTCGTCGGAAGGGAACCCATTACTACCCTGCCTTGCTAATCCCCCATCGTTATGCTGTCGCCGGCAGTAATCACCCCGATATCAGTGTCTACGAGTTGCACGATCCTGACCTCACTGAATATTTCGACAACCTTCTGAAACTCGTTGCCGCACCAAACACCCGCCAGTATCGCAAGCTGCGAACTCAAACAGGAATCACGAAACCTTCCCTTCTACTCGGCTTACACCCATCGTACACCCTTGGAATTCCAAATTGTCTTACTCCCGATATCATGCACCTCGCACAACTACTCTCCGACCTCTTGTTGTCATTATGGCTAGTGTTGTGCGGGCCCGGCTCGGCCTGAAAGCCGCGGCTTAGGCCTGGCTTGGGGAGGCTTGGGCTTTGAAAAACCTCAGGCCGGGCCACGAGCCAAAGCCAGGCCTAAGCCGCGGCTTGGCTTGGGCTTGTTCACGGCTTTGAACATTGAAATATCTTGAAAAACGGTCTATAATATATCAACAATTGTACAGCGCTTATTCGTCACCTAATGAATCAAACTCTGACATATTGTCGTCATCATCATCCTCCAAGATCAGCACATCCCACCCCTCGTCATCTGCTGGTTCGTCTTTGGATACTTCGTGCTCACCAGCCTCAGCCTCATTTTCAGAATCATCAGCTTCTTCCTCCACAAGAGATGAAGGACCGGCCTCGCGGAATATAAGTTCATGACGAAGGGAGCACTTAACACATTGTAGAGCCTCAACGATATCTCCTTTCAGCCGATTACGCCGCTTGCTGATCGTGATCCCTCCTTGCGAGAAAGCTCGCTCGCTCGAGACAGACGCTACCATAATGGATAGAAAGTCTCTTGCCAGCGAAGCCCACACAGGATACCTCAAGGCATTAATCTAAATGGACACAGTGATCAGCCTCGAGTCAGAGGAAATGAAAGTCACTTACACCCCACCACTGGATAGTACTCATACCTGCTGAGGGAGCTGCCTCGATAGTTTCGATATAGCTCGCGAACTCGGCCCTCCATGGTGTTGCTGGGTCGCCAATGGACGTGGCACCTGGGTCTGCCTCAGAATCGTTATCGGAGTCACTTTGAACCTCTCGAATAAGTTTTTTGAGGCCAGCGGCCTTGCTTTTCGTGGTTGTAGGCTGCGACGACGACAGAGTTTGATTAAGCTTGTAAAAGTGTGCTTTGAACACATTCTCAGCACAAGCAAGCACATCATCGAGCAAGTGGGATGGCCAGTGCTTTTTGAAGTATGCCAGTTTTGACGTCGGATCAAGTACTACAACGGCACACCGTCAAACTCAGCTAGCTTAAACAGAAGAGAACGAACACATAGCGATAACGTAGGCTGGGCAATCTGTAGTCTTCTCGTAGTATTCATCTATTTTTGCTGCGGCGGCCTTCAGTGAATCAGCGAACCGAGCATACTTGGGCCTTTCTGCTCGCGAAGACCAAGATTTGTAAAGTGTCTCCAGCGCAGGAATTGCAAGATGGAGAGTTGAACCTCGATCCGACGAGAAGGCTTGTTGAGCAACGTCGGCGTATGAAAGAAGGTCTGCGAAATGACCAAGTCGTGACCATTCAGCGGGTGACAATTGCAAAAAGTCGATTTTCGCTCGTTTGGTTAGATTGGGTTCTTGGCGGCCCATTTCGTACACAAACGTGTCAACATACTAAGTAAGAGTGAGAACAATAGGGTACAACAAGATCAAATGCGCACCTTCTTGTTGTGTTCGGCACGATTAAGCATAACATAGGTTGAAGACCATCGAACCTTCATGTCAATCAGCAGTTGTGTCGGCAAAGACACACCTGCTTTCGTCTGGATAGTCCTGTACAACTCTTTCCGTTTGGCCGAGGAACATTCTTTGATGCAGATGCTGCGAACGAGGCCGATCTCGTCACGCTCAACCTTCTGAGACATATCCGGATCGTGGCCATGCGGATCGTGTGGATTGTAGTGGGGCGCTTGGCTATACATACTTATTAGCTTTTGTGTGCCAAGGTTGATGATGTGCGCTAGACAGCTGTTGAAATTGTTAGTACGCAGCAAAAAAATCATGAAGACTTCTTACTTTATCTTGCGTTCACGCCATGGAAATTTCTTGTTGTACTTCGCCTCGTACAATCGCGAGAACTCTTCCAGCATCGTGTTGTTGTTGGCGGCGTTGTCACATGTAACATGGCCAATCTAGCAGGTGGAAATATAAGCAAGGTAGCAATCATGAGGAGATAATACTATGCAAACCTTGTGTGCAACACCAATCCGATCGAGCACCTTGAATAATGTGCCACCTAGACGCTGGCCATTGTGTGCGTTATTGAGCCTCGTAAAGCCAAGTAACGCGTTCCCGGGTTCCCACTGCATCGGATTGTTCTCCTCGATCCAGTGGCCGGTGACGGCAAAATACCCATCTGTGTTGTCAGCCTGCCACGCGTCACATGTAACATTGATCGCGCCACTGACAGATTGACTCTAGAATATTGTCAGGAATGAATAGAAACTGCAAAGGATGGTACGTACATTCAATTTCTTCTTGAGCGTGGTCATGTGGTTCTTGAACATGCGGATGATCTCAGCGCGGGTTGCTTTTCGACCAGGAATTTTGACGCCTCGAGTAGCACGCGAGGCCACATCTACCATGTCCTTGAATTTTGGATGCTCGAGAGCCTGTATGGGCTGATTTTCATTAGTATGCAGCCAGATGATACAAACAACTCAGAGACTTACCTGATCCGTGGCAACGAGCCACTCAATTGCAGCTTTTCTAAAAAGCTGGTCGCTGTATGGAATAACACGCTCTGATAACTTGCGCTCAGTCATATGCGCATCGATCGCTTGCTGCGCCTGCGCTGCTTTCTTTTTCTCAGCTGCGACGTCACCCGGCAATTTAGATACGAAGGCGTTGGCCTTTGCCCATTTCCGATATTTGCCCTATGTGCCAGTGGATTCATGTTAAATTTATATGTTCGCCTGAACAAAAATATGAAAACTTACAGCAAATCTAGCTTCAGAGTGACGGCGCAGTGTCGACGTTTCGTTTACGATGATACAGTGGTCCCTAGTAGTTGATATGTAGCATTAATAAAATTAAATACATGGAAATGGAACACACGTACGGACAGACCTTGCACTTGCGGTGTTTTTTCACCGTGCCATTGGTACCAGTGTGCTCGAATGGTTTACCAAAGAACTCGTCAATGTCGCGAGTCTTATCTTCGCGTGTGGGACCAGATTCGTCGGTGATGGGCTGCACGTTGATGTCCACAAGAACACCATCCTCGTCAACCTCTTCTTGATCTTGAGCAGGTTTCTGGCGACGGGCTCGTTTGGCTAATAGTGTCAGGTGAGAAACGGAAATGTGAATGACAGATGAAAACTCACGTTTTGGATTCGCCCGCGCATTTTCACGCTCCTTATCGCTGGATTCTTCATCTTCCTCGATCTCCTCAAGACGAGCTCTTTTGTTTGCAGGTGCAGGGGCAGGAAGCGTGGCTTCAGGAGTGGGCAGGCTGGGTGCTGGTATTTGTTGTGGGACAGTGGGCTGGGTGTCATTGGCAACACGTTTGGCGGCCTGTGCAGCACGGAAGGCATTGATAGCCAGGGTTTGAGAGGGGAGTGCAGCCTGTTCAGAGTGCTCCAGGAGCGCAGCAGTCGGTTTGACTTTGCGCACTGGACGCACTATACGCGGCTCGTCGTCACTGTCTGTATGGACCATTCCAACCATTAGATTATTTGGAGCGAAGACTACTAGTACTTACCTTTTATCTCGATCAAAATTGTCACTTCGTTGGAATCCGATCCATCCGAGAATGAGCAGGATGATTCGGCCTAGTCGATTATGGGCGAGTGCGACCCAAAACGAGACAAACGAGTGACATGCCTGACATCGGCTGAGAGTTCTTGATTTAAGCATCTATTAGAGTCGTAGAAGAGTGGCAACGCAAATGGATTCGTACCTGACAGATCGATCATGATTGATCATACAAAGAGCCGCGGCTCGAGCCGCAGGCTTGGGCTTTCCAAAACCCAAAGCCGAGCCCTGGGCCATGTTCAGGCCGTGAGTTTGGCCTGGCTTGGCTTGGCCTAATCAGGCCTGGCTTGGGCCGGCCCACGGCTTGAAGCCGGGCCATGCACATCACTAATTATGGCGCGGTACAATGGACCACACCCTTCCCGATCATGTCTCAATGTGGCCCTGGGCAATCTTTCGTGATGCCGAGACCTGGGAAACCCATGGAGAGGCCGTTTCTAGTGCAGCGCAGCATCTCCCAGGGTCCTTCGACCGAAAACCAAGAAATCCCGCTGAAAAAATCAATTCGGGTTACAAAACGTGGGAGTATCAAGTCTACATATTCGGTCTTGGCCCGGCGCTACTATTCGATATCCTTCCCCGACCATATTGGTTAAACTATTGCAGGCTCGTACGTGGATTTCAGTTGATTAATCAGCATTCTATCAGCCGTGAAGATGCTCGTACCGCTCAAGCCTTGTTCACTCAGTGGGAACTCGAATTCGAGACGCTCTACTATCAGCGCCGTGCGGAACGTTTACATTTCATTCGACCCTGTGTGCACCAAGTCAGCCACCTCGTACGTGAGACTATCAAGAAAGGGCCTCCCATCTGCTATTCTCAATGGACCATGGAACGTACCATTGGCAACCTCGGGCAAGAAATTCGCCAACCTTCCAATCCCTATGCCAACTTATCACGAGAGGGCGTCCGACGATGCCAAGTCAATGCTCTAAAGGCAATGATGCCTGATCTTTCCCCCGACAAGCCCCCCTTTCCGACCACAGCTATCGATCTCGGAGACGGATATATTCTCTTGCGTAAGCGAGATCATGGAGGGAAGCCGAACGCCCACCTGAAAAAGTGCGTCCTGCACGACACGTCAAGGTAGTTAGTATCCATACCATTGTTGTCCATAACTCACCAATATCCTTGAAGATCGTTATTGAAGGCGAAACCCGAGTCGCTGAAGTCCTATACTTCACGCGATTACCTGTTGAAGCTGGTATTGACGACGACGACAACCAAATTTGGGTCTGGAAGGACGTCGCCGTCATCTCGATGTTCTCACTCCCAGACAACGACCTCCTCAAATTATCCTGCCATACCGTCAGCTCATGTCGACTTGAAGATGATGATGTTCGTGTCATTGATATCAAGTCTATTGTTGGTGTGGTTGGTATGGTCCCCCATAAACCAACTCTTCCGTCTGGTGTTACCGAGGATCGTTATTTCATGGTGGAAAAGCCCGGCCTTGATATTGCGACATTTGGTGTCCCGTACAAAGGACCCGCGGCTCAACACGATCAGCTGGACGAACAAGAAGCAGAGGCTGGCGAGGATAATGGAGGTGCTTAGTGTGGTCCTCGAGTTTTAGGTCGAGTTTGGAGCAGATGAGGCAGGGTTTGTTGTACTGGAGGTTAGCGGGGAGGCTCTTTAGTTAGTTACGAGGCGAGAAGAAGGTATACTAGTTCATCACCCGGCGCTTTCTTGCAAGTTGTAGCACAGATGCGGAAGGCAAAGAAACAATTGTGCAAGTAGATTATGGTGGTGAAGAGTTTAACGCAAACGGTTAGTAATTCTGCTGCAACTCTGACGGTCCGAGTTTGCGAAGGCACGAAGTCCAAAGCAGAGAGACAAAACAGTAAGAAACGAGAACATACCAATCGTGTTTGCGATATTCACGTCCCTCGGTGCTGCAGTGATAAAAAGCTTGTTATTCATCATTATCTAACAACGCCTCATTTGTCCATCAATGCCTGCAATTCCTGTTTCCTGTGACGCACAGCTGAAAAGCTACTATCAGTACCTGCACGGTCATACCACTTCGAGTCTTCTTCACGTGTGATGTACTTCCAGTAGATTGAATCCGGGGGAGGAGGACTTGGTGTAGCGAAGAAGGAGCGTGAATCAAGACGATCAAGACGTGGTGGTACAACTGGTGCAGCCAACGGGACATTTTCATCGGATTCGGATTCAGTTGTTGAGCCTGGGTCCATGCATGGCCCTGAAGTGACTTCGATCACAGCCGTCAGAGTAGAAATGCCAGGGGTCACGATTTCTGCGTCAGAATCAGGCTCAGTAGTGGAGTCATCGTCTGCAGGTGGGATTGTTGTTGTGGTTGCGACAGTGGTGGGAGTGGAAATAGATGGGGTCACGGTGATATCTTCAGATTCAGGATCGGTAATGGAGTCAGCACCATCTGTGGTCAGGATCTTTGGTGTCATAGCAGCTGGCACGTCCTTGGCAAAACTTTTAAGTTAGATTAGACGGTGTTAAAATTTCATCGAGAGGAATAGATGAAAACCGACAGTGCTGCAACCCAACTCTGGTCCTCTGTGCTTGAGGCAGATGCCTGTAGAGTAGGCAGTAGAGTAGAAATTCGTTGCATAAGATAGCGGTATCGAGGAGGGTGGCTAAACCAGTATGCAGGATTGAGAACCATTTCGTCAGAAGCTGTCAATCGGGGACTGTTGCTGCTCTCTGTTAAGCTTGGATCGCTGAGGACAACATTGTCGAAATCGATGTCATCAAAAGGTATTTGCAGAAAGCGTAGCAAAGGTAAGCTCATGATAATTGTTCAGAAAGATGCGTAATCCGCAAAGTCTAGATATGTTTGTAATTTTTTGATGATGTAGCTTCTTACAACTTGTTCAACCCGAGCACAACCCCACCAACACTTTCGTTCTGCTACCATCACAATGTCTAACACAGATTTCTCTTATGGATCCACTAGATTCTCGCATGATTTTTTGACTTCATCGTTGCATGCACCAGAAACAGCCCAAAGTTCTATGTCAAAAACTCGCACTCCCCTGTCTCCAATGATTCCTCAAGCTTTGCCGGACTTATTCAACGACACGCACTCTTTCGCAGCGACTCCTTCTGCCAGCGGTTTCTCTCGTGTGAGTCTTTTAAGTTTCTGATATCTTCAGCTCCCACATTTGAGTCTAGGGTGCATATATGCACTCAGTCGCCCCAAATTTCCAGCAGATTCATGTCTTACAGGAACAGCTATCTCTATACCAAGCCAAACTGAGTGAAACCCAACTCGAGCTATGTAAGACAAGGACAGAACGTGATACTATCAAGTAAGTTTCGTTTACCCTGGTATTTAAATTAAAACTGTGTCTCGTTCATTTATAGGGCATCTTTCGGGGAGCTTATTGCTGTTCTGCGACTCCCTGAGAGCACCGACCCACTCAATTTCAGCCTGACAAGCAGCGCTTTGACAGGACACGACAAGGTCCTTCGTCCGTCGAGAGAATCTCACCCGAAAATTCGTTTCTGGACTCGAACTGATTATGACAAGTATATCGAGAATGCAGAGTCTGGTTCTGGAACTCGGGGTAAAGCCCCTTGGCTTGAGTTGGAAGACGGGGGGCCTGTCACTGTCGAACAACTTAGGGCCATTCGTAAGGCCGTTCGTGAAGCTTGTATTCGACATCGTGGTGAAACAGTTTCCATTGTTCCAGTTGGACAACGACTGCTGGAAGCTCGAGCTACTCTGCATTAACGATTACTCATCCTGGCGAAAAAAACAATCTTGGGACTGACGGGAACTGGAAGGACGCACCAGGAAAACTTTTGGCCAAGGAAGAGCTTGTAGAAGATGACTCGGACCTTGTCATATCGGAATCAAAATGTACTGTTCGCAACAAAAACGGCAAGCGGCAGCTGTCGGATGATAGCGAAAGCCTGGCCCATCAAGACGGCCGGAAAAACTTCAAATGTATGCGTCAACATTTTCCTAATTCTCATTCTAATGTTGATATAGCAGCATCTCCACTGCAGTTGACGGTTATAAAAGGTATGCGTCATTCTTTCTTTTTTCTCATATACTAACATCAGAGCTACGAGATGCACTTCCGAGCCCGAGTCTCCTACTGGATCAAGATTCTGAGCCTCGCAGCGCCAACGGCCATTCCTCTTCACCCATAAACGATTCTCTCCCCCTTGAAGATCATATTCTCAACAAACTACCCCGTCCACGCGATGCATCCGTCCCGCCGTTCGGAGTGTACTTGCCACAGCCATCTCGGCAAGATTCGCCTCCGCCCAGATCTCCTGCACGCGAGACTGAATTTTCACCAACTCGTCACACATCAATGTCTCACAGTGCGCAAGGTGCCAACAAGGAGAACGAGTTTGTATTACAAAACCCACTGTAGGACACTATTGTAACTCTACTCTCGTCCTTACTAACTCCACTACTCTCGAAGCGCCAATATTTTCGGGCCTCGTGGAATCGCCAAGACGATCCCTGCCCCTGCACATAGCCCAATCAAGAAAACAGATGACGGACCAGCCGCATTAAAAGTACCATCAGACAACAAGGCCTCGAAGAAGAAGATGCGCCCAGGTGTAGCAAAGAATGCACGGTAAGTTTCAACAATTTTTTAGTGTTTCATGCTAATTATCTTTGCAGAAACTTATGTGCATTGCGCTGGTTGAAGCAAGTGAAAACGAGCGGCACGACAGACGAATTCTGCATGTATTGGGCTGCCCTCACACCCGCGCAACAGGACGAATATAAGGCTGACGTCGAGCGGTTGCAGAGCGCAGGGACGTGGACCAAAGCTTCTGATCGTGTCGTCTGCGAAGGTGCGCTATACTAGTATGTTTTCTGCTACTTTGCTTTGCTTTTCTCCTTGTCTGCTGTTCTGTTTTCTCCCCCGGCTTTCATATTGTTTTGCCCCGCCCCGCAGCCTGCTATTTACTGTAATTGCTGTCTACTGTTACATCCCATGTCGTCCTGTCCTGTCCGATGTCGTCGCAATTCATTGTATTTGGATTTCTATTGGCAAATCTGCTCGAATCGGATGAAATACGCAAACTACAATGAAAATATGATATGCCCATGGGAAACCCTGCCCCATCATGTAACATATGCGACTCGCTCGAGTGAAGTCTGTTCAGCTCGGAAAATTTCCTAGTAGGGAAAAACAAATCATATGTCGTCCGGTGGCACCCGACCTCGTCATGTCGGGTTTTCACTGGGGCTGAATCATCATGCCTATTGTTGAGATAGTATTGGATAGTCTGGTATGGGTGCATCAGTAAACTACAATTGGCTTTACAGAGCTGTACAGCATCACAACTGTGTAGCTTAGTCCCTATTACCTAGCTTACTACAGTAGCCTACCTTTTTGTCAATCTCTGTCAGACCATTCAGTCATTTTGGACGTAGAACCAGTATGCCGGACATGCAAAATGGCCGTAGATTGTGTCCAGCCAGGCGCCGACCAGTAGTAGTGGATATATGTAGATATGGTACTGGCCGATCCCACTTTTGCTCATGTGACTCCATCATGGAATCGGGCTGGAGATGCTTTAAATAGATATTTATGCCAAAATCAAATAAAAAATGCGCAGATTATATCCAAAGACAAAGTATTGTAAAAGCATCAGCATTATAATGTCAAACAACAATACATTGCAAGAGAACTTCAATTCTGATGAAGCATCGTAGGTCTCGCAACTGTGACAGTCAGCAGATAAACACTTGAAGGAAGACCCACATCTCTGCAAAATGATGGTCACCCACTGTACGAGCTTGACTTCGTGGTGGCTGTTTGTAATCAGATGCAGTCGGCAGACGAGAGCTACAGTATCCTTATAATAGTTATGCATTATTGTCATCCCTCACCATTGTGGAGTGTCTATGCAAACACTTTGCAATATCCTCGCAATATCCTCGCAAAATTTATGTTGTACTGAATGTTTGAACCTGGGCCAGTGAAAATAAGACTTACAAAAGCGAATTTTTCACCTAAGAAAAAAAAGTGCCGCAGTATGATAGAAGTCAGCCCTTGCTCATGATCGAAAAAAATCTCCTGGAAGATGAGATCTGCAGCTGAGCGACATGCTTGTGAGGTATCGAGCATCGACATCAGGAAAACCGTCCCCCCATAGCCTAGATGTAATTAGCCTAATTTCTGATAATTCTGTAAATTATGACAGTTTGCCGGATTATAAGAACTCTTTTACTGGTTTGTAACTTTGACATATTTGTAACTAGCTTTTTGCATATTGTTCGCAAATACACAGTGTATGGCTAGTGTTGTGAAAATTTTCAGTCCCTTATATGAGTTAGCTGTTCCTCAGTTCCAGCTCGTATACACGAAAACAATTAATTGTGATTAAAAAGAGTGTAGTCAACACGATGTATGAGGGTTTTCTAATTTTATGAGAGAGCGTGAATTATTTACTGTATTAGACAACGAGAACAGCAATGATAGCCACAATCGATCACCTACTCCTCCATCCCGTCGAGATCGAGGAATGCGAGTGCATTTGTCTTCAGATCAGCAACAGCCTTCTTAGTGTGCATGAGATCCCTGTCAGCAAAGACTCGGGGTGAGTTTAGACTGCGAGAGAAAGAGATCGGACTTACTGTATTGCAGCGAAAATATCTGCCATAAGTTTGTGGAATTTTTGAGGTGCCTTCGCCTTCAGATCCTCGAGGAATTGGACGTGGAAGACGTAGACTTCGCTAAATTGGTTCCCCGTGAAGTTGAACTTCGACGGAGAGCCCTGAGCCTTCCAGAAGAGTGCCGCGTACACCTAGATAGTTAGAGTCAAAATATGTTAGTATTAGATGTGAAAATACTTTACCGAAGTACTGGTCAAAGCGACCATAGGAATGGGGACCTCAGGCCGGTTGGCTTTATTCTTTGCGATATCGGAAAATTTCTGTGCGAACATGGCACCAACTGACTTCGGTCCATTAAAATAGCGGCCCTTCATAAGGTGCACCATGAGATCACCCATGTAAGGTTTGTGCCGCACTGGTTTCGGGACGTCGTTATCCTGTAGTAATGGATTAGTAGATAGGTTAGTACAACTATACATACACGAGGTCTCAAAACATACACCGAACTGCATGAAATAATGATAGCTGTGGTCCTCGATGAAGGCCTTAGCAGAGGCAATACTATTGGATCCTAAGCGAAGGTAAGCCGCGACTTGGCCGCAAGCGTCGTCCTTCAGATCACCACGAAACAGCGGTACCCGAGCTTCGACCTGCAAATGACATCATAGGTGAGTGTATACTACTTGTTCGACAGTGACCTACCAGGGTTGCGAGAGCCGACGCATATGCATCATTAGTCTTGATTTGCATCTCGATAGATGTCGCACGACAATCGCGAGCTGCCTTCAGGAGCGTGTCGCGTGAAAAGGAAGTTTTTTCGATTAGCTCGGGGTAGCCGTTAACAAACATCATATAGGCCTTCGCCTCGAGGATAGCACCTTGAATCACTTTTCGAGTGGTGATATCCTGGTCCGTCATCTTTACTTTCCCGTGTTCGGTCAGGATGAGTTTTGCACTCGAAGATCCGGAGGGACGCAAAGACGATCGACTACCAGTGGCACTACTGGTATCCGACTTGTTGTCAGCATCCGAAAAATAGTGCTCGGACTCTGCCTTCACGATGTGGGCCTTTGTAAGATGCTGTGAATGGTCAATGGACTGGTATGACTTGGAGGTCGATGTACTGACGATGGTACTGCCAGTAGTGTCGCCATCAGGATTTAAACGCCGAGTCATTGCAAGACTCTGATTCGCTGACCATGCCAGTATCGCTGGCCCACACAGGTGTCTAAAAAATTGCGAAATCAGCACACATTCGTCACACAGGGTGCTCTTACCTCTGCGGCTCGTTTACGATCGCGAGCAGACTGTTTGTTCACCTAGTGTGTAAGTAAACTTACTAATCAGTTCATGGTATCGGCTACTAGTACTTACCGGAGGGTTCTTTGCCTTGGAACTTGAGACGAAACTCGGAATCTGCCATGACAGTGTTGGTGACTCAGCTCTGGATATGACTAAGCTGACAAAAGCTTTACCTCTGTTGATAGCATCTTTGCGATAGATGTTGGGTCTTCAAAGTCGCTATCATCGGACGAGTCCTTCGCATCGCTGGCAAAATCAGTCTGATCGCTATCGGTATGGTCGCCTGCTTCTTCGCTCCCGCTCTGTTCTAACTGATCTTCCTTGATGGATGTCAGTTGATGAGTGGTATGGCCTGAGGATTTTTTAGCATCCAGCCGCACTGCACCAATGTCAGTGAGTATGCAAAATTGTACTGTATGGTTAACGGCTTACATCGTTTGCGTTTCGCAGCTTCATCTTCGTCATCTGACGCCGCAGGTGAGGCAGTACCTACTAGTGTTACTAAGTGGGACTCCAGGATCCAGAGAGGTACTAACGATATCGCTTCTTAGTTGATTTAGGCTTGGACCGTGACCGTGGTTGTGAACCCCACTGTGGTTCACCTTGTGAACCGGGCATCTCTGGTGACCGGCGCTTAGTCGCCACTTTGTCTTCTCGCTCTGCCACTGGTGAGACAACTACTACTAGTTATTACTAGGTACTTCTGGATTCAGATAGGCACTGACTCTTCCTCTTCTTTGTTGATTTAGGCTTCGACCGCAATTGTGAACCCCATTGCGGTTCACATTGCGAACTTGGCGTGTCACGTTGCGAACTTGGCGTGTCTTGTTGCTGGCGCTTAGTGCGCGTCTTCTCCGGCAGCCAGACTATGTTCTCGCATGTGAGTTTACTTTTTTTCACCAAGTTTCAATTGTACTGACCTGCGTTCTTCAGTGCGTTCTTCTTCGCATTTCGCACACCTGCGGACATGTGAGCGACTATAAGCGGCAAATGTGAGTACATACTTCGAGTGGGAGGAGTTTCGCTCATAGCGTGCTAATAAGATATGTAGGTGGAATTCAATAGAACGAGCGTGGTTTTTGGAACGAGTGGGGGGTAAAAATTGAAGGTAAGAAAGCAAATTTCTTTTTGGGGGGGGGGTGGAGGCTTTTACTGATCCGCGCTTTCATAATCCGCTAATAGACTGCATTCCAGGGCCATGCCATTCTCGTACTTGGTACGAACTTTATCCTCCCTTCCCTGTCGGTCATTACATCCAGTGCCAACCACCCAACAGACACCTAATTTTCGCTGTTCCCCAGATCTGGTTTATGGAACGAGCCGAGAGACAAGAACTTGAAGGTGAGTAGAAGTTCGCACCCACAACTGCTCACACTCAGCGCTCAACTTCACCCTAGCGCCAATTCTGCCCTGGACCATCCTTGCACTGGATACCAACATCATCCTATCTTCCTTATCGGCCATCACCTCTAGCACCATCACATCTGACCAGACACCAACATACATTATCTCCCATTGGCGTCCAAGGGCACACTCTCCAACCAAGACCCACAATTGCTCGCACTCGGCATTTAACGTCACCCCAGCCGCTAATTCGCAATTGCTTGCACTCCGCGTGTAACGTCACCCCAGCACTAATTCTACCCTGGACTATCCTTGTACCGGATACCAACATTATCCTTGTACCGGATACCAACATTATCCTTGGACCGGACACCAACACCATCCTATCTTCCCTATCAGCTATCACCCTCCAGCGCCCTTATCCTTGGACCGGGCACCAACATCATCCTATCTTCCCTATCAGCCATCACCCTCCAGCGCCCTTAACCTTGGACTGGGCACCAACACCATCCTATCTTCCCTATCAGCCATCAGCCTCCAGCGCCCTTATCCTTGGACCGGACACCAACATCATCCTATCTTCCCTATCAGCCATCACCCTCCAGCGCCCTTAACCTTGCACTGGGCACCAACATCATCCTATCTTCCCTATCAGCCATCAGCCTCCAGCGCCCTTATCCTTGGACCGGACACCAACATCATCCTATCTTCCCTATCAGCCATCACCTCCAGCGCCAACGCATCTGACCAGACGCCAACACATACTATCTCCCATCAGCATCCAAGGGTACACTCTCCAACCAAAGACTCACAACCACTCGCGCTCAGCATTTAACGTCACCCCAGCCGCTAATCCACAACTGCTCTCGCTCGGCGTTTAACGTCACCCCAGCGCTAATTTTACCCTGGGCTGTTCTTAGACCGGATACCAACATTATCCTATCTTCCCTATCAGCCATCACCTCCAGACCAGACGCCAACGTATACTATCTCCCATCAGCATCCAAGGGCACGCTCTCCAACCAAAGACCCACAACCACTCACGCTCAGCGCTCAACGTCACCCTCGCCCTTATTTGAGCAAGATAAAAGGTCCGTGAATGCGCTAACTTTTGTTGACACCTAACTTAACGTATAATCATTACAGCATCACAATCATGGTTGAATGCCCAGGATGTCATCGAAATGACCTCTCGGTCACCGGCTTGAGCCAGCATCTTTCTAAAACAAAGGATGCTCGCTGTAACGCTGTCCTTACTGCCTCTCGCACTAATTTGCGCACTCCGAGTCCTCCCCCATATAATGATGTGGATGCGCAGAACTTTCATGACGAAAGCAGCAGCGATGACGAAAGCAGCAGCGATGACGAAAACGCTGCTGAAGAGGACAAGTGGGAGCCATCAGTCCAGGAGGACAATGGTGACATACCAGGCAGCGATCTAGACGATCCCATGGATGATAACAGCGCTGATCGTGAAACGCGCCAGCATGTTGAACGTCAGATCATTGAGCAAGACAGGGTTTCGATTGTGCAATATCCCGATGCTAGAGCAGGAAAGCCAATCGCTCATGTCGAAGTTCGGGATGTTAACGCGGCATATGGTTCCAGCATCAATGATGCGGAAAACCCTTATTCTCCATTCTCCTCTCGAATGGACTGGGAGATCGCACAGTGGGCAAAGTTGCGTGGCCCAACCTCGACAGCATTTTCAGATTTACTCAGTATTGGTGGAGTAAGTGATTTTTTCGAAGTGCCGACTGACTCGAAAGTGACAAATCTTCATTCGCAGGTCAGCGAACGCCTTAACCTCTCTTACAAAAATTCAAGGGAGCTGAATAGCATCATCGATAAACAACTCCCTGGTCGTCCGAAGTTTCGCCGTGAACAGATCATCGTTGCGGGAGAACCTTTTGATATTTACTATCGAGATGTTATAGCATGCATCAAGGAACTCTACGGCGACCCAGATTTTGCGGACTACCTCGTGTTCGCACCGGAGCGCCACTACACAGATGACGACAAAACAGTTCGACTATACAGCGACATGCACACAGGTAAATGGTGGTGGAATTCTCAGGTAAGAACTTCGTGCAGTATCACGCGTCTATCTACTTATCTCAATGCAACTAGAAAAAGCTTGACGAGCAGCGGCCAGGGGCAACAGTCATACCTGTTGTCATTTCAACCGACAAAACTCAAGTCACGATGTTCCGCAACAAAACCGCGTACCCCGTATACCTTACCATTGGTAATATCCCCAAGGAAATTCGTCGCAAACCATCCCGGCGTGCTCATGTCCTCCTCGCGTATCTTCCCACCACACGTCTGGAACACATCACCAACAAAGCCTCGCGTCGTCGAAGCGCAGCGAATCTCTATCATGCGTGTATGGCACGTGTGTTGTTGCCGCTAGAAAAGGCTGGTCTTGATGGCCTAGCCATGCGCAGTGGGGATGGCATCTCACGTCACTGCCATCCTCTTTTTGCTTGTTTTGTGGGCGATTACCCCGAGCAAGTACTCGCTAGCGCCGTCAAAACTACTGAATGCCCTAAATGTGATATCCCACCCAACGAACTAGAAAGTAGCACGACGGCCTTCGAAATACGCGACCTCGATGCTGTTCTTGACGCACTCGCTACCATTGATGTCGGAGACCTCGAATTCGTTCAGGCGTGTCGCGACGCTGGTATCAAGCCTGTCGTTCACCCGTTCTGGGAAAGACTACCCTACGCCAACATATTCCAAGCCATCACACCCGACATTCTCCATCAGCTGTACCAGGGTCTGGTTAAGCACCTTCTAAGCTGGCTCGTGCAGGCATGTGGACCAACCGAGATTGATGCAAGATGCCGAAGATTACCCCCCAACCACCATATTCGCCTATTCATGAAAGGCATTACTGGCCTCTCTCGTGTTAGCGGTGCCGAGCATGCCCAAATATGCTGTTTCATTCTCGGTGTCATTATTGATGCTCGACTTCCCGGTAATTTATCTTCTGCGCGTCTTTTACGTGCAGTCCGCGGTCTCCTAGATTTCCTCTACTTGGCACAGTACCCGTGCCATAGTTCAGAGACATTATCTCTCCTCGACGAAGCTCTTGCCCTATTCCACGACAACAAACAAATATTTGTCGACCTCGGTATCCGGAATCATTTCAATTTCCCTAAACTTCACGCCACTCGTCACTATATATCAATGATTCATTTGTATGGCACGACGGATAACTACAACACCGAGTACACTGAACGTCTTCATATAGACTTAGCTAAAGATGCTTACCGCGCGACAAACCACAAAAACGAGTTTGCGCAAATGACTCGATGGCTCGAGCGCAAAGAGAAAATCGTTCGCCATGAGAAATTTATTCGGTGGCAACTCCACGACACTCCTTCTCACCATCCTCGACCACTGGACCTATCATTTGACCGAACACAAACATTGACAAAGCACCCAAGTGCTAGAGCTGTGTCTTTTCAACGTTTAATCTCGGATTACGGTGCCACTTACTTTCGCGAAGCACTCGCTCGATATGTTGCGCAACAAAACCATTTAGACGAACCCCTCTCTCGTAGACGTCTCGAAGACCTCGCTGCAAATGTACTCCTGCCATTCCATTCAGTGGCTGTATACCATAAGATCAAGTGGCTATCTGTTGACGCTCGAGGGCATGGTGACCCACTCGTTACGGTAGATAGTGTCCATGTCAAGCCTCGTCGCACTGGCACTCGCCAACAAAATGATGCCCTACCTGCTCGTTTCGATACAGCGCTTATAAACGATGGTACTGGTCAGTCTGTGGGTGTCGAAGGTAAGGCTCAATGCTTATAGCTCATATTACCTTTGCTTACTAGTATACAACAACTTGCATTTTGCAGGCTATCGTGTTGGTCAGATTCGTGCAATTTTCTCGCTTCGAGAAAGACACGCACAGTCACTATTCCCGCCGACAAATCAACCTCCCAAACACCTCGCTTACGTGGAGTGGTTTACTCCATTTCCTTCGACACCAGATTCAAGACATGGCATGTACAAAATCACGCGTCTTGTTCATTCAGGTGAGCGAGTTGCTAGCATAATCCCCGTTTCGAATATTTCCCGCAGTATACACCTTATCCCGAAGTTTGGACCGGTTGCACCTCGTCACTGGACGAGCAACAACGTCCTCGAGCAATGCAGTACATTTTTTGTTAATTGTTACAAAGATAGACATAATTTTGTGACCCTTAGGTAGTACACTATAAACTCGCAATAATTTTTTGTAAGCTATGAACATTATCATGTTTATGTACATCTACCTCTAACTTGTGATAAGTTATCTGACTTAGATGTATTGTGTATATTTGTATCTAAGTTAGGACGGGAAGGTTTCCCTGATGGAACACAAGGACATAGAATATACTTTAAAACCATTTAGGTATGAGTGTTGAACCCCAGTCAAAACCTGCAAGTGGGAAATCTATGAAAATAGTGATGATGAGTTTCAACAAGATCCTTGGAGAAATTTCAGTCAGTTTGTAGATTGTTGATCAGAAGACTCTCTGCAGAATCTAGAGGAATCGAGCTGTCGTCGAACAGCTTGATTCCACGATATCCCCGTAGTTTGCTCTACATGTACTTAATCTACGAGAATACAGTCCAAACTTGTGGTGTTAGAATTGATACAATTTGACAATGGTGCAGTACAAGCTACAGTACGACATGCGACTAGCAAACGGAAAGGGTATGGTGCGAGTAGAACATGATACTAGTAGAAAACAGACAACTCGGACAAGTGTTCGGAAAAACGGGGTGGAAAAAAAACTCACCAAACTGTCGTCAAGTGTGCGTTGGTATGCATGATTGAGTTTGAGTCTGCTGCTGCGCGTTTCTTCCTCATAACCCCACCAAGGTCAGTTGTATTGCTACTTGACAACTCAGAGGTGCCCGCGGTTGCTGAAAGAGCCAGTGTAGAGTGAGCTACTAGTACTGATTCCTTGTGTTCATTGAATGACACCCGAAGCTTCTCCATGAAGGAGACTTTGCTGTTTTGATCTGAAAGGATTTCGCCCACATCGAAAGAGTCATTGAAACTTGCCTTCTCGAGATTTGAGAAGCACTGTAAGGGTAAGCTCCAAGTTGTCTGGATCCACGGTCGTAGTAGCAAGGCAGGTACTGAAGAGGACGGGTTCGTGTGAGTTTTTGACAAGGGAAAGTAGTCACATGTCTGCTTTCCTTGTTTTGCTTGTGCGTTGCATGCAAAACAAAACATTTCGCTTGGGTTAGTTTTGCTTCATGTGTTGTTTGTGTGCTTCAACATCGTGAATCGTTTTTGTGTTAGATTTTTCAGTCACTTTGTCGAATTCACACAATTCTAAATATATCAACACGACCTCTGTAGATTTTCCACTTGTGGGTTCTCACTGGGGTTGAACACAAGTACATAAAATATACATTAAAACCGTTGAAAAGCAACTCATCTCCGTTGTCTCCCTCATCTCTGTTGTCTCTGTTGTCTCTGTTGTCTCCTTCATCTCCTCTGTGTCCTCCATCTCCCCCGTCTCCTTCGTCGTCTTTGTCAACGTCAATGTCGCTGCCACTACTGTTAGCTTCACTGTCCTCCACATTGGATCTTACCAGCCTTGCATGAAGTGTTTGCCTAACAACGTCATCCTCCTTGTGCAGGGCTGGGTCCAGGTTGCGCTCTGAAAAGGTAGTGTTTGGTGGAGGTTGGGGACTGCGAGCTTGATTGACGAGAGCATTCTGGTTGTACTTCTTGGCAACCTTCATTCCCATGGTGATGTATGGGTCATTCAAGCTTCAAGGCTTGAGGATTGGGCTCCGCGCTAGGGGGGGCAGTGTGCGTGGTAGTCGAAGCTGCAAAACCAAACCTCCCACCACTTTGCTGCGATGAAAAGCTGGGAACCAGGGTACTGGCAACGAGGTCTGAGGGATCAGGACTGTATGGCGGAGGGAGTACCTAAATGCACAATCAACACCATCAACAACAAAAATAGTGAGCTATACCTTTGGACGGCACTTTTGGCCTTTACGGGGCAGTTCTGGAGCCTGGGGGTTCACTGGATTGAGTGTACCAAGAGATGTGGCGCCCTTGGGCTTCCGATTCTGGGACTTAGCCTCTAACACTACCCTGATCTTCTCTAGCTGGGTGTTCCTACCTCCTGTTCCCGCATTGGAGTGGCCAGAACGTCAAGGAGCAGTGTCCACTGCATCAGCTTCAGTAAGACCAAGGGATACAAGCGGGGTGCTGGCGGCAGAGCTTGCAGCACAAGGCTTCTTCAGTAAATCAGCCTTTGAAGCATCAGAGGCTTTACACTTGGTGCAACTTGAATATACAAGAAAGAAGCAAGACAAAGAATGAACTGAATCAGACTCACCATTTTATACATATCTTGGCATAAGGATCTGGGCAGCCTCAACGGCTATTGCGATGCCTCGAGGAGTACTACTGCGGTATTCGCCTGGACTGTATGCAGTGTGCATGATGGAGGGTAATCATAAGGCTTCCCAGTCAGACGTAATCGAAACATATTATCCAGCATATTATGTAAGCATGAATGATTCATCAACTCAGATATCAGTAAAGACTTGGAACTTGTTAGTAGAGTAAGTATGGATGGCAAATACTAGTCATACATATGTCGGGAAATACGTGGCACACATCTGAGTTTGTGTAAGATATATGCAACAACACATCGCACACTGGTATGCATATTACATCCGCTCGGAGATCTCGTCCGATTTCTGCCGCTTTGGCACTGTGACAGGTAAAGATAGTGAAGGGAAGCTGATCGAGGTGAGAGTTGAGTACGTGAAGAATGACATCAAAGGTCATGGGGTGAACCATATTATCCTTTAATGCTGTGCACCAATCTTTTGCAAGGGGGATAAGAGATTTGAAGTACGGGTGAAATTCGTTGATGAGACACTCTTCATCCAACAGGTTCGCGAAAGAGTGATCTTGAAGGCAGTGCACGATGCCAGGTCAAAGTTGGTCCAGCAATCAAGTAACGAATTGGACATGTGCTCCACATGGACCATGCCATTGGGACCACTGAATTTAATGCAAACCCAAGTGAATATGAAAAAAAAGGGATTCAAGGTCATCAGAGTAATCTTGGACCACATGAGAAACGTGCAGCGGCGAAGAATCCGAGGAAGATTTTGGTGTTTTTGAGGCTGGGGTCTTCTTCTGTTTTGATTTGCGCACTTTTGTCAGATGTTTCTTCTCGGCCTCGGCCTTCACCTGTTGCTGTAAGAGCGAAACCTGGCCAAGAAGCCTGCATGACATGAATGGGACCGTGCCTTGGAAAATGGATCAATGTTTGAACTCAATATGAAAGGAATGTACTTACTGTACCACCAATGGGATATCTATTATCCACAGCAATGTGTACTGCAAATTCCCAGTCGATAAGGAACCCCTTGCTCAAATCTAAATCATCCAGAATCATCACGTTATTCAGACTGCAATCGTGATGCAGAATCTTGTGCTCCTCCACCGCTGTTTTCTGAACTAGAAGAAGACATAAGTTCAATGCTCTTGCACAACGCTCCTAGACACTTACTTATCACAATATCCCTTAATGCTCTTACTAACTCTTTCAGTGTTTGAAACATGGAGGGGGCGAGCACACGGCTTTAAGACAAGCCGGACATGAGTGTGACTGGTGCCCTGGGTACTCTTACGTTCCTTTTCGTGATAGCTTTGAGTATTGTCGACCTCACCTCCTGATGTCATAATGAGCCAAAAATCTACTAGCTCAGGAACACCAGTGATGCCTTTCATCAGTTTCCACATCTGTATCTTGTTTAGGATGAAATTGTCCTGCTTGCCAAGAACCCAATGGTCCTTGACAATATAGTCTTCCTCGTCCAAACTGGCCAGATAGCAGATGGTTCCGCGACCAATGAGCCCCCGGCTCGCAAAAGAATTCTCTTGATGATATATACAGTATTCCCTACACTGATGTTGCCGCAAGGTTCAGGTGAGTGCTCAGAGTGGGGAAATTGGGAAGGATGAGGCATGACGGAACATATGCTCTCTGTCAAGTGCTGGGGAATTTGGGATGCAAGGCTGAGGAGGGGGGCGCTGGACACCACAGTAGGATGCATTGGAGAGGTGGAGAGGGGGGGTTCTTGCTCCTGCGTAAATACTTGAGTAGACTTATTTGAGTCCTCTTTGAGCGAGTCATCGGTTAGGTGTTCCTCAGAGTCAGAGCCATCAGAGACTACAGACTTGAGATCATTGTCAAATGACGGGCTTGCGGGATCCGGTAGTTCAACAAGGGATTCAGAGGTGGATGCAGGAAGGTCTATTGAACTGCTACGTTGGGCAGGCATGTTCTTGATGGGGCAATAGTTGCGAATAGGTTTGGAAAGGGGTGGTGAGATATGTTTCGTGAATGTGACTGTTGAATCATACCCGACGCATTCGAGATTGCCGAAATTGATAACAGCGATGATATGAGAAAATAAGTCAGGTTGAGTGTGTATATTGAAGGGGGTAGAAACAGCGCCACCAGAGTGATCATACATGAGGACTCTGAGATGACAATATGAATCAGTAAAGGATAGTATGAGTGCGAAGCGCCTCCAGGGCTGTTCGCTCATCATGAGGTAGGCATGGGTGTCTGCAGCCTTCCCACGCCGCATTGCAGGCTTGTAAGTACTGTGAGTCAGCTCACCGGATACCCGAATATTTCCCCATTTTGCTGCGATGTCGTCAGATAGAACAAGGTTGGGTTTATGCTTTATCTCGCTGCCGGGCAATGGCTTGTGAGCATTGGCTGCACTCCATTTGCAAATTGAATAACACTCGCATTCTAGCAAGGTTTCTTTTGCCAATAGGCAAGCAGCAAGAGCATTGAGGAAGGATGCAACAATTTCTTCGTAAGTTGCGCGCTCTGGTGCTGGGTCGTCCTGATTCGCTGGAGTATTGTGAGTCTGACTACTCGTACCACTGGGGTCTGAGTCCGAGCTGTCTCTAGGGGGATCAACAGGAAGATCCCAGTTCCAAGTACTTGTTGCAGTGTTGTACAGTGGCACCAGAGAATCTGGCGATAAGCCATGGTGTCGCGATCTGACTTGTTTGTTGGGATAAAGGATTGTTTTGAGAGGAATTTTGAGTTGAGATACATGGGGGAGAGGGATTTTGAAAGGCTTGAAAATGTGAGACAGTAAGTGTCCTAGAGGTTGCGATGCCTCTGGTGTGTCCTCGTGCGTGACCAAACAATTGAGTTCTTCAGATGTGATTTTGTTCATGGTGTGGACATCACTGACTTCGGGGATGGACATCAAGGAGGAAAGTTTGATTCCATTGTCAACCATCCTGAAAAAGACTGGCATTTTTGTGGTGTACACTACAACAACGGTGGGATCGTCTGAGACAATGCTTATCATGCGCCACATAGCGCCTAATGGAGCTCAGCGTTCCAAGTGAACTAATAATAAAACGACCTTCTAGCCAATAGCGTTTATTGTGCTCAGAATATGAGAATAGTGCATGAGGTACAAGAAAAAACAATATACAATGTGCAGAAGCTACATGGAAAGAGGGAAGAATGTGTTTTTGTCCCAATATTTGTTAAGCCAAAATTCCGAAGCATGTTCCATACCATTATATGGGTTGAGATGATTGTCCGTGCTTGCACCAAAGCGAGGGACATGGTTAACAGGTGCCCTTAGCTGCATAACTGGTACGACATTACCTACCCGAGTACCATTTAAACGCTTCACTCGTTTGAGTACGTGCAGCTGCGTATTCGGCTCACGATTGCTTCCACCTTGCAAAACGACGTTGAAACGATGCACGTAGGTGAGGAAGTGGTCCTTCCATGACCAATTTGTGCCCGCTTTTCCAACAGGATGCAGAATCACCCTGATTTCACCGACAGTGTGCCCTGAGATTTGATAATGAGAATGATTTGTATGGCAGAAGAAGAGAACATACCATAAAGACCATTGGTAGGCCATGAGCATCTCGCATTGTTGTTAACGATCACCGGATCATACCGGCCACAGGTCCAGACACCAGAAGGTGGTGAACAATTCAGGGTCTGGGCAGGCCATATGATACTAATGTCATGAAAATCGGTATCCTGCAATCGAAGCTTGAACCAGACTTGGAGCTTTTCAAATGGAAGTGAAGCAGTGGGTCCAGCTCTCCTAGCCCCCCCAATGGTATGAACAAAATCCTGCCCATGAGCAGCCTCGTGACTAAGAAAGTCAGCAATGGCTGGTCACAGGTCAGGAAGGCCAAACTTAAGAGCAGCATCGTCGACAGAAATGGTTCTGATGGATGGGTCGTAGGAAAGATGAAATGATGTGCATCCAACAGAGAACAAGCGCAATGGCACAGGGACCGTCCCCACCTCCCTGTCCTGGAGGAGCTTTGCAATTGCAAAGTAATTGATGATGGGGTGCAAATAGCCAGAACATTTGATGGTCACAAGAAGCTCTGCTGGGATGTCGTGATCGTCGTCGACATCGAAATTAACATCATCATCAACAGCATCACCATGATCTGTATGAACCTGCTGCTTTGAGCTTGATATATTGTCGAGCAGACTCGTGGCAAGTTCGAAGTGATGACATTTGTCAGCGTGGTCTAGATGATGACAGATTTGTGAATTGTAATTGTTATTGTTGCTTGGGCATGCAGGACCCTTGATTTCAGTGATGTGCGCGTGTTCTGTACTGTCAGTGGTCCATTGCATAACAACTCCACTGTTTCAGATACTTGGAACTATGCTCTGCATAAGCTCGATCTTCGGGATATACCAGTTATCCATGCAGCAGGGTTCTACGCCATACTGGTGGATGAAGACACACAACCATACTTATTGTTCTACACCGAAGGACGAGGGTATGAGTGTTATTGTCGCATGCCTTTCGGACTAACTGGAGCACCAACCACTTTCGGGGACATGGCCACCATCAGCCTCAAAGACCAAATAGGACTACTCTATGAACTCTACGTCGACGACTCAGGAATGGTGGGCAGTAACTTTGAAGAGAAGCTTGAACGACTTCATCAATTCTTCACACAGGTATGTGACACAGGACTTTCCCTCTCGCTGTCCAAAACTCAACTCTTTATGAGTGAAGTAATGTTTGCGGGAGCTAGAGTGGGAACAGACAGCATCAAACCTGACAGGGCGAAACTCTCTGCGGTAGTCCAATGGAATATACCAGTACTGTCCACAACCTCATGCAGTTTTTGGGACTTACCGGTTATTTCAGATCACTGATTAAGGATTATGTGAGAATCGCAGCACCACTGACAGATTTGGTTAGGAAGCTGGGCATACCACCAGGAGGACCACAGGTTGGCAAATGCAAGTATAGACAACATTTGCGCACCACCAAACTCCACCAGCACTGGGGCCCATGACAAACGGAAGTGTTCATGCGCTTGAAGCAGATCCTAATGACAGAACCGGTTCTGAAGGGGCCGAGGTTTGACGCAACCCCCAGCCTACCATCAGGGAAAAATGTCACAGCGCTACACCCAATCACCTATGCATCAAAGTGCACATCCACAACAGAAGCTAAGTACAAGCCGTACATCTTAGAATTCGCTGCGCTAAAATTTGCATTAGATCAGTTTTCGGATACGATATGGGGCGCACCCGTAGAGGTGGAGACGGACTGCCAGGTGCTCAGGGACACCCTCCTGAGCCCGAAACTAGGTGTCGCCCATGCACAATGGCGTGATGGGATATTGGCGTATCACATCGTCGATGTCCGCCATTGACCTGGGACGTCCAATACCACGGCAGATGGGCTGAGTCATAGCTTCAGCACGACAGAGCCCACCGGAGAGGATGGAAGTACGTGGACAGTCTGTGAAGATTGGGAGGCGTCCCATGGGATAGTCCAGGACATACTGGTGGTAAATGTTGAGACTTTGGGACAGGAGGCACTAATGAACCTCACAGACATACACACACTAATGCAGTGCTTCGATAACGACCCTTTTCACAGATATTCTGAGAGCACTAACAGATCTGGATCAGAATAAGTCAGTACACGATAAGTGACGTGCGAGACATAGAGCACAGAACTTCTTAATCGCAGAAGGTAAACTTTGGAGGGTGGCTAACAGTTTTGCAAATAGGTTACATAGTGGTCTAGAATGCATCACAAAAGAGGAGGCACGCGAGTTAGCGTATCAAGAGCATACTACGAACGGCCACTGGGGGAGGGACCTCGTCAAGCTTCGGCTGATGGATAAGATCTTTTGCCCTCATCTGGATCGTATAATCACTGACACAATTTTAGACTGTGGACAGTGTAAAAACTTCGGTCCTACACACTTACACTCGCTACTAGCACCCATTGTCCGTCGACACCCATTCGAACTTCTCGTAGCGAATTATTTAGTGATGCCCAAGGGTAAGGGAGGTTATCACAATATTTTACTGATCATAGACATCTACTCCCAATATGTGTGGGGATTCAAGCTTAAAGTTCACGGGATGGCCAAGACTACCATTGCGGGACTCGATAAAATCCAACAGGAATTCACTGTACCGGAGAAGCTCATGACTGATGGAGGACGGCATTTTGACAACAAGGAGGTAGCGGATTGGTGCAAAACACACGGTGTCGAGCACCATGTCACCCCAGCATACTCTCCATGGGTCAATGGGCTTGTTGAAGGCACTAACCAAATCCTTTTAGAACGACTTAAATGGACTTGCACCCCAGATCTGGGGGAGGACAGATCCCTGGACATACTCACAGCAGACATCCCCAAAGGGTGGTCGGACCACTTCAACACAGCAATATCACAACTCAATGAAAGGATCTTACCAGCACTAAAGTTCTCGCCCAAAGAACTAATGCTGGGATTTGTGGTAGACACGCCCCGCACATCATTTAGTCAATCGCTCGAAACAATAACTGATTCAGATATACAGGTTCACACAGCTCATGTCGCACAGCAATGCACAGATGCCCTCGCGAACAACATAGCTAACACAATTCGATGAAAGGCCGCTTTCGATCGACGAGTATTAGTGTCTAGCACAGGAGAGGTTACATTCAAGGAGGGACAACTAGTACAGGTCTACGCTAATGATATTGATGGTAACTTCTCTACCTCGCGAAAACTCCTACCCCGTTGGTCCACACCACATCGAGTCATTGCCAAACGGGCAAACTCGTATCAACTCACCACTCTGGAGAGTTTCCCCATCGCAGGATGGGTCCATGCACGACAATTGCGCTCGTTCATACTGCGCACAGGATCCCTACTGGATGAGATGGAAAGAGAGAGGGCAGAGGTTTTAGAAGACGAGGAAGAACTAGGGAAACATGGGGCAGAAGAAGCAAGCATCATGAGTGACAAGGAGGAGGACAATGAAGAATGTATCCCCACCTAGGCGCCAGCGTCCGGTACGAGTCTAACGACAGACTAGCGTCCAGACCACCGTCTCACTGGTACGTTGTAGGAACAAGTTCCTGGTGAGGCTTACTTTACCCCTATTACCTTGCTTGTGTTGGCACTTGGACAGCTTACATAATAATGTTGGTCTTTACCCTTACTTTCACCTGGAGTGACTTAGAATGCAGTTTGTCTTACTCTCTCTCTCTCTCTCTGAGCTCTGAGCCTGGTCCAGAAACCCTGGGTCTTACACTGTCAACACTGACATAGCAGCTAGGCAGACAGACCCAACACCTCAGATTCCACCAATCTGAATTGTTGTACCCACAATGTTCTTCTGTGACCCTGGAGTGTTGCATATATTGGGGGGGTATTTGTAGCGGAGAGGTCTGGTCGGGAGGCGGATGTGCCAGATTGGGCAGGTTCAGAGATCGAGATGAGAGGGAGCACGAGAGCATAGGAGATAGGAGGAGGAGAGAGGGCAGAAGCAGTTCAGCAGATGCCGAGAGCAGATATAGGCCATAGTCATGTGTTGTTGTAGAGCAGGCTTACTACCATGTTGAAGGCAGAAGGCAAGGCCCGAGTCGGTCACCGTTCCAGCGGCAAGGATGAAGATGCCGAATATAGGGATTGAAATTGTTTATGGTCCAGGCACCATGGCTGTTGGTTCAGGGAGAATTATTAGGCATGGGGTGGATATGGACGCCGGCCAAATAACCTGGGTGTGGTATATGAGGGATGATGTACATGAGTTTGTAGATATCCCCCGAGCTGACTACTCACAGTACCACTCAATAGTCAGTGGCACCGAAAACACGACTTGAGAGTTTCTGACATTTAAATGCATGTATAACAGATGTACATAGCAAACCAATAGTTGCCGATACATACAGATTACTGAAGGTTGCCGGCTTTGACTGCATGTGGGATATGCTCAGAAAGACCACTCTCCTCACTGATTGCCGCCCACAAATATTTGCCACTGCAACATGCTGTTGGTGATACCGGAATGGCGGTCATAAATACTCTTGGCGGTCCCAGTATGGACAGTGATCAATTGGGGGATTTGGAACCCATTGGTGATTGTCCCATCCCGGCAATTCTGCTGTCAGCGATTCAGGAATGACAGTCATTGTTAAGACCGTGCTCAAAGGGCGGATCCGAAGGGCTTGGCTTCAGCTCGTGCGCTGCGCCCCTTACCCGAGTACGTGCCCTTAATTTCCGAAGGCTAGAAACAAAGTCCGAGGGAGGATGATGAATCCCGGTGGACTTCAAGGGGACAAGTCTGGTAGGCTTTTCAAGGAAGAGTCAGGCCGATGTTCAGGGGGTTAGTCCGGCCGACGTAAGGAGGGTTCGTATAAAGGGGGTTCGTCGGCCGACGTAAGGAGGGTTAGTCCGGCTGACATAAGAGGATTAGTCCGGCCGATCATAGGGTTAGTCCGGCTGACATAAGAGGATTAGTCCGGCCGACACAAAGGGGTTTTGTCGGCCGACATAAGGAGGGTTAGTCCGGCCGACATAAGAGGATTAGTCCGGCCGACACAAAGGGGGTTCGTCGGCCGATGTAAGGAGGGTTAGTCCGGCCGACATAAGAGGATTAGTCCGGCCGACATAAAGGATTAGTCCGCCGGACAATAGGGGCTTAGTACACCCGGAGAATAGGGGCTTTAGTCCAGCGGACGTGGGGGACAGAAACAGACAGGTGTAAGGACGGAAAAACAGGAAGTCCAAGGGGACAGAAGGACAGGAAAGTGGACCCGGGCCCATGGAAATGGATCCGGGTCCGAGGAAACAGGAATGAGGGTAATCTAAGGTGATATTCGAACTGAGGAAACTACTACGAGTTTACAAGGTATTATATACTATGGACATGTGCGACAGGGACGGAGTCAGCGGAGATCCGGGTCAACAAGAGGAACATACGGAAAGGTTAAACTGACAGGCGCAAGGAAAATAATACAGGAACAATCGAGAACGGAGACGGAGATGAAGTATTGAATGGATCCGGGCATAGGAGGTATGATCGAGAATGAAGCCGGATATTAACTGTCAAACAGATCCGGCATATAGGGGTTAGGACAAGGGGACTATACAAATGGGGTAACAGAATAGGAGCAGGACCGGAAATGAACTGTCAAGCGGATCACCGGAAATGGGGACGGAGATGAACTGTGAAGTGGATCCGATGTTTTTTAGGGGTTAAGTGGACCTGGGTCCGAAGCTCAGGATCTGAGTAGGTCCGATGTTTTAGGGTCCGATGCTTAGGGGTTAAGTGGACCCGAGCGGGTCCGACGTATAGGATGTCCGACGAATACAGGGGGAGTGGACGAGCAGACAAGCGGACAAGCGGACGAGTGGACGACATGAGTGGGATCCGACGAATAGGACATCCGACGAAAAGGAGATCCGAGGTATGCAGGAGGAGGACCAATGAATAGGACGTCCGACATATAGGACGTCCGACGAAAAGGAGATCCGAGGTATACAGGAGGAGGACCGATGAATAGGACGTCCGACGTATAGGACATCCGATGTATATGGGAAACAGGGCAGATCCTGCTGAGGGGTATGTCCAGTGGAGACTGGGATGCGGAGTTATCCTGCCGAGGGTTAAGGTATAGCTTGGCTACATTTCGGAGGTCCGGACATTGTTTGTTGGGAGAGATGGGATATGATTCAGGGGCTCAGTGTACGGTATATGACAGTCATAACCCTTGGCAGTTGTCCCATCTCAGCGATTTTAGATTTTTCAGCGGTCATTTATATGGATATAGATATACTGACTCAGATATGTTTGGGTATATACCATGTCGGCCATGCCGGAGATATGCTCAGGTGTCGGCAAGTTCATAAGGGGCCTACCTCTCACCCTCAGGTAACATTCAACAGTGATAGTATATACCATAACACTACTATCCATTATATTATTGGGTTCCACAAAGTGTATAGCGCGGGCCCACCCCTGAGCTACGGGTATTAACTACCACCTGGCCCACCCAGTATATGCAGGGATAATCTCACATGTGGGCCCATCCCTTAAGTAAGGGGTACATACAGTGGCTCAAAAAAGTGTCCCAATGTTTGTGCAGTTTCATGTAATTGCATAATGGCAAGCCACAGTGTGTGAATCTGATGTGGCAGTGCAGACATATTTGGTAGTAATACCTTCTGGCTTGAATCTGAGCTTACAGAGTGGAGATATGATAATTCTATAATTGTGACTCATTGGGACACTTTTTTGACTTTGAGTTTAACAACTGCAATATTTATGATTCTGATGTATGATGCTTCCTCCCTTGACTTTAATCATTGCTACTAGTCTCATAAATATATTTTCCATCAATCCTATACATTTCTGCTTAAAAATATTCCCATACTCTTCTCCACAATAGCTCAAATAGCCCCTGTAGATGGTTTTGGTGTTTTCAACAATGTCCAATAGGGTTTATGGTCATGAAATTTGTTGTTAATGATAACAAAGTAATACTATGGCCTTTTAATGATCTTGTGACTAACTTTGAGGTATATTTGATGTCATTATTCTCTACTATGATAATCTTCTCTTGATTAATATAAGACTTTCGTTCTAATGCTATTTGAGAAAAAATAATCATTAGCTTCATGGTCTACATCAATGTCATCACTCATATTGTTGGGGCTACTCTTGCTATAGTCAGTGTTCTATAACATATAAGAAAAGCAATTGCTTCTAGAGGCTTATATGACAGGTACTATTTTCAACTTCAAGTACTCATGCTACTGGACTGTTTATGGCTAGGAGTATGTTGCCTTGTAATATGAGATGAAAACCAATCATATATGATCATATGTATATAAGAAATTAATGAGAAATGACTTTAAGTAAAACAAGCATATAAAATACATAAGTTGATAGAGGATAATCTGATGGTATGAAGACTGTATGCAGTAGAAGGAAGTGAACTTAATATAGAGTAGATGGGCAGATATGTATAGAGTGATATACTTTCATTTTAAAATGATATCTACTCAGAAACACCTAGGAGGTGTATATTATTTAAGAAGGAATTATCCTAATAGAGGATACTGACATCAAATATACCTCAAAGTTAGTCACAAGATCATTAAAAGGCCATAGTATTACTTTGTTATCATTAACAACAAATTTCATGACCATAAACCCTATTGGACATTGTTGAAAACACCAAAACCATCTACAGGGGCTATTTGAGCTATTGTGGAGAAGAGTATGGGAATATTTTTAAGCAGAAATGTATAGGATTGATGGAAAATATATTTATGAGACTAGTAGCAATGATTAAAGTCAAGGGAGGAAGCATCATACATCAGAATCATAAATATTGCAGTTGTTAAACTCAAAGTCAAAAAAGTGTCCCAATGAGTCACAATTATAGAATTATCATATCTCCACTCTGTAAGCTCAGATTCAAGCCAGAAGGTATTACTACCAAATATGTCTGCACTGCCACATCAGATTCACACACTGTGGCTTGCCATAATGCAATTACATGAAACTGCACAAACATTGGAACACTTTTTTGAGCCACTGTAGTAATGTGGGCCCATGGTGGGTTGGCCCGACTCTTATGGAGGAATGTCAACATGTGCTATCCTATAAGTAATGGAATATATCACTGCATTATGTGAATGAATAGACTAACAGAAGGATCAGAATGGAACCAGATATTAACTGTTAGAAGGATCTGGGCATATAGGGGCAGAAAGAAGTGCATACAAATGGGGACTCAGGGGAAATGAATCCTAGACCAGGCCCGAGGAACCAGGTGAACCGGACCGGACGAGAAGGTTCAGGTATGGGATATGACACATGGACAAGTTGTACTGCACCTACCGCATTGGCCTGCCAAACTCTACATCACCATATAGTGCTCCGGCCACTGTGTGTGAAGTAATGCTTACAGCACTAGCCAGCATACTTTTGAACCATCAGATCTAGCATCTGGCCAGAGCTGATTGTATATATTAACCGGCTAGTTATACCCTACATGTCTGCCTGGTGGTATTGTACGTGGACCAGCCAGTCATACCCTACACGTCTGGCTAGCCCTGATTGTACATATTAACCAGCCAGCCATACTCTACATGTCTGCCTGGTGGTATTGTATGTGGACCAGCCAGTCATATCCTACATGTCTGGCCAGTGGAAATGTATATGCATTGACCATGGTTGGCTGGTCCACATTCTATGACCATTTGTCATGTCTGGGGTACAAGTTCTATGTAGGGTCTTGACTGAACTATGTGATGACTCACAGATACTCTTCATCTCCATGTAATTGACAATGAAACTAGCACATTCCAGTGTCTGCTGCACTATCTTCCCATATATCTTTAACATTATTTCAATTTTGGCCACTTCCTCCTCCATCACAATCAAAGTATACACTTCAGAGATCTTCAAGAGCAGACCATGAACTCCATTATTTCATAATAGCTGACTGAGAATTATCTGCCATGAAAAACCTCATTAAAATGTGAGGCCAATGATATTAAAAGAAGCACACCTTGGACACACAAGTAAATATATTTAATGCCACCTTTGCATGGGGATGGACCTACATATGAAAGTTAGTCATATAAAAACAGAGGTAGATGCCCATACATCGGCAAGCCCATTAGCCAAGAAGTTGAAGAGCTTCAACTTGGGCAGCCGCTCTGAGACTATTTTACTCATATCGGAATTGGAAATAGAATCAGATTGTAGATGGCCAGCCGCTGAAGCAACATTTTGAGAGATGCCTGTTATGCCTATGACATCTTTGGTGGCATTGGGGTGTACATCTCCAAGCATATGTATCAATGCTCATAACCATGTTCATAGATTTGGGGTGCTTGCACTCAGATGAGAGGGGAGCTAGTCATCAAGGCGCGCCAGAAGGTTCCTGGATCATATGGCATTCTGGTTGGCGGGGATCAGAAAGTGTGCATCAAGCATCATGGTGAATCATGAAAAGGTGATGGTGTGACATTGTGATGAGGTGAAGAGGTGAAAGGGTCAGAAAAAGATAGGGGGGCCATATTACTGTAACATTTCCCAGTGGTTCAGCGTTAAGGGTGAGGGTATATGCTTTCCTGACACCTTCAAGCACATTCCCAATACTACTCTGGCTCTTATAGCCATAGTGGTGAGTTTTTATTTCTTTATGCAATCTTAGTAATCTAACTAATGTAGGTTGAGTGCGCCCTCAACTCCTGGCATAATGGAACCCGGTCTCAAGTAAAGTTCAGTGAGATGCAATTCAGGACAAGGTGAGTAGCTCTTTGCTCATTTTGTGACCCTGACACCATCCCATACCCATCCAGATATCAATTTTACATGAAGAAGCTGGAGTGCATCCAAAAGGACTGTCCGAACTGGATGAAACAATTCAAGAAGGATCTATATGAAAGTATTTGGTACACATCTTCTTTCTATATTAATATGGTTCTAGCTTCTAATGCACACCAACAGCAAAAAATCTGGCCATGAGTTGTTAGCGCTTCAGATGGATGATGAGGATAGCAATATTGAGAAGATGTATGCTGACATGGAAAAATCAGCTTTGTCCCAGATGGAAGGGAGGGCTGATGACTTACTCTATTAGCTTATATATGTTCTCCATGTACTGTCCAATCATTTATCAAAATATTTCATTTGCACACATAGCACATTGTGGTGATCTATTTTAACTTTTAATGCTTTATTGGATAAGAAAATATTGAAGGAAATGTTGTAGATATTCCAACTATTCTAACTATAGTACCTCTAGATGCTATGACTTCTATGGAGTCTATGCCAACTATAGGAGTTTTGGTATATTTTGCCCAACTATGGCAACTTTAAAGTGTTATATAGTGCTCTATAATAGGTACCATTCTATAGATCCTATGGTCAGTTGGGGCTCTATTGTGACTATATAAACCTATATAGAGCTATATAGAGAAACAGTTTTTCCTAATGAAAAATGTAAATGGCTAGGGATACCTACCTGTCTGCTGTCTAAAATAGATGTATAGCTGCTGAGCATCTTACTGTGCATTTTTGAGCGTCTCTTTTGGATTGGTTCAGGACCTTTAGGTACACACAGTGGTATGTGTTCTTTGAGTCAAATATAGTGTGTAGCAAATTCTGAGTATTGATACTGAATGAAGAACACAGCCACATAGCGGAACAAGACAGACTGCACATTGTTGAGGACTCAGAGTTTGAGGAAGTGGAAGAGCTCCCTCAGTGGTCTAGGTACAGTACAACAACACTAGAAGCTACTATGTTAAAAACATATCAAGCAGTGCCAATACACCTGTCGATGGTCACTAAGAGTTTCCAATTCTGCAAGTGTAAGTTTTATAGTTGTCGAATGTGATCTTCCATGCACCATGAAGACCTCGAATGTACGCAAGGATGATATTGAAGGTGTTCCTTGCGTCAAGTTGTGTGTGTGTGATGATGACTGGAGGGCACGACATTTTCTCAAATAATATTAGCTTCGTGAGCGCCCCGATAGCAGCAAAGACCAAATTGAAGTCTTCAAGCAGATCGTTGATAAGGTCTGCAAGTCCGGTGCTGCTGTGTTGGTAGGGTATGACCAGGAGCTAGGCCAGGGGTGCCAGGAGTCTTGCCTGGGCCTCAAGGCACTTAGATAGATGTGCTTTGTGCGTGTCAGTAGCTAGTCTTTGTCCATTCCATGACTTAGATCCCACCTGTCTGGTTTGAGTCCCATGGCTCACTGTCCATGGTCTCCTCATCGTACCGACTCACCACTGCACCACACAAAATGAATTACCATCCACAATATGAAGGGGTGGTTAAGAATGCCATCCAAGATTGTGATGTCTCCAGCCTAAATACATAAATGTGAACTTTAATTGAAAAGATGAAGAAAATCTAACTTACAGCATTGATAATGAATTGATGTATGAAAGCCAATGGCCGACTAAACAGGTTGAATGACTTTGGTCGAGGTCCTGTTCGGTCAGCCGTGTTTGGTCTGGACTGAGATTCAAACCCATTATGTTGTCTCCTGTGGCATGCAGATACCTCACTTGGAAGTTCCATAGTGTGAAAGGCTAAACAAGTAAACTTACTAAGCTGGTCCATACGCAGTGATGAATTCATACAGATGGCATGCAGAATGAAAGTTTGGAGTCAGATGACAGTTCATCTGGGCCCAGGATTGGGGGGCCTGAGAGATAAAATTTTCAGCCTCCAGTGCCTCAAGGAGTGTAATGGACCGAGAAGCGAAGATATGTATTGCAGTACAGAATCGGAGCACATTCTCATAACGCGAATAATAGTTTTGGCTTGGTGTGATCTTGTCCAGCTCCATGTAATCATCAGTGTGAGCATCCTCATCATGTGCAATATTTTTGATGCACCACTTGTGAAGTAACTTCTTTTATTTGATGACTGCCTGCTGAACCTTCAAACCGTTCTTGGGATCTGGGGCCTCTACATCGGGTGGGCAAGACCACATGTTCCATGTGACTGCGAGCACTGCTGGGTATACATGCATAAAATTACGCCACTCATCTGCTTTTGGATGTTCGCCTCCACTCACAATCTTAAGGAGTCAAATGAGTATATCAAATGAAGTCACGTAAATTCAAGGACTTACCTTTGCTTGAAAGCAGCCAGAGGCACTAGGCCACCATATCAACTGGATGAATTTTGCCAGGCGATCCATGGGAGTTGTTTCTGACTATTTCCCTATTACCATAAACATAGATTCCTCAATCAAGATGACTCAATGAATTTGTCCAGACATGACTAAAATTGATGCTCAGCACTCGAGGTAAAATTACAGTAAGTTAGAGTCATACCTGGACCCCAAAATAGATGCATGATCTCAGGTGGTATACTTACTAGTGCACTATGCCAGGCTGGTAAACGATCAAGGATTGACATTCAGACTCCCTTGTTTTCAGCAATAGATGCCTGCACATCAGGAATGTCAGAATCTTGGTAGATAAACTTCCATTTGAGTTGTTTCTGGGTGTTGCGATAGGTGAATTCTATATGAAAGTAAGATAAAAGATAATTAAAGAGTACAATGAATAATCATACTCACATAGGTGATAAAAGCAGGCTGTATCAACCAATGAACAGAAGGGAACATTGCAGGATGGACACATGAATTTGTCAGAGTTCTGTGAGACATATCCAGCAGTCTTGAGACATGCTAGAGTGTCCATAGGTGTAAAAGGTAGTGCAATGTGAACTTCTTCTTCAGCTTCACAGCCACACACTTCAAAAATTGACCTAGCAGACAATGTCACAAATAAATTACCATAGGCTGTTGGACTCACCTTCACTGAGCTGCTCAAGCTCCTGTAGTAGGTCCAGGAATGACAAGGAGAAGAAATGTGTTCTCTCTAAGAAAGTGGATAGAGTGTGGTAGATTATCTATTGTCAGCCATAGTGTGCCTGTTGAGTAGTTAGTGCACTTAAGTGCTTGAAACCTGGTATGAAAAGTCACCTCGCAAGGTGTGCAATTTAAAAGATACAACTTATCAGGTGATATTGATGTGAACAATGATTCTGCATTTCAATGAGACAAACTGCTGATTCAGATAATTGACATTATAGTCGTTCACTTTCATCCTCCTGGGGTCCTATATGTGTGCTATACCTGTAAATATGGACCTCCACTTCCATCTGTTATATACGGTGGCTGTTAAGACCGTGTTCAACAGGTCGGACCGGAGGGGCTTAGCTTCAGCTCATGCGCTGCGCTCTTTACCGAGTACGGGCCCCTAATTTACAGGGGGGGTGGATATCGTCGGCCGAAGGGTATAGACAGGCTGGACGAGGGAGAGAGGGGTATGGACGGGCCGGACGAAAGAGGGAAGACTACCCGAGACTTCGTCCGGGTAGAAACTAACAAGGTATAGACTACCCGAAGGTAGAGGCGGAGGTATTTAGCCTTAGAGATATAATCCCAAGGCTCGGAGGACCGGACTAGGATAATAATCCTAATAGCCGAGAGGACACGAGGATTGAACAGAGTCTAAGTTAATATTCGAACTGAGGAAATACTACGGGTTACAAAGGGTTTATATACTGTAGTGTATCCGACGGGTTTCCGGCCGAAGCGCAGTCTTCGGATCAGAGGGCTATGTAGAAAATGTACTAACAGATATGAACTGCTGCGGATGATCAAGAATGGAGCCGGAGATTAAATGAAACAGGGGGGACAAGTTAAATGAAAGGGAAATGAATAGACTAACGGACAGATCAGAATGAACCCGGATATTAACTGTCAGAAGGACCCGGGTGTATAGGGGCATCAAGAAGCATATACAAATGGGGACACGGGGAAATGAATTCTAGAACGGACGGACCGGACCGGACAAGAAGCTTCAGGTACGGAATATGACAGTGGCTCAAAAAAGTATCTGAATGTTTGTGCAATTTTGAGTAATTAGATCATAGCAAGCCAGCAACTAGATATAACATATTGGTATAGAGACATGTCTGAAAGCCCTACATCATGGCTCGAATCTAAGCTATATAGCATGGGAACAAACCCTTATATAGGCAAAACATGATAATTATATTCTTATGACTCATTCAGATACTTTTTTGACTTTGTATTAAATCAATCTTATTGTATGATTCTAGTACTTTGTGTTGCCTCCATTAGCTTTAATAACTGCTGCAACCCTTTTAGGCATACTTTCTATGAACTTCTTACACTCCTCTTGGCGATTTTTGCCTATTCTACTGCAACTCTCTCTCATAGTTCAAATAGCACCTTTGGAGGATCTTGATAGGCAGCAAGTAGTCTCTTGAATAATTTCCAGAGATGTTTAATGAAATTGAGGTCTGGAGACTGTGCTGGCCATAATAAAACATTGATGTTATGGTCTTCAAACCATTTTGTGGCCAGCTTTGAGGTATTCTTAGGGTCATTATCTTATTGAAAGATAATGTCTTCTTCATCAATCCCTGACTCCTACATGCTTTGAGTAGACACTCCTCTAGGATGGAGATGTACTGCTCTGCATTCATCCTTCCCTCCACCTCATAGAGAATCCCAACACCATTTCACCCCATTTCACCCCATACCATTATATTTTCTCCTCCAAACTTTAGTGTTCCCTTGACTTCTCTTTCTCCTGGGGGTTCTCCTGCCTTTTTCAACACATATTCCTGACCATCTAACCCCATTCTATGGTTTTTTATTTCATTTCAGTGGGGCATTCCCATCTACGGTTTTAAAGCAGTTGTCACATAAGATTGGTGGTCCTGGGTCATGATCTTCCTCTCCTCACCAGTGTTAAAACTCAGCTCATTTTCCAGGGCACATAAGGAGTTACACAAGTGTCATTTTGAGGGAAGTGACAGGCATAACTTTTTTTTTGAACGGAACTCTCTTAATGTCATTGGAACTTGTTCGCTTGAGACGGAATATCATAGCACAACAATCTGTGGCCGTACAAAGCTGTGACATCTTTCAACTTCAATATAGTGGATTCTTGACAGTACTACAAGATGGAAGCATGAGAATGCCAAATCCATATGGTCCTGCACCTCTGAACTTTGGTGATACATATATCTGGCTTGCCACAGGTTGTTGAGGGCTCAAGAGACACTGACAAATTATTGAAAACTGCAGTAATATCAGCAATTGAAGCAATTAAGCAATTTGTTGTTAAGCTGATAGTGCTATAAAAAAAGTTCATTTGATTCTGCTGGAATGAGCACTACAATCTTTATTATGGAGGGAGCCTTTGTGATATGCAGTGGATATTGTCATTTTAATAAGTAATAATCATCTCTGCACTGAGTTGGGATTCATGGTTATGTCTGCTGCCAAAGCATTTGTGTTTCATGACAAGCAGTATCTCATTTGTGTGGAGGTCAACTAGAGATAGGTTGGGTTTCACCACTGTCTTTCTATCTCCAGACATATGAAGCTGAGAATTAAATTCACTAGTCTGGCAGATGATTACCAGAGTTTTTTGAGTCACATGATGTAGTGCTCTCAATATCACTGCACTAAGTTTATTCACACCAGCCTCTGTGAATTATTCATTTTGTGTAATCTCAAGGCACTTAATCAGCACTAGTTATACTGGATTGAGCCTAGTCTATGCATGACCCTCTGCAGTTATGAAACTAATGGGCCCAATGTAGTGAGGGAGTTTACTATCAAAGAAATTGTTACAACTCTTAGTGTTGAAATCAATGTTGTATGCCAGAATTTCATTGTTAGACTATAAACTTCTAAATTTCAAAGCAAGTTTCTTTTCTAACACAATTGTTTAGATGTTGGTTAGACTTGAAGGAGATTGCAACTCACCACTGGCAAAATTGGAGTTGGATAAATTCATCAGCCTTCAGGCCAGAGTATAACAATACAAAGAGTGGGTTGTGCCATGGTTTCACAGACTTATTCATCTTATCTGCTTCTCTTAAAGAAATTACAGAGTGTTATAATAACATACTTCGGGCCGGACCCCCTATCTTTTTCTCTCATCTTGTACTGCCATATGATGTCCTCATCATCATCTTGTATAGCATCCTTGATCACCGTCTTATGTCTTATCTCTTATCTTGTACCCTGTACCTTTACCAGTGATTCAGTAGTCTTGCCCTGAAGTATCTCTTACCTATAAGTAGTTGATCCATCTGTCCTGTATTCCTTAACTTGAATCTACTCAGTATTCTGATAGACCTTCCTTGAGCATGATCACTCTCGTATAACTTCTTCACTAAAGACTCTTCGTCTTAGTGTCTGATACTCAATCAATACCACTAGCCTAGTCTCTACTTGACGACTCTTGTCACCAAGTTCTGACACTGACAACGATACTCGAACCTTCACATCATCTTCGTCTCTGTTGAGACTTAGTACGAAGCTCCTACCTGAGTCTACACTTTCAGCGTAACAAAAGATTCAAGTTTCCCACCAGCTCCTCATATTTTGAGGGCCACTAGTCAAAATGTCTTCCTTCCTAGGAGAAGAACCTGACGACATTGAACTTACCTCTGAAAGCTCCTCTGAAAGCTCCGACGATATCCCAGTACAAGATCCCCCTAGACACTTCTTTCCCCCTTCCCACCGAGAGGATTAGTCGTCCCACCTAGGGCATCTGTCACCAGAGCTCCACCAGCTCTCCCCAGATCATCGACTCCGATCCCACCTAGACTACCGATCCCTCCACCAGCCGTACCATCAATCATGTCGACAAAAGTCTCTGAACTCAAGATTGGTTCATCACAAGACTTTAATGGTGATACATCTTAGGCAACCAGATGGTTGTACAGCATCAAGGTGTATTATTTCGCCAATGCTGATACCTACACCGATGATAAGAAGGAAATCATCACCGCACTTGCGTATATGACTGGAGGAACTGCTGCACTTTGGGCAGAAACCTTCTACTCCAATGTGTTTAGTAGATCTATTCCTACCTTTGGGACATGGGCCTATTTCGAGACCAAAGTTACGACTGCCTTCCAATCCATTGACGTCAAAACCGACACTTTAACCAAGCTTGAAGCTCTCAAACAAACTGGAGAAATCTCCTAATACATCGCAGAGTTTAAACTCCTCATTGCATTAGCCACAGTTAGAGAGGAGGTCTCACTGATGTTCTTCTTCAAAAGAGGATTGAAAGATGGATTGAGGAAAGCTGCCCATGGAACCTCCGAAATCCCAAACACCATAGAGAAATGGTACACCACAGCAACCCAGCAGAATGCCAACTGGCAAATGGAACTAGCATTCAGAAACACGAACAGGAACAATAACCAGTCGAGAAGAGGATCTGGGAATTGTCCCAATCAAGGATGAAACAACCCTAAACCCAGTTTCCACCATCAACGTGACCCTGATGCGATGGATGTAGACAGAACCTTATCCCCTCAACAACGCGACGACCACTTCAAGAAATGTCTTTGCTTCAATTGTTCTCAGCAAGGACATCGCTCCAGGGATTGCCCTGAGAAGAAAACCAAGACTAGAGCCGCAGGAGCGTCAGAAGGAAGGAAAGGAAAGGGCTAAAACCCATGATGATGAAACTGACGATGAAGATGAAATGGACACCAATCAAGCGGATTTTTAAACAAAGGACCTGTATCAACGTCAGACTCCTCCCTTTACATGCT